ACCCTAAAACCCTAATAAACCCTAATAAACCCTAATAAACCCTAATAAACCCTAATAACCCTAAAAACCCTAAAAACCCTAATAATAAACCCTAATAAACCCTAAAAACCCTAAAAACCCTAAAAATTAGCAGTGTTGATTGTTGTTGCTTCAGCCTGATAGCGTCGTGCTAGGGAACTCTGGCGTTCGGTGGCCGTGGGAACAAAAGGAACGCGAGTTGCCATTCTAGTTGTGAGAATAAAAGAAGAGAAAGTGTGTACTGCAATTCACAAAAGTAAAATCCAAGCCCGCAGAGAGCTGACAAGACTTATTTTAAATGGTCCCAGTTTGGGGCATAGGCTTGTCCCTTTTCCCCCTCACTTTCCACGTCAGCAAATAAGCACTAAAGCCTCGGTGCAGACATGAACGCTGCAATCTGGATATGTATGGATCATTTAAGCGCCAGCTTGAGCATACCCCGCAGGAGCTCCGAGCACCCTTGTGCTTGTGTGTCCTAGCCAGGGTCCACTTGAGTGTGTTAGGTGATTTGCACCGGCGGGTTGGGCAGAAAGGATCATCCGAGTTTTCGTAAGACAGGCTAAACACCTTGCTGACCATCTTGATGAGGCGCAGGAAACTTACTAGTATCAAGATCGATGACATTCTTCCAGAGACTCCGAGGTATAATCCCATTCATCTGAGCCATCGCGATAAGTAGCCATAGTTCTCAGTCATCGAGAGGTCCCTGCCAGCCCCCACCTCTTCCAAAGCATGGGACTCCCCAGCTTCCCGATCCAAGCGAAGACAGTTATGGAACGAAGTAGGATGCCCGCAGCTCGTCCACCCACTCTCGTACCTGTGACGCTGTCAGTGTTTATCCTTGATCAATGTAGGGTACTCACATGGGGCTCTCTCATCATATTGAAATGATTCCCATTGACTGGCAGAATCGTCAACCGGGCAGGATCCACAAGGGTCTCCCAGCCGGCTCCCATCGCGCCCAACTCGGTCCGATCCTCCAGCAACCATGTCACCACCCGTCGATCCCGCTCGGAAAAATCCGGCACCTGCACTCCGGACTGCTGATTGACACCATGTTTAGCGACATACAATGTTGTCCGTGTGGAGCACGAATGAATCGGCAGCGGCGCCGGCATATACGGTTCCAGGCTGACGAGCGTCTGTGTGATGTGAAGGGACCCCATCGGCCTTACGGGCTCCCGATGCTCGCCTTCCTTGGACGTGCCGCCGAATCGGTCTATGGAGTCCAGGAATTGGATCAATTTCGGAGGCATCGGAGGGATGGCCAAGGGGCACGGTGAGTCCACCAGATACAGTCGATCGACCGTCTCTCCCTCGATGACGAGCTGACGGCAGGCCTCGTAGGCGATGATGCCGCCTACCGAGTAGCCGAGGAAGGAATACGGACCGTGAGGTTGCCGGCGTCGGATTTCCACCAGGTAGAGGGCCGCCAATTCCGGAATCCCGATTGTGAAGTCCTCTGCGCAATGAGTAAAGGGGCTGTTCAGCCCGAACACGGCAAGGGAAGGGTGGATGGATGGCATGGTTGCGAACGTGGCGGAGCTCCCGAAGCCCCCAGGAAAGAGGAAAAGCCGGCGTGTGGTGGTATGAACTTTCCCTTGCAGCAAGATGGATGTTGCGCGATGGCTAGGATTGGAAGTGGTTGGCGTCTGCGTGAGCGGTTTTGTAGGGGCTGTCTTCTGCACAGACTGGCCGTCTAGGGTTTGGAAGAGCTGCGCGATTGTGCGGCTTCCCGCCAGGAAAGTCGGCGGTATATCCAGCGAACAGAATTCCCGGAGACGGCCCAGGATAGTGAGCGACATCAAAGAATCGACCCCCAGGTCTGTCAGGATAGCATTGGGATCCAGATCCGCAGAACTTATCCCAAGCTCCTCGCAGAGAATCCGACGCACCAAATCCGGGGTGCTTTGGTCCGCCCGATGATGTTGATCGGCCACGCTTTGGCATTCGGACGCGGGTGGAGTGGATTGGTGCTCACTGGAGTGGGAGATCGACTTGGAAGCTTGTGCTGAAGATGAAAGGACCGGTTCCGGATAGGGCGACCTGTGGGATGGTCCGAGTAGCAGTTGAAGCAACGGCCTCGGAAGGGCTTGGAACCTGATGCCCAGGCCGACCCCAATGATCTCTTGCCTGTGAAGAATATATAGATCGCCAACCATGGCGGTGCCCTCGCCTGGCTCCATCTTCACATAGATCGTGTATTCGTGCTGGCTGGACAGCTCCGCGGCCACATGCACCGACTCCCACCCGTTGCAGATATACACCACCTTGCTCGTGTTGACCGTCCCATTCGCATTCAAGACAAAGCCCGCTGGCTGCAGGACACTATCAATCCAATACGGGTTGCAGAAGGAATTTTGACCCGATTGAGAATTCTTGGGCGAGATCCGGGCAACAATCTCGTAGTGGGTGCTTTCCATCCAGACTTCATCAATGCCGTGGAAGTGCTCGGAGTAGTTCACCACGGCCCCAAATAGCTTATAGACCATGCCGCGATGAAGTCGATGGACATGAGACATGGACTGCAGGTCGGCAATCCGCGAGCTGAGGAGATGCTTGTTGCGTTGCCATTGTCGACCGACCTTGGCGACATCTTGCCGGACAACCCTACATTTAGCATACACAGCCCTTGCCACCCCGGTCTGCCGGCTATTAGAGAAGTGGACGTCAACGGCGTCCTCGTTCAAGGTTGCGGTGATCCGGACCACTCCGGGCCTCTGCTCCGCGTCTGCTCGGTGAACTAGGGGCGATACCATCTCCATGTCGGCGACATCCAGCCCCAAAACATCCAATCCTTCCCGGGCAACTGTATGCTCGTAAAGGTATTTGCCTGCTGTCAAGGCCATATCAACGAACAGAGACTGGTTGGGTTAGCTTGGAGTGCCATTCATCAGGGGTGACTGCCTACCGCTGGACAGAGGCCGACTTGATTGATGGCATGGCCGGTAATGACCTCGCTAAACCCCTGGTGGTTCAAATCCGACTCAAATTCAACAATGGGGGGATCTGCTTCCAAGGCTTCCCGCACCAGGCGCTGGACAGACGTTGTCGCAGGTCCGCATGGTATACTGGCCGCAAGGGGAACACGCCCTTTGGTAAGAGCCCAATCGTTTTGATAGTCGATCCAATAGTTGCGCTCGTCAAAGGCATACGCGGGAAGGGTGGAGAGACAGATGCTCGAGGGAGCAGTATCTCGGTTGTACTGCTCCCAGGCGATGTCCACCCCTTTCATGTACAGGGACGCGACACTCTCAGATACGGCCTTCCATGAGTTGACATTCATTCGCAATGATGGAATGGCCGTCTTGCCTAGTACATTCCGGATCATATAACAACACAACGGATGGGGACCCAATTCGACAAACTGCACGTCGGAACCCGTCGTCACCAGTGTAGAGCTTTCTAACGCAGTAACAAAGTCGACCGTCTCTCTCAGATGGCGAGCGAGATAGCGTGCATTCAACACGCCTGTCTCTCGAATTTCAACACCAAGCAGAGGGGAGAGAAGCGGAATACGTGGTGCATGGAACTCCAGCTTTTCCGCCACCATTTCAAATGGCTCGATGACAGGATCCAGCTGAGCAGAGTGGCAGGCGAACGGAACTGGCAACGAGATGCACTTGATGCCTTTGTTCGACAGGACACTGGAAGCGGCTTCAATGTCGCCAGCCGGCCCCGCGAGGACGACATTCCTGGGCCCGTTGATGCAGGCCACCTCCGCTTGGGTGCCCTTAATCACATCCTGTACCGTTGAGAGGGGTGCTCCGACGCCCAGCATCCGATGACTGCCCGGCGTGCAGTATCGCTCCATGATCTCTGCACGCCGACCCACGGCGAAGATGGTGTCATTGGCCGACAGCACTCCCGTCGCATAGAGCGCCGCGTATTCCCCCAGGCTGTGGCCGATCACCGCCTGAGGCGTCACCCCCCAGGACCGATACAAGTGGTAGAGACCCATTTGAATACAGACTTGACCCACTTGTGTCTGGATGGCGGACAGAGTATCTCTATTGACGGTAGGATCCCAGAGGCCGAGGAATGAGGGCTGTCCGTGGGCCTGGGCCAGAGAGTCAAAGCGGACGATATCGGTGCGGAAGCTCCGGCACGCATTGAACAGATGCTGGGCCACCCCCGTGTAGATACTCCCTTGGCCGGTAAATGCAAAAATGAGAGTGGGCTCCTCGGCATGGCATTCCCCTGCTGGTCCTGCCAATGCCGTCTGTACATCGCCCACCGTCGATGCGACTGCAATAAATCGATGGCGGTAGTGACGCCGCCGACTGGTCGTGGTGTAGGAGAGGTCTGCCAGAGAGGTATCCGTGTTTCTGCTGAGGAAGTCCACCAGACGTTTCTTGTTTCGCACCAAGGATGTCGGGGTTTTGCCTGAGACCGCAATCGGATAAACCACCCTGTGCCCTGTTAATGGTGGGTTTGTTTTCACGGGGGGTTCCTCCAAAAGTAGGGCGGTGTTTCCACCCGCAGCACCAAAGTTATTCACGAGGATACGTCTTCGACGGTGCGTCCGAGGCGCGAAGGCGATGTTCCGGCCGGGAATATGAATCTGCTTCTCATCTAGAGGAGGAAACCTCTGGTTGAGCCGGTTCTTCACGCCCACATGTGGTGGAATGAGGTTCTTCCTGAACATCAACAACCCTTTGATGACGGCTGTGACCCCAGCTGCAGATTCACCATGGCCCACATTCGCCTTGATCGATCCCACGTAAAGGGGCTCGGGACGGCTTTCGTCTCCAAATACTTGGGCCACGGAGCCCATCTCGGTGCTGTCCCCAATTTGGGTGCCGGTTCCATGCATTTCCACGTAGTCGATGGCTGAGGGAGAGACCCCAGCGTCAGTGAGAACCGACCGGTACAACAATCTCTGCGTTGGGCCGTGGGGCTGCGTGATGGAGCTGGCTAGGGCCGAGTGATTGGTCCCCGACGCCAGAATCACACCCAGGATAGGGTCGTTGTCGGCCTCGGCATCTTCCAGACGCTTCAAGACAACAGTCCCGACTGCATCGGCGCGGCAGTAGCCATCGGCGTCTTCATCCAAGGTCTTGCAGGAGCCGGATGGGGATAAAAAGTGGCCTCGACTCAAGCCGGCGTACATGTCCGACCCGGTGATGATGTTGGTCCCACCGGCGACGGCCATGTCACATTCCTTGCTCCGCAATGAGCTGCAAGCCAGATGAATGGCAGCCAGGCTTGAGGAGCACGCCGTGTCGATGGAGTAGCTGGGGCCTGTGAATTTATAATGGTAATGGATCCGGCCCTACATCCCAGTCAGTCCCCAATATCTATACTTCCCATACATCCACGTCAACCTACCGGACCAAACGGACGAACACCACCGGTTACATAAAACGGATCAATGTTCTGCGCTGCATTGACCTCTCGGTAGTCATCGAGAGCTTGACCGTAGAATGTGCCCACACGATCCAGCATGGACGACGGGGTCCGGTTGGCAACAAATCCAGACATCTCCAACGCCTCGTAGGCAGTCATTAGAGCCAGGCGCTGCATGGGATCCGTGACCAGAGCCTCTCGTGGTGACATGGAGAAGAATGATGGGTCGAAAAGCCCGGGGTTCTTGACAAAGCATCCATACGGGGTGGTGCTGGTATTCTCCTTCTTGCCGGTAGGATCGACGTGGGTGGAGATGTCGAAGCGATCGCTGGGCACGGTCGTATAGACGTCCAGCCCCTGAAATAGAATGTCCCAGAGCTCACCGATCGTGTCTGCGTCAGGGAACCGACCAGACATTCCCACAATAGCTATCTTCTGCATTGGGGACGGGCGCTCTTGAACAGAAGGGATATGCATGGCCGGGTCCAGTGACACCCTGCGCTTCCCGGTAGCTCGCAGGCTGGATGCTATACTCTCTCCAAGGGGGGAGGCACCGAAAACGGTGATCCCGACACGAGCGTCTATCGGCACCATCTTGACCATCTGCCAAGTGACGAAGTCCCATCGCAGGGTGTCGCTCAGTATCTCCTGAACGACTTCGCGTAGGAGCCCGGCCATATCCTTGTTTTTGAATGGGCTTGCATTGCGGCTGGAAATAAGGGTCCCTGATGGGGTATAACTGCCAACTGTTTGTCTTCCCGCGTGCTCATCCAAGGCAGTGATCCAATCCAGATCCGCATCCTGATGCAGATGAGGGCCATGATAGGGGGCGAAGATCGGGAGGGGTCGAGGGGAGCATCCCGTGGCATGGAATCCCGGGGAGGAGAAAAGCCCTTGTAATATTGCTGGCGGGCCCGAGATTGTGGTTGACAGGGGAGCTCTCGCACTGATATAGGCCTGGAGTGGTATAGGGACATTCTTCTCAAGGTCAGTACTTGTGGATGGCTGCACGGAGTTAAGAGCGGGCCTTCATACGGCGGCCGTGTGATAATCGGCCAGCACCGGTGGATCCAAGGTTGCCTGGACGACGCTGGACCAGCTTTTTTGCGGGCCCCCGGCATCGGTGCCTGTGAGGGTCTCCCCAACAGCGGCGGTGTGAAGGCCAAGTCGGAATGCAATGACCACGATATGCACCGCCAACGGAAGCCACCTTGTCAGGGACCAGGACGCAGTAGTGGCAGTGGCTGCCCCAACGAGAAGACCAGTACAGGAGCCCAGGGTTATTCGATGGGTCGGGCTAGAGCATTGGTCGCAGTCCACGTGGCTGTCAGACTGTCAGGAGGTAACTGTACTACTATCTTTCATGCATGGATCGGCCACCTACCAGATAAACTCGACGATTTGGGCTGCCACCGTCAGCACCGGACGCAGGACCGGATCGGTGGTAGCCCGTGGCAGCCAGTCCTGCAGGGCATTGGCCTGCATCCCCAGGGCTGGCACTCGCTGCCGGTCCCACGAGGACAGCCGGCCGATTTCCCGACGCAAGGCGGCATTGACTTGGACCAGGAAATCCTGCGCAATGGGCCGCGCCAGAGCATCGCGGCTGCGAAGGGACGAGAAGGAATCGGTTGATTGATCTCCGAAGACAAAGATTTCCATTGCGTGTTACAGGGATATCACGGATGCATCATCGACGCGATTGGAGGGGGCACGGCTTAGATGTATTCTGGTGTAACGGGGAGACACGAAAGTCGGATACCCAGGCAGCCTAGGGCAAAATGTCATCCCGCCTCCCTGGGACGGCTGAAAACCCTAACCAGAGTGGAGGAAGACGTGGCACCAGATGACAGGGACATCCACCGGCCTGGAGGCTTCCTCTTTTCAGTCATTGGTCTATCGTCGTGGAGATCATTGGCGGGTGGAGAAGCCGTAGTACGTAAGCTCCGGACCAGGCCTCCCACTTGATGCGGTGGAGGGATGTTGAACCGTTTGAAACCATGAGACTGATAAACTATTCTTTAGCTATGACGGGACTAGCAAGTGCTTCCATATACACAGTCTCCATATATACCTACATTGAATACTCAATCTTCACTGTATTCTGGATGATATGGAAGAACTCGCCATGTGTAGGTGGACAATGTTGCTACACTCATGCATCTTCATTTTGGTCACCAGGGGCAGGAGGAATAACCTCACCGTTGACGTCGAGGTTGATGGGAGGATTGGAAGGAGTGATACAATCAATCGAGATGGCACGCCAATCCTGGTGAACACAGAAAGAGGGTGGTCATCGGGTTTATGCTCTCTTGTGTGCATTCGGCCGTAAGCTGGTCCATCGGAATGCCAAGTCAAGTCAAGTCATATTCTATTAGCTTAATGGACCCCGCTAAGTGTGATGCTAGCTTTGTAGGCGCTTCCCGTTGAAGCAAGAAAATGAAGCCAAAACGCCGTGTCCCAATATCCCAAATCTCGCAGTGAAAAAACACCAAAGCCACGCGTATAGGAAGGAGTCGATAACGCGGCAAAACACAACCATCGGAATGCTAATATTCGTCAGTTCGCGGGGGTCGTGGACATCACTTAGCGGGACCCGTACTTTGAAGGGAAGGAGCCGAGAAGCAGCCGACAGAGGATCCGTAAAGGCTGCAAAATGCCCGAATCCAGAGGACATTCATGTATATACGACCTCGATAAGCAACTGTTATTGGGGAGCTATGCCCCTTGCGTCGGCCACAGGAATGTTGAAGAACCCCGTGTCGAGACACCTTTCACCTGGGGTTCCCATCATATGGGGTAATGGGCTTCTCCATGTTCCCAGATCCTCGGAGCGTGACATATGGTTCGAAACGCTCATATCCATAATAATGTCAGAACAAGTGAAAGACGGGCCTTATGAGACGGCCTGCATCCCGCCTCTCCACAAGTATTGGTGATATTCGCATGTCTTACGGTACGTCTTCTGCCAGAATATATATATGGGTGTTAGAGCTTTGTGAACCCCGTGATTAGGGTGAGCTTGCAATAGCAATACTTTGGGATCTATTAACAACAACGATGGCCATTCAGACCCCCAACGACTAATCCCTACATTCACAAGGTGAACCTCTCACTAGATACAACGATGTCCACAGTCAATCGGGCTGAAACACTATATCCTGCATATCAAGCGCCCAGACATCTCAACCAGCGAGCTGGTACCAGGTAAGAGTCACATTCTGGGCCCCATCCGAGCTCGAGGCACTCAGAACAACCGCCTCATCCGCCGTAGGAGCGGCCGGAGCATACCAAAAGGGACCTCCTACGACATCGTCGGTGTCGCTGCCAATGGCCACAAGGTAGGACGGAATTCCCTGCAGCACATGTCAATCAATGACCACCAGGTATAGGAGCATCTCAAATTATCTCACGCCAAAGGAGTAACCGGTCGATTGCCATGAGTCCGCCTTGTCCCAGTCTGCCACCAGAACAATGTCCCCGTCATCGTTCAGAGAGAGCCAGCCATTATTACTGTACAGTTGACTATCACCCGCCGTAGAAAAGCCAAGGCAGTCATTTGCAACGGACCATTGACCGCTGGAGTTGATACATCCAAGGGGTAAGTCTCCGTCTGCGGTGGTCACTTGAACTGCTCCTTGGCCTTTCAAATCTTGTTGTGCCAGGGCAGCGGGGATGAGGGCAATGGCTGCCACCAGGAGAGGGTTTTCAAGGAAACGCATGATGGAGGTTTCGATGGATTGAGTCAAGCGAATGGTTGTTTGGCAAGTGCTGGAGAACTGCTCACAGGGGACAATCCACGGCTTTATAGACTTGGGGAATGGGTGCTTGCCCAGGCTGGCCTGTGTGACCAACTAGGTTATGATCCACAAACAATTTGAGCAGACCGAAAGCATTATTGCATTGGCACGAATGATTGTGTAACATGCATGTTGTGTGGACTATGTGACATTGCTGATCATGCGGATCTACCCGGTGGTTGGATTGAGCACCACCCAGTTTAGACTTTTGATGACTTATTTGACATTCGGTGTGTGAAGTTCGCTCTTTGCTCCCAAGGCATGTTTTCAATCATTAAAGCCGAAATGCCATATTTGACTTTGACAAAAGCCTGTTTCTTATTGTAGGGTGAGCACATTCCAATGGCAGGGCGGCGTACTGCACTAGGAATGTTGGCAGACTGGTGGTGATGACATCAACAGTCCACCAAAGGGCTGAGAAACCTGATGACCGTGATGTCTAGCTGCATGAACTATTGCGTGGATCACAATTAGCGTCAGCATGATGACTAGATCGGGGAACCATAACACACCAATGATGCTGCCCGTTCTTGTCCGCTTACCCGACAATGCTTATGTGCTTAACGTATTCGGTAAGCGAGCTGCGCATGTAAGCGAGCTGCGCACTTCCACCCGATTTCCATGACTAGGTGAGATTCAAGCACCTTTTTACCAACCAACCAATTGCATTTCTATATAAAACTAATTACTAGGTGGATTAGGACATCTAACCCTAGTATGCCCCCGAATATGACAATTAGAACACTGCGGCGGAGCGCGTACACGGGGCCCAACTGTAGAAAGCTCTGGATCTCTAGATAGAGTATCTTGAGCTTCAAAGACCTGATTCTCCTGCTGAAATCGCTTCTGGCCCTCCTGAATAGAAAGACCCTCTGTAGCAGTAAGTTGCTTAGTAGACTTCTTTCTCTTTTGAAGCTGCGTCTCATTTGCAGCTCGTAAATCACGAAGTTCTTGACGCGCAAGAGCTACCTTATTTAGGGCTAATTCACTGCATTTGATAATCTTGTCCAGCCGTACCTCTAAAGAAGATGTAGGGCTTTGGGAGTCTTCCTGCTCTTGTACACGTCCTTGGAGCTTTCTTCTCACTATAGATGCCTGCTTTTCGAGCTGTTTGGTGGTGTAGGGTGTCTTAGGCACTGAATGAGTTGACTGACTGTCTGGTGGTGTTGGGGTCCTTATTTGAATATTCAACTGACTGAGCACTTGCTCTGGGTCATATGGAACTAGCCCAGTAGCAGAAAAACCACTGCAGATATTGCTAGTAGTATAGGTTGCTGTACGAGCCTCAGGGAAAGCCTTAAGGAAGTCAAGCTTATCAATATAATTAAATCCAAGGCGCATTCTCTTCTCTACTAAGTATCCATATGCATGCTTTAATGGTGAAAAGCAGCCAACATCCAGAGGTTGCAGTAGATGCGAAGAATGAGCAGGCATACAGATAGGAATAACATTATTCTCACTGCATATCTGGTCGAATTGAGGTGTTAAATGACTGCCATGGCCATCAAGAACTAGGAGATGATATTTCCCAGTTGTACGGCCAGTAGTAGCAGGAAGAAAGAGGTTTTGAAGCCAGCGAAGGCTTATTTTATCACTAGTCCAGCCATTTGGACTAACTTCAATCCTCTAGTCATGTGGTAGATCGCTCTGATACCAGCTTTCTATATGGACCTTCCCCTTGAAGATAATGCATGGTGGAAGGGCCCATCCAGAGGCACTAATACACTCAATAGAAGTAACCCATTCCCGATTCCCTGGCTGTACGAGAGGTGTCCTTCCATAGTAGTCAGCTCTAGTAATTACTCGAGCAGTAGCTACTAGACCCATAGCAAAGCCAGTCTCGTCAAAGTTGTAGATATCTTCAGGTGCAATCCCATGCTGTATTATAGTGATTTATACACGGTCAAACCACTCCCTAATAACCTTGGGATCTTCACATTGAGCACGCCGATAGTTATATCGTCTAGAGAAGCATGTCTTTAATTCATCATGCCTTTGGACGAAGTTGTAGACTCATTTCTCTCCAACTGATTGAATAGGTGTAGTATCACGGGTAGCAAGAAGAATATTAGCCATTTCTCGTACATGAGACGGTCGGGGAGGTGCTCCACGTTGAATAAGTGATAGTATCCATTGTATAAGCAATTCCTCTTCATTTTGAGTCAGTTTATGAGAGCTGGCGCGTGTTTCTGCTCGAAAGGTTGCTCCACGGAGCCTTGTACGTAGGGTAGATTCAGGAATAGCATAAGATCGTGCTGCTTGACGAATAGATGGACAATCTTTATTCTTAATAGCTGAAATTGCTAATAAAATCCTCCCTTCCTGCTCAGCTTGATTTCTAGCATTTTGACGCGCTTTTGGAGGCATGGCTGGTGGTTGAATTGAGTGAGGTTTTTGACTGGAGCTAAGACGCGTGAGGTGCGCAGCTCGCTTACCGAATACGTTATTCCTCGGGCCCGATGACAAATACCTGGATTGGAATTGGCATGCAGGTAACCCGTAGTACTCGTGCCAATGTTACACACGCTAATGGTAGACCCGCATGCTCTGAAATCTCAGACCGTCAAAAGAATCCCGTCGGTCCATCAGCGCGTAGGAAGGAGTACGCCAGGATGTAACTAGTAGTCATGGGGCTTGAATTACTTGTTGAGAGGGTTGGGGGACTCGGTACGGAATTTAGGACCCTATTCTACACCAGAATCGGCTCGGGGTAGGAACGGCACACAGACATGTTCTCCCTTCTATTTACAGATACTACACCTTCCCCATTCCATGATCCATGCAATACTATAGTGAAGGCAGGTTATCTACCTATTCATCGCAACCTCATAGGGCTACCGGTCCGGGAAGTGAAGCCGGCAGCCGGAAGGCTCGGAAGCTTGGCCCGAGCTTGGCCGAGATCGCCGATCTGAGCACAGGAACATAGATAGCCATGTACATTTCCTGGAAGCCAGTCTGGAATATGCACATATGACGCCCCAGCATTAAAGTAATTCAGAAGGGTGTCCCGCACATCTTTTGGAGTGGTCTGGTTGATGCCGAACCCGTGTCCTTCAACGGCGACAACGTCCGGCTCGACCGAGGACTGCCTGATCGAGATCGGATAACTGCTCGTCCGGCTTTCGACAAGTTGCACAGTCGAATCAGAATGCCCCACGGGAATTGATGGTGGTTCAAGCACAGCGACAGTTCCTGGCCGGACTTCCTGACAGTACCACAATGTGTTCCGTCATTCGCTTAGCATCTCGATCAACAATCGGGCATCATACCAGCTATTTATTAGCCTATTGGTAATCAGATAAAAACCGCTAATGCTAGAAGACATTGTTATCCAGAGAGGAGGCTGAGTATCAGTCATCATGAATCACAGTGGCATCTCTGTCCTCCCTATACTCTTGGAAATACCCCTACTTCAGGTGCAGCAGCCGGGCGTTGTGTGTCACATGCCATGAAAATTGCCGCCAATGTTACACCAAAGCCTCTATCAGTCCCCTGGCGGCTGCTGCCTGGAGGCTGTAGTGAATGGTTATTTATGTACCACTCTGATCGCTGTTTGAATACTCTCTCCGTGTCGCACACTCCTCCCCATCAGCAATAAACTACCTAGAATATCACCTTACATGAAATTGAACGTTCAACCGCCGCTCCCCCTCTCCGCAATCCCGGTTGAATATCCACCCTGTCAGACAACGGCTACTGAAGACAAGGATCAGAAGGAATTGAGCAATATGGTTCACGCCCAAGCCCCTCTCTTGTCCGAGGTGATTCCCACGGAGCGCCAATCCGACGAGCCTGAGGAAATCGAGTGCAATGAGAGCCAGAATAAGACGAACGAAGAAGTGGAGGAGGGAGAGGAGGTAGATGATGAAGATGTGCTCCCAGACATGCCGTCTGTCTCACCCGACACCATGTACGTCGCCGGGCATCTCTTCCACATCCTGCGTGGGGTACCTGAGGAGGCCCGAAGAGTGTTCACCAGATTGGAGTATATTGAAAACGTAATGGCCGAGGATATACCCGAACACTTGATGGCTTACGAGTACACTCCGGAGGAATACGAAGAGCATGAGAGAGAGGAAAGGGAAATGGGACCTATCACGTATGTGGGCTGATGAGAGCAGGTTACATGGTAGTGAGCCTGAGTGGGATATGGTTACATTGAATAAGCCCTATTCGTTATGCTGGTCTGGGTGTCTATGATGGCTTTGGTTTCTGTCATTACTCAAGGGTGAGGAGATGAATGGGTGGAAGCAGATCGGTCGAATGTACCCTAGCAGAAAGTGTCATTACGAGGATGATGTCCAGCAGAGTAACGACTGGAAGTGTGCTACTTTGATGCAATCGATCCTAATAGGTAGCAGGGTGTATTAACCCTACAGACTACTGCCTCCGGCTGTGCAACTGTCGAACACAGCCTCGCTACTGAGTGACAGCGTTCTGAAACAGCGCTTCTAGCCGTTTACCCTCACTGTCCGCCAGTTCCCCGTGGGTTTGGGCGGTACCGATGGGGTGATAGGGAAATGGTCTATATACGTTGTTAGGAGAGAACTATACACGTGTAGTGGCAAGGGTTGACCTACCCGTATTCCGGGACCCATGTAATTCGGCAATCGGGCTCAGTCTGCTGTCTCAGTTGCACGATTCGGAGCCAGAAGGTTTCGAAGAACTGTCGCTCAGCCGCAAATGCAGGGTGGAGAGGCTCAGGACACTGGGAAGATTGCGTGGTTCCCATCCGGGCATGGATATGACGGACCTGTAACATGTCAGATGATGCGCAGAGTGAGAATAAATTTGAACATACATGTGGGGTGACGCGGGTGAGAATTTCTTGGTCCTCTTCGCCCTGGTCCAGAAGTCTCTCACAGACAACCACCCAGTGTGAGATGTCGGCCGTGACTTGTAATCTGCAACTTGGTCAGAATCATTTAAACGTGGTAATCATGGACAACGCCTACTGTGGAACTCTCTGCAGGATATAGTCCGTCGCGTATGGGTTAAAGAGGGATCTGTTTCGGTGCGTCTCATGGGAGACTTTCCCTTGCAGTCCCTCTTCTTGTTCCACTTTGAGGGCGCGTTGGTAAAAGTATACCGACTCGTCCCAGGTCCAGTAATCACTTCGAGAAAGATCAATATTCGAACTGGACTGCACTCAGGTGGGAGGAGAGGTCAGGGACATACGCTCCAGATTGGGCATTGATCAATGTTGGCTCCAAGATCTTGGCCAGTCGAAGCTGGTCACGGTAGAAGTCGACATGAAGGTCTGGTGTTAGGCCTCGTGGACGTGGCCCAGCGTATTGTGGCCACGATGAGAACAAGCTGCACAGGTCAGTCGACTGGCTTCGCATGGATGCGTGGTACTGACAGGACGCTAATTTCCAATCCTACTTCATCACAGTTGTTTTTTAGCAGCTTGAGCTGATCGGGAGTCATGCCAGCGAAATCAATCTCGATGCCCGCTGACAACATACGGTTAGTTCCACACGGCTATGCGTCAAGTTCGCGTGGGCTTACCATAGCCGTGGGCCTTAAGCTCGATGAACTTCTTCTTCCACTCGGTCTGGCTCGGACCGGGCTCAATGCCCCAGAGGGATCGAAAGCGCGATATCACGACCATGGCTGTCTATTTGGAAGTGCGAAGAGTGGCTTCTGCCCAATTCCAGCAATCGCGAGCTGGCCAACGGTGCGCGTTAGGGGTTCGTTGGATGACTCTCCCGGGGAGGCGGGAGATTAAATCAGACTGGTAGTTCTCCGCATCCTGAAATTTCATCCCCACAATCGAGACATGGACATCTTGCGTGAAGCATGAAGCAATGATGCCTTGCTGGGCTGTCCGCAGACGATCAATTGGAGACGCTCCTCATCGAGTAGTTTTTCCCGCGTTGGCACTAACCCAATTCAGGTTAGGCCCTGCTCTGGCCTGTCAAAAGTCAAAACGCAACCACAATAATCGACTCAGTCAGCCACCCCCAGAAGACATAGACATGGGTGACAAGGTCAATCGAAGCCTCAATCAATCTGCAAGGTGGAATGTGTCCCCCCATGTCACGATTATCAGGCAGTTTTCTCCGCACAGCTCCCCCCACCCCTCATCCCACTCCTCTCTCAATGCATCCCCCACTCCTCGCACGGCTCCCGCCACTTAAATACTGGTCGGGGCCGCACTGATAACCCACAGGCCATTTTGACTGTCGCATACACGCTTTCCTATTCAATTCATCATGGCTCCCCAAGCAATGAAGGCATTGAACTATGTCGGACCCTTTACGGTCCAGGTGCAGGAGGTGGAGATGCCCCGGCTGGAGCATCCCGATGACATCATCGTCAAGGTCACCAGTGCCGCCATCTGTGGTTCGGACCTGCAGTGAGTGCATGGGGGGGTCGGAGAAGAATTCAATGCGTTGGTCGTACCTATACTCACCCATTGGCAGCATGTATGAGGGGAGAACAGCTGCAGAGCCTGGCATCACCTTTGGTGGGTTTCCCTGTATATATCTGTTCTCTGATTATTCTCCACCGCTGACCCAAGCGATGTATAGGGCACGAGAATCTGGGAATCGTCGAGGAACTGGGAGAGGGTGTCACACTACTGAAAAGGGGCGACCGGGTGGTCATGCCATTCAATGTGGCCGATGGACGTTGCCGGAATTGTGAGGAGGGAAAGACGGCATTCTGCACCGGGGTGAACCCGGGGTTTGCTGGTGGTGCATATGGTTGGTCTCGAGCCATTGGCCCTCAACCAACTCACTCAATTGATATTCCTGGCAGGTTATGTGGCCATGGGACCTTACCGCGGAGGTATGTCACTACATCCCCTGGGTGGGGCTAACAGCCTAACTAAATAACATCCAGGCCAAGCACAATATCTACGCGTGCCCTACGCAGACTTTAACGCCCTGAAGCTCCCACCGGGGACCGAACATGAAGCCGACTTTATTCTACTAGCAGGTAGGCCTGTTGCATATCGAGTTTAGAGGGCAGATTGCTAATCAGAACACAGATATTTTCCCAACAGGTATTCCCAACTCTCCTCCGCCCTCCAACAGCTCACTGACCATAAGCAGGATGGCACGGCATCGAGATATCAGGCTTCCAACCCGGAGACAGCGTGGCCGTGTTTGGTGCCGGCCCCGTTGGTCTGATGGCTGCCTATTCCGCCCAGCTGCGCGGCGCGTCTCGCGTCTTTGTGGTGGATCGGGTGCCTGACCGTCTGAGAGCGGCGGAGAGAATTGGCGCGACCGCTATTGACTTCACCAAGGGAGATGCCGTCGACCAGATCATCCAGCTGAACGGAGGAGACATGGTAGATCGCTCGGTGGACGCAGTGGGATACCAAGCGGTCGGTAAGGATAACTCGACCGAACAGCCCAACATTGTGTTGGAGAATATGATTCGCGTGACACGGGCCTGTGGCGGACTGGGCATCCCCGGTCTGTATGTGCCTAGTGACCCGGGGGCAGGGGATGCTGCGGCGGCCAACGGCATGATCAGTCTCAGCTTTGGGAAGCTGTTTGAAAAGGTGGGAGCTGTGCTCTTCAACAATCGAGTTCACTGGCTAACATTCTGGACAGGGCCTCTCACTCGGTACCGGCCAGTGCAATGTCAAGGCCTACAACCGACAGCTGCGAGACCTGATCATTGCCGGCAAGGCCAAGCCCAGCTTTGTGGTGTCGCATGAGATCGACATTGACGAAGCTGAGACGGCGTATGAGAAATTTGACAAGCGGGTGGAGGGCTACACCAAGGTCATCATCCACCCCAATGGCGGGTTCCCCAGTAAGAAGCCACCGACGGTACCGTCCACCCTGTGAGGAATGTCTAGAATCATGTGTTATATTAGCGTTGTAGCAGCAATTGATTGAACCCTGCATGCTTCCTACAACATAACATCCCCATTGCATTATTTTTCCCCTTTGGGGACAACCCCCCCGCTGCGGGGCCTGCTTCCCCATCGGGCAACTCCGGTCCGCCCCGGGACCCACCTGGCCTGTTTGGGCAGGCCATCCCGACCGGGGTTTCTCCGAGTTGCACCCGAGCAATCCATCCATCAGGGCAGGAAGGCTTCACTCGGGCCATTGTTACAGTCTTCTGCATCATCGTCGGCCGACTCGACTCGGTCGACACTACCCACACGAGCCCACTCGGGAATGACCACCCACTCGCCCTGGACCGCTTGCACCTGGTCCTCCATGGCTATATGCTCGCGGGCAAGGGTGACCATAACCCTCCCATCATAGGCGCCCTCGCGATGGGGCCACAGTTCCAACAGCGCGAGCGCGCGTTGCCGAGTGGCACGATGCCGGCACTTCAAACACACCCAGAACAGCGAGGGGATGACTCCCATGTCGATGGCCACGGTGGTCCGGCGACGGCCATGCTCCGCATAGAAGCTGGCGATGATTCCTTCGGCGAGACGGGTGATGGTCTGAAACTCGCCCAGATAGCCGTCATAGATCATTTCCGAGGTCACCAGGCTGGTGTCCAGGATATTGAGCAAGGCGACCTGTTGCATCCGCATCACATCCACGCCCCGCCGTTCCTTTCTGCTAAGCGTGCTGATGACCTGGTCCCGCATAAAGTGGTCGAATGCGGCCATGTGCGCCATCATCCAGCCGCGAATCTGGGCCTGCTCGGCTATGGCAGTCACCATATCCATCTCGCCATTCCTGGCCCCGCGCAGGAGTGGCTCGCAGGATCGGCGAAATCGCAGGATGTTGCTCAGAATGGGATCGAGTTGCTGTTTCGCGTCGAGGACACTGCGAATCCGAACATTGTTCCCGTCCACCCCCAGAGGCAGATTTAACAAGGGACCCTCCTGACCAAACTGAGCCGAGTGCGCGTCCAGATGCACAAAGACTTTGGTCAACGCCATTTCCGTCCGGGACACACAGCGTGCACGATGCAGACGGACAGTGGACGATCTGTTTGCACCCAACAACGTCCTGGATGTATTGAGATGATAATCCAAGACCTTGGCCCCATTCTGTAGATGGATAAAGGCGTTTCCGTAGTTTTGCCGAAACAATTCGAAGCAGATAAAGTTGATACAACACATCAAGGCGAGTTCTCGAACCTGCGGGTCCTGCGAAGTCAACCGCCGACGCAGAAGCGAGATGGCCTTGCCATACTGCTCGAGCGCAAATCGGTGATGGCGATTCGTCAAGTCGAGCTTGCTGGGAGGCCGACCAGTCACCTCCCCATCTTCATGGAGGGCACTCAAGGCCACGACGGTATGGTAGACAGCTGGTTCAGCATGGCTCATCTGCAGGACAATCTGCTGCCAGACCTCCGAGTCAAACCAGCAGACCATCATGGGGACTGTATGGGCAGTGAAGATCTCAAAACAGCGCCTTTCATCGGTGCTGGCCCCCGGCTGGACAGGCAGCATTCGGGGACATTTCTGCGGCCAGATGGGTCGGGCGCGTCCTCGGGCAATCACAGGCAGTCGGTTCAGGTCGTAATCGCACCGACGTCCCGTGGAGGTACATCGGACACAGGCCCCGGGGGTTTCATCGCATTTGATCTTCCGAACTCTGGTTGGTGGGATATCAGTGAGGTGTGACAGGTGGTTGTTAAGGGACAGACACACCGACACGTGCGGCAGCCCGTTCGCGACCGCCGACCGAATGCCCGCCGTCGCTTGGATTCTTCCATTGCTGTGGGGGGGAGAGAGCTTTGGTATCTGATTTAAATTGCCTATGATTGGAGCTAGACAGTAAGATGGAGCACTCAGGCGATCCTGGCTTCCGTAGGATGAAAGTAGTGGGCTTTGGGTTAAAGATAGCTGGCATGATTGATGGTAAGGCTGCAACTTCGGGTTAATGTTGTTCCTTCCTTGATCGGCGCATTCCAGACAAGGGTCTGCAATTGGAGTAGGACAGACAGACGGCAGGTTGGGGAAATAGCGACGAAATTCGGCCGGCAGGAGTCGCTTGGATAGTAGTAGTAGTAGTAGTAGTAGGTACTATGTATATTTATAGGGTTATCTGTGGTGGTGAGGAACACGTGCCCTTCCCGTCGTCCACATTTTATGTTGGGACACACACAGTCTTCGTTCCGTCTGTTTTCCAGATGGCAAGCGGATTTCCGTTTTGGCGTACTGGTGAACTTAACATTTATATATTTCCCACCCGCGAGTCGCCATCATCAAGGACGGTGATTCCACTACTAGTACCAAATTTTCACATCACTTATACCTCAAGAATCCACCATCAAAGACCATCAATATCGCCAAATCGGTCCAGGTTTCTCCACCCCGAAGGCGTATTCCACCCACGCACCCAGTACCCTCCCCCCTGCACGCTCTTTAGGGTAAACGCCGATGGCCACACCCCCTCTCGCATCTCCCGGACGAGGCCATTGACAAAGACCACCTTGGCCGGTCGCCCCCGGTCCAAAGAGGCTCCGGAAAAGTCCAGGACGGAAAAGTCGAACCCCGTCCACGGAGTCATCATCACCATCGGCTTCGTCCCATGGCCTTGGAGGTTCGGCAGCATGCGGTCCGCCGAGTGGTCCTCGCACGCCCGCAAATACTCCCGGATGGACCCCCGCGTGGTGTATTGCAAGCTTGCCAGACGAAGCCGGCCCGCCAACGTCGCCACCGACTCCTGCTGGATTTGGGCCACCGTCAGCTTCCTCCGCATGAGTCCGATGCTGTTGTGAATCCAATAGTGTCCCTCCGGCGGCGGCTCGATGACCGGCCGGTAGCTGAGCGGGCCATAGAAGTCCACCGGCGCATTACTTCGGGAAACAGTGCCGTAGATTGTCTTGAGGAACCAGGCGTTGATGATGTTGTTCTTGGTCGGTTGGTTGTCCCATCGGGGTTGTGGATCGGCGGGCAGCATCGACAGGGTGTCTAGGGCTCGTTTCCGCACCGCACTGACCCAGTCAGCCGGCAGGTAGATGTATCTCTCCTCCAGATCCTCTTGCAGACCAAGCTTCCGAACCAGCAGATTCCACGCCACGCTGGCGAGCAGCAGCAGGATCGGCCAGAACCCTGTCGTGAAGTTGGCCAGATGTTCCGCGTAGCCAATGCTCCGCAGGGGTTGTTCGGGACCTTTGGCAGGTGTCACTCGATCTGAGAGTCTCTTCCCCCGTGAGTCGGGTGGCAGTAGCAGGGATGGGATTGGTCGACCGGCGAGCAGGTCACAATATGCCCGGATTACATCGTAGGAGGCGGTGCCGTCAGCCAAGTGATGGCTAATGCCGAAGCAGAGCATGGTGGCATCCCGGAGTACTGTCACTCGCACGAGGAACACATTGACAGGCTTCCTGGGGACGTTAAACATGAAGGTCTCGTCCAGCTCTTGCGGGCTGAGATTGTTAATGATGGTTGGTCGACATGGCACAGTTGGCTGGATTCCCCGTTGCGTCCAATAGGCCAGATCTTGATGACCCTCGCGACACTCAAAGTCGACAGTTGAGCCCGTGGACAATGCCCAGGGTCGATCCTACACCTCCAATTAGCAACACGACTGGGGCTCGACCCGCGTCCCTCACTCACCGTCCGATATAGTTTGCCGCCCAGAACCGGCCACGCCTTGACCAGCTCTGCTGTGGTATTCCTCAAGATTCGTTCATCGAGACGAGCATCGATGATGAGGCCCGTAAAGACCATGGCCTTACAGGTGAAGGGGTGGACCGCCTGGCAGCGATACTTGGTTTCCTCCATGGTGTCCTCGAGGTTTCAGTGCGCTGGAATGCCCGTGGAATCACCACGAGATGCTGCAGACGGGAGTTGCGGGGAATCTTGTACTAAGTTGCAGCCACCCTCGTCCCCACGCAATTATCGGCAGCCGTCTTTTTCGTCCCGAGGAGTAGGTTGGTTGGGGGGGGAGGGTGGCGGCGGTGCTGCGTGTCGATCCCGACGTCTGTCCGGCCTAATATACCGCGTCGACGGTGAATTAGCTGGACCTCAGGACCGCTGCTCTTGCTGCGTCTGTGACACCTTGGCACGTCACACAGAGTTTCAGATCAAGAGTTGCCTGTGTTACCAGACTTCTCGGCATGATCAGAACCCGATCAATTGACAACTTCTTCTGCTGCCATGAGTCTACACCTTTCACTCGTTCAAAATACTTGCAACAGCGGTACATTGGGATGAGACTGATCACGCCACACTAGTGAAAGGGCCCGCTTCTGCAGCGCTCTACTGAATCTTGAGCCGTGGGGCGCCGATCCTGTCGGAGTCCGGACAAAGATCTCGGCGGCGCTGCATCGTCGGCCATCTCAGTCCCATGGAACCGGTCTTCTCGATCAATCCGGATTGGCATAGATAAGGCCCTGTTCTTATCCGACCACACAGGATGTTGGTGGCAGATGAGGGGAACCCATGAAACCAAGGACCGGGCGACTAGCCAAGCCGGCTGGGCCGCTGATCATCTCGGTGCCGATTTGCACCCGGGGATCGACGGCCAGGGCGTCGATAATGCAGCTGATCTTCTGCAAGAGGATTCATCATTGTGCCAGGACGGATGGATAGGTCAATGCCCTGGCGTACTGTCCCACCACAGCAAATGAGCATGGATGGAGTAAAGTTCAACTTTATGTGGATGCATAAACTATGCTGCTGATGCACGTCCAGGCAGTACTCACATTGTTCCTATCGCAGTTGGTGGTGAATCCTGCCATAGCAAGGTGACCATCTCATGTCAACCGTCCGAGTGTGTGAAGCCCAAATGCCCGAGTCAGCATTGCGTCATGCAGTCGGTAGGAGCATCAAATATTATTCCTCATCAGACCTCCCCACGGCCTGATTGATCCTCCCCACCAGGTCCTGCATCTTGTATGGTTTATAGATGATATCATTCATCCCCGCCGTCAGCATCTCATCCTTCTGCGCCGCCCGCACATTGGCCGTCACTCCGAGGATGGGTACCTGCGCCATCTTGGAATCCAACGCGCGAATGGCCCGGGTCGCCGTGGTTCCATCCATTACAGGCATGACTTGGTCCATGAGGACACAGTCAAAGATGTCGTTTCGGACCGCCTCGACGGCCTCCTGCCCGTTACTCGCTTCCCACACTTGGTAACCGGAGGATTGGAGCTTGCGCGAGAGAATACGTTGGTTGATGACGTTATCTTCGACCAGCAGAATCCGTTTCTTACCCGCTGCTGTCGAGCCCTCCTTCTTGCCATCATTTGGGCTGCCCTTAGATCGGCCATGACTTTCGGCAGTCGCATGCTGCGGCGATGGGGCCACCTGGTTTGCCAACTTGGCCGTGTGTTCGATGCGGTCGTCACTGCTGGCGCGGGGGGAGATCTCGGGGACGTAGGTGACCGGGGGACTCTCTGGGATATGGGGTCGGGGGGTACGTTCGGCCACTCCGCTCATCTCGTTGTCCATAGCTTGAATCTGGCTACACAGCCGGTCGATCTCGGTGGTGCCGTTGCTCTTGGATGTATCCTCTCCTTGTCCTGGCGCGCTCCGACGGACGGTGAAGAAGAACCCAAAGGTACTCCCCTCGCCTTCTTTGGAACTCACCCCAATCTCTCCGCCGTGCAAGTGGCACAATCGCCGGCTCACGTTGAGTCCCAGCCCCGAGCCACCGTATATGGTCTGGGTTCGGGGCGTAGCCTGGTTGAAGCGCTCAAACAGCCGCTTCTGGGCCTCATCGCTGATGCCAATGCCGGTGTCCTTGACAGCCACCATCAGATATGCCACCGGCCCGTCGCCCCATTCCGTTTGCGAGGTTGCGTCGAGTTTCAAGGCCTGCGGGCCCGAGTCAAAGAACACGACGTTGGGGGGGTACGAGGGAGGTCGCTTCGTGGCGGCCCCAATGGACACGCGGATGTGTTTGTGGTCCCCTGCGCCGGCGGTGAACTTGATGGCGTTGGACAGCAGATTGATCAGGACCTGGCTCATGCGATCCATGTCTGCCATGACCCAGTCAATGTGGCATTCAGCGTAGAACTCATCCAGCTGGTAGTCAAACTCGATGGCGTGCTTGCGGAGCTCCGGGCGAAACATGGCCAGGGCTGTGGCCACATTCCGGCGCGGTTGGACGCGTCGGGGGGATAAGGTCAGCATTGACGCGTCCAGCTTGGAGTACGTCAGCACGTCGTCGATGATCTTCTTCTGATGCGCTACGCAGAGACTGATGGTGTCGGCAGCTTGCGCGATATCTGCCCGCATGGCCTCCCATCGGCCCGGCTGGTGAACGGCTTCGAGGATATCCTCGGTGCAGTGCAGGATGGCCGATAACGGGTTGCGGACCTCGTGGCTGATCATGTCGATAAACCGTTCCTGCTGTTGTTTCCGTTCCTCGGCGTCGTTGGCAATCTTTCTCTGGGTCAATTCTGCCGTCTTCTCCTGCGTGATATCGGTGATGGTGCAGATGAAGCCCCCTTCCGAGCCGAGATTGAATCCCCGTCGCTCGGCTTCATCCTCCAGTGGCATCAACAAACACACACGCCACAGACATGGCTGTAGTCGAGTGCGATATTCAATCCGCAGGGCGTGCTTGGCTTGTGACGCGTGCCGGTAAGCTGTGGTCACGCGGTCCAGGTCCTCGGGGTGAATGGTCTGGCACCAGCACTCAAACGCCTCATCTGCGGTGCAGGTGGTCAGTTCCAGGAACCGCCTGTTCACAAACACGAATTTGTCCTGGTGATCCAGGACGGCCATCCCGGTGGGCATCATGTCGGCCAGCTGCTGGGCAGACACATTGAGGTGGCCAGCGATACTATCGTTGCTGCCCAGAATCTGCATTTTGTCGTTCCGTGGCAGTGTCGTCGGGGGGAGAATGGCACTGCGGATAATTCCCTGATAAGAATTAAAACGCAATCATCCTGTGCCAATGAGGGATCCGCTGGCTGTCGCAGAAAGCCTCCGCCTAGGAGCCACCAGATGACGGGGGAATGATTAAAGTCTTGCCATCCATCCATGACGTCACGACGCTACACCCACCAACATCCAATTTATCTCCTACCGTTTCATTTACGCGGCCATAGCTGACTTCTCTGGTTTACAGAACAGTCTCACCTTGCTCGCCGAGGCAAACAACTATCCAATCTCCGTGGCCGGACACTCTTCTCACTGCCAGTCACTGCACCACTGCCTCCGTCGCTTTTCCTCGTTCGCCACCCTGTACAACCTACGATGTGATCGAGATGCCTTCCCAGTTCTTCATACAGACCAATTGGTACGAGGAATACGTTGAACTACAGAGTTGTGCGGTTGGCCATCTACTCAGAGATACTCGGGTGGTGTTGGAACTAGACAATCTCGGGGACAAAAAGGTGGAAACTTCCTTTGACCGATTATATGACTGGGAATTGGCAATGATACCCGATGAATTCTTCTCTGGAACAAGGCAGATGGTGTGACCTCCACCTGCAAACTGACAGGGTGATTCTCTGGCTACTTGATGGTTGGTAGCACTAAAGCAGCCCTGGTGTCACGTCTACAGACATGCTGTACATTCTCGCGCCATTACCGCAAGGGGCTCTGGACTAAAGGAACATAGGACTGAGTCTCCCTACGCCACACTTAAGGATACATGTTCTCTATGGAGAGATTCCTAACATAAGACGCATATTTCTCACTGCCCGAGACAGGTGTGTTGGTCCTGCCTCAGCTAACCCAGCCCATTTTCACAAGCTGTCAGAAAGTCCGGGCCTATCCCTGTGTGACATGCCAGGTGTTACTCGAACCACTGCCCAAAAATGGGGCCCCGTAAACATCAGCAGATCCCAACCCCGTGCTCTGACGTTGCAAACGTAGTCAATCCTATTGCTCGTGATGATGCATGAGCTCGATGCATTATTCTCCACCGATCAACAGGCTAGATGTATCGAATCTGCCGGAAGGACCGTAACATCATATAGACCCCATGCAGGGTTGCAAACATGCCAGCGCCCGCCACACCCCAGGCGGCGCCCTGCACGCGTAAGGAACTGATGGGGATGTGACCGGGCTCGGAGCTATCCTTGCGGTAGGTATCCGACCGGACGATATGTCTTCGCTGTTGAGAGGGGTCTGAGGCATTCAGCGTCGAGGGTTCTATACAGCACAGGAGAAAAGCGTACCCGCAGACAGCCTCTGGCCGAAATTGCCGAGGGCTGGTCTGGAGCGACCCAGAAGCATTTGATACATGGTGGATGCGAATTGAATAAGTTGCACTGGTGGTAATTGCAGGGTCTTCTGGTTAGGTCCGGGGCCCCGAGTCATTTAAAGGAGTGGAAACGGGGGCGACAGGCTGTCAGCCGACCGCGGGGGTGGCAACGCCTATGAATGATTCCATTCTCCGTCATGGATCCGGGCTGGATGTTCCATGGATGCTTCCCGGACAAGCTTTGCCCATGCGCTCTAGACCCAGCATGGTTGATTGGGGTCGAAACAGGCACTGCCAGGTAATCAACTCCTGATTATTATCTTAATCATGTGAATCTCTTGGTACTAGGTTAGAGGCAGGGGGTTGCTTTTAGCTGCCTGATATGGAGTTGTGGTTATATATATATATATGATGGGGGGGTATACATGATGATGCAGGTTAGTTGGAAATTTCCGTCCCATGGAAATAGCATCCCGTCTTGTCATCCAATCTGTGATGAATAGTGCTTGCTAACAATACAGACGAGTGACCAGACTCAATTGTAGAGCTCGATTATTAATTGTTGACTGTCGGAAGATCCGAGGGCAGGCCGCGTCAGGTGACGTCATTCGGGTCAAAAGCCACCGAGCGGGATTTCCGATTGATGGAATCCCCCCCACAATGAGCTTCATCTTGATCTTCCTGCCCATGGGGAAGACCCAGCGCAGAAGACAGTCAACTCAATGGCTTCCACTGACTGGACCCGGTCCGCCCCCTGGATCTGGTTGCCTCGTTATCTCGAGGAGGACAATCGCCCCGGCCGATTATTTCTGTTCCGCAAGACCTTCCAATGGAGTCAATCTCACACACAGCCTGTTCCTGTGCACGTCTCCGCCGACAGTCGATACCGCCTCTTCGTCAATGGCTACCGCGTCAGCTTTGGACCTTGTAAATCCTACCCGGGAAAGTGGTACTATGAGACCGTGGATATCCAACCGTACCTGGTCGAGGGCGACAATGTGGTCAGCGCCCGGGTGTTGCGATACTCGTCCATCCATCCAGGCTCCTTGTCCATTGTGAGCATGCCGCTGCCAGGCTTCATGTTGTTCACCTCTCATCCCGACCTAGTCATATCCACCGATACCACGTGGAGATGCGTTGAACAGCAGTCCGCCCAAATCATTCCGCAGACCGAATGGAACTACATCCTGGGCCCGCCATTGCTGACCAACAACGAGCGGGTCACAGAGGACGCGACACTCACCGGCTGGCAAACGTCTGGATTCGATGACTCCGCCTGGGAATATGCCGTGCCCCAATCCAATGCGGTCAAGATGCTCCCTGTGGACAGCCTGTGGAAATTGAGCCCACGGCCCATCCCTGCCTTGCCAGAAACGGCGGGCCGGTTCGATGGCATAGTCAAGACCATCGGTCCTGTCACAGCAGACCAGTGGAGAACATTGATCCGTGAGGATCAGGCTGTCATCATTCCAGAGGATGAGCGGGTCGTCGTGGACCTCAGCGTGGATGCGCTCATGACAGCGTTTATCAGCTTCAGCTTCAGTGGAGGAGCCGGAGCCAAGATCACTATTCTGTATTCTGAATGCTACGAGAAGGACCTTGGGGTTGACACAGCCCCATTTCCAATGCCTAGAACCAAATCAAACCGGTCTGATCCTACCGGCCGTCTGTACGGATCACAGGACTTTTACACTGTTTCAGCCGGCCAACAATCCCACTTTTTTGAACCGTTCTGGTTCCGATGCTTCCGCTACGTGCAGCTGAAAATCTCTACCGGCACCGAACCGTTGACTCTGCCTGCTATATCCCTGCGAGAGACATACTACCCCTTGGAGATCACAACCAAGCTGGAAGCCGGAGCAGAACTCAACCAGATCTGGGACATCAGTCTTCGCACGCTGCGGAACTGCCGCCACGAGACCTACGAAGACTGTCCGTTCTACGAGCAGAACCAGTTTGCGTCGGATTCGCGACTGCAGCTGCTCTTCACTTACCAGCTGTCGCCAGATGACCGCCTGGCCCGCAAGACCCTCGAGGAATTCCATGCCAGCCGGACGCCTGATGGTCTGATTGTAGCCCAGTATCCTACCGGCCACCCGACCAAGCAGATCCCGCAGTTCTCGTTGTTCTGGATTCTCATGGTGCACGACCACATGATGTACTTTGCGGATCGATCGATTGTCCGAAAGTATTTAAGCACCGTGGACAGTATTATCCAACACTTCGAGGAACGCCTCGACGATCGGGGTCTCATCGGCCAGTTTGACCCGGATACCTGGCCATTTGTTGACTGGGTCAAGGAGTGGTTTGTCCCCGGCCAGATCTCCAAGTCTTGCATGCCCCCAGCCTACCATACCTCCAGGGCTGCAACGGTCAACAGTCTCCTCTACGCTTATGCACTCATGCATGCCGCCGATCTATGTGACTTTGTCGGTCGGAAGAGCACGGCCGGGGAATACCGGGTGCGCGTCCAGACCATCCAGAGCGCCGTGAATGAGCACTGTGCATCCGACAGTCTGTACCTGGATGGACCCGGCGTGGAGCAGTACAGTCAACACACGCAAATCTTCGCCATCCTGTCCGAGACGGTAAAAGGGGAAGCAGCAACACAACTCATGAGACGAACCGTCGAAGACCCATCCCTGGCCCAATGTTCTTACGCCATGAAATTCTACGTATTCCGGGCGGCGGAAAAGGCCGGGCTATACGGCGAGCTGTTTCACCAGCTGCTGAATCCGTGGCGAACCATGATAGCCAACAACCTGACAACCTGGGCAGAGGACGAGGTCAATGCGCGCAGCGACTGCCACGGATGGAGTGCCAGTCCGGTCAACGAGATCGTCACGCAGATCTTCGGGGTGAAGCCAGCCGAGCCGGGCTTTGCGCGGGTTCGCATCGAGCCCCGGCGGGAGGTGGTCGAGGCGGCCGAGGGGGTTTTGTATACGCCTCGGGGGGATGTTAGGATTCAGTGGACACCTGGAGGGGAGGTTACTGTTGAGTCGACGGGGGAGATTGCCGCGGAGGTGGTTGCTGGTGGCAGTTGTTCGGATTGTGTGCTTCTTCCTGGACAGCCGGTGGTGTTTGACTCAGCTTAGTTTACAGCTCTTGAAAATAGACTTTATCACCTCGTGGTGTACTGGCTCTAACTCATGTTCACTATCATGATAAATAATACATCAGTAGACAGTATGTCGGAAGAAGCTTTTCAAAATATGCCCATGACCACCCAAGCACATCACCTGTCCACGTCGGTGCTGATCATGGCGAAGTGCGTAATGGATGAAACACTGCATCCTGGTCGATCGTGCCCGGAATTTCCGGCCACGTCGACATCCGCCAGACTGTCCAATGTCAGCCCAGCATCAAGAAAAAGCTGCAGTGGATCTCGGCAATTCCGCGCCTCGGCAGATGCCCCCAACATGCCCTGGTTACCCCACGGGGAACACACGCCTGCCTGGATCCCCTGTTGGTTCCCCAGATAATGGGGTGGCCTATATTTTTAGTCCCCCCTGCTTCCCCGCTGAGATATCTTCAACACCACTGGCAGACCCCTGTACCGCCGCACTACAGCACGAGTCTACAGTATGGCCACCGACCAGAAATCGGACACCAGCCATCTCGAAGTCGTCGACCAGAATGCTCCCAAGACAGACAGCTTCACACTGGGAATTGACGACCCGGCCAGCAATAATGACGACTCCACCTGGGCTGCGCTCCGGGACAACCCCTGGATCGTGCTGTTCTGCCTCTATGGCAACATCGGGGCCCTGATGTATGGGTTCGACAACTTGGTGCTGTCGCTGTCTCTGTCCATGACTGCTTTCGAGTGAGTAACCATGCTGCTCATGCACGATTCATATCTCACGGTGCCCAGAGAGACTTTCGGTACCGTAATTGGCGGGTCATACGTGATCCTCGCGTACTGGCAGTCGCTATGGAACGCCCTCTCTCAGGTGGCCACAATGCTGGGGTCCACCGCCGCGGGTCCGATTCAAGATCGGTTCGGACGACGTGCTGCCTTCCTCGCTGCAGCCTGTCTGTCGGCATCCGGCATCGCCGTTGTCTACACGGCATCCACCCCGGGGGCATTCCTCGCCGGAAAGATCGTCAATGGCCTTTCCCTAGGTCTCGCCTTAACGACAGGTCAGACTTACATCTCCGAAATCACCTCGCTGCAGCTGCGTGGTATCGCTCTGTCGGGGTATACATTCTGCATGGTGTGCCACCTGAACCCCCCTTCGAATTCCACAGTACACCTTTTAACACCCTCTAGAATATAGGGTATCTAATCGCCGCGTCCGTTGCCCTGCCTCGCATGTCCATTCCCAGTGACTCTGCATACAAGGTACCCCTTCTCCCCCCAATTCACCCCAGCCCTACTGACCATCAGGTCCTATTCGCCTCCGGCTGGGTCTGGCCCGGTATCATCCTGCTCTTCCTCCCCTTCATCCCCGAATCACCCTACTACCTAGTCATGAAATCCCAACCCGACAAAGCCAGCCGGATGCTCTCTCGCCTGGGCAACAAACCCGCCTCCACGACCCTCATCCTCTCCTCCATCATCCGCACCCACTCGGAAGAACAACTCCGCTCCGAAGCCGCCAAAGAAGCCAGTTTCTTCGAATGCTTCCGCGGCGTAAACTGGCGCCGCACCCGGATCATCCTGTACTGCAACGCCCTATCCCAAGTCATCGGATCGAGCTTCATGACCAACGGACCATACTTCCTCGTCCAGGCGGGCATGTCCTCATCCAAAACAGGGATGATGACGGAGATCGGGATCGCATTCGGCATCGCCAGTTCCTTAATCACGGGATATATCATGACGGTGTGTGGTCGACGACGATTAGTCATGTTCGGAATCGGCCTTTCGACTTTCCTCTTCACTGTTATGGGCATCGCGGGATGTTTCCCTCATTCTAACACCGCACTATGGTACCCCTCCCCCCCTTCTCCCTCTAAAAACCCCCACCACCCACCTCAACTAACATCCTTCCCCCAGGATCGTCGGAATCTTCCTCGAACTAAGCTGGTTCGTCTACGGCCCGGCCATCGGCCCCGCCATGGCCATAGCCGGCGAAATCTCCTCGGTACGACTCCGGGCCAAATCCCTCTCTATCGGATTCACCTTCAACTACTTCTTCTCGACGGTATGGAACGTGGTGATGCCGTATTTGTATAATAGTAACGAGGCGGATTTGGGGGGTTTGATTGGGTGGATTTTTGCGGGGATGGGCGGGGTTATGCTACTGGTTTTGTTTTGGGAGTTGCCGGAGACGAAGGGACGGGGGTTTGAGGAGTTGGATGAGATGTTTGCGTTGGGGGTAAATGCTAGGGGGTTTAAAGGGTGGAGGGAGAGGGGAGGTTTGGGGAAAGGTGGGGATGATCGGGGGTAGGGTTTGTGTATGATAGAGTGGTTATAGGATGTATGGTGAATTGGATTCCTTCCCAGTGGTTTGCTGAAGAGGGTTGAGGGTGGCATGTGACTATCCCGGAGCAGCAAGCCCTAGGTGCGATGGTCACTCTTTGTATACTGGACGGTCATGATGTGGGGATCAGTAATGGCCAGGATTAGGGGCCAGGTATTTCTGGTATACCACTTACCAAGAGAGAAGAGTATTACCTTGAATGTGGGCCAGCTTGGTGGGTGGTCGGTATCAGAGGGTGCCTTGCTAGACACAGGGATTATACACGACCAGGATAGCTAAACACTCTATCTAAACATCTAATAACTGACATGACAGCATAGACTAACCTAGTATATATATATCCAACCCCAGGAGGAACATCCGGAGAAATGCGATCGAGGGGAGTTGACGAGGAACAACCGAAGAGCAAGGAAAATCACCAGGTAAAACTCTCCTCGATATAATCCAGCTCATTCCCCCCCTGGCGCTGACGACACGCCCGGCGGACATCATCACTCAACCCTCCATTCCCACAGACCATCACTCCCATGGCTCCGACCTGATGCTCCACCTCCATCTTAATGAGGGTATCCACGTCCGGCCGGCCCGGGAACATCTGCACGGTCGCGCTCGGACTCTTAATCTCGCGGGGATTGCGCGGGCGCGTCACGAACAGCTGAATGCGCAGGACATCGCGTCGACCTTCCATACTCAACACCGTAGTCATCCACGGTCGGATCCAGTCGAGATGCTCAGGGGATTGGATAATCCACACCAGGGTGACGCGTCGGGCGGCCACCGTACCGTCACTATGTCCCTGCACGAGATGTCGAATAAACGGCATACAGTGGGTAATCCCAACACCCCCAGCAAACAGCAATACGGTGCCATACGAGTCCAAGCTGTGAAGATTCCCATACGGGCCCTCGACAAGAGCATTGACCTTCAGCGCCGCCGAGGGGAACTCTGCCATCGACGACCGCAGAGTACTACCAGAGATACGGTCCGTATACCCCGGAGTATCCGGGGGCAGCTGCAGCCGACCATGCGCGTAGGCCTCCTTGAACAATTTATCGGTGAATCCGGTCCGACGTCGCACCAGCAGGGAGATGGAGGTGACTTTGTTGGATCCCAGACCGGGAGAATTGGTCTCGGCGCCCGCCTCCACCTGGGCCATCTTCTCATTGTACGAGCCAAGCAGGGTCTGGCCGGTTTCACCCCAGGCGATGGAAAACGGGTGTGACGTGATCCAGCCGATCTTGGGGATGTAGAGGTAGCAATATTGGCCGGGGGAGAAGGTCCAGGGGCGGGCGAGTTGGAGGGTGACGCGGACGGCATCGCCGGGGAGGGCTTCGAGGTAGGCGGTGGTGCGACGACCGAGGCCGTAGTTGCGGTAGATGAGGATCAGGAATCGGGCGAGCCACTGCTGTAGTCAGCACTGTATCATCTTGTGGATAACGGGATGGTACCTGAATAGCCCAGAAGGCTACGGTGGCGTAGAGATAGTAGCGACAGGAGTAGCGGTAAACGTGGTTCCAGGCGAATGCCACGGCCACGCATGCCAGGGCGATGTGGAAGTATAGAAAGGTCTCGTAGAAGGCATGACGGATTGGCGAAGGGGATTGTAGGAAAATAATCACCATTGCTACTAGGCACTGTAGGGAATCAGGTTAGTTCGTGGTGTGACAAGTCACATGCTGGTGGAACATACCATCAGACCGTTGAACATGAAGGGTTTCTTCAAGGTTCCTAGGGCCGTTGACCAGCCATCTATCCATGTCAGCCTCAAACAGACTCTCCCCCGTTGGGCCCGACCTACACTCTTGCACTTTGGGAACCCCCCATGCAATGACATGGGCCAGACCCTCCAGCACCACAATCCGGCCCAGCCACCGATGCAGCAGGTTCCAGGTATCAAACGGGACGCGCAGTAGCGGGATCAAGGGATTGTTGCGGCCCGACATGACGAACAGCGGGAACAGATTGACGGTGGCCATGTATCCGGTGCGGTTCCGGATCAACTCCGCGACAGTGGTCTCTTTGGATCCGTAGGGGACGGTGTTGGTGCACAGGACAATATTCATGACGATGATGGTAATCAACAACAAGGTGTGGAAGCGGCTGGGGAGGGTCCCCATGTTGACGGCGCGCGACAGCTGCCATTCGCGATTGTGTCGGTTGCGCAGCAGCGGAGCGTACAGCAGGTGTTTCTTCACCCATGCCAGGCGCTGATTGGGGACGCGGTGGTAATATTGTCGCTTGTCCGTGAAGGTGGTCAGGCGGCGCAGGTGGGCGCTAAAGCGAAAGGAGGTCTGCCAGAGGAAGACGACGGCGATGATGCAGGCAAACACCCAGAGATTGGCGTAGCAGAGGGTGTCATTCAGCATTGCGTACCATAGATTGGACTCCATGGTGATGGCGGATGGAGTGTTTTGCTGCAAGAGAATATAAATGAAAACAATTCCAGCTTGTAGGGAACGAAAGGAACGGGGGGTCAACGCGGTGGACCAGCCACACCAGAGGCAAGAATGTGAGATCCCTAGCGGGCACAGCCGGGAACAAGAATAGAACCGAGAAACGAAGGACTGGCAAAATGAAGGACGGAATGAAGGACGGAATGAAGGCAAAAACAATAGCATGGAGGTCAACTGGGGGCAGTGAGCACCGCCCGAGTCAAATAGGACCAAGCAACGGCGAACCGGATCGGCGGAGATGAAAGGGGCAGATCAAGCGATGAAGCAAGGGGTGGGGAGCCTGACGGACTCATCAACGCGAGACAGCCAGAATGCTGACAGGCCCGATCCCACGCCGACCCAATCAGCCAGCGAGACGAGTGACTGGCGTCGACCGGCGGCAATGTCAACATCGTCGGTTTCATCAGCAAGAAATTGGACGGGGCCGGCGTGGGGCGCGGGTAGGGCTGGACCTATCATTAGGATGGATTCCTGGGCACTGGACTGACCGGTCATCTGCACGGAACAAGATGGCGCCCCAAGTTGATGGCCCCTGGAAGGAACAGGGGTCTATACCCTTAAAGTAGATTATCCCAGTCAGCTCAAAGTTAAAAACAACGTTGGGGTTGATCTAGTCGGTCATTCGATTCCCGACCCTCCATCACCACCATCATCATGTTCAGTCAAGAGCTCCATTCTGTCCCATTAACGGCTGAACCATCTGACCCACTGAGTCTGACAGCCCAGGCGTCAAGTGAATCAGATAAATCCACTGCTGAAACCGCCAGGAATGCTTGTCGGCGAGTGCTGCCACGAGTGGATCCGTGGCCCGCGTCCCACTGGCCCATCGGGGCTCCGATTGCCGCGGCCCTGAAGCCACCATCCACAGATAAATATCGCCCATTCCTACCAGTTCCACATGGAGGAGATTTTGTCCAGTGGCTTGCTGACCAACTCTCTCGTAACTAGGGGTCTGATCACCCCCACCTCAGACCCTCAACTGAGGGCCACATTCCCTCGCGTCGGAGAATCGGCCGAGATTACTGCAAGAGGCACACCTTGGTGGATTCTGAGAAGCTCAGCATCTGCTGTTGGTTCCACGTTTTCACCGACGTCAACAAGAAGCATACTGCACATTGGCCTGGACAGTACTGCAGCTGCTTTGTTTCAAGGGGCCTTGATTAGAGGCTGGAGGCCAACCACCGGGTTGCCGGCGAGGGTGGTAAGCGGACAGCATATACGGCGATGCTGACTGCCACAGAGAAACTGGACAACAACGAGTCAGTTGGTTGGTTGAGGTGGTCTCCTCTCGTCTCAGTCTGTTGGTTTAACGCTAGTCGTCGTATTTGGCCGTTGGGCGTGAGCTCAGGTCAACAGGCGGAAGTAGATGAGCCGGTGCGCTCATCCGGGGCGATTTTCCACCATTATCAGCTCTGCGGTTCCTCCCAAAAATCTACCAGTGGATGTGATCCCATCTTCCCATTTATTTGCCCCATCTAGCATTACGACTTGGCAGATAGCCGCCGGATAAAGAGACGACTCGATCGGGGACTGGATAACCGACGGTAGAGTTTGGCCAGGGAAGAACACGACTGTCCATGATGCCCTTCTTGTAGGTGAGTCAAATCCACCGAGGATTGGGATTTCGGGCCTTGGGCTTACCGGCCAACCTAGACTGTTGCGCCAGTGAAACTTGGCGCCATTGCACCCAGGCAGCACCAGCCCAGATGGAAGTCGGCCCCAACACGAGCACCTCGCACAAGCTTAAGCCCAGGTTGTAGGTACACAAAGCCCGGCAATTTCTTTCAATGAACCATCCTTTGGTTGCGTGGTTCAGGCCTACGGCTGTGCTGGAATTAATACACCGAGCTGCTTCGTTCAGGTGATAGCCTATTCACCCCATCAGCCAGATGTGGGTAATGCACAGCCACTGATCGCTCCCAGACAGAAGAGGGGTCTCTAGGGCCAACACAAGTCCGAGTAGGATCGGAAAAATCGACAGTACGGCCACCAATTGAGCGATTCCATCACCTTGGTTGCGTCCGGCTGTATAGCAAAGGCATAAGAACTGTACAGAGAATCTGATTCAAACCAAAGCTAAGAACGTTGCCCTGTTAATCTGCTCCGGGGTGGATTTCTTCTACGGGCCAAGAATTCAACGAAAAAGCGACAACAGTTTGGTTTCAACTCTGAATCGCATGGGCATCCGGGTAGATCTGGGTGGTTTGAAATGGCGCTAGAGGGATGCACGTTTGGTCACAATCTACTGTGGTATGTTCCCAAAGACCCGAATGGATGGGATCCTGGGTAGCCATGTCTCAAATGGTGAAGATCCAGTACCACCTGCAGGGAGCACACACGGTAGTCAAAGGTATAAAGTCGAGCACCACCTGGCTTGTCATTTCCCAACCCCACTGCCAACTGCCCTCTGCCATCGCTCTACATTAGATATCCGTCTCTTTTCGCTGCGTCCAGATGCGTTTGAAGATCCCTCTTCTGGCTGTGGCCCTTGGCCTGATCCCCAGTGCCGGGGCCGACTTTTATAACTTTGAGGGGCAGGGAGTCCTCCGAGTGTCCTCGGCTGATGGCAGGACCCTCCGCGGCTGTATCGCCTCCAACGCTGAATGGTCTGATGGGAATGCATGTGGCGGGATTCTTGCCAACGGAGGTGGCCTGGTGAGATCTGAGCATGGGCTCATCGGTCTCAATCACAGCGTAATCGCCATCATCTACCAGGGCGCCACCACCTGGCAAGCAACCTCTTACAATGAACTCGTGAGTCTGCCAAGAGACTTCTTTCCCATGCACAGGCCAACGGGGATTTCGCAGGCTCAACCTCAGTTCATCGTGGCCAATGAGGGCAATCAGGAGTACGGGGGAGGGGGTCCCTTCTGGTATGCTGCGAGGGCTCCCACGGGGACCGAGTCGGTGGCACTCAGTGCGAACAGTTCGGAGGGGGCTCAAAATGTCACGTTGACCTGGATTCGTGTCCTGTGATTCGGCGATCGAATGGGGATGGAGTTGTATTTAGAACAAGTTCCCATGCACGTGCAGCATACCATACCATACCTCCCTCTGCATGGAATACTTTTCTGTGTTCCAGATTCACCATAAATTGCAATCCATACACTTCATGATGCCATAAAGCATCGCGCAATCGCGTTCCTCCCTGACGTCGTCTCTGCTGTGAGTCAACTGGCCATCCATTTATCATGCCAAGATACTCCGTGGGTTCCTTTCGGTGTCACAGCCAATAGAAACTCTCTCTGACGCGCGCAGTCGGAGGTTCCATCCAATCATATTGGGGGTCAACACCACTGAGTCAATGAACGAGAAATCCAGAAAGCAGCCAGTCGCGGTTATAATAATGCGTCGCAGTCGCTGGCTGTCCTACTGCTCGGCCACATAATCGCAGCCATGGCATTCCCCCGAGAGCGCGGAGCTCTGGTCTCCCTGACCCCGGCTCTTTTGCCGTCCCACCCCACCGTCCTCTCCGGACACTTCGTGAGGCTGGAGAGGCTGGAATCGAAACATGCCGCCGACCTTTTCAGCTTGGTCGGCGGGACCGAACCAGCCAGAACCTGGCTGTGGGATTTCTTGCCCGACGAACCCTATGACCAACTCGAGGCATTCGAGAAAATTCTTGCGACTCGGTCTACTTCCACCGATCCAATCTTCTTCGCCATCATCGACCGCCGCAGTACCGCGCCCACCTTGGAGAAAGCTATCGGGTATGTGTCCCTCCTGCGGATCACCCCGGCGCATTGGACCGTGGAAATCGGACATGTCCTGTTCTCCAGTGCTCTTCAGCGCACCCCTGGAGCGACCGAGGCCATCTACCTGCTGGCCCGACATGCCTTGGAAGACCTGAATTATCGACGCGTGGAGTGGAAGTGTGACTCGCTCAACCTACCCTCCCGGAAGGCCGCCGAGCGGTTAGGGTTTACTTTCGAGGGGACATTCCGGCAACACATGGTCGTCAAGGGACGGACTCGGGATACCTGTTGGTTTTCAATGTTGCAGAGCGAGTGGCAGGAGTGGGTGAAGGATGCGACCGAGCAGTGGCTGGACGCGGGGAATTTCGACGAGGATGGCAAACAGAAGAAGCGACTGCAGGATTTCAGGCCAGCTTCGAAGCAATGACAGAAATCTAAACGGAGATTTGTAAAAATAATCAGAGGCACATTCCAAGCTGATTCGATGAAGCTGATGACGTACTGATGGAGAGCCCGGAAGCCGCGGCCTGAAAGCGGGGGCTGCCGTGCCCATGATCCAACAAAATCTCCGCCAGGACGGAGTAGTGGACCTTGACTCGGCCATCACGTCGGGGACCGACGGCGGAGGGGCGGTCCAAAGCTTAGCCCGCGCGAGGGATGAACAATCATGAACAATCCCATCGTGTGATTTCCTGCCCTGGTCTATCAAGATGGGAGATAACCGGTGAGGGTTTGTGTCGTGATTGGACCGGGGCAGCCCGGGGTCCCCCCACCCTTTTTCGCAGCCAAAGATAACACCCGCCTCATTTCACAGGCACCAACCAGCCACGCCTTCGGATAAGATAAAGTCTCGCCGCCGGTAGCTTGCAGCTTTCGCTTCCTGCCAGCTTCTTCTCTGCTCATCAGTCAACATGCGCTCTTTCTGGTTTGCTGCCGTCCTGGGGGCTTTGCCGGCCTCCCAGGCTCAATTCGTGTCGCCCCCCAAGGATCTAAATGCCACCAAGGGTTATCTCGACATCCCCGTCCGCTACAAGCAGGTTCCCACCGGCATCTGTGAGACCGACCCCAGTGTCAAGAGTTTCTCCGGCTATGTCGATGTCGCGGAGAATGAGCACATCTTCTTCTGGTTCTTCGAGGCCCGCAACCAGGATCCCACCGAGGCCCCCTTGACCGTCTGGATCAATGGAGGCAAGTTCCCCTCCCCGTGCCAATCGTGACCCCATTTTGACTTCTCCAGGTCCCGGCTCGTCCTCCATGATTGGCCTCTTCCAGGAACACGGCCCCTGCGGCGTGGACTCCAATGGTACCGTCTACAACAACCCTTACTCCTGGAACAACGTGAGCAACATGCTCTACATCGACCAGCCCATCCAGACGGGTTTCTCCTACAGCATCCCCGTCCCGGGCTATGTCGACACCGACACCGACAACGTTATCGCCCTGCCCTCCCCCGTCTGCCCCGACTATGCTTCCGACTTCTCCTGTGGCACCTACGCCTACCCCAACGTGAGCCTGACGGCCAACACCACCGACAATGCGGCCCCCAACTTCTACCGCGCCCTGCAGGGCTTCATGGGCGCCTTCCCCCAGTACTCCCGGGAAACCTTCCACTTCACCACCGAGAGTTACGGTGGCCACTACGGACCCGTTTTCAACGAATACATCGAGGAGCAGAACGCCCATCTCCAGCCCGGAGCCAAGAAAATCCAGCTGGGCAGTGTCATGATCGGAAATGGCTGGTATGATCCCATCATCCAATACCAGGCCTACTACAACTTCACGGTAACCCTAACCCCCTCCACCCACCCATCCACCCCACTAACCCTCTTCCCCAGGTCTACCCCGGAAACACCTACGACTACCTCCCCTACAACAAATCCATCAGCTCCCTCCTCTACAACAACCTCTACGGCCCCGGCAACTGCCTCGACCAGCTATACGACTGCGCCGCCCGCGGCATCGACGAAGTCTGCAGCACAGCAGACAGCTTCTGTGCCGACGAAGTCGAAAGCATCTACGACAACTACATCGGTCGGGATGAATATGACTTCCGCGAGCTGACCCCCGACCCCTTCCCCTACGAATTCTACGTCGACTACCTCAACAAACCCTCCGTACAGGCCGCCATCGGCGCCTACATCAACTACACGGAAAGCAGCAACGCCGTAGGCCTAGCTTTCTCCTCCACCGGCGACGACGGCCGTCTCATGAACACGACCGACGACGTCGCCAAACTCCTCAAGCAAAACGTCACCGTGGTCATGTACGCCGGCGACGCCGACTACAACTGCAACTGGCTGGGCGGCGAAGCCGTCTCCCTCAAAGTCGACGCCCCTCACTTCAGCACCGCCGGATACACCAACATCACTACCTCGGATGGTGTCCCTCACGGTCAGGTCCGCCAAGCCGGTAACTTCGCCTTCGTCCGCGTCTACGAAAGTGGCCACGAAGTGCCCTTCTACCAGCCCCTGCTTGCCTTGGAAATGTTCGAGCGCGTCATCACCGGGAAGGATGTCGCGACGGGGAAGATCCCTGTCTCGGCTGGTCTGAAGACCGTGGGTCCTCTGAAGAGTACCTACCGTGAGGGTAACGCTACTATCCAGTGGGAGGTGTTGGATTCGCTGGCGACGTATAATACGACTCTTAACGGACCGAATCCGACCAGTAAGAAGCAGAAGCGGATGGGTCCGGCGCTGCGGTTTCAGATGTAGGATGTCTTGGTGATGGTGATGGATTATGTATAGTACTTTTAGGCAGGTTCCCGGGGGAGGGTCTGGAACTTGCTTGATAGAATGATGAATGTTGATGATGCATGAATTGAATTACTTTTCTCATGGTGTTTTAAGTATCCGTAAGCTTTGAGAGCGATATAGATCTCTTCCCACGAGCGAGATCATTGTCATGGAGGAATTGTGAAGATAATATATCTAAGAATAAATAACTATCCATGACCACACACCATAATCCTCAACCAACCAACCCCACATCACACCCTCTTCCCACCCTCATGCATAGCATGATCTTCATGACCCCCATGATCCCCATGATACACATTCGGATGAAAGTCTGGATGCCCTGGAATTCTCCCCGTTGCTTTATACTCGGCCTCTGGAAACGACGGACCTAATTTCATCAGTCAGCAAGCACAGCACGGTCGCATCTCACGGACATGTACACAAGAAGGTCCACACACCTAACGTCGGATGAATCAAGGTCGTCTCATCGAAAATATCGAATTTATGTTCCTCGGCCCATTTATCCATCTTATCCCAGTTGGCACATTCGTGCTCGACGACAAAGTTGGGCTTGGGGGCACGGTCATCGGGGTCCCAGGAGAAGGTAAGCAGAGCGACGTCTGCTTTGCACATGATGTTTTGGCGGAGGTTGTCGACACAGTGTTCTTTTTCTAAGTATTAGTGGTGGATATGCTATTGGGGGTGGGATTGTGTAAGGCGTACCGATATGCACTGGAGTGGTGGGTTTGCCGATGTGGTAGTAATTCTGGTAGACTACTTGGCGGAGGAATTTCTGACTATTGTTAGTAGTGATTGGGAGTGGCGATGGGGGTATACTGGATTTTGGATTTACCAGACAGTGGAGTTGATGATAGACATCTTCTCATATTAGATACTCGTAGAATAGGGCTAGGGTTGGAGAGAACCTACCCGGAATAGCATAATAACCCCCCTTCTCATCATTGATAGGGACGGAGGTTCGATTAATCTTCGCTAGATCTTCGGCAGTGACTCGGATATTCGAGTTGATGAATAACTGATGCCATGCATGGTCCAGCTCTTCGGACGGGGCTCCTTTGAAGGGATTCTCGCTTTCGATTGACGCGTAGATTGTTTTTCGCTCCATCTCGACGGCATCGTATAGTGGTGCTAGAGTTCAATCCTTTTGGTTGGTACATTCCGACGAACTGTGGACAGTAGCATGAGGATGTACTTACATGAAATGAGATGCGCAGGCTTCTCCTGGGATCTGACAGATTCTGTCGTCCTGTATGTTGCAGCCAGAAATGCTGCACCGTACAGGGACGCTAGAATTAAGTGAAAGCAGAGACTTCGCCATTGAAAGGGAGATGACCGACGTGATCGTTCTATGTAACCCCCATCGTCAATGTGCTCTTTGTTTAGAGGCTCATCGTGGTAGTCGGAATTCACAGACAAGGGCAGCCTCTCCGATGAGGTGCTATCTTTGCTGCCTTTTCTTAGAGCTGAGTACATTGTGCTGAGGTTGAGACGGGGAAAGAGCATCCTCAACACAGTTCTTAGGGGGTCTTTTGGAAGGGAGATTCTGCCGGGGGAAATCTCGTGCAATTTTATGGCGTCTCATCTAAGCAATTGGGGTGATCGTGACGAAACGCAATACTCATTGCGGTAGCAGAGTCAATGATTGTCCCTGTGGAGGAGACAGAATGTATGTACGATTCAGCTGGTCATCCTGTATGAACCCTGACATTGCTGTGGCAAGTTGCGCCATCAGGTGCTCCCTGCAGGATCTGAAATGCAACTATGGTGCAAAAAGTGGATATCGTGCGACGTGAGTTCCTGCTGATGGCCGGGCTTCCCAGTCGGAATGCCTGGGGCTTCATCCATGCAGGCTACCCCGCACGGCGAGACCGAGGCGTATTGCGTTAGCAGACATTGCTTAGAGTACCCGCAGATCTCCAGCAGATGCTTAGTCTAGTGGCAGATGCGCAAAGATCGTCTTGTGTGTATGTATGTCTGTGTGATCAGGGTTGGCTGGGGTAGATCGGATCTGGATGAAAAGTACATTGCGTCAGTGAATAGATCGTCAAGGGTGATGCCGATCTCCGGGCCCAAACACATCTACCAAGCTAGCTATCCATTAACCATATAACTGTGCGAATCACTGAAAAAGCAAATATCCCCAGCTGACTTTCTCCCCTCTGTTAGTAACTCCGTCCCGGTACCTCGGCAATGCTTGTTTGTCAGGGCAGAATCAGGATACCAACTGCTAGAATGCTGTCGGATCTACCTCACTGCATATCGCGAGGCACAGCGTAGCCTATTGACAATATACACGTCACGAAGGGTAACTAGGTAAGGCAATATCGTCCTGGATTCCTACCCCGCGTCACCCTATTAGGCATTGAAATTCAAAATTGGGCCTATGTGGCCTGTCTCGCGTGACCTACTTACGCGAAGCAATCAAAACGGGGGCACAGGGAATCTAATCATGGAAACTCGGTTACGACTCCGGGCTTTGTCCAGAGCCTATGCTTTAGGTGACTCCATTCGTGGATCGTAGAGCCGGCAAGGAGCAGTCATCTGGGCCGTCTACTTCAGATCGCCAAGGTCATGTCTGGTACAATTCTGTGGAAGAAGACAGTGTGACTATTTCCTGGTTTGGCTGCATCAACCAGCCTGCTACGGCAAGAGCAATAGGGCGGGAAGGGTATGTATGGGCTTGAAGATTTGCAGATCAGAACAGCTTCATTTCCATCGCTATTCTTTACGATCATGTCAGACACACCCATCCCAAGCAAGATCAACACATCAGCTGGATGATTGGCAATGCAACAGTCCATATTCCCCACGCAGCCACGGATTGACAAAGCGGGCAATCTCTGGCATCACACCGAGACCAACATTCGGATTGTTTCGCAATTGCCACATGCTATTACTGTATCACATCGAGCAATGATGTGGCCGCTTTCTGCAACGTGCCCTGGAAGAATGAGGAGTCCAGCGGGGTAGGTTGCTGCCTTGCCACCTAGCCAGCCCATTCTACAATCTGCAATGCATATCGTACCCCGGATAGTCTATCCTCAACTCAGGGAGGGAAGGTAGAGGGTCAATCATGTAACATCACGTTCAGTATCGACACAAGCAGGTATGAGCACGAGAAATTGGATCAGCATGTGTCCAGTACCACCACCGTCATACATCCACGATGGATACATGACGTTCTGTCGACAATCTCCGCCAGCTGATATTGGCACTGACGTGGATAGGTCCGGAGATAGTGAGGCCGAAAATCACCTCCCACTGTCATACACTTGAGCCTGTATATCTGGTCGACATAAAAAGCTGTGCGATTCCCCGTGGATGTCTGATTCCTATCCGTCAAGTGGAACCAGCTCACTCATCATTCAGCACATCATCCTCTCCACTCTCTGCTACCCTGACTAGCTGCAAACCTCAGCCAGCATGCTTTCCCCCAAGATCCTTCTTGCCGTTTGCCTCTCCATGGGCTTGGTTACCGCCTTACCTAGTAGGTTTCTCATACCTAATCAAGAATGACGGTACACTGACATTTCGTAGCAGTGGGAGGTACCAACGAGCTAGACGGTGACCTTTACAACTACAAGCGCGGTAGTGCCGAGCTCGACGGTGACCTCTACAACTATAAGAAACGCGATGGTGCTGAGCTAGACGGCGATCTCTACAACTACAAGAAGCGTGACGGCGCCGAGCTCGACGGTGACCTCTACAACTATAAGAAACGCGATGGTGCCGAGCTAGACGGCGACCTCTACAACTACAAGAAGCGTGACGGCGCCGAGCTCGATGGCGATCTCTACAACTACAAACGCGGCAGCGCTGAACTCGACGGGGATCTTTACAACTACAAGAAGCGCGGTGGTTACAAGCGTGACGGTGCTGAACTGGACGGTGATCTTTACAACTACAAGCGGGGCAGTGCTGAGCTCGATGGCGATCTGTACAACTACAAGAAGCGCGACGGTGCGGAACTCGATGGCGACTTGTACAATTACAAGCGAGATGGCGCTGAGCTGGACGGGGACCTCTACAACTACAAGAAGCGTGATGATGCTGAGCTGGACGGTGATCTCTACAACTACAAGCGCGGTACTGCGGAGCTTGATGGCGATCTTTACAACTACTGATTGCCATCTGGATGTCTCGGGAATCTCCATCACGTCCGAGACAAGAGGAGCACATCAATCTCAAGCACTGGAGGACTGGTGATGTGGGCAGTTGACGGTTTTCGAGACACCATGATGGTACATCCAGGTAATAGCACGATTGGGATAGCTTGGAGTGTCTCATGCAGTATTTTATCACCGCACTCATGTCCCTTCGTAATCAGCGTATGTGTTGAGAAATCATTGGATGTAGGGCCCTTGTAAATAGTCTCCTGTTGTGCGACTTGACGGCTGTCGGAGTGGGCAGACTAGATCAAACTCGACCTTGGCACTTGGCTCCAATAGGGTATGAGCTATCCATGATGGGGGTTGACGACCAGCCTTCGACCTTTCCTCCAATCTATAGCAGCACATAATACAAAGACCCCATCATTAACACCAAGACCATAACAACCATCTTCCAGTCATCCAGATGCAGGCCCAATGATTCTTCCAGGAAGGTAGTCAATTAGGAGCTCCGTCGAACCTGATAAACCAAGATTGAATGGCTGCAATCAGCGCGAATACACCCGATCCCCACCACGCCAGAGCACTAAGATGATGGTTCTCCCCGATGCTCTGCAACAGTCCTGCTGCCGCCGGGGAGACGGTTCGACAGGCGGCCCCTGCGCTCGCCACCAACCCATTCACCCGGCCGAGAATGAGAGTGTTGGGTGTCCACCGTTTTATTAGGATCAAAAGGGCAGGATAGGTGAATGTGGATAGAATGTTTCGAGCAACAAGCCAGGTCCAGAGACCCACCCGCCAGGTGCTCGCGGGCAAAAAAGGAAGATAGGGAAGACAGAAGTAGGCGATGGGGTGTAACGACGTCATCATCAAAAGAGTCGTCTTGAGACCGAACCAATCGGTAAACACTGGGAAGATCAACTGGATGCCCAGACCAATAATGCCATTAACTCCCATCACGAGTCCCACCTCTGAAAGGCTCATGTCGAGACCCCCAATCCCGCCAATGTAGTATGGAGGAACACTGTCATCGCGCGGACTCCGCAGGAAGATTGGCAGCAGCTGGATGTAGGTGACTGTATGGGCGCTCAGCAAGCAGACGGCGGCAATCAACATCTTGACATTTGTGTTCAAGTCCCATAAGGAGTCTGTGTGCGCGGGCCCACTCGTGGAACTTGCCGCGGGTTGTAGTAGGGGGGCATTCTCGCCATGGTCCGGTTGCTGGCTCGGACCCAACTCCCCCAGCGCTTTCTTGCGGAGCTCAGGGTGTGTCTCGTCCAAGGCTAGATATGCCAGCACCATTGTGACGAGGACCATGCCAGCACATGCAATATTCGGCAGCAGGTAGGGAAATTGTTCAAAGATGGCAGTCCCACCCAATGTCTGTTGAGCCAAGATACCCCCGAGGGCGGGTCCGATGGTGCAGCCGACGCTGAAGAAGAATGGAATGACAGCGTACGCCCGTGCTACGTCTTGTGTTTCAGTCAAAGTTCCACCGTCGATGTCAATGGCATACCTTCATGCTCGGGCCGGGTGACCATCTCGCCCACCATGGTTTGCACCACGCCGACGTTCCCATTCAGGGCGCCTCCCAAGGCTCTTCCGAGTATTGCCATCCATATATTCATCGCGAAGCCCAAGAGACACAAGGAAGCGATGGTTCCTGCACAGCCTAAAATCAGGACTGGTTTCCTTCCAATGCGGTCGGAGAGGGCTCCCCACCAGAAGCCGGTCAAGGTTTCGGTGAGGGAGAAGGCGGCGACGAAGAGACCGGCATAAAAGGCGGCATTGTTGGTATTGTTGCCGAGGAGGTGTTCCATCAAATCGTAGGCATAAGGGAGGGGGGAGGTCAGGGCGACCGGCTCGGCGATGCGACAGAGTCCTAGGTAGGGCAAGCAGGTGAGTGTCACCACCGGGCGGGGTCGCTCGCACGAAAGCAGTCAGATGGTCATGTCATACCCAGAAGGAACAGTTGCGCGGTGGGGAAGCCTTTCTCTGTCCGTCCCAAGTCCATTTTTATATCTTTGATGTTGGAGCTCTCCCTTGGATCGGTTCTAATCGTCCGACAATCACCCGGTGGGACGCGTGGGGAAGGAAAAGGGGATCCGACCTGAGATTATCCGGGGTACCACTTCTATATATATCCCTCACGTGGTTGGTACCGCGCTGACCAGTTTATTTACCACAATACCGGAGTCACCAAACTCCGGTCACTTTTGTCACCTGACAGCTGACAGTCATCGCTTGTTTTCCTTCTTCCTACTTCCTCCTTCTCTCTTCCCTCCCCCACTATTCCCCCCACTTTTATAGTTTCCATTCAGACCATCACTCCGCTCTTCTCCTTCTTCCCGTTTCTCCTCCAGAGCCGTCGCGAATCGACTTCGTAACCGTTTGGCAGCCTTTTGTTCCTCGCCTTCCACCATCCTGGTCACAATACGAGGCCCTCTCAGCACGCGACCGGCCGATCGAGGACTGGCCGGGGAATGGTTGATCCGGTTTGACCCTTGACCCTGCTCTTCAATGATGCAATTTCCGGTTCTGCTCGTGTTGATTCTGGTTTTCTGATGCTAATTGACATCTGGTCGTCATGCGCAGGGAACAGTATCCAGAATTGCCTTTCAATGCCGCATACTGTCCCGGATTCTTGAGACGCCCCTGGAGCACAACGCAATGAATAGGACACTTAAATGAGGTTATTGGCGAATGCCTATCAACTGATCTTGATACAATGACACCATAAGCATGAATGCCAGTGGCAGGGACTCTTCTGATTCATTATCAACGTCCTGCGAAGCAGATTGAAAAGAAACATAGGCGAAGATCGTCCCCAGAGATCATATTTGTCGTGCATCCCATCATATGCGCCCGTTATCAGAATCCGGCACGCACCCCAAGCTCTAAACTCGTAATAGCTGGTTTAAATATACCAGGCCCTCTCCTCTCACCAGATGGTCTCCCCAGGATTATCACTCCACTTCATGCCGTTCAGCTCGAGAACCTGTAGCCCCAGAGCAAGAGAGCTGAGCATGGGATCCTTGTGAAACGGTGACACAATCCCTCCCATAGGCCGGATGGCGACCTTCTGTATCCAAATCTAATATCCCCTAAGCTATGGCGGACATGGCCTTCATCACCGCCTAGAGGGCCCACTTCACCCAGAAAAGATAATGGGTGACACCGGGAACCGCTCATCAGATCTGGTACGATGGCTCATCTCCCATATGGAGATATTTTCACGTGTCCTGAGTACGGTTGAGGGAATTTGATCTACACCTTGCCATGGTATCCATTGATCTTTCGAGAACGATACGTTTCCCTCTGACGGAGGCAAACAAAACTACAATGGGAACAAGTCTCCCACCCGCACTATGGCCCCCCGGCGCATCGACTCGTTGGCCGCGATGCCGGTCGCAATCGACCACGCCCCATCCACATGCGATGCAGCCCTACCCAAAGGATCAGACCCTGGTGTGCCAAACAGATCCTGCAGTAGCTGAGGGTCACCTCCCCCATGACCTCCCTCTCCGGTGGGCACGTCGATTTCCACCGGCTTCCCAAACATAGGCCGTAGCAGAATAGTCCGACGTTCGAGAGCGCCCTCTAGGGCCTGATCGCCTCCCGAGTTAACATACGACTGCTCCACCACCTCGACCTCCAACCGCCCCTTGCTCCCGGTGAAGTTGACCCGGAATCCCTCCCATGGCGCATACGCCGTGAGGCTGTAGGTCAGGACCGCGCCAGACTGATACCGCACCATGACCCCCATGGTATCCTCAATACTGATGCCATCGCCGAAAACGCTCTGGTCGCGGTAGTACCCGTCCTCCCACTCTGCGTCGGCATACAGCGCTTTCAATTTTCCGTTGCCCTCGAGATCCAGCGAGAACCGGTCTTCCTTGGCCACCTCGCTTCCTCGGGACCGCGAATAGAATTGCGTCTCACCCCGTCGCTCTGCGTTTTCCTTGCCATAAAAGCGCAGATCGCCCATGGCCACCACCGTCTCGGGCCGGGTCCGCAACCAGAAATTGACCAAGTCGAAATGGTGCGTCGACTTGTGCACCAGCAGCCCACCACTGTTCCGCTTATCGCGATGCCAGCGTCGGAAGTAATCCGCGCCGTGTGAGGTGTTCAGCACCCACTCAAAGTGCACCGCGTTCACCTCTCCGATCGCCCCGGCAGCGAGCAGCTCCGCGATCCGCGTATTGTGAGGTGCATAGCGGTAGTTGAATGTCACCCGGATCTGACGCTGAGTGCGTTCGACAGCGTCAAAAATCTGTCGACAGCGGGGCGCATCGATGGTCATGGGTTTCTCGGTGATAACATTGCAGCCCAGCTCAAGCGCCCGCACGATGTACTGATGGTGGGTTCGGTCGATGGTGGTCACAATCACCTCGTCCGGCCGAGTCTCTTCAATCATGCGGTCGAAGTCCCGGGCGAGATAGGTTGGAATAGAGTCGTTACCCAACTCCTGGATCCGTGAAATGGCATATGCCAGACGAGTAGTGTTGGTGTCGCAGAAGGCGACCAGTTGGGCGGTGCTACGGAAGTCGCGCACGATGGCGTTGTAGAAGAACATGGCGCGGCCGCCAGTGCCGATAAGGGCGTATTTTTTCATTATGCAATGTACGGTGGAGTGGATGTCTAGAGAAAGAACCATGAGTTGGAAATCGGGGCGGGTGACTGACGGATAGGGCTGAGTTATATGTGGTCGGAAAATGCTCGCCCGAAATGCAGATCGGGCGTCTCGCACGGACATTGACATGCCTGCATGCCACTTGGCTGTCCCAGTTTTTCCATCAACCGGAAACAGGCCGAGATGCGGGGAAAACCGGGGTCGAGGAATCTGGGGTAACCTGGGGGGATCAGCCGACTACGGAGGGCGTGGGATAGCCTCGGCAGCCCCTCTGCCCAGCACCCTGCCAATGTTGTGGCTTTCGTCGGCTTATCCCTGTCCGAACGTCGATAAATACACTGACATCGCGGACTGTCCCCTGCAATCTTGGAGCACGTCACGATGGCCATCCCTGGGGATTCTCAAGATGCTATCACCGCCGTTCAACCGTCCCCCCGTGGTACTGGGAGAGAAAGGGCGGCCGACTTTCTGGCCACTGTCGATGAAGAGCAACGGACCTTTACGCCGGACGAGGAGAAGGCTGTTCTCAGACGCATCGACTGTCGGATCCTCCCTCTCCTGCTAGGGGCGTACTTCTTCCAGCAACTGGACAAGTCAACGCTCTCCTATGTATCCATCTTCGGCCTCGTCGAGGATGCCCATCTACATGGCCAGCAATACTCCTGGCTGGGGTCTATCCTCTACCTTGCCCAGTTAGTCGTGCAACCACTTGCAGCGCTGCTGCTAGTCAAGGCTCCGACCGGAAAGCTCATCGGAACTGCCGTGTTTCTGTGGGGTAGCTCGCTGGCTATCATGGCAGCGTGCACCAACTTTGCCAGCTTGTTGGGACTGCGACTCACCTTGGGAGTGTTCGAGGCGATGATCGGTAAGCAGTTCAGACTGGCCAACTGATGAAGACTAACAAGATAGCACCCTCGTGCGTGGCCGTCACGCAAATGTGGTGGCGTCGAGGCGAGCAGACCTTGCGGACAGCGCTGTGGAGCGGGATGAATGGAGTCACCTTTGTGGTATGCCCACTGGCAATCACTATACATCGACACTACTGACTGGGCAGGTCGGAAGTCTCTTTACATACGGTCTGGGTCACATCCACAGCGACACCCTCTTCTCCTACCAGGTCTGTCCTCCAGCAACACCAATCCAGTGTCGGTCTAATACTTATACGGCAGATCATCTTCATGTTCTGCGGTCTCCTCACCGTAGCCTATTCCGTTCTTGTTCTCATCTTCATGCCCGACTCTCCTATGGAAGCTAGGTTTTTGAGTGAGCGCGAGAAAGTGATTGCCGTAGAGCGATTGAGGGCCAACCAGATGGGAATCATCTCGCGCGAGTGGCGATGGGACCATGTCTGGGAGACAGCATATGACCTGAAGACGTGGTTCTGGTTCCTGCTAATCGTGTCCATCTCGTACGTTTCCTCACTCCAGCAAAGGTCGGCGTGCTAACCTGCATAGAATCCCCAGCGGTGGCATCAGCACCTTTGGCAGCCTCATCATCGAGTCCTTTGGGTATGGATCCTTCCAGACCATCCTCTTCAACATCCCCTTTGGGGTCATCCAAGTCGTTGCCATTTTAGGCGGAGGCTGGCTAGCCACCCGATTCCAGCGGAAGGGGTTAGTAATTGCCGGATTCGCCGCCATCTCCGCTGTCGGTACGCTCTTGATGCTTGTCGTGCCGCGGGAACAAAAAGGCGTTCTTCTATTCGGATACTACCTAGTCAGATCCCTTCCCACTTCAACATTGCTCAGACTAACGAAGTCAGGTATCCTGTCTCGCAGCTATCACACCCCTAGTCTACGCATGGGAAGCACAAAACACAGCCGGCGACACCAAACGAAAGTGCACATCAGCGGTAGTGTTAATTGGGATGTGCGCGGGCAATGTGAGTCTCTACTCCATTACCAGGGTACCAAGTCTAACACGACCAGGTCATCGGTCCCCAACTCTACTCCACTTCCCAGGCACCATTATATCGCCCGGGGCTGATCTCCAACCTCATTCTATTCATATTAGTAGGCGTCTTCGCCATGTAAGTCTCCCATCCATAAACCAAGAACGAACTAACAATACTATCCAGCCTCATGAATCTCTACCTCGTGTATTTGAATCGAAAACAGGCTCGCAAGAGAAGAGCCCTCGGCAAGTCAGCGCAGATAATCGACGAGTCCATGCTCAGCAAGAAGACCGTGGAGCAAGGCAAGGCCATCGAGGTAGAGGATGTCAACGCCCCGTCAGCGGAGGGAGTCAGTGCCAGTGCCAGTGATAAGGGATTTTCGGATACCACCGATCTGAAGAATGAGGATTTCATTTTTGTATATTAAATGATATCCTTTCTGGTGGTTCTGGCTCTTTTTCACTACTCGGGTGCATAGCTGGTGGTGGTGTCTTGTCAAAGAATTAATTCCTAAGCTATTATCCAAGTACATCCCCCACTCGTTTCCCAACCTATAGTATATAATATTACATTTCCGCCAGTGCATTACACCCAGCCCTTCCTAATTCCGGTTCCCCAACCGATCAAAAGGTCGCATCTAAGCAGAGCAAGTTCCGCTCTTGCAAGACAACGCATCAGAGCAGTCATCGTCAGAGGAGCAAGTAGCACCCTCACAGTGACCCTTCCACGAGCAAGTCTCAACCGACGAGTCCGTGCTGCAAACCCCGCTCTTGCAAGCCAATTCATCCGAGCAATCATCATCAGACGAGCAAGTAGCACCGGCACAGTGTCCAGACCAAGAGCAAGTAGCAGCAGAAGTAGCAGCCGTGGTGGTGGCGGAGCCGGAGCCCGAACCAGAGCTACAGACACCACTCTTGCAGGTCAACGCATCCGAGCAATCATCATCAGACGAGCAGGTAGCGCCCGCGCAGTGGCCAGACCAAGAGCAGGTAGCCGTGGGAGCGGCAGCGGTGGTCAGGGTGGTCTTGGAACCAGTAGATCCGGAGCTGCAGATTCCGCTAACGCAGGCCAGAGCATCGGAGCAATCGTCGTCAGACGAGCAGGTAGCGCCGGCGCAGTGTCCGGACCAGGAGCAGCTAGAGCTGGATCCGGATCCAGAACCAGAGGAGCCAGAGGAGCTCGAACCCGAGAGACCCAAGTTCTCAGCCAGAGCGCTGACGAGCTTATCACCCATGGAGCGGAGGGTGCTGAAGTTGGTGACGTAGTGTTCGTTCAGGGCACTGCTGGGCAGGACAGCGTCGTCGCCGGTGAAGACAATGTCTGGTTTCTATTAGCTTGGTTGCTTAGATGGGATAGGGTGGGGTGGGTGATACGTACAGGTCACATCAGCGGGAACGTGGCCGTTATCTCCGTTGAGGTCATCATCGGGGAAGCAGGTCCGGGCCATCAGCCAGGAGGCTTCACCGGTGACTTCGGGGTCGTCGCCGTTGGAGTCGCCCAGGATACCGTAGTACATTTTGCCGTCGCTTGGTTGGTTTAGCTGGGATTTCCTAGGGGGGATGAGCGGGAGAGGGAGGGAGACTTACCAGATCACAGCGGCGACGTTGTTACCAGGGAGAGCCTTGGTGTTGGCCGTGAGGAAGTGATCCGGGATGACGATCCAGGGGACTTCGTAGGCGGCCAAGGCACCCCAGTTGGTTTCGGACTGGCCGTCACCGTTGCCCTTGCAGGCCTCATCCTTGCCATCGCAGTCGACGTCCATGTCGGCGACCCAGCTGTAGGCGGCGCCCTGGGTGTCATGTTGTTAGTGTATGTTGTTGGAGGGGGGGTAGAGAGAGGGGATGGGATATACCTCGCTGAAGTGAGTCCAGTCACTGTGGATAGTCGACAAAGGAGAGTCATCGTTGGTGTTGACGGGGTAGGTGGCCTTGGCGGGCACATCACTGGCCTTGGCTGCGGCAGCCTTGAGGGCAGCGACGGGGATGGTCGAGGAAGCAGCGAAGAAGCTGGCCGGGGGACCAGCATGGGGGTAGTTGTAGTCGGAGCCAGTGACGGACTGGGCCATGCCGGAGCCAGCGAGGGCCAGAGTGGCCAGACCGAGGGTGTTCTTGTAGGCCATTTTGAGGGGTGAGTTGGACTTGAAGTTCAAGGTTGCTTGATAAGGATGATGAGGATGAGGATGAAGACAGTAAGATGTCCTGGACAATCGTGGTATTTATACCTACATTCCAAGGATCCAGGTTAGGGTTGAAGTGAGGTGAGCTGAGTTCTCTCGCGGAGGTTGTCGGCGCCATGTGGATTTGGCCCCCGACTATCAGGGTCCGGTATGAACCATGCATAGGATGTCTCAGGGCCATGGACTGGATTGAGCCACTGAGTACTCCAATTCATCTGCAAGTGGGCTATCATACTGAAGACTCTTGTTGCACGTTGGGGTTGTGCCCCACTCATCGGGAGGCTAGGAAATATTCTCCCCCGATGTTTGCTGTTATCGAGGCAGAGCGAATTCCTCTTTCGGTTAGGTTGGTCGACAGGTATAGATTGACCGTTGACCAGCTGATAGAGAGCTCATTAATTGGGAGGTCGTGGAAGGGGCTAGATGAATAGGCTGGTGCCTGTATTCAGTCGAAGGGGGTGGATGGATGGAGTAGCTAGATAACCGCGACAGGGTAATAATACGGGTACGAAACGATGATTTCTACATGACTTGTTATTCAGGTCATTCTAGTCAGTGAGTATGAATCTTGTGTTGTCTCAATGGCCTGTAAACAGGGTTACATTCTCATCGTCCCTACACGGAAGGTAACATGAGAGGGCACTGCAGATCGACCGAATTAACTGAATCCTCGGGAGGGGCAGAACTCCCCTCGTCCGAAGTATCAGACTAGCGAATAACAGCTGATAAGGAATCCACCAGACCAAAAAACTAACCCCAACTGACAGATCAATAGATAACCCTGAGACAAGCACAGGGCACGGGCCACAGCATGGGCTGATGCGCGACCTTTCCTCTCCATTTGCCAAGAACACGCCCTTGGACGGCAGGTTGTTCCGAGACCTATCCATTACCAACAATACCCTGTCTGTACTCTGTATATCCTCAAAACGATGCTATTCACCTCCAGGGTAGATACTAGATAGATCAACGCCACCCCGAAGCAACCGTTTCAACCGCATGGGATGGTCAGCCCTTCCGAAGGGTCCATGCAGGAACCGCCGACATACCCGACACCCGACAGCCTAACGGGGACCCTGAAGGAATTCCCTACCAATCCGCGCCCTCAACCGGGGTCGCCGGCGGTAGGGCGACCAATTTCAGCCGGCAGGATTCCGCGCAGGATCGGGAATACGACCTTGGGGGCGTTGGGGGCCACAATAGAGAGTTCTGAATCAGACTCTTTTCCTAGTTGTGGAGGATGGGATGTTGCAAGGTGCCACGTGGGCTGTTCTTGACGCTTGTTGGTGCCCGGGGTGGAATTGTGCTTGGTGCTTAGTGCTTTGTGCTCCGTGACGGTAAAAATAGATGGGGCCGGAAGCCGGGGCCGGATGCCGGGCCCTAGGATACCGCCTACTGGTTTGGTGTAGGTGGCAGTAATGGTAGACTATCCTTAACTAGGAAGGTGTGGGCGAATGCTCCGGAATGTCCCGAATATGGGAATCCGGGTGTGGCTGGTGTTGACCTTTGTGCACTCCCATGGGCGTATCGGTAGAGGCAGTTTCATGTGTTCTTTGTTCACTGCAGTTTAATGTGCTTCACATATACGCAACAAGACTGTATGAGGTCAGATGTAGCAAGTGGTGGTTAAATATGAGATTGCTCATCTTATGGGCGGATTGAATCATCGTATGGATAGCTTGTTCTTAACGATGGGAATATATATACAGTCTGTCTATGTGATGATTTGATGACATTGATACATTAAGGCTTCTATCCTTCTAGTACTCAGATGATCATACTAGGGAATGGAGGCGTGGTGCAGACTCGGAGAATCCCTATTACTATTGGACTGGGTAGGGTGCGGTCGGTCCATATATATATTTACCACCATCAACCGGGCAAAGTCCACATCACACCAAACTCAAGTCATTCCCAGGCCAGCCAATGGGATTAATATTCAACGGACATTTACCATCATATTATTATTTATCTCATTGTCACTCCTCTTTACGAAGTCATTTGTCGTCTTTTGAAAGGGGAAGGTCGATTTCTTCCGGGATGAAAATTCACGTGATGCTCTCCGCGGTATCGGCATCAGGAAGCTGACATACTCGACACGGGGGAGCTATATATGGGTCTTCATGACCCCTGGCTTACATGCTGTTCTTTGGAGACCAATAGGGACATTGTCATTTGACGAGTTCCCATCTTCGAACACGCTATCGTGTGCATGTGGAATCGGAATCTACGCAATTCTTAAATACGAACCAATGTCTATATTTGGTCGATGCAGTAAGCTTGTCATGTATGGATGATGGAAGCACAAGTCTAAAGTAACATTTATCTATCATCCCGGCAAACATGGCAAGCAAAATTTTGAAAAATATGTATCACGAAGAGAAGACCCAACACCAAACACTCGGAGCGCCCCGAGAACGCCATCACGGGATTCATCCCTTACAACGCAGCGAGAGCGAGGAAGACGGCCACGACGGCACCGAAGGTGGAGCCGGAGAGGCTGCTGGCACTGCCGGTGTAAAGGCCGGAGGAAGCGGCGGCGGCAGCGGCGGAGCTGCCTGAGGCAGACTGACCAGAGGTGGCAGAGCTGCCCGAACCGCTGGAGCCGGATCCGGAGCCGGAGCCGGAGATGACACCACCGGAGGGACGAGCAGAGGCAGAGCCGCTGGGACGGGCAGGGTAGGTACCGTTACCGTAGGCAGTGCCGTTCACACCACCGGGGCGGCCGACAGTGAAAGTGGGCTTGGCAGCACCGCCGGCACCAGCGGAACCAGCAGAGGTCAGGGAGCCGGTACCCTTGTTGCCGCTGACGGAGCCAGCAGAGCCGGTAGAGGAGCCAGTAGCGGAAGAAGCGGCAGCGGAGGAGGACGAAGAGGTGGTGTTGCAAGACAGGTCAAACAGGGGGGTGGTGGTGAGGTTGCTGCCGACGATACCGAAGCTGGGGTTGGGGGTGGTCGGGGCGGCATCCTGCAGGATGTACCACCAGGTGTTGGTGTTGCCGAACAGAGGGCAACCGACCTCGTCCCAGTAGATCTTGGCGTTGGCAATGGAAGCAATGGCCTCACCCTCGGAATCACCGCTCACGGGCCAACCGGTCTCGGTGATCCAGACCTCCTTGTCACCGGCCACGGACTTGGTCTTCTCAACGGACTCCTGGAAAAGGGCCTTGGCGTCGTCGATGGAGTTGGACATGCTGCTCTGGAAGAAGGGGTATCCATCGAAACCGAGCCAGTCGACAGCATCGACCACGCCGGAGTTGGAGCTGTTGGTCCAGGAGTCCCAGGTGTCGACGTGACCGATGGGGGCACCGCTGAGGGCGGTACCGGCAATGGCCTCACGGACCTCCTTGATGTAGGTGACGAGTTCATCGGGGTTGACACCGACACCAGCATCGGCCTCGACACCCTCGACGGAGTTGCGGTACAGATCCTCACTGCCGACGGAGATACCGACGACGAGCTTGCCGAGTTCTTCGCCGTAGGTGGAGATGGCGGACTTGAGGGCGGTCAACTCGTTGTCCATGCCGCCACCGGAGGCCCAGAGACCGAGAAGCAGGGAGGTATCCTGGGCGATGGCGGCGGGGATGGCCTCGATGACGTCGCTGGTGCTGTAGGCTTGCTAGGTCAGGTTAGCAGGATGCTTTTATAGCCGGGGGTATTTGTTGGCATGGCTTACGATCATGGTGTAGAGACGGGCGCTGGTGAAGCCGGAGGTGCCGACGAGGTTCTTGGCGACCTTGAATTCGGCCTCGAAGTCGGCCTGGAACTTGGAGCTCTCATCGGAGTTCTTGTTACCGTAGTTGAAGCCCTGGTAGGCGGCCTCAGCGGTCGCGAGGGACATGGCGAAAGCCGCCAGCTGGGCGAGCTGCATCTTGGACAGCATGGTCGTAAGGAACGTAAGGGATAACGAAGGTGTAAATTAGGTGGAGAGAGAGAGTGAGTGGGTAGGAAGAACGAATGTAAGGAACAAGGGTGATTATAGACAAACCCGAGTTCAGTGGTAAAGATGGGGAAAGGAAGGAAGATGAGGGGAAGAAGAAGAGGAGAAGAAGCGAGGAGCAGAGGAGAGGAGAAGAAGAGACGAAATAATAAGGGAGGCAAGCGTGGGATTCTAGACCCTGCGATGGGAGGGTGTTGGCCGCACCCGGAAATTCGGCAGCCCCGTCATTCGTGGGGCTTGCCACTTCTCCCCCAATCATCTTTGTGCGTGCCTGGATTTGGCCCCGCTGCCCCTCTGGAGCTGAGTGGATTTGACTGCCACAGTGGCTGCCACATGGTCCAATCAGGAATGTGCGTGGCGAAATGACAAAAGGCCGCAGTGGGGCCAGCTGGCTTGGCCTCCGTTGGTTGGTCTGGGCCGGGGCCAGAAAATTGACACCGCCGGTGGGTGGCGGCGAATGAGAGGGGCGTGTCCCCTGGCTGCAACGGGACCATCGGCCAATAGCCTCGAGGGTGACTCGGATAAAAATAGCAAGCTATTCTTAGGGCCAATGCTTGTTCTTCACTAAGGAGTCATCTTCTCCTGATAACTACACTGTACTACTAATAATATTCGCTCCTAGTAATCCCATTGTCCCACCACTATCCCGTCGACGCTTCGAGCCCCTGCCCCTGATTCTCCTGCACCCTGATCGGGAGGGAGGGAGGGTGACATCGAGGCCCTGACCCGCAGGGAGCCAATCTCCAGGTTTAATGACGGGTTTCCATAATTGGCTCCCGATGACGCGGTCAGGCAGGAATCGATGCAGGAACAGGCAGGAACAGGCACAAACCGGCATGAACAGGGGGTTCCCCCGCAAGTGGCCTCTAGACTCTTTCCGGCCACTTGGCTGACCGCTGCACCATCGTGTTGTCACTCAGTCTACAGATCCAGCAGATCGGAGGATTTGGGTGAAACTCGATCCCAACTGTTGCATCGCCCATTCGCATCCTCCGAAGGCTGCCCCCACGCCATGTTTCCGATCCCATCATTCCGGAGGCGTCACCATCGACCGTGTCCCCCCACGGAAATCTGGTACGACTGAGAAAATCCCCATCGGTTCGATCGCTCGGGAGATCGCACAAGCCTGTTCATCCCTCAACCGGGTTTTCTCTACTCGACGCCATCTGGAGGTTGGGTTCGATGCGACCGAGGGAACGGTGACCAGTTGGCTGAGCTTCATGTCTGACCCCTGCATAAGGTGAGACGAAGGATCATAAATAAGCCTTGGCCCCATAACACAGCCGAGGGAGTCTTCAACGGAGCAGACATTTCTCCCTGGTCGCATGTTTGCTTTCACTCGCAAGCTGCACCTTTCCAGCACAGAACCTGCGTCATGTAGCCTGACCTACCGTTCCACCTAGGTGTTTAGTGCTGTTTCCGTCTTAAAGGCTGAAATCGGTGATCAATCAGATGGTGGACCAGTTCTTCCCCGCTCAGGCTGACGTATGTCTCCTAATGCGGGTGGGCGATCTCTGATGGGGTACCTGCACTGGAAAAGAGGTCATTCATCGTTGCTGTCACGATCTCGGCCAAGTATAACGTCCCGCGACCGTGAGAGTCACCTCGAGGTCGCAGACCCCGGCCAGCTGCTGGACGAGCAACACCATAAGGATCTCCATGCTGTCAGGTATGCCATCTTGACTGCCGTGTGGAACAATGGCCCGGATACATCACTTCTTGAGATGTGCGACCGTGATTGGTATCAAACATAGGCCGGTGCCCGATGCACCGTGATGTTCGGACGCATCTGTGGGATGATACATCACACAAGTCAGTACCCCGAGTATCCTGATGGTATAGAGCATCCAGTGTCAAATTCAGGACCGATGGTGGAACTTGAACGACAGGACTTGTTGAGTTGGATATCCTCGTGCTATTTTCTGCCTACTACATCCTGGATATGCTTGTGAACTGCCTCTTTGATTGCCATACTATGGATTGCTGTCAAACGCTGCACTCCCGTCTGCTTACTGTAAGAGGCAGGTCATCTGATGTCTGGCTTATGCAGACTTCTGTGCGATGTGGCTTACGCTTCGTGATTTGGAATGGTAGGCTTGTATAGCATGACTCTCCATTGGGACGTCTTTTGCGTCTGCAAGAATCCCTCGACAGACACTCTGGCAAGCAGGAAGGCAAAAAAAAAGCCATAGCGGGGGCATCACCCGTCAGTGTGTCATGAAGGTAACGATCCCTGAAATTAACATTGGTATTTTGTAACGAGCAGATTGGAATACATAAGCTCTGAGCGATCACTATGTAGCAGACAATAACATCGATCGAAGTGGCCCCACACATGGGTCTAGACACAGCATTGGCACGGTTCCAAGAGTGACTTGCACGAAACTGCAATGTAAAAGCCACAGGGACTTGGCAACTTGACAGATGATGGCCTGTCTGGTTCGAATCAGATGATTATATCCGATGGCTTCAAATAATCGACAGAAGCCACCTAACGGGGTGTAGCATTCGTGTGGGAAATAAGCTGGTGTAGCTGTCATCCGTAGAATGGCCGAGTTCGGGCCGGTGTTGCATCACAACAGACTCCTTGACTACTCATCCGATTTTCAGGGATTGAGAGAGAAGCGGACATGACGACATGACACACTGAGCAATCGATAGCCATGCATCAGTCATGAAGCCTCCTACTCTGTTTAATGGCAGACTCTACACCCGGGACCACATAGCATCAGGCATCAAGGCATCAGGGCAGTCAGCACCAGGCACCAGTATCAGGCCTGCAACTCATCACGTGCTGTCGGGGTTTTCTTGGAGTCGGAGGAACTCTTGTCCGCGTCTCGAAACTTTTAACTTTCCACTTCCAACTTCCAACTTTCAACTGCCGATGGGTCAAAAAAAACCCCTCAGTGGGTACTACGATGGATCCGGTGTCTGATACTGCAGTGGACCTTGGCCACCTGCTTGAAAATGGGCCTGGCCATTTGAGTCCGCCTTCACTGGGATCATCGGGTAAACCCCCTCCCAAGGCCAACGAGGTGTCATGCCGGAATGACTCAAGATGGCTGGAGCAGGCGACTGCATCGTGGGAACAAGAGCATCAGTTCAATAAAGCTGTTAGACCAGACAGGCTACATTCATCCTATCTGCACAATTCTCACCGCAGGCGAATTCGACTGAGCAGCAAGGGAAGACCAGAGTTCCCAGCTAGGCACTCACGAACAGCCATAATTCAGTATGCCACGATCCTGAAGGTAATGGTGTTGAAAGTTGCAATGCTGGGAAATCATAGCCAGGCACCAGTGGTTTATATAACGTGCTGTGAACCTGCGCCGATCCTCACCCGTTTGGATTCTGAAAGCGGACCATACTACATACGAAGCACACACTTGATGATGGCTGTTTAAGTAGACGACGTTGTTTAATGTCTTTCAAACAAGTGCATCCATCTAGTCTTGCGACGGCAATGGAATACCATGTGCAGCATTCGCTGCAGTCAGTCACATGGGCTCCATTGTTTTCAAATGAGCACTGTCGCGGTTAGATACAACTGAACTCAACATCGTGCCTGAGGATTAGGACATGGTCCGTTGTCACAATGCTAGCCACTCGGGATAAACGAGCGTTTAGATTGTCAGTTGAGCTATCTCGAGTAGAGACTATGCTACTTCCCAATGGACTTTGGCTCCTAGGACGGCGGTGTTGCGATTCCATCTAGGATTCAAAGTTGCAATCAGGCAACCGCATGTACGAAGCATTCTCACGAGCTACTCAGTGGTACGACGGTTGCATCACGGAGACGAGCCCCTCAGTCTATTTAATCCAAACACCCGACTTGCATGATGTTAGTCATGTCCGGCCTCGATTGATTGATGCATGATATCCAGACGCGCCGATTATTCCACGGGGTCATTGGATTGGCTGACCATCCAAGCTGGGGAATTCCAGCCGAGGTACAGTCGGAGATTAGGGACTGTCGTGCTGATTGTCGGAACTCACCGGAGGGTCTGCAGCCCTGCCGCGTCTCCATGAGAGAACTGATAAGCGAGACGCGGCGGAGACTTTCACCATTTCGGAAGATGATCGACGCCTCCGGCCTAGTGTCCCTCGACTTTAAGCTTAATCCCCAGTCATCCAACCGCCCAGGAACCCGCAATCCCGTCTTATCAGCTCCTGCAGGATCGAACGGTCGTGCCTGCAGGAACTCGTCATCCTGGGTCCTTCTTCTATTCCTCGTTAGCGCTAGATGCATCCTCCTGCAGGAAGCTGTCAGGCTTAACTCCTTATGGTGTATTCCCGGTCTTCACTTCCTGCTCGGCTGCATCCGAACCGGCGGACATCCGCGTCGGTGATTAGGATGGCCGTTTCAAAGGTTTCGCAGGTGGGGTGAGTTACGTTGCCAGCTGCCGCCGCTGCAGAAACGCCGGCTGCACTTGATGCATATATAACAGCAGCAGCACCCGTAGCAATCAATCCTCCATTCACGCCAGTCTCTCCTTCAACCAGTCCCTCCTTATCTCTGGTCATTCTTTACCATGTCCAAGTTCCTTCTTTGGACCATCTCCGCGGCAGCCCTCGCGCGCGCCGCCACTCTCGAAGAGGTCTGCACCTCAGCCTATGCTAAGGCCGCCGTGCCCGTCTCCGGCCTGGTGCCGGGGGTGGTGACCAGCCCTTCCAGCGTCACAGCTGCCCCGGTCTACAATGAATCCACTGCCGGCTCCAACTACTACCCGGCTGGAACCTACGACTACTGCAACATTACCATGACCTACTCTCATGCAGGCAAGGATGACAGTGTCCTGCTGCAGTTCTGGATGCCCACCCCCGACGACTTCCAGAACCGCTGGGTGTCTACCGGTGGCTTTGGTTTCGCCATCAACGTTGCCTCCAACGTCCCTGCTGGTCTCCCCTACGGTGCCGTCGCCGGTCGTACCGATGGTGGTTTTGGCAGCTTCGACACCCAATTCTCCTCGGTGTTCCCCCTGGTGAACGGTACCGCCAACTACGATGCTCTTTACATGTTCGGCTACCAGGCCCACCATGAGATGTCCTCCATCGGCAAGGCCTTCACTAAGAACTTCTACAGCATGACTGACAAGCTCTACGCCTATTACCAAGGTTGCTCCGAGGGTGGTCGTGAGGGTTGGAGTCAGGTCCAGCGCTTCCCCGAGGAATGGGACGGTGCCGTCATCGGAGCCCCCGCCATCCGCTACGGCCAGCAGCAGGTCAACCACCTGGTGCCCCAGGTCGTCGAGCAGACGCTCGACTACTACCCCAAGAATTGCGCTTTCTCCGAGATCGTGACCCTCATCATCGACGCCTGTGACGCGCTCGACGGCCGCAAGGACGGCGTCGTCTCCCGCACTGACCTCTGCCAGCTCAACTTCGACCTGACATCGACCATCGGAAAGCCCTACTCCTGCGCCGCCAGCACCAGCATGGGCGTCAGCACCCCGGCCCAGAACGGCACTATCAACGTGGAGACTGTCAAGGTCGCCCAGACCATCCTTGACGGTCTGAAGGACTCCGAGGGCCGCCAGGCCTACTTCTGGTACCGGATTGGCTCGGAGTTCACCGACGCCGAGACCGCCTACGACTCGACCACGAACACCTACGGCATCGACATCTCCGAGCTGGGCGGCGAGTGGGTCACTCACGGTCTCCAGCTCCTCGACCTGGACAACCTCTCCAACCTGAACAACGTCACGTACGACACCCTCCGCGACTGGATGTTGGAAGGTCTCCAGCGCTACGAGGACGTCCTGCAGACCACCTGGCCCGATCTGTCCCGCTTCCAGGCCGCCGGCGGTAAGGTGATCCACTACCACGGTGAATCCGACAACAGCATCCCCCCGTCTTCTTCTATCCGGTACTTTGAATCCGTCCGCGACATCATGTTCCCCAACGCCACGTACAACGCGTCCGTTGAGGCCGTGAACGAATTCTACCGTCTGTATCTGGTCCCCGGTGCTTCCCACTGCAACACCAACTCACTGCAGCCCAACGGACCCTACCCTCAGAACTCTCTCGGTGATCTTATGGACTGGGTCGAGAAGGGTGTAGAACCGGTGACTTTGAACGCTACGGTGCTGAGCGGCGACTACGAGGGAGAGGAGCAGCAGCTGTGCTCGTGGCCTCTGCGCCCGTTGTGGAAGAACAACGGCACGGTCATGGACTGCGTGTATGATCAGAAGTCGATCGATACGTTCTTGTATGATCTGGATGCGTATGACATTCCCATCTACTAGATGGTGAGCAACGGGGTGTGTTCAGTGAAAGGGGCCTATTTTGTATACTTCTGTAAGATAGTACTCAATATAATACTTGTTGGTGCGATTACTCTTGGCTTGAAAGAGTCGTATATCTCAAGCTCTAGGCACCAGGTTGAATCCATCGCCGTGGAAACGTCCCAGGTCTCGGACAAAGGACCCAAATCTTAGCCATGATGGTCAAACTTCGCATTACATATTCATTACCTGCCTTAAGTGCTGCACAGTAGAATATAACAGGGACTCTAAAGTAAACTAGCAGAGATATCTCCAATCACAAATGTGACTGAGATTGTGGACCGGAGCCAACATATATCTTCTGGAATATTTCCGACCCTGCTCTGGCTCAGGCTGGAAGAATAAGGAAAATGCCATTTTATAGTGTTCATGAATTTCCCATTGACGGAGAAGAAAGCACTACAGAGACTCCATTGGTCGAGAGTCAAGAAGGATATCACCGAGAACTTTCGTCATCTGACAGGGCTGTATGGGGAGTAATCGCGCAAAGCCCTAATAAATAACGCTAGTTGACGCGGAGCCTCCAGATCAGCTCGGACCACAAATTTATAAAGCGCATCTGGTATCCATGCAATTGCTATCAATTGCAACGTTCAAATCGACTAAATTGGATTACCGCACAACGAGCTATCATCTGGATCATCATGGCAGACTTTACTTGGACCGAGGATATCACTGGACGGAAGCTATGTGCCAAAGTTGCAGAGGTATTGGACAGGGCTTCTGTGCCCAATGTCCTCTGGAATGAGTATATGCTATGTGCACACGGTCTCGATAAGGATATTGTAGGTATTTCCAGGAGTAGCAGTTATTGAAGCAAACTAATCAGTCGTCAGGAAATTTACACAGTGGTTGATCGCGATGTAAGTGATACCAGGGCAACCATCCATTGAAGAAGACTAAACATTTTTTAGACTGGAAGAACCGAGGCAGCTTCGGTAGAGCAAGAGCTGAATGTGTCTTTCATCATCCCGGACGACCAAATTGAGGATGCTTACATTGAGCTGCTGAAGGCGAAATTTGACCGGTGCGCCGACAATGAAGACGAGTGCGAATTGTTCAGAAAGTATTTTCTGAAACCAGCAAGGCATTTCCACTTGTGTGATCGGGATAAATACGGCGATCCCCTTTCCTTGAACCTATACCGGCAGAGCGATTTACTCTGGTGGATGCCTCCTATTCCCCTGGCCCGACCGGCGGAGGGTGACAAGTACTTTACGGTGACCGGTGATGATTGGATACGCCTTGAGACAAAGAGCGAAACCTATCCGGTTAATATGTCCAGCCAAACCCAGTTGCCTGATAGCCACTATCAAATCAAGATCCTCACTCTAGACAAGGTGGTTGAAGCCTTAATGCTCCTCGAATGCGTATATTATCAGATTGACCATTCGGGATGTAGTGACTGTTGGCTTGACTGGTTGAAAGAGCTGAAAACGATGGTATCAAAAAAGGATATCAAGATTGGTCCGATGAAGGAATATTTTCAACCCATATGGGACAAAGCTGACGAACATGGTATATCTGATATGCTAAAGGAGTTGGGGAAGAAGCTTGAAGATAAAGGGGGTTGTCCTGGTGCCGTGCAGCAGTGAAGGATCAGGATTGCAATTGTGCTGACTGGAAGGAATGAAGGAATACTGGGTGCACCATGTTCCTAGATTGGCAATGCCGCAGAGGTTGTGCTTATTTTTGTTTATTGCTTTGATCAAGAAGTCCCTGAGCTCTAGTGAAATGATTTTGTAGCCTTTTCAGAACATGGAAGCCTGACTTTGGATGGGTGGTAAGATAAAAGGAGATGACAGTGTCTGCCTTACGTATGAGGTGTCGACTATTCCAGCCCTAGAAAGAGGTTACGATTCCCGGAAACAATTCAGACCTTGCGGACCCATTGGCAGGCATCACGTATCCATATCGGCATTCACAATGGAGTCAACATACATGTGCAACGACTGGTAGGGTGGCAGGGATACATCTGGTGGAGGCAGATTAAGTTTCGTATTTCGGATGATCCCGCAGGCAGCATAGCATCATCATGACCTGCTGCTCGATTCATCAGATCTGATGATCCCTCCTCGCATGGACCTGTTTCCCAGCACTCGTTAATAAGTATACACTGCTAAGATGAAAATCGTCATTGTTGGTGGCGGCATTTCCGGGTGTGTGGCGTATCTCGCCCTGCGGAAGCATCTCCCTCGACCCCCTCCACCAGCCGAGGACCACGAATTCACCATCTACGAGGCATACGACGCCAACACCAACCATGACCGCTCCGAGCAAGACACACACTCATCGACCCCCATCATCGGGGGCGGTCTAGGCATAGCACCCAACGGACTCCACGTCCTGGAGCGCCTCGACTCCGACCTACTGCACGAGATCGTTCAAGGAGGATACATGGTGGACCACAGCAACGTCAAGACCAAACACGGTCACTTACTCATGAGACTGAGCTCATCTACAGCCTGTCTATCACCCAACAACCCCCTCCCCATGCACCTCCTCGGAACCAGCCGCCATAATCTCTGGCAGGCACTCCATCGCCGCATCCCAGAGGACATCATAATCAACAAACGAGTCGTCAAAGTAACCCCCAACACCACCGGCCCCAAAACCCTCACCTTCGCCGACGACAGCCCACCCGTCTCCGCCGACGTCGTCATCGGTGCCGACGGACTCAAAAGCATCACCAAACGAGCCCTATTCCCAGAAGCAACCGAGGATCCCTACTCCCCACACTACGAGTATCCCCCAATCCCTCCCCTTCCTACCCTCCCACTCAATCTTCTACAACCCTAACTCACCCCCCACAGAAACCTCATCAGCATCGGCGGCTTCCTCCCCACCACCTCCCTCCCCCCCACCCCCCCGGGATCCATGAACCTCCTCTTCAGCGCGACCGGTTTCTTCGGCTACTTCTATGCGAACAGCTCCCCGACCTCCCCTCACCGATCCTCCCCCCACCACATCTCTCCCCCAGGAGACACTCTAGCCTGGTGGACAACCTACAGCATGCCCACCCCCACCCCCACTCCAACACCCCCAGACCTTACCTCCCCCAACCTCAACCTAACGACCCTAACCCAGCACCTCCACACCCGATACAGCACCTGGACCGACCCCACCATCTCCACCATCCTCCCCACCATAACCATCAAAACAATCTACCCCGTGTTCACCTCCCCGCCGCTCCCAACCTTTTCCTCCACCGGAATCATCCTCATCGGCGACGCGGCACATACCCTCCCTCCTACCTCGGGACAAGGTGCCTCTCAGGCGTTGGAGGATGTAGAGGTTCTTTCTCTTTTTCTTAAACATTACTTAGGTATATCCTACCATGATGAGAACGGGGGAGTATCAGAACTGGAGGCGGTGAGTCGCGCAGGGGAGGAATATACTTCTTTGAGAAGGCCGAGAGTGCAGGGGATTTTGGAGAGAGCAGAGAAGATGCAGGGGTTAAAGAGGGATAGCATAGGGTGGTTGGGGGGAAGGGTGAGGGAGTGGATGATGTATCTTGGGATGTGGCTCATGGGATGGTTTCCGGGGTTAGTTGGGTGGGGGATGGGGTTGAGGGGGGTGGTTGAGTATGATTTACCGTGGGAGGTTGAGAGGGTTTTACGGCGGGAGTTTGAGAAAAAAAAAAGAAAAAAAGAAGAAGGTATTTTGATGGGGATAAATGAGTGGGGTTCTGGGAGATAATGGAAATTGATGGGAGCAGAGGAACTTCACGAGGGATTGTACTTTGTCAAATTAGTTGGTGTTTGATTCCGATAGTGTGACTCTACTTAATTCAGGCAGTAAGCCAGCCTCACACTCAGGTCCATGGATAGTACATGAAAGCGTCGAAGAAGCTACTATACCGACTCCTCATGCTCAGCTTCCAACTTCGCCTCCCCAGTATACATCCCCAACTCGGAAGAACCCCCCACAGCATCAGGTCCATCGAATATCACCGCCACCTGCTCCAACGAGTATCCCTTTGTCTCCGGGTAGAAGAAGAACGCCGTGACGCCAAAAACCAGTAGCACGACAATAAACACAATGTAGTATCTCCATTCAATAGCGTCCAGGGCAATCGGGTTCACGAAGGTATTGAAGAACATGCCGACGATGGTGGCCACCCAGGTCACGGTTAGACCGCGGGATCGTAGACGGTAGGGCCAGATTTCGCAGGGGTACGAGGTCAGGAATGGAGTTCTGTTGAACCGGTCGTTAGCGTATGTCTAGCGACGGGAGGGTTGATCTTACAAGGCAATGCAGTAGCCTGCAAAGAAAATAAAGAGGAAAGGAATCACGGCAGCCCCCGTGCCAGAGTGTTTGGTAGCGGCAAACGAGCCCGAAAGAGCCGTCACGAGCACATAACTCACGAACATAATGGCTGCAGACGCCAGGAAGAGCGGACGGCGACCGAGTCGGTCGATCAGAAACGCTCCAAGAGCAGCAAAGACCAGATCCCACATCTGCAAGGATGCCGAGATGAGGGTCTGGTTTCGGACACTGGTGACACCGACCGAGTCTAGGATGAGTGATAAATAATACGAGACCACACCATTGCCAGACCATTGGGCAAAGAAGCCCAGACTGATGGAGATCATCAGGCGCCATCGGTTCCCCGGTGTCTTGACCATGTCCAGGTAGCTGGCGCTGCTGTGAGCCTCTTGCTCCGCCCGGATGGTCAAGCTGATCTCGGCAAACTCGTACGCCACGAGCGGTGATGCCTCGTCACCAGCGGCGTGGTACCGAGTGAGAATCGCGCGAGCCTCCTCGTCACGTCCCACCGAGATCAGCCAGCGAGGGCTCTCCGGAGCAAAAAGGAACCCCGGGAGTCCCACCACTGGCACGAGGGCTTGTAGGACCGATGGTAGTCGCCAGGACCAGGACGATGGGTATGTGCGGGAGGCAAAAACGACCCATGCGGCGACAGTACCCCCCACATACCACCCGGACATGAAGAGCGAGTTGAGGATGCCACGGTGAGTCGGGTAGGCGATCTCGTTAATGAGCAGGGGGACGGCGTTGCCGAACAGGGCGGAAGCAATACCAAGAAAGAACCGAGCGAGCATGAAGGCAGTGGGGTTAGGAGCAGCGGTCTGGAGCGCGCAGCCAAGTGTCAAGAAAGAATACCCGATGTAGACGCCAGGTTTGCGTCCATATCGGTTAGAAATCCACGCCGCAGTTGGGTAGCCGATGCCACAGCCAAGCCAGTAGATTGCATTCAGCCATCCTAGCTTGGCTCCGGTGGGATTATGCATGAAAGCTTTCCACTGGGTCAGGGCTTCGAGACCGTTCATGAGGGATCCGTCATAACCGTTGGCGGACGAGAACATGACAAGAGAGAGGATGATGAGGTTGAGGCGGAATAGATGAGTTTGCTTGTACCATGCTGGGCCTGATGGAAGAACCGCCGCCAGCTGGTCATCCCCAGCCGGCTTGCTTGCAGTACCGATGGCCATGGTTGTCCAAACGACGTGGAAAGAAACTAACCGACGAGCGTAGCCAGGGATTGGGACTGTAGTGGTTATATTTCAAGGACGGACTCACTGGCGACAGCTGGTGGCTCGGTAGCCCTCGTGGCTATATCTTCCCGTGCATATCGAATGACGAGGCTGCCCGGCAAAAACCACGATCCTAGTGTGCTTTACCCTGCGTGATGCCCGGGAAAGCACGGCACTAACAGAATTTACCAATCCCAGCACGCCGGGTATACCCATAGGCAGGATACGGAAGTCACTGGCCTGGTCACCAGGTATCCCGACTCCACCGCTGCACGGGTTTGCTGGGGAAACGCGTGGTTCGATTGTGTGGAGAACCGGGGATGTTGGGGTTGGGGCATCGGCCAGGGGCCATTGGCCCATTCGTTGCACGGCGGAGAAACGGAGAAAAGGAGAAACGGAGAATTGCAAGAGGAGTTGCACGCAATCAGAGTGCTCGGGTAGGTGGAGTCTCCCCATACTAGTGTCTCTCCGTGTCTCTCCTCTGTCCTCCCCGTCCGACAGACGCCTGCAGGGGCACCGCAATTGCTGGCCCCATGATCAGAGGATCTCACACATGGCACGGCAACGGAAATTTGGGGCCAGCATGTCGGCAATAAATCTGCGACCAGTGCCACTCCCTCAATGTTCCAACCACAACAATCTCATCACGGCCGTTAGCAGAGCATAGGCACCATGCCGTACGTCGACATGGCCGCTCCTGAGACGGACAAATCGTTTACTCAAATCGAGAGCGCCAATGTGGAGGACCTCATACAACAACTGACCCTGGATGAAAAGGTTGCTCTCTTGACTGGTACGTTGTCGCTAACACGACAGTTTCTCATCGCAGTCCACCCGCTGACGGCTTCATCCGGTTCTAGGCGACGACTTCTGGCACACGGTTCCAATTCCCAGGCTTGGGATCCCCTCGATTCGACTGTCAGATGGCCCGAATGGCGTCCGCGGCACTCGCTTCTTTGGTAGTGTGCCAGCAGCATGTCTGCCTTGCGGTACGGCCATCGGGGCGACCTTTGACAGAGACCTGGCCGTGCAGATTGGCCATCTGCTCGCGGCCGAAGCAAAGGCCAAACGCGCCCACGTGGTCCTGGGCCCTACCATCAACATTCAGCGTGGTCCGTTAGGTGGGCGCGGTTTTGAGTCGTTCTCAGAAGATCCCCTTCTGTCGGGCATAATGGCGGGCCATTATTGCAAGGGATTGAAAGAGAAGAACATCATCGCAACACTCAAGCATTTTGTATGCAACGACCAGGAACATGAGCGGATGGCGGTCAACTCCATTGTCACAGATCGAGCGCTGCGAGAAATCTACCTCCTGCCGTTCATGGTTGCGATCGCCCTGGGGAAGCCCGAGGCCATCATGACGGCATACAACAAAGTGAACGGGGTCCATGCATCGGAGAGCCCGGCGCTTCTCCAGGACATCCTTCGTGGGGAATGGGGGTGGGAGGGCCTATTGATGAGCGATTGGTAAGAACGCAATACCCTGTTGCTACCCATGCACATACATCTTGTTCACCTTTGTCTCGCAGGTTTGGAACATACAGTACCTCCGAGGCCATTCACGCTGGACTGGATCTGGAAATGCCAGGCCCAACGAGGTGGCGCGGCAGTGCGCTAGCACACGCTATTGCCGCAAATAAGGTCTCTATGGCAACGATAAATGCTCGCGTTCGAGCAGTCCTGAAAATGGTTCAGAAGGCCAGTCGATCAGGTATCCCAGAGCGAGCCCCAGAGTTGCAGCTGAATCGAGCCGAGGACAGACGGCTGTTGAGGAAGATCGCATCGGAAGCAGTGGTCCTCCTTAAGAACGATGACGGCGTTCTCCCCCTCAACAAGACCAAGAAAATCGCAGTCATCGGGCCTAACGCTAAAATTGCCACCTACTGTGGAGGTGGCAGCGCGGCACTCAATCCATACGAAGCCGTCACTCCATTTGCAGGGATCTCGAACTCCTCATCAGGCGGCGTGGAGTTTGCCCAGGGTATTCACGGGCATCAAAACCTACCGTTGCTGGGAAAGCGTCTTCGCACCCAGGATGGCCTTACTGGGTTCACCTTGAAGGTCTTCAACGACCCACCGACAGTCTCGGACAGAACACCTCTGGAGGTGCGGCACGAGACCGACTCGATGGTTTTCTTCCTCGATTACAACCATCCAGAGCTCCAGCCCGTGTGGTTCGCTGACGCAGAGGGAAATTTCATCCCGGATGAATCAGGAATATACGACTTTGGTCTCTGTGTGCAAGGGACGGGGAAGCTCTTTGTGGATGGTAATCTGCTAGTCAATAACGCTGATATACAAAGACCGGGTCCAAGCTTCCTCGGGAGTGGTACCATGGAGGAAAGAGGGACGATGGAACTTGTGGCCGGGCAACAGTACAAGGTCCATGTGCAGTGGGGATGTGCTAAGACCAGCAAATTCAAGGTCCCTGGAGTTGTCGACTTTGGTCACGGAGGATTCCGTTTCGGAGCCTGTAGGCAACTACCGCCTCAGATGGGCATCGAGGAAGCAGTCAAGCTGGCTGCAAGCGTGGACCAGGTGGTCCTGATGGCTGGGCTGAGCGCGGAATGGGAGTCCGAGGGCGAGGATCGCACCAGCATGAGTTTGCCTCCCTATACGGACGAGCTGATTGCTCGCGTTCTGGAGGTGAATCCGGAGACTGTTGTGGTCATACAAAGCGGAACACCCGTAGAGATGCCTTGGATCAAAGACACGAAGGCGGTGCTGCATGCCTGGTATGGAGGTAACGAAACGGGCAACGGCCTTGCAGATGTCATCTTTGGTGACGTGAACCCGGTGAGTATCTCCATTTCCTCAAGCCTGGCAGTGCTAATCCCCTGGGATGTCTTAGTCTGGTAAGCTTCCACTCACCTTCCCTCGTCATGTCAAAAACAACCCCACCTACTTCAACTTCCGCTCCGAGGGCGGCAGAGTCCTGTACGGTGAGGACGTCTATGTAGGCTATCGGTTCTATGATGAGACCGAGATAGATCCGCTGTTCCCCTTTGGTCACGGCCTGTCGTACACTACGTTTGAGCTCTCCGGCCTGAGCCTCATGAGGCACTCAAACACACTGCAGGCTACCTGCACGTTGCGCAACACCGGATCCAGGGCTGGCGCAGAGGTGATACAGTTATATATGGCGCCTGTCTCGCCGCCGATCAAACGCCCACTGAAGGAATTAAAGGAGTTCCGGAAGGTTTGGCTGAAATCGGCTGCGGAAACAGAGGTGACAATTCCGTTGGATCTGGTCCGCGCGACCAGCTTTTGGGACGAGAAGAGCGGTAGCTGGTGCAGCCACAGCGGTACATATCGGGTTATGATAGGAACCAGTAGCCGTGGGGAGTTTCTAGAGAGCTCCGTGGAGTTAACTGAGACCACATTCTGGTCAGGTCTCTGAGTGAAACAATAAGAGTGACAATGTAATGAATCCACACGATCATCCATCACTTCTTGATTCGATCCGTATCGACCCAAGTTTGTAGATGCATGGTGACCATGCATTCGCTGCTGTCTAATCGGGACAGAATATCGGTTGATTGTCGAAGATACCCAGCTGCTCGCTCGGCTTCCGGGTCGGCTGGGTGGAACGGGCATATTAGGAGGCTTGCCGCAATATCGCGCACTTTGCAGGCCAGATGTAGTCCGTTTGCTTCCAGGTTGATCTGCGGCAGGCTGTAGAGGACACAGAATAGCTGCCGGCAGAGATCCTCCCTCTGGAGCCACAGCGCCTTGGCATCTGCAGTTGGCTGCGTGCGGGGCATAGAAGCCGATCCCCCCCTTTTGTGCACCTGGGCTGTCTCTAGTTGATCAATGAGTAGACTCTGTAGCCACAGATGTGTGACATGCAAATTCGCGCGCATAGAAGCGAACTGTGATTGCACATCTGCCATACGGCCACCCCCATCCACATCACTGATGATCTTGGCATCCAATGGCTGCCATGCCTGTAGAGAAGGCGGGATATCCTCCAGTAAAACCTTCAGGTTGTGAAGACGGTCTTGAAGGTAGGCAATTTGCATGCTTAGATCGCGGGCCCTTGCGCAAGGGCATGGTTCTGTTGGTGATTCCGGGCATGTGCTCCTGACAGCAGCCCAAAAGACACGTGAATGGAGGATGAACCCCGTCATCAGGCAGGGAGTTGGGGATGGTGGCAAGAGCACTTCGTGCTCAAAGATCATTTCATCATCCACCTCGAGGGGCATCAAGTCTTCTGGGTTAATGTAATGGAGAATAATTGGGTCCAGATATGACAATCGCTCTCCTAGAACGTTTTGCAGTTGATTGTGGCTGGTCGTATCAGTTGCGGTGTAGACCGTGAGTTTTGAGGTCATGGCACTCACACAAAGCCATAGAAAATCAACCAAAAGCCCTTTTTCCGCAACTGGGCCTCTATGCAGTTGAGGCCATCGTATTCCGATATGCGATGAAGGTTCAACAGACGAGCAATCTGCGTTGCCTCGACATCCAGCATCCGGGACATGTTGTGGTCGCCCAACTGGCGGAAGGCAGCATACAATAGGTAGGAAGTGGCAAACTTCTGGAAGTTGATCTGGTCAAAGTAGGTCGCGTCCCTCAACCTCATGATCTTGTCATAGCAATACCGAGCCATTTCTCTACGCGATGCAAACCGCAAGGGTGAGTGATAAGATTGGTAGAGCTGGAATCTGCTGGGCATGGTCGCAACGACCACGGCCGCGATCGCTGTTACCAGGCTGAGGAATCCGCCATCCTTGCACTCTCGGTTTTCTCGCAAGAACTGCTGGAAGGATGGCCGGTGCACGATGGGAACCAGGGGATAAAGATAGTTCAGGTAATCTTGCATGATGAGAGTAAACAGCCCCCGGTCGCATAGATCATCGGTGGAGTACTTGAACGTATCCGTATCCCCATTGTCCGCAGAAACGCTGGACGACCGTCCTTCTGATTCCACGTGTGTACGTGTCCTGGATTTAATTAGGGGGAATATTTAACTGCAAAGGAGTCATGGCCGGCGTACCGTTTCTTCGGGCCTCGCGTCCGGGAGGGGGACAAAAAGGTGCAAGGCAGGCTCAACCGGGCGCATCGGCCACATCTCGTCGCGTCGGACGATGACGGGGGTGGATGGCATTTGACCTTGCGCTTCCGACAGATATCGCAAGCCTGGGTCGACAAGTCCACGCGGGCAGCCATGGCACATGTCCGAGACTGAAGAGAAGCGTGGTGAAAGCGCGTCATGATTCCGGGCCAACTTCGGCCATCGACGGGTTTGTCCCAATTGCATCAATGAATGGCCTGAGGCATGACACTGGGGTCTTATGCCGGGTTTTTATGCTGTGGCTTTGTGCATTATGCTGAGTCAGTCCGCATAACACAATTCATTCCCCCGTCCATGTCTGGTGGCCTGATCACTCTGCAATCATCTCCCGCTGGTAACGAAGTACAGCTAAATGAGGCTAAAGATAGTTCCCCTGAATAAGTATTGATTGGTAGTGTCTTATCTTAGGTAGTACTTTGTGGGTGTCCTTCTGAGAGCTAGATAGGGGTGTGGTCGCAAATATATTTCGGACGAGTGCCGCAATGTACGCTGCCATCTCAGAAGACCCGTCAAGCAAAGCTTTTTCATACTAATCAAAAGACTCGAGATAACAAAGCCGCTTGATGCCCCTGGCTAGTAGACTGAACGAAAAGAAGCATTGAAAGCGACGTTACATTGCCAAGGTGCTTGTCCCCAAACCATATCCCCTGCACTACCCCTTCAACTTTGCCGCATTGCCACCAGTGGATCCCTACGATGCCGTTGACAGTTGGCCGGCACTGTGATTATTTCAAACTCGACTGATAGATCTGAGAGGCGGCCAGCAGACACCAATAATGAAGTGCACTGAGTCGATCTATACGGCGTTGACGCTTTACAGGTGTTGTCTCTACCATGGGCTACCTCATGAGAGCAGGAAACACGTCGATCGTAATGTGAATCGTAGAAATTAATTATGGTAGAAAATCAAACCCATCAATCAGTTATTAGCTCGTAGGCCAATGCAAATAAAACCGTCACGCCGTCATCTGCAGCTGTCCCAGACTGGCTGGCAGAGATTTCGCTCATAAACGCCATAAATGGTGTAAGATGAATGCAAATTTAGCTGTCCGTGTTGGCACACGTGAAGCTGTTGCTGTTGGCATCATTGTGGATGGCCGTGCCCGAGGCATACAGACCCAGGACGCACAGCACCAGACCAAACACGGCAACCGCCACATTGAGCACAAACAGACAGATCTTGCGGGGGCCTGCAAACCACTGGCCGTAGTTGAGATGCAGCCAGTAGATACCGCTGAGACCGTAGCTGAACCAACTGGCGAAGAGGGCACTCTGCAGAAAGTGGTTAGTTGCTGCGCAGGAGAAATGGCGGCCAAGGGACTACTCACAATCAGACCGTTGAGGTCGCTGAACACAGGAATTGCCTCCGCAATGATCCAGGCAACAATCCAGCAGACCAGTCCAAGACCAATCCAGATGGCAACTGAGCGCCGGCTGCGGCTGTGGATGAGATCGGACTTGTGGCAGGCCCGGAAGTAGATATACTTCAGGCCAATGTGGCCATTCACCACACCTGCACCAACAATCTGGGTATCGTCAGTCACCATGCAGATGATATGGACATTTGACAAGACTCACAGTAGGGATCGCAATGCCATAGGCAACCTTCTTCAAGAGAGGACCAGCGGAACTCAGTGCGGGAGATTGAACGTCCTTGCCTACGTAGTAGTAGACGACGCACGCGGCGGTCACATACAGGGCAATCTCGAAGGACTGCAGCATGAACAGCGACTTCTTGAAGTCTTTTGGCTGCTCCATCTCGGCAATCAGCCCGAAGAAGGCCACGTGGGCGCAGTACGCGAAGACGATGTTGGAAACGGCGCTGAAAGCCGTGTAGAGGTTGGTATCGACTGTCGCCTCGATGATGCGACCGGGGTGCTTTTGGACGCCAACGCCGATCATGGTAATCATGACAGCGCTAAAGATACTAAGGAAGGCTGATGGCAACACCCGTTAGAACCAGACGGGAAGGGGGCATGATGGATGCGAGCGACTCACAAGCAAATGAGATGAAGGTCATGCCCTTCATGGTCCGAGGGATGGAAAGGACGATGCAGATGACCATGCCGATCACACTGAAGACAATGGAGCAGGTGGCGTGGTCGGTGATGGTGTTCATCATGACGCGGAAGGTCAAGATATGGCTGCCCATGACAAAGATGCAGAAGAGGAACTGGCCCAGGCCGAAGAGTTCGCGTCCAAAGGGGCCCATAAGGATCTCTCCGGCATCCGCGAGGTTCTGGATGTGGGGATAGCGCTCTCTGAACAGCCCAATGTTGTAACCGGTGTAGGTGGCGAGGATCCCGAGGCCAACGATGAGGATGACGGCCCTAGAGGGGTGTGGTTAGCCTGGGCATCGATGGGAGAAGGATGCGGCAAACTTACGGGACAAAACCCAGGGTAGCCACGGCCGCGGGCAGGGACAAGACACCCAGTGAGACAGACTCACAGATCATCACTGCGGGGGTATTAGAGTTTGGTAACTCCGACAGGGTAGTATCGGGGGATCCTTACACAGTCCACATTGCCTATTGGACGCGTTAGCAGGAGAAGCAGGCAGGCGGGGACTCGAGACGGCATTGGACCACATACCACCACTTCAAGGTCTTGTACTTAATCTCTGCAAATTCTTCGTTACCAAAGGCATCGGTCTCCTCAAAGCCCGGCTTGATGTTCTGTTCCACCTGGCTGAGATCATTCTTCTTCTCGTCGATACGATCAGTTGCGTAGGGGGGAGGAGTGTCATGAACGGACTCCATCGTAGTGGTGAGAGACGGAGGGGTGCAATGGGGAGAGAAGGATGGTGGAGTGAAAGATTATTATTGGTAGTAGAGAGGAAGAGCAGAAGAAGAGAGCAGACCAGGGGAGACTGGGGGGAATATAAGAACTTAAGAAGGGTAGTGGGGAAGTGGGAAAGTGCAGCAGATGATTGAGTTTCGGAGGGGGCGAGATGACAAGCCGAGAATTCTGGGGACAATTGAGGAGGAGCTGCAGCTGTGGGGAAGGCGCTCTCGTGTGTTTCTACTGTTCCAGGCAGGCACACACACCGGCCGCGCTGATCGGACTCGATCCGAGCCGGTTGACCAGTCGTTATTGGTCACCCCCCCGATGACCGGCCACTCCGGGCCAATCAGGGCACCCGGCCCTCATCCGCCGATGTAACGTGCCAGCTGCCAAGCACTGCAACGCCGTCACTGCAGCCGCACTGCAGCCGGACTGCTCTGCCGAAGGCACTGCATCATGAGCTCATGCGCTTAAACAAGACCCGCTGGTTGCTTCCCCGCAAGACCACCGTGTTTTGTACTGGACAGCCGACAGACATCTATCAACCATGTGGTTTACCTAATGGTGGTTGCTAACAGCTAAGGTGTCTTACGCTAGCCGTAGTCCGGATCCGCTAAGCACCTTGGGGCGGCCTAGCCACACGCCAGTGCCCGACCTGGCCCAGGAGCTTAACGTTAAACTGAGCACACATCCGGTTTCACTTTGCCACAATTCCCAATCCTGTCCATGCAGGTGCTACGTGGATGGATTCCCTCCCGCTCCGTATAGAGAAGAAAAATACATCTATCCATCACGGTCATAAAGTCCCTCCCCGCATTGACTGGCGGATGACCATTCCGCTGCGGTGGCAATGATCTCTGCCGGGAACGGGCGGTGGGCAGAAGCGAGCGGGCAAACAATAGGACGGCCAAGGCTGCAGGTACCCGCCACCCGCTCCAATCCTGTCTATCGGCAATTGATAAAGAGATAGTACTAGTAGTAACAAAAAAGAACTGGGTGGTTTTTGTACTTAGCAGCAAGATCCTATGTCTACGCGGCCCACAAATGGGGCATCGTTGAAGATTAATCTCGTTGCCTGTCTTGTGCTAAAACAATGGGAAGGAGGCACGAGCCCTGGAGATAAAAAAACCCACTCTAGATGTTAGACTTCGAATGAGATAATCAGTCTATTCGGAGGAGATGGCCCTGATAGTAAATCTTGAGTACATCAATGATGATAGCGCTAGTCCGAAAGCTCAGGTTTGTCATTCGCCTGAATCAAGGGAATGATATATGCCGCATGATTATCTAAACCTTTGATTACCACGATTTTGAGGTCCTCGGCGTGTCCACCGGAGTGGCACCATCCAAGTCCGAGCCGCAGTGTGTTGGATTTTTGGATTCGATGGGTCTCACCTCGTGTATCCCTCTGAACTCGGCTAGTTCCATGCTTGAGAACCGTTCTCGAAGCGAAGAACACGCTCAGGACCCAAACTTGCCGGTGGCGCCGGCAATTTAGGCCTTTCCTGTATTGCTGGCATGCTGCTAGGTTGGCCCCTGATGGACCAGTCATAGCTGGAATATTCGAATTTCAAAGAATGCCAGAATTGCTCATCGGAGTGTGCCGATGGGTGCGGCTCCTATCTCCGTTCATCCTTTATCGCCGAGCCGGACCGCCCCAGGTCACGTGATAATCCCCACCACGACTGGCCCGGTGGGGACGCTTGGCTTCATCCATCCGACGATCCTGGATCAGTGACCTGTGATAGTATGGAGTTGCTTCTACTGCCTCGAATCCTGATGACCGACTGGGAATCACTCTCATCCAAATAGCATAACCTCTGCATCTGACGAGGGGTGAAGGGTAGCTAGTCAGGTAAGCTTACATGAGCTGTGGTGGAAGCGGGGATCCGCTGACCTCCGCTGGAGCTTCATCCCTTCCCCCTCCCCACTCGCGCGGTTGCTGTGGTACGAAGCCATGTCGCTAACGTCTCTCCCCCAGGAGCTCCTGCTCCTGATTGCAGATCCCTTTCTATCAGAGAAAGATCTGAACGCCGTGTCTCGTACCGCCCGCGTCCTATATGGGTCCCTCAATTCACTTCTCTACCACCAACACGTCCAACAATCTCACGGTCGGAATGCTTTGATCTACGCCGCACAAACCGGGCATACCGCGACGATCCATCACCTTCGTGCCGCTGCAGCTTCCTTGAAAGCTTTCACGACTGCTCTGGAGCCTAATGACGCCGATGATCTGCCCACCCTCGACCCAGACGGGCGCGACCCGCATTTCCAACTTTCGCCACTCGCCTGGGCTGCGATCCACGGCCACGTCTGAGTAGCGGAGCTTCTACTGGATATGGGGGCGTCAGTTGATCTGGAGACTGTAATGAAACGAACCGCGCTCTCTCATGCAGCGGAAAATGGTTACGTGGACGTCGTTAGGCTGCTTCTCAGCCATGGTGCAAGTCCCCATCTACAGGATCAGGTGGTTTATAGAACCCCGCTGATGTGGGCGGGCTCCCCTCGTCTCATGATAACCTCGATGCCAGTGTCAGTTCCACCACCACAAACATACCAACGACCGAGCTGGCTGGTAGAATTGCTCACCTCTCTTGTGAAGAATGGCGAGCCATTACCTCGGGACAAGATGCCAATGAAAGATAAGCCCGTGGGGCGTCAGATAGGTGCTACATATATCTGGATTTACTCCAATGAGAATGGGAAAAGGGCAGGGCTTCCGGGAAGGGTACAATGGTCTGCCGGAGCAGCATATGAGGATATTCTTGACCTCCTGCTCGAGTATGGAGCGGACCTCGAGACAACTAGTCAAATTGATGGCACAGCCCTGACCCTCGCAGCTGCGTGTGGGCATGAACCCATCGTGCAGGCCCTGCTCGCCCGGGGGGCATCCCTGTCGCCCAGCTCCTCCCATGCTTCGCCGATACTCGGTGCTCTAAGCGGAGGACATGTCGACGTGATGCGGCTTCTACTTGATCGGGGTGCCAGAGTTGGGAGCGTCACCCAATCAAAGTTAAATCCGGTGGCGGATGCCGTGTACAAGGGAAACGACACTCTCGTGAGGCTTCTCCTCTCTGCGGTAAGGGAAAGCGAGCTGGAAGACTACCCTGCCCCTTTTTGGACCCCAATGTATCGAGCTGCGCGCATTGGCAATATCCGCATCATGGAGGTACTTCTGGAATGGCATACAAGTCTCTGGCCTACTGTCTCCATAGACCTTGCGGATTTGCTGTTCACTGCGGTACAGCACAATCGTGAGGACATGGTCGCATTCCTTCTGGACGCGGGGGCCCCAGTCAACCAGCGATCCATATACCCGCACATGTTCGCCGATGGGAAGACCCACATCCACGTGGCAGCGTCCGGTGGACATCAAGGGATCATGAGACAGCTTCTGGCCCAGAGAGACTTGGATATTAATGCCCAAGACAGTTTAGGATGGACGGGCTTGACGTGGGCTTCCAAAAATTGCAACGAAGAAATGATCCAGCTGCTCCTAGAGCACGGGGCAGATCCGGCATTCATGTGTGTCAAGGATTCGAAACCTTCCAGACCAACTAGAATGGTGTGTGGTACTTCTTGGATGTCGCCCTCTCCTCGTCGCGAGTGGTTAATCTCATTCCGGCCAGTGGATGATTAAGGGGTTTTATCCGGTGATAGATCTACTTCGGATTGTCTTACGTCCTATAGTAACTGAAGTGATGTTTGAAGTGGATCAATATGAGCACAATTGAATCTAATCAACGACTTCATAACGGTGCAGCTGGAACTGATAATGGCACTGATGATAAATAACCGCGGATCCTTATCCTCATCCCCATCCTTACTATTATCGGTATCATCATCTTGATCATCTCGATCATCCTCATTGTCATCCCCGCTCTCTTTATACTCTCAACAGCACATGTGAACTATGTCTCATAAAAAGAACCTACAATATGCTGCCCGAAATCTTTCTCCACCAAAGATCCAGACATCAATATCGGTGATATAACCATCGATCCCTTCCAACCCTTGAATCCCATCAGTCGCCCGATGACGGATCTTACGACCAAGAAATCTATCGAGAAACACCGCAGATTGAAACACGAGACCACGAACGTGGTGGATATGAACATCCGATGAGGCCTTGCGAAGGCCATCCTCGAAGCCACCCTCCAGGCAGAGTATGTCAATGCTTTCAACGTGACAGCGTGATCAAGGCTCTGGGCATTGAACCCTTTGAAAGCAACCCAGGTTACATGGTGACTGGCTTGGCTGCTACGGTGGGACTCAACTACAGTGTTTCCGATGCTTCTACCTACAAAGCGAGCGGACAGATCACCGGACTTGGAGCTAGGGGAAAGGTTCGGGCGACGCATTCATTCAACCTCAGCGATGATCGGTACATCGAAGGGCCCCGCCCCCTAGCCTATCGACTGCATAGGATCACAATGTCAGCCCATTCAATCTAAAGGCTCCTGGCTTCTTGAGCCTGGAGGACCATGATGCATGTATGTTCGTCCACATCGAACCCGTGACAGAGGAAGACCTCCAATATGAGGCCATGGAGTAAGAGGGACCTGAACTGCTCTTCAGGGCATTGACCGATGGTGAGGACGTTTATGTTTGCGTGGCACTTCGTGCAACCTAATTGGAGGTTCATCGGGCTGTTCCGCCAGGCGAGAGAGACAGAAAGCATTTGATCGGTAGGCAGCTGAGATCGAGCAAAAACCTCATCTTGCTTTTGTTCTCTTGATTGACTGTAACCTCCAGTCGTAGAATCGGACTTGGTCGATTGTTTCACGCCGTGGGCGCACGTGACCCGGAACCTGCCGGCCGCCTGATGGTGCTCAATTAGGAAGGATTCTCCGGCTGCCTTCCATTCACCACCGATAGAGGGGGAAGACATAGACAGCACCCGCTCACAATCCACGGGGGATGCACCCTTCCCGCGACCTACTTGGGGCTTGATTTCGCGCAACCATGCAAGCACGGCGATCCACGACATACTTCCGAAGACAGATACCGCGCAACACACATCGAGAAGTGTTGAAGCCTTGTTAAGCGGTCAACTGGGGAATTGATGTGGCCTCCTTGCGGATGATACCGCAAGGTATTGGAAGCGAGCTGCCGTCAAGCGCCGAGACAGCCAATGGTCTCAGCCACATACAAATAGCGGGCCATAACCCAGTCCCTGATTCCTGGACCCTGACAAACAACCTTGTTCGCCTGGGACTTCCGGACGAGATGGCCAGCTTTATCTATGACTGGAACAAAAACAGGCTTCCCATGGGTCGGGAGCTGTGTGCCACCGTTGCGCATCTTCTGGACGCGGCGGGCATTCCCAGTGTCCTATGGGGCAAGTACATGATTTTTGCTTACGAGGTTGGTATGGACCCGGTGAGTATTGACCCTCCGGCAACGCCATTATACCCTTTGAGGAATGGACGAGACTGACAGTGATAGGATATTGACGAACGGCAGAAGCGGCTAGAAGAAGCCGAGGCTAAGCACGAGAGAACTGCCCAGGAGGATCATGAGGCGGACGTGGCAAGGAAGACGCGGGGAGAGCCAAATCCAATTGACCCCTATGGATATTTACCACCGATACCGCATGAGCGGCACTACATCCCAAAGTACGACAACAGCATCGCCTTCATCATCCCCGATGACCGAATCGACGATGCGCGCGATGCTCTCGTTCTCGCTAGCTTCCCTCTGTGCAGCTCTGGGTGCGTGTGCTTTGACTGGAAAACCCATGAAATGGTTCCACGGTATCATTTCCTTGGGGAGAGCGGAAACACTGCTGACAGTCCCGTATTGAAGCTATTCTGTCGCTCGGACCTACTCTTTCGCTTCCCAGACCCTGGACTAGCATCCCCGCATCCTGACGACCCTTGGTTCATGTTAACAAACGATTCTCGCCTACCACCAGATGATGTGAAGAGACGTGGTGTGAACCCGGAAGGGCGGTTCGATGCCGCCCTCTATCCGATCAAGATCCCAACCCCAGAGAAGCTGTACGAAGCCCTCATTCTATTACGATGCCGCGATAAAGATTACCATAGTCATTCCGATGGCAGTTGGACATATTGGTCAAATTACTTGGCAAGGAACCTTGTCAAAACCGGTAGAATTGACATCTCACAGGTGGGAGATCTCTACCGTGCTGTCATCGAATCGGATCTGAACGATCGCTCTTCGTTCTGGGATGGAGAGCCAAAGCTGCTGCGGGCGCAACTTCGGAAATTGGATGCGTTGCCCCATCCCCTTCCGGACCGTTGCCCACACGATCTTTACATCCACCGCCTTATTCATACCACTGATGAGTACGGCAAGGTCTACAAAGATTTCGTGAGATTTCGCAACCAGTACAAAGCGGACACCGCAAGATACCTCAAAAAGGCGAGCAAAGGGGGTGGACACGGGGCCCAGGCATCAGGAGAGGAGGCGGTCAAATATAAAGACCAGGTGCAGCACACCGAGTGCGAACATGTTTGATTTCTTTAGTCTCTTACGCCATGGAACCTGTGCCTTTTCCCTCGAGAGATCAATGCCTCCTTCGATCATGCGATGTAATTTTCACTTTCATGGCTAACAACGCACTTATCAGATTTTCAGCAAACAAGGCCTCCAGCAAAGGGGGTGGGAGGAGGAGGGTTGTCGTTGTTATTGTCAACAGTCCTCTGACGCGGGGAAGCACCCAACATTGCTCTGAGGCAGACGCACAGGTTAAGAATGGAACCTTAATTGCTTACCTATCCAGGTCCTGCAATGGATTTATTCTCCTAGTAAGCAGCAGGAAGACTGGATGACTGATGTCACTCCAGTCTTCTGTCTCCGAGATATATCCTTCCCTACAAGATATAGAGGCTCCATGAAAGGACCATCACAACGCCACTTAATCTTAAATCCAGAACTCATCGCGATGCTTTATGACATGATGCTTTCCTAGAGAGCCTGCTATAATTGTACACGCAGAATAAGGTATGCGGATAGACACCGGTCAATGTGCTCTGTACTACCTCCCAACTTGTAACGAGTGGCGATGCGGGTAAGGCAGAAATAGCAGAATAGTCAAGGAGTGTATCATATAGAAGAGCTATTGGAGCCAAAGAATTCACGAACTGTTCTACTTTGGACCCATCAGCGGTGATGTATATCCTTAGCACATTTCTTCCTCCGACTGTAGCGTCAAGCTAGACTGTCAGCCATACGTGTTGACGAGGCTTACTTCATGCCCTAGCCAAGGTATAACATAAATTTAATAGTTCGTTATACGATATTTAAATCTTAAAGAAAATGGAGGAGACCCATAAAGCTACATTATCAACTGACTGTTGGAAATGCAAGTAGGAATATGAATTGCAAATGATTCTTCGTTTCGCTTGTATACGGATAGAAAATATAATCAGGCGGCTAAACTACTGTCTAATCCAGTTATTGAGATGGATCAGATATATTTACGTTTTTCATAATACACAATATCTCTTTCTTCGAGATTGTACTCGTTTCTTCCCTTTCGCTTTCTTCAACACCAACTTTGTTTAGAAGTGATATCCTAGCTTCATTGCATCCATATTCGTAATAGATAAAATATTTAATATAGCTTGTAACACTGGGCTCTCTTGCTCGACTTCATATCCATTTATCTAGGGTAGGCAAAATTTTGGGAGTTGTTTTACCCGCCTTTTTTTAGACGGGTAGCAGAGCTCCAGTAATGTCGATCAAAGGTATCAGTTGTTTCAAAGTCTGACCTTCAGAAGATGTCTAGGTCTTTGATATGGTTGCTACCGAAAACCATCCCGTTCCGATTGTGGTGTGTGTGCAGAGCCAAACATTTTGGAATTCCACATATTACCTAAAGTGTCTGTCAGGATTGTTGATTCCAGCATTCGTCTTTTCCGCCAGCTCGCCTGGAGTTGGTGTATTTCTCTCACTCTTTAGAGGCCATTGAAGACAAGAATAGACCAAAAGACATAAAATTCCTCATGTGCTTTCTCCATCAAGGTCTCAATATGTTCCTGGTAGCAACTGTGACGGGCTAAAAGCCGTAAGACTACTCCAGGTAAGGTGGTCGGTAATAGGCATTGAATTCGCTGAAGAAACGATCTGACTACAGGCAAACCGGTCCTTCTTATAGACAATGCTCCCTGGAGGGTTTCTGTGCAGCTTTGGGAGATTTCTCTGCCTTTCAGGGTCTAACCCTTTTCAGCAACGAGTCCCGTGCCACTTTTGTAATGGTCACAGGAACACAAAGGTTAATCTGAAAAGAAGCAAGACCTTATGTGCTTTCACCATCAAGGTCTGAATGCATTCGTGGCGATTTCGGCCCGATTTATATATCTTCCTTCGAGCCCAAAGGAACTTGGCACCAGAACACATCATAGGAATCCACAACGATCCTGTTGATAGATCGCTTCTGGAACCAGACTTATTGTTTGATAGCAGAAGAGGTGCTCTGATCCCACGGCTTCCAAGAAATGAGGAGTCGTCAGTTTGGGTGATGTGATGGTCATCGTGGATGAGGCATCTCCCTCCTCGAGGGCACCTAGCCCATTGTCCTTGAAGAAGTTCATACCTCGCCGGGTCTACAGCCTCAGATGGAATGGCTCCGTCATACCCGTAAGTCATGACTCGTCCATGAGTGAATGGTATTCACACGTGGATACCCAACCAGCCATCGGACGGTTATCTTCGTTTGAGACAGGGTCATTGGAGTCTTGCACCCGTGTCGTGTCGTCATAAGTAGCTGTTTCATACCTCGCTGGATACAGACCTCGGAGACCCAGAGCAATGATATGTTTATTTTGAGAGGTTCGGGATGTGCACGAAGAAGGCCACCAGTGTGGTTTCAGCTGCTGTTGGAGTGATGGTAGAGACTCCAGAATAGAGGGATTTGCGTAATGACGCACATGGATTGTTGAAATCATGGTGTTGGTGGTTGCATTGTATGTAATCGTTGATAATAAAAACCTGGCAATAAATCTGGTGATCAAGTCAAATAATGGCAATGAGGACTGATCGATGTGAACATCCTGTCCCGTCATAGCTGCCCGTGATCAGGAATTTCTCTCCGGACAGACCTCTGAGAAGAATGACAGTTAAAGTTATAATGAGAAGGCCACGATGGAGATGGTCCAACAATCATTATCGTAGGTCAGGTTTCTGGGCCAGTAATCTAGACCTCATCGAGGTACAGTCATAAGATCACGACGCACGACGGCACACAATTACCTTTCAAGAGCTCCGCTAGGAGACAAATGAGTAGGGTTATGCAATATCGTCGAGGTTGAAATGGCCATTACCCCAGTATAGCTGTCCCCAACAACTGTTGAACACGGCCACCGGATATCCAGGTCAAAGACGCCTCGCTTCCATGATGGATAGGATCAGCTGTCAATTGCTATACCCCTAACCCATGGACGGATACGGTATAGCAGAGACACATAATACTTGGTAATAGGGCTTCTGATCCAACCACGGATAGTAATGCTCTACAGCCTCAGATGTGTTGACGGAGACGTTGGTACTGCCCATTATCTTACATATACGGGCTAGCAAGTCCTTAGCAATAAGCAAGCTCCACTGTCAGGCAGCATCTAGATAGAAATACATATTCCCCTTGCTGTACGCAAGATACCCCATATCCGTAACCTTCTGCCTGAGGCTATAGTATGCTTCAAGCAAGTCATTATTATTTAATATAAAGTTCCAGTTATTATTATCTATAAAGACTACACCGGGCCCTTCCAGGCACGAGTCATTCTCAGTATACTCCATACCGTATTCTATACTATTAATGTTACTGAATATGGCTAGTGTACAGCTACAATAATCTGTAGTTATAGCCTGCACGCGTATGTATAACTATAGATATATCAATATTATTATGTAAGGTCGAGAGCGGTTTGAGGATCTAATGGATAGGGCTGGTTAAAGATGAGCTGCATGCGCTCTGGTAGAGCTTAACAGGGTGATGAGTATAGTAGGTATTTTTATAAATACTGATAAGAAGTCTATACCACAGCTGATATGTAATAAATCTGGATTAGAGATACTGCTTATTACAGTGCTATCTCAGAATAGTGATATAAATGAATTTAGATAGATATCAATGTATGGTGTTAATATAGGTAGTTCATGTAAGCCTGATATAGTAAGATATTCTATAATATTAGAAAGCTGCATGTGCGGATATGATATAAAGATAGATATAAGTATTAATAAGAGAAATACTTTTCTATTTCTAGAGTTATAGATAATATCACTAACTTTATAGTGTACATGTGGATATAGGCTACTGATAATAATAATAAATAATGGCTTTAGATAATGTACAGTGGTTAGTAACAGCGGTGTCCTTGTTAAAGAATTTGTTAAGACTGTATCCAAGCATGTGTCTATATGGCTAGTTAGATGGAACTTATATGTTTTTAATAACTACTGTATGCTGGTCCATGTAACAGAGAGGGTCGATGTATTTTTTGAGAGGACTGTAACACGCTCGGCGTTCGGCAACAGGGTAGGGTATATACTCAACGTACCCGGTGTTTACAATGTAGACCTATATGTATACTTGGACCGCACTCAGAGAGATAGGTACCCTCAGTTGAGTTTAGGTGCTGTTTCACGCAAGCTCGGGGCTCCCGCAAAGACCCGGATGCCAGGTATGATCGGCGATTACATAGACAGCATGCTCGACTACAATATGAACGATAGCAGGGTCACAGCCCTCCTATGGGGGCTCACGGGAGCCGACCAGGACATACCCAACCTAGCATGTGTTCTATGTGCACCCGTATGGGACTGTATAAGATACGTTACTGGTATGATGTCAGCGACGGTGATAGCGTCGGAATGCTTGTCCAGAGGCATGTGCTTTTGCTGGGCCAAATGTCTACCCAATGGCAAGTATCAAGGTGGCTACGTCGCTGCTCCTACCAGAGGTATCCACGATGATGTGGCCGTGTGTGACTTCTCTTCCATGTACCCTACGATAATGATAGGTGCTAACATATCACCCGACGCTATATTGACCCCAGCGGAGAGCCTGCGTAGCGAGGGTGCTGTGACGTGGGACGGGTATAGCGTGTCAGCGGTATGTAGCGGCAGAACGGCGCGCTTCAGCACTGTTAATAAAGGCGTGGTACCCCAGACCCTGCAGAAGCTTGTGGATGAGAGGAGGAAACACAAGGCTTCACGCCCCACGCGTGCTATGGCGCTCAAGGTAGGTGCTAATAGTATATACGGCTCTTTTGTATACGAGATGTCTACGTTATACTCGCCTTCGTGCTCGGCTGCTACCACAGCATTTGGTCGGTGGTGCCTTGCGCTCTCTATATGCGTGTTCGAGAAATGTGGCCTGCGGGTTATCTACGGTGATACTGACTCTTGCTTTCTCTCTGGTACCAACGTAACTGCTGCGAAGTATCATGGGAGCCTGAGAGACCATTGTAATGCTGCGTTAGCTGTGCTGAAATGTGTACTGGGCTTCACGCCTTTCAGGGATATGGATATGTGTCTCGAGGGACTGCACAAGAGAATGCTGCTGTTGGGGAAGAAGAACTACGCGTATATGTCTAGCAGCGGAGATGTAAGGTACAAGGGTATACCTGTAGCCAGGAAGGATGCTCTAGGCATATGCCGTAAGGTTAGTAAGTGTACCGTGGATATGATACTCTACGGTGGTAGTACCCAGGAGGCCAAGTCAGCCATAGCCTTGATGTGCGCCAGGGCACGGGATTCCTGCGCTCTCAGTAGCCTGACGCTGATGGACTTATCCAAGGTAATACGCGCAGAGGGAGGCAGCTGCTACACGTATGTAGATTTTAACGGAGATCCGAAGAACGTGAAGATAGAGGATGCATCGCCGGAGATGATCGTGCAGTATAGCAAAGCAGAGATAGCTACGAGGATATCCAAAGAGGTAACGCGCTACACGTCTGCAGCGGGTCTTGGTACAGTATACGACATCATGTGGGTGTGCCCTGTATTCGAGTCGCTGGGCTACGTCACCCATTGAGCTCTCTGAAGTTCCCTGTGAACATTGCACAAGTTCCTGTAAGCGGCGTCTCAGCCCCTGCGCCGTCTCTCAGTATCTCGTCTATGTTAGAGTAGCTTGTAGCCATGAGATGATCAACCCAGCCTATGCCTCTTTTCCGCAGCCCCGTCGCACACGTTATAGGGTACACAGACTCACCGCACTTAAAAACCAACATATGCGCAACGTCTAGCATTTCGTCGCTAGACATGGGAACAGAGAAATAGTTACATACGAGCCTTAGCCCTACCTTGCATTCCTCCATGGGATTCTCTACCAGGCATAACACCCACGGAGAGTACGAGCCAACCACACCCTCGGCATCGAAAGCCTCGACATGCGCCCTGTCCACTATCGCAACGTAACCATCACCTTTCCTAAATTTCCACCTAGCCAGACCAACGATGGGGCTAGTAGCCTGCAGAACGATGACGGTGTCATCACCGCCTGTTAGCATGTTGGATACCATGTCGTAGGATGCCATGCTCTCGGCACCTGCTCTATGAGAATCCAATGCCGCTTGCTGAGCCACGCTGCATATGGCTGATATACCCCTGATGGCAGGGCACCCGTATGACTCCCCGGCGCCCTCCTGGAGTACTACAACACCTTGGGAAGTCTGTGCGACTATATCCGCACCGCGCCTAGGGAAGCACATAGACACTACCTTTGCTATGCGCGACATGTACCCTATCTTTCCTTGGGTAAGCTGTTGCCTAGCAACATCTGACATGCCCCTGATAGACTCCCTTACATAGTCCTTCTCTATGTTAGATCTAAAGCGTGTGCCCGTGGCAGCGTAGTGTTCCTTTTTCATACGCGCGCCACCTGAGAACTCAGGCATGTCACCACCGTCTCTTATGTGAGACATAGTCACGTTGGTCATAGGTATGAAGGGAAACGCGGTATTACCCTTCTCACCCTTGTACCCCATAGAGCGGATCTTCTCCATCTCCTTGCGAAAAGGCTTGTGTCCCTCCCTGTGCCATCTCTCACACTCGTCTATGGAATCCTCTTCATAGACAGGGTATACGTGCATTTCATCTCCGTCAAAGTCGCCATGCCAGAAGCCTACGTCATCGGGGGATATTCCAAGGGTAGGTACATCCCATAGGCGGACTCTGACTGGCTGTGTGCTGAAGTACGTAAGGGATGGTGGCCTCACGAGTATAGCCCAATCTCCTTCCTCTACGCACCTCTCCCCAATAGTATTAGTAAATTTTCCAGTGCTTGGGTCACTTGATCTGACGGGGACACGCATGAGCCGCGCTATGTTCCGAGGTAGGGCTATATTCCCCACGAGAAACTGCACCTGAGGAACGATTATCAGCCGTGCACTGCCTGACACCGTGGTACCTAGTATATCCTTTCGCATATGCCCTGTCTTCTTGAGGTTTATGCTCCTGAGTGTCTCCTTGTATCCGTCAGCATCGCCGGAAAATGCTAGCTTAGCGGCCTTAAGGTATTCATTGGACGTATCTCCCTTCGAAGATGCGAGGCTCTGCGGTACCAGGATAGCGCCACCTGGAGCTCTGCACATCCCACCGAAGCAGTCATCATGACTGTCTCTATACTGCCAGCGCTGGACGGCTAAAGGCCATCCGCAGGCCAGGACCTAGTACTTCTCCATTATCTGGTGGGTTTCTGATGCAGAGTACTCAATCGCAAACGAGCAACCAATCCGGGTAGTGACCACACGTGCCGACAATAATATGTCAAACACAGCTAATCCCCATTTGAGCCAGGCCTGGCCAGTGTAATGGGCAGAATAACCTTAATAAGCTTCCCAGCCATGTTAAGCTAAACGTAGAGTCTGGTGACATGGTGCTTAGCTTGTCCTCTCATCGTACACGAGTCCTGAAGTGTGCCGTGTTTCCCCAATATGGTGTGGTTAAGATATGGCCCTGTGGGTCGATCGTTGACATTTATTATATTCATGCTCCCCATCGAACGGCGTAGGTATAGGGAAGATATAACATTGATGAACACCTTTGTTCAATGTTCTGTTGAATGCCCCTTGGTTTAGTACGAGCAGTGGCAGGATCTGCTGACGCATCATGTGATAGTAGAAGTTGGAGTTCATCATTGAGCTTAGATTCAATGGTTCACCAGCTAATGTGCGGCGTCCAAGCACGGACACCATAGAAAGTGATGTCATCAATTGTTCTTGCGGGTCCAATTCAAGTATCTTTTGAACAAGCTGGGTTGAGGACGGGATGTTTATCCATATCCCGTGCTGTAGAGGGCACGAACTTGAGGGTTACTAGGATTGGGAACAGTAGGGGTCACATCTAACCGATTCTAGAATAGTCATGATATGTTAGCTTTCACGGCAATCACAGGATGGAAGGTCAGGAAAACTAACAGCAAATGTCACCTTCAGGCTGATGGTCAAGTTTACCCTGGATCTCAGTTTGCTTGTCGGTAAGTGTTGTTTTGCCACCCCCACGGTGTGTATTGCAGTGGCCACAAGTGACAACACCCCCCTTCCGAGCTTCGCCCAGACAGACAGCCTTAAGACATCGCGCAACCGCCTTCAATGTCCGCTGCCTTTTCTCCTCCGAGCTCCCGATTCTTGAAGCCATTTTATCCACACCAGAATGATTCGGTCATCGTTAGGTTCATCGAGATCGTGATACTCCGAATCTGATACTGAGTTGTACTACAAACCGCAACCCGCAACATTGCATGAAAGGCGAATGGGGCAAGTGCTGTTAGGGCAGAATGCAAACCATAACATGTCCGGCCACATCGCTTTCTGCGCCGGACTTGGCATCTGACGCAAGCATGACCAAGTATCAACACCCAGTGACGAGGCATTTGGCGAGTAAGGCTATTGAGACAGCCGAGCATCAGCAACAAGGTCCGTCTGTATTGGAAATATCGACATTGGTTGTTCTGGACATGCGACTTGTGTCACGGTCAGTGAATTTCTGAGACATGAAAAGGTGGTAAGATGGACAGGCATACATGTTGGGTTCAGTGAGCTTTTTTTCAAGATTTGCTGTTCTGCCGGCGTATGTGCAGAACCGAGTTTGGTGACTGGGGGGCGATGCTTCTGGATTCGTCCCCCAGCCACTGGGCCACCAAGGCCAGTTGTGAGGCCTCGATGGCGATGATATAATATGAATAGAGAAGGCTGATGATGGAAGAAAGAAAGAGGGAGAACAGACGAGGATGAAGGAGTTTATATAACCTTTCTCGAGTCCATCACCGACAGAACATCAAGTCGGGATTCATAATCACATGTTTGCAATACTAGGGAGTGACCGAGAAAAAAACGGAGATATCTCAAATTCACACAGCCCTCGTACCCCTCGTACCACGTAGTTAAATTAATCTGAACTCTCCACAACCCATCACCACACCCAGTGAAAAGAAACGGCAATCACCGCCAGTAACACCCCGACATCTTCCTATATTATTCATAAGGATCCGGAAACCTCCCCCAAATACCCTCTTCCCTATTGGCCCTACCACTTCGCCCCCCTTCACAACCCTCCCATAAAACCCCCCATCCTTCTCACACTTCCCCTGAACTCTCCCAATTGGCGCAACCAAATTCCAAAAAATGGCACATTCCCGCCCCATCAACGCAGACTCCCTTTCTATTATCCCCCTCCTCGAAACATGCCGAGATTTCCCCGTCCTCATGACAGAAGGCTGGGCTGTTAGCCAACTCCTCAAGTATCAAACCAACTGGACGGTTAGGCTCCGCCTGGGACTGACATCTAACGGTCTCCTGGACGAAGATACCCTACGACGGGAGACGCAGCTTCGAAGCGTTATACCGGAGAATGTGCGACAATTGAGGCGTGCGTTGGAAAGATGTATTGATATTGGCATGTACCTGATGTTCACAGCCCCTGTGTAGGTATATGTACAGATATACTAACTTTAACGGTTCGGCATAGCATCGAAACGCCCCGAGTTCCCCAGACCGATAAGCACAGGGTACTATATGGACGAATATCACGTTTCGGATTCCGCCTACAACAGGGATGTTTGTTCCGAATGGAAAGTGCAGGTGAAGAAATCCAAACAGACGGTGGAGAGATGTCTTCGGACGTTACAGTTTTTCGGCAATATGCTGGAGGCTACGCATTATCGGCATTTGTGCCAGGTGCCGGATTCCCGATTTGGGATGACCGAGTATATTCATTTGATCAATCGGGGGTATAGATGTCGTGAGGATTTGGACGTGGCGGGGTTGACAGACTTGAGGGAGAGGGTGCTGAGGGTGATTCTTGCGGGAGCGCCGAGGATTACGGGGGAGATGAAGAAAGGGCTTTTGGTGAAGGCGAGTGAGTTTTCGGATGCGAGGATGCAGCCGATTTTGCAGGTGGTGTTTCAGGTCTTGAGCAGGAAGAATCGATTTGATTTCTGGGCAAAACGGGCTGCATATAACAGGGCAGTGACTCGATCGGAAATCTTCTGCTATGTTGAAGGACGAGGACGACCGGTCTCGGGGTCTCTGATCAATGCGCGATGGCCTGTGGCCCCGCTGCTGGCCGAAGGAGAACAGACCTACATCTGTCCTTTCTGTGGGGATACCCTACTCCGGGCTGATGCCGAGCATGGGAACTGGGAGTAAGTACCCCTGCAGCTACTATTCATGAAGACACTGCTCATGGCACATAGGATCCACGTTTCGCGCGACCTCGCCCCATACACCTGCTTCGTTTCCGGGTGCAAGTACGACCCATTCCGCAGACGAGACGAATTGCAAACCCACATGGAGGTCGAACACGGATGTGAAGAATACTGGAAGTGTTTCCCGTGCGAGAGGCTCAACAAGTATCGAGAATACAGAACCAAAGACCGTCTCCTGAAGCATCTGTATCGGGCTCATCCGACGTTTGATTGTAGTCGGGAGACAGGTCGTCCCCCTGTTAAGCTCACGCGACCAGCAGGGATTAGGGAATGTCCGTTGTGCTTTTTGAAGAGAGATGACGCGACAGATCCGGAGCAGTTGCTTGATCATATTGAGCGGCATTTGAGGGATGTTGCTTTGTTGGCGTTGCCGGGGGTGGAGATTTCTGCTGGTGGGGATGATGATTATGATATGGCGCTCGATGGGGAAGATTCGTGGTGATCAACGACTTATTGTCTGGTTGGTCGAAGGGAAGGCTGTGGGTTGGATAGTTATCCCTTGCTGTGAGCTACAAAAGTTGTGATATACAAAAGTTGTGATATTCATCATTCATTATCGTTCATATGTGATGTCTTTGGATCTTTAGTATATGAAGCCATGGTTCGCGTAAGGGGGCTACTCAGTGGATGACTGGGTGTTATCCAATAGACAAGTAGCATGCTGTGGGGATAGATCTGTCATGTAGCGCGAATGTTCCAAGGCTTTATTATATTTTGACTTTGAGAGCAAAGCATGAGAAAATGGTCATATAAACCAGTTGAGATCTCGGCCCAGCAGCACAATGATAATTCCAGGCTCTACTTTAGATATACATATATAGAACCTGTACATCCAGACCACATCACACCCAGCATTCTCCCTCTGAACAATCCACTTAGTCCAGGTTAATTTGCAGACCAAGAGTAGAGTTCATAACCGAGTTACCGTAGAAGAACTCGGTTCTATACAACCATTAGTACCACCTCTCTTTCTCCCTCTCACACCAGGAAGGGGGACAAGAATAGAAAACATACCCCGCATTTCCAACATTCACATAAGTCTCCTTAGTAAATCTCCCCAAGTTGACCATAGCAAGCAACCACTCCTTCAAATCACCAGAGAAAGTACCCTCGAACTGGGTAGTAGGCATAAGAGTGCTGACCGTGATGCCACTGTCATCATTGACACCCTCATACAGCTTCCAGGAAGTACCGAAGAGGTCGTCGATGGTGGCCACAGCGCCGTCAGTCCAACCGATAGGGAGCTGGCCACCCTCGTACTGCAGCCAGAGCATCAATTCGTGAGAGGACGAAGAGGTCGAGTCGCCTTTGACGTCATTGGTCATGAAGTCGAAGCAGATGTTTCCTATATTCAATCAGCTCGGGTCGTTGTGGGGATGGTATGGGAGGTACCCTTGAAGGCAGTCGTGTTGGTGCGAGTCCACGAGTATTCAGCGGGAATGGAGTCGATGGCCGAGATCTTGGTTTCGAGGTTCTGGGTGAGTCCGACGAAGGAGTAGCCCTTGGGAACGTTGTTTCTGGATAACATAAAAGTCAATTTGAGTGTGGATAAGGGATGGGGATGACGTACGTGCTCTCGACGTATTCAATGTCAGTGACACTGCTCCAGATGACCTCCTTAGTGCCATTGGCAGAGGTGGTCATCTCGCCGTAGTTGGTGCACTGGGAGCCGACAATCTCGTCAGCGTTGTAGAGCATGTTGTAGACGATCCATGGGGCATCTTGAAGGATGATGTAGTCGTAATCGCCGCACAGCTCGGTGGAGGCTTGGGTGGTGCGGGTGGTGAGGGTGGGCAGCGCCAGCGCTGAGGAGGACAGAAGCAGAGGAAGCAGGGTTTTGAAGAACATGGTGATGGTAATGAGTGACAGACGGTCAAATATGAAGGAATGAATGAAGCTGGGCAATGATAGGAGCTGTAGGGAGGAATAACCTTTTAAATATTAAGCTTAATCTCCACACTGTTTAGGTGAAACAGGGTGAAACCGGTGGTGGAGATGCCACGGCACGGGAAATGGCGGGAGTGACGCGCCTTGAAACAGGCCGATCCATCTCAGGGATCGAATCGGTCGTCGACCGAACCAGGGGTCTGCTGTATTTCGATATATAGTTCGCTCTGGATGTACAGGTTTACCTGCCGAAATAGGGTGGAAAGTGTTGAAGAATAAACCACATGGTTAGAATTGACTGCAGTGATATATATTTGGCAACTAGGATACAATTACAGGGAATGGCAGGGGCAACATTGGCTTGTCACAAGAGTGTGGACTCTGTCCATACTAATAATCGTCTAGGCATAACTAATGGATTTCACAGAGCGACTGATGGAAAGCAACGATATACTCAACCCTCAACATATCATGAACCACTCGGAAGCGGTCCCTCCGCAGTTATACAAGTTATGAACGCACGAGGAATGTATAAATGTAGCACAAATTTCAACCCAATGCTTCACAAAAATTGGCCTGCTGCTGCCATCGCCATTCAAGCGTGGCAAACAACAGCCCATCAACAGCACTGATAGGCTGTCATCTCTTAGGACGCTCGTGCGGCTGCCTCCGGTCCGGAAGTGCTGCCCGGTATCGATCGAGGACCGACCACACGACCCCTCGGATGCTCGCGATTCTAAGCCCGATTGGACGCGCTTGGCAGGGACCGGTGCCCCGATGCGGTCTAGCCGAGGGATGAACACGCGAACCGGGTGTGCCCGCCACCCATGATTGGTCAACCGCCGGAGGGCTGAGGCTGCGGCTGGACACACCGTCATCGGAAAGCCACAAACAGACCTGGCAGGGCAGAAGTACTCCGAGGTACCCAGTACGTACCCAGATAGGCAGGTCGTAGCTCCTGCTGGGCTGAGATGGTCCGGCTCAATTTCGAGGCGGCAAGAGTTAGACCCCGACTAGCCATCACCACGACAAAACTATTGATCCCTCGGGAGGCTCCCCGCGGCCAATTCACCAGCCATCCCAACCGGCGTGGCTAAAGAGAACCGGTTCCAACCCATGTGCCCGATCGGGAAGGATCGACGGGCCGAGTGAACCGGTTCATGCAAGCAGTCGAAGAAACGGGGCGCCGTGCATGCGATCACTGGATGTGACCGATGCGATCGGCGGGGTTGATGTCAGGTGCAAAAGAAACCTCTGTGGCGCGCCAGAAATAGTGTGGCGTGCTTCGTTTGACGTGGCTGTGCCCCTCGACGTCAATAGTCGCAATAGCCGATGTCAAAAAACCTGTCTGCTCTCGGTTTGCCCCGCCCGTCGCAGGGATAGAATCGGAGGGATCGAAGAGGAAGACCCGGAGTATAATTTCGGCCGTCATGGCCAGTTGCCTGTTCATCGCTGGAGGAACAATCGTGGACAGCAGATTGGGTGCGACATCCCCACCGGAGTCTCGCCGGTACATCGACTGAGGTAGGTCCTGGACTTGAAACGCGTATAGGAATATAATATTGACTAACTCATTGTACATTGCACATCAGCCGGGATCTTGACCGCGGTCCTCAACCATATCCCGAGGACGACGATCACACAAATTTACACCCAATTCTTACAACATCACATCGACTAGCTCGTTATCGCAAAACCCAAATGCTGCATTCAGCAGCCAAGACGGGGAGACAGCCCCTTGCTGTCTGTCACACGATCCCGGTAGGTCCTGATTGCAAACTCGAAGAATCGATCGACATCAGCCACATTGGAAGCCAGCCCAAACGACACTCGGACCGCTCCCCCCGACGGAAGTCCGTAGGCATGAATGTAGCCGTCGATCGTGGTGACCTTGCGCAAGCGGCGGCGCATCCGCCGGAGCAGACGGGCATCCAACCCAAAGGCGTTCTCCATGCCGCCCGGGTTGCAGAAGCACCCGGTGCGCAAGGAGAACGAGGCGGCCGCCGATTCGTGCGCCACGAGTCGCTCGTCGACAATCTTGCCTTGGGAATCGAGGAAGTTGAAGCAGACGGTGCCGCCTCGGCGCTTGAGGTCAGTGGGTCCATAAACTTCCGCCATCGGCGCGCCGTCGCTGTGTCGCAAGGCAAGCAGGCGCTGGAGGAACCAGCCTGTCAGGCAGCGCACGCGGGTGGCAATCATTGTCATGTCAATTCGCTCCAGCCACTCGAGGCCGACCTGAACATCTGGGATTGACAGAAAGTTAAGGGTGCCATCCTCGAATCCAACCTCATCGGCGGCCAGGGTGTGATGCCGATGTACCACCCCCGCCGCCAGCACGCTGCCTCCTGAAAACCAGGGACGAGACAGGCGGGAGAGCGCATCACGGCGCGCGATCAGGCAACCCAGTCCGGTCGGGTATCCAAAGAGCTTGTACCAGCTGACCATGACGAAGTCTGGTTGTGGGTTGCCGTCTGACAGATCCAGTCTGTTGGTGGGAAGGTAGGCTGCGGCGTCCAGCAGCACATCATAGCCGCATTCCTGGGCCAGGGTGACCCATTCCAGAGGATGGCGCACCCCGCTAAGGTTGCTCTGGGCTGGGTAGGCAAACAGCCCGCGCTCGCGCGCTGAACGGCCTCCCTTGGCGATGCCCATCTTGTCCAATCCCCATTCCCACCAGTGGCCTCCGAGTGCCTCCGCCAGGACGGCCGGATTGACTCGTAGCTCCGGGCTCTGCGAGGTCACGTAGACTGTGCGTGCGTTTCGAGCCCGCGCGAACTCACGAATGCCATTCACCGAGTTATGATTGTCCTCCGTCAGGATAAAGGTCTTCTGCCGGGTGAATGGGTAGGCTTCACCAACCAGGCGTGCGGCTCCGGTGGCGTTTTGGGTAAAGATGGCAGTATATGTATCGGGGGTGGCATTGAGGTAGGCGAGGACGTGGGAACGCGCTTGTTCGACCAGTCGCGTCGAGTTTTCGCTGGTGGGACTGACTGAGTGTGGGTTGCCAAAGATATGCTCGGTCAGGCGCGCATTGTGGGCGTTGTATTGCGACTTGGCCGCGAGGCCGGAGCCGGTATAATCCAGGTAGGTCTGCCCTTGTTCATCGAGATAGTTGTACTCGGTCTCCCGCAAGTGATCGAGCAGGGCTGTGTCGGCGTATTCGGGGAAGGTTTCCAAAATGGTGCTCATAATGAAGGTTGAGCCTGGGTGATAAAGGAAAGGATCGGGCCTCAGGCAGCTTGGGATGAGGGATCGAGAGATTAGACAAGTGTGAGATCAAGGCCAGCTCAGGGAACGGATGAGTAGATGGGTGAGGGGAGTAGGGAGGTAATAAATACATTTCCCAAGTAGTAGGAGAGGTGAGGGGTATAAGAGAAGTGAAGGCAAGGAATAGAGAAGAGGGGACTGGTGGGTTACATCCCACTCCAGCCCACCGGTTCGTTTGTGTGAACGAGAGGAGCAAACGGGGCCTGGAGCAGATAGTGAATTGCCACCAGCGAGATGGTGGCCTGGGCGAGGGAACTATTGGAACTGCCCCATGATGCCGTCAGATGAACACCTGAACCCCGTTCAGCCGCAAGCCAACACGAACGGCCAGTTCGCGCCCTACCTGAGAACTAGGGTTGGTTCGTGGGCCCGGTCTAGTCAGCTGCAAGCCACATTCACAGGAGCACAGTTCCCTCGCTGCTCCTGCAGCAGGTCCGAGTCACATCCTCTAGTCTCTGTCCGGCGGAAATACCCGCTGTCTACGTCTGCTGTCGTGTCCCCTCCATTTGCACAACTCGTGGCGGGCTGAACCGATTCCTTTTGAGGGTGTTGTCGGAGATTGATGGCCCGACTTTGCCACAGTAAGCCCTCAGATGCGCTCAACATGCTGCTTGATTGGTGTCGATTTCTCGTTCTCTCAAATGATCTATCTCCTGGGCTGGGTATAATTGACCCGCCGTGTCTCAGTTGGTCTACTGGGATGCGATGCTTCATTTCACAGATGATCGACATCCACCTCCTGAGCCATCTTTATCGGAGGGGAGGGATTGGGTGTCATTGGGCAGCGGTGGGAATCCTGCAGATCAGTTGGAGAGAGATCGTAGATCTAGCATGGAGACCGCTGGGCGGGCGATAGGGCTGCTGTCTTGACCGGCAAAAATGGAGCCCGTGAAGGCCGAACAAAGACATTATTGAATCTACAGTGGCCCCCGCGGCCAATGGGGGGTGGGAGCGAGATTCCGCGACAGCACCACCCACGCTATCTCCTATCCCTCGATGGTAGGTTCGTGATCGGGCAAAGTCCGGAAAGTTATAGTGATGCTAGCCGCGCTCATTGGTTGCTATTGAGAAGGTGTTGCGTAGTCGATCCCAACACAGGCGCGCTATTCATTCCGAAAATCCCGGCCTGAGCGGTTAGTGATAAGGATGGTGCATGCATTCCCAGCAGCCTCAATCAGGCCGCGGGATTTTTTCGGATGGGCTTCCTTACGGCCGCGGTGCTGTAGTTAGTATGCATCTGCAACCGAGTTAGTAAAGACCTCGAGGGGTTAATGTGGAGAACGCACCTTTCTACCACGCAGTCGACAAGGGAGAGAAGGAGGGGATGAAGGAGAGAGAAGAGAAGGAGGGGCAGCCGAGGCGAATCACATGGCCGAGACAAACAGCCTAAACAGTAAACACCCGCCCGGCAGCCTTGTTCTCTCCCACCTTCTCTCCTCCCCTCCTCTCTTCCCATCCTCCATCCTCTTCTCCCACATGAAGCTTATCTCTCTTGTCTCGGAGAATCCCCTTCTGCCTCTAGTTTGATGTTCAAATCACCGCCGGATAAGATGACCGTGTGCCAGGAACCATCTCGCGCGCCGTGATATGCCTCCCATGCCAAGGTTGCGGTGAGTCTCCATTTTTTGGTTCATCTGCACCCCACCAAAGGCTAACCTTATCACTGGCCGCACGGATGAACCCAGACCCTCTTCTAGTTCCTCGGTCAAGATTGTCGCGTCGAATCACATTCCACCATCCAGGTACAGGAGCATGAGGATAATGTTATGGCTGGGACTGCTAGCAAGTCAAAGGCAGTAGAGGTTTGCAGAAGTGGAGGTCCTTTCCTGGAGGCTGATTCGTGTGATCGACAGGCAGATCTCCCGTCACCCAGCTATTTGTCATCGACCCTGGTCGCATTTCAATCTCGACTGGCTTCCGTCAAGAATGACGCACTATTCGAATAACAACCACGTGGATTCCGGCATCAGAAAAGGAGACGGACATGCCGAAAGAAGATGCGACCATGAAAGGGGCGTTGACGAGACCGCAGATGGCCGTTCGCCTCTTGTTGACGCCGTCGCCGACCCGGGTCCGAACAATACTTTGATGCACCACTATACTGCCAGCCATAGAGCACTCAAATACACTTGCAGTTGCAGCTGCATTGCGCATATGATATCTTCAGAGCGTTAGTTAAGCGCCTATCAAACGCGCAGGGACATGCGAGCGCTACAGGTGTCGGTTGCGAACGCGCCCATGGATATCACGAGGATAATTCATTTGATGGTAGTGGTAGATGGTATCCGCCGAGAGAATTCCCTAGTTTAATCCCTTGCAGTGGCTATCTCCTTTCTACTTCGCTGGGATTCCCGCTGTTTGCTTGAGAGCAGGACTCGGTTTACGTGAAGCGGTTCCATGGTAGCACCCGCTATTCCAATATATTGACTGCTAAACCAGTAGGATCGCGCGAAGGACTGGTCACACCTCGAATGCGTGCGTATATTCTGTATGATGACGCGGGTGACCAATTATCCGAATAGACTGTCTCCAGTGACCGAACATGGCTCTCACATTGTTTCACTAACATGTCTAGGCGCCGAGCCCGGGCTCGTTGCTTCGTTCTTTGATTTAGTAGTCACCATGACGGTCGCAGTACACAGTCTAATGTTGTATTTTATCATTTGAAAGCCAATCTACTGGCCGGCGCGGTTATAGACCTGCAACAAAATCCCGCACAAAATGAGGAAATAGCCGCCATTGGCCGAGGACGGGACCTGACAGGCAAGCAAAGCCTCAACGGGGCGGCATGATAGGCTTCCGGGATCTCATGCAGCTACTCTGCCTCGCTGCATGATCATCCACAAATTTGAAGATGCAAGCCAAAGGGGACATTTGATGGGATTGGACGCCCAAAATACTACACTGGCAGGTCCCATCGCATTTGCGCCATTAATTGGTCCACGGTTTCTGGGCCCATTGAATAACGGAAAGCGACATCGAAATATTGCCTACCAGGCCTTATGCAGATGGTTGTGGACCCACCACAGGTCTTGATTTGTCACTCTGCCATTATGCGGCTATGGATTGACTGCCCTTGGGTGCAGATTTTGCGGTCGGAAGTTGACGACATGCACTCACTGGACGAATTCAGTCATCACTGGTTTGAGTTGATGCGGTATTCATCAACTGTAGGGTATCCCGTACCAGATTCGACCGCTCATTGGTAAGGCCATAGGATAAGTCTTCACGGTGATCGCAAGAAGCGAAATTTGGGCCTGGAGCTGATTCAATGCCGATGGTTGACTGAGAAATAGTTTGCTGGAGTTCTAGCCCAAAGCTATGAACTGAGGTACGTAATCTGTCTTTTGGCCTTGGGTTCTTCACAATGCCAATGACAGACTTGCGGCAGCCTAATCAAATGAGCACTGATGACGCAGACTTCTCTCACTAGTAGGGCATTTGGATGCGTAACACTTATTCATCCTCAGAGCTTAATGGTCATAGTGAATTCTGCTCAAGACAGCAATATAGTACTCAGCCATAGAGCTCTAATTTACTACGATTCATGCAAGTTCGGGTAATCGAGCTATACTCTAAGGCATTTGGTGGTAGGTTACTTCGAAAGAATCCGCGGGATCTTCATAGAAGATAACACTCGCCCAGACGAAGGCTTCCGACTAAAACTGCTGTGGCATCCGATGAGGGACCAGCTTTCATCATAGTCATCCTTTCATGGCAAGGATGGGCTTTGGGTGAATATATTAACTCGAGAGAACGATCACCTTGATATTCGACCGAATCCTTGTCAATCATCATGTAGCTCAACCCAGGCTGCCACCGGATGCCATGGATGGCGCACTGACCCTTTCATGTCCGGGGTTATGTCTGGCTCGAGCCAGATCGGTTCCAACGATGCTCATTCATAGCAATGGCCCGAGGGTGTGGGACATGCCACATTGGATGGACTGAAACTGACAGACTTAGGTTCTTCCACGTATGCCAGTGGATAATCTGATCCCTTCTCGAGCGGATGATGCTCGGTCTAGAAATCACTGGCCAGAGAGCTTTGATACGTGCGACTATACGAACTGGCAATGGTCGAGAGAATACCGTCGCATGAGTACTGGAGATCTATCGCTAATACGAGGGTCAAAACTAGGTGTGTGTCTTGTAACCTGTGCCTAAGGGCTATACAGCTATATCCAGAGCCATGGTTCGAACGAACCTTCCTCGTATTTACTACGAGCGAATACCTTTGAGCCGATAACAGGGATCTCATAATGGAACAGTCGAGTCAGTGGCGCGCCGACTGGGATTGACACGAACATGAGCTATCGCAGCCTTTGTTCGGTATTGATGGTCAGTCAGCTGCCAGACATGGTGGGATTCCCACTCCGAAATGTCAAGTTCATACCAGTAGGCCAAAACGATATACCGCTGGCGTCTGGAGAATAGACGGTTCGATATTTCTACCTGTTCCAACAAGAAATCTCACTCGTTTGCGCGTGGTATCAACTAAATTCGGCATCCGGGGAGGCAGGAGGTGTTACGAGGACAGCCGAGGCTTATGACCGCCCAGCACAGGTGAAACGAGGTCGGGCCAATCCGGCGCACTCGGGCTGGCATAAAGGAACCAGATGGGTTGGATATCCTCCATATCCTCCGAATTGAGAGTCGAGCCAAGATGACACCGATTTCCACTCCAACCACCATGCACCGGAGTTAAGCGCAAAGCCGGAATCCGTGTCGGCGTCCGTTCTTTGTTCCGCTCCCTCCTCCTCTTTGTGCCTACTTATTGCCGCTCATCTTTGCGTCACAACCTTGACCAAATCAAGTCTCCGCATCACCATAATGTCCAAGATTCTCGTTGTTGTAGGCGCGACAGGCCAGCAAGGCGGTTCCATTGTCGACACCGTCCTCGCCGACCCGGAACTAGGCCAGGAGTACACCATCCGAGGCACCACCCGCGATCCCTCCAGTTCCAGCGCAAAAGCACTGGCCGCCAAAGGTGTCGAAATTGTCTCCGCCGATTTCTCCGACCCGGAATCCCTCCAGCGCGCCTTTACCGGAGCCCACGTTGTCTTCGGAAACACGACCACCATTTACGATGGCCACACGTACGAGCACGAAGTCAACCACGGCCGCGCTCTGGTAGATGCTGCGGTCGCAGTGGGCGTCCCTTTCTATATCTACTCGTCCTTACCCAACATCTCCAAGAACTCCAACAGGGCACTCAAGTGGGGCGGCCATTTCGACGGCAAAGAAGAAGTCGAGCAATACATCCGCAGCCTACCCATCCGAAGCGCCTTTATCGCGCCCGGGTCATTCATGTCGAACTTCCACCAGACCATGACACCGCGTGCGATGGGCGATGGCACGTACGCGCTGGCCTCATTCGTGACGCCAGAAACGCAGTTGCCACTGATCAACACGGCAGGCGACACGGGTAAATGGGTGGCGGCCATTCTGGCCGATTTTGCCAAGTACGAAGGCAAGGTGTTGTGCTGTGCTACTGCACTGTATAGCTTTACGGAGATTGCCGAGACGATGAGCCGGGTGTCGGGCAAGACGGTGGTTTATCGCCAGCTGCCGGAGGAGATATGGCGGGGTTTCTTGCCACCACTCATGGTGGACTATATTGCGGATATGTTGAAGTCGTTCCAGGATTATGGGTATTATGGTGAGGGGACGGAGGAGAAGGTGCGGTGGTCGGCGGAGCAGGCAAGGGGAGAGTTGACTACCTTGGAGGGGTATTTGCAGGCACATTCATTGAGTCTGAAGTGATTGACTGGACTGCGGTACACGAGATGGGATGAGCTATCATGGCCCAACCCATACCAAGTGTAGGGATAACCTGAGAACAACCCTCCACTGCTCATTGAAATTCACTACAAGGATCGTCAATCACATCCCAAGTAATAAATCAACATTCCTTCCAGTCCAAATAAATATTATAAGAATTATCAACAATCGACCTAAGGTTTCAACCCCTCTCCACCATAAATCCCAGCCAGAATATACAATCCCATCCCTTATACCCATTCATCCACTAAAAGCCCTCCCTTCATCCCATCCATTCATCCAAACTGACCAACTTCAGACAAACCCAACCTCAATAATCGAATCCCAACTTCCCTCAGGCTTCGACACCCCCTTAATCCCCAACTTTCCCTTCCCATTGCCCCCATCCACTATCCCCACCACCCTCTCCCAATCCTCCCTACTCCTCTCTTGGGTCCCCAACATCTGAAACATAGTCACATCGACATTCCTATACAAATCAGCCTTATTCCACCCCTTCACCCACCCCCACCCCCCAACCCCAAAAGCAGGAAAAGAAAGAGGGAAAACTAACCGCATATACCTCTCCTGCACCCTCCCCACCACCCCGGGCTCAACCACCACCACCTCCACCAACAGAATCCTACTACTCCTCTTCATAACAGGCACAATCCCACCCAGAATCCTCGCCGCATGACCATCCGACCAATTATGACATACATGACGAAGTACATATACGTCTGCGGAGATGGGTTGCGGGTGAAGAAGTCGTGCGCCATGAAGGATACTCTGTTTTTGAGAGTGGGGGGGGGGGGGAGACCAGCGCGTCCGGAGTCAATGGTGTGGGCGTAGTCTTGCACCATGAAGGTAAGGTTCGGGTTGGTGTGGATTGTGGATTGGGCGAGGGCGATGCTGAGGGGGCCGGAGGAGCCGCCGACCTGTTTTTTATATTATTATCATTATTAGTATGGGTTATGTGTAAGAGTGAGGTGGGGTATGGGTGGATGTGATTAGAATGAACGAATGAAAGGAATGAGCATGTAGAGGAAAGGGAAATAAACGGTGAGGTTAGGTAGGGTATACTCACATCAACAACCACCGCCCCCTCGGGCAAACCCCCCCAATCCCAACCCCCCACCACATGCCCTAAATCATGTCCCCCGTCTCCATCCCCACCCACCGCCTTCATCGCCCCCAAGAACCTCCTCTGTCGTTCGGGATTCATCTCTAAAAACTCCCAAAAAGATTCCTTAACCCCAAATGCAACTCTAAATGCACTTTTTCCCTTCCCCATCCCTATCCCTTCACCCCCAGCTACCACATCCGCCAACTCCACCCCCGCCGGAAACACCTCTTCAAGATGATGTCCGAACCAATCATTCAACGCCTTATCTTTGAACAACAGAGCTGAAGAGGCAGTATGCGCGATATGGTTCGGGGATGGTTCGTGGAAGAGGCCGATTGTGGAGGATTGGCGGAGGAGGAGCTTTAGGGTATTTGGGGAGAGAGGGGGGGAGGTTAGGGTTGAGAAGGCTTGGTAGGAGATTCCGGTGGGAGTGGAGGGTTGCTTGGGTGGAGAGGTCAATTATCTGGTTTATTGGAGGGTTAGTGTGTTTGGGGTTCTTTGGTAATTGTGATTGTATCTGGTAGAGGGGAGTTGTGTGTTTTTGTACTCATTGGGGGGGAGGAGGGTGCTGAGATGGGTATATGGGAAAGCATGATGAAGTGTGTACAGAGATAGAATAGCCATATAGCACGGAAACAAAGGTAAAGGGTAACATACACTCCAACCAACCTCCCTCACCACGTGCGCCGGACCAAGTGCCAGATTCCGCAAGGTCTGGGTATCCTCAATCAGGGCCACCCGAGCAGCTTCAACACGGGGATCCTTCTCCGGGTTAGGAAAGTCAGGGGGTGCATCGATAGCGAATGAAGGAGGGGGTAGATTCTTCGATTGCAGATGCTCGTCGAGGAGCTTAGCATGCTCGGTAATGTGGGCTGCGATTTCGCTGAGAGTTGCCATGGTAGCTATAGATGAGACTTCAGAGAATAGAATACTGTTGAAAAGTGACCAACTGAATATCTGGTATTTAAGTCCCTCCTCACCGACTAACTCAGTGTAGACAAAGAAGATCAAAAAGGGGCGATAGCAGAGTTACACCACAACATTGGCAGTCTCGGCATCCGAATCAACTCCTCGCATTGGATCCCCCCTGGACTTCCCTGCAATTATTGCGGGATTATTGGTCAAGCCAATCAAGCATCCTGCGCCAATCCGGCTCCTGCTCATGCAGTCAGATCCGGAATTGGCGGGATAAAGAAGATAGGTTAGGGCTTTGCGTTGGGCAGCCGATGACGACGATACCTCGTCACCAGCAGGGATTAATGCAATTGTAGAGATAGAGCATGAGAAGTTATCTATTCGCTTTCACTATCTAGAGCAACGCACGACGTAAGAACTCTCCAAACGCATCCATATGTTTCCCCGGATCCATCATCGAGAAATGATTCACCTCGCTTAGCACCTCAATCTGTAGATTCTCCCGTCCCAGCAATGATGCCCACCCGTCTCCACTAAAGTCAGTCCGGTTCTCCAATAACCAGATCATTTCTCGCGGATCATCTGGTCGTCGTTCGGGCCGAGGAATGTTCGGATCCTTGCAGATGCCGTCACGCGCGTATATGATATGGGTCTGAATGGACGCCCCGAATGGCTGAATTTGATAGGCATCAAGCAACCGGATGAACGCGTTGAAATGAGGAATCAGCCAACTCGGTGGCTCCTTGCCGGTGGTTCCAAACAGCCCGATACTCTCGAAGAAGTCGTACATTCGCTTTGGGGGATTCTCCAGTCCAATAGGGTTGGGCGAGTCGATCAGGATCAGCTTGGCGGTGGTTTGACCGTCCTGCGCGAGTTGACGGGCGGCTTCGTAGGCACAGATTCCCCCGGCGGACCAACCGCCGACGTAGTATGGCCCGGTGAACTGGCGACGACGGATTTCCAGGATGTACTTGGTCGTGAGTTCTTCCAAAGAGACAGTCATTTGCTCTGGAGTTTTCATCCATGGGCAGTTGAGCCCGTAGGCAGCCGTGTCCTGGCCAAGCTTAGGAAGAGCAGCGTATGATGTGGCAGACCCTGAGCCGTCCGGGAAGAAGAAGAGAATCTTCTTCGCTGTCTTGGGTTTACCCCAGAGCAGGATCGAGGTAGCTTGCGGTCCGCTGTGTGGATCGAACGTGGGTTTAGAAGGGATACCACGCGGGGTCGGCTTCGGTTCCAGCCCTAATGCTTTGCCGACCTCTTCCAAGTTCTGGTTCTCCATGAGGATGTTGGACGGCAGGTCAACCTCCAGTGTCTCTGCCAGTGTCCCCACAATAGTCAAGGCAAGAAGCGAGTCCACTCCGATGTCTGCAAATGGGGTGGTCATCGTCACCTCGTTCAGTGGGACACCCGTTTCATCGGCGATGGTGGCCCGTAACACCTCCAGCACAGCAGTCTCGTGCTCATGCTCCGATGTTGCAATTGTCTCGTAACTGGACGTATCATCCGTGCTGCGCTCAGAAGAGACCGTTTGTTGGGAGGAATCACTCTCAACATCGCCAAAGAAGCCAAGAAGATCCTTAGGCGTAGGGTAATCCACGAAGAGGGAAGAGGGAACATCGGCACCCAATTCCTCCTGAATGCGACCGCAAATAGTCAATGACAGCAACGAGTCAATCCCGTAGTTGGCGAATTCTTCGTTCGGCCCCAAGTCTGATGGATCCACTCCTGCCTCCTTTGCAATAATGGCCATAACACGGGCAGCCATACCGCCGCTGGATGGGGCGGATGGACTGGATGGCTTGGGAGCTGGTCTGAGAGGTACTGGCTTGGGGATATCCCTTGAGTGGACAGGCGCTGTTGGTTGTGGCTTTGGAAGTTGCACAGCTTCCTTCCCAGCAGAGGAACCCTTTGCGGGCAGCAGCCGGTCAAGAAGGCGTCGAGGGACTCCTTGGAACTGTGACCGTTAGCTTGATTCCTTCTATCGGTATATGACGTACCCTAATCCCCTGGTATACAGCCACCACTGTCTCACCCTCGAAGATGTACGTATCCCCAACGTAGGTAGTCCCCGTCTCCAACTGCATTCGGTTATACACCTGATACTGCTTGCCTTTGGCAAACTTGACGGCACAGCGCATGCGCTCCCAGCCATGATTGATAAAGACCTGCTCTTTAGACGGCGTGGCATCGCTGGCATTCATGATAAACCCAGCAATATGTCCGAGACTGTCCACCCAGCATGGATTGAACACGAACCCGTTCTCATCGATCTGGAAGGAGATTCGGGCGGTCGCTTCGTGGTTATCACTATCAAGGACAACCTCCTGCATGCCCTGGTAGTTGGGCCCGTATTTCACGAGTGATGAGAATAGCTGGTATGCCAGACGTCGCTTGAGCTTGTGTGCATCGCCCTCCTCGGCACTGGCATTCAGGGCAGCGATCCGACTCTGAACCAAATGCGCATGGCGCTTCCATTCTGCCAGCCATGTCTGAGAATCCTTGGTAATTCGAACGACGAATGCGGCATGATCGGCCGTCTTTTCCCCGTCGCGATTGACGCTGTACAGCCGGAAGGAGATGACATTGCTATCCCAGTTGGCAGAGGCCTTGACGCGAAAGAGCTGCGAGTTCACGTCGGGTCGAGACACCAATGGGTTTTGCACCTGCATATCGGCAACATCCAACCCTGCCGCATCACTGTCCTTACCAATGGCTTGCATCATGTGCTTGGCAATTGTAAGGGCAATATCGGCGTAGAGAGACTGGACGGGTTAGCATATGCATACCACCTTGCAGAAAACTTACCGATGGCGACAACATGGCCCCATTGACAACGTGTCCTTCCAGAATCGGTGCCAGTCGTTGATCGTGGATATCAGACTCGGCCAAGAGAGTAGAGCTCTCCGGGCCATCTTCCTGTTCGAGGATCCTCTGGACAGACGGGGAGAGATATTGAGAGATACGGGTGGCTTCCGGATTTGACACAAACCCTTGCTGACCAGCAGGAACCAAGCCTTCACCTTTAAATAGACAGTGGTTATTCCGATACGGAATCCAGTAGTTCCTCAGATCCCAGGCATACCGTGGTAATCGGAGCACTTCACGAGGACCTTCGACTCCGCGGTGATACTCTATCCAATGAATGTCGATGCCATGGGTGTAAAGCACTTCTAAGCTCGAGGCCAGAATTGTCCATGGATCAGATCCTTTTCTCAAGGAAGCAGTGGTGATAGTTTGCGGCCCGAGGATGCCTTTGATCATGCCTGAGCAGGCAGGATGCGAGCCGATCTCCACCCACAGCGTCTTGTCGCTGATTAGTCCATCAGCCTGGGCTGCTCCAATGGCACCTTGGAAATGGACGGGTTCTCGACACGCATTGGTCAGGTACGACGCGTTTAGCAGATCGGCATCGCCAGTCAATACTACCTTTGCCAGCAGAGGCGAGATGTAGGGAATACAAGGAACCCGGTACTGGACACTTCCAGCAACCGTTCGGAAGTCACTCAAGATTGTGTCCACTTGAGCCGAATGAAAGGCATATGGGATATCAAGCCGAACGCAGTCGATGCCCTTGGTTATGAGTCGGTCCTTCAAGACCATCAACTCGTCCACCGGACCACTGACTACATTGTTGGCTGGCTGATTGAGGCAGGCCATGGCACACGACGTCCCGCGTAGCTCCGCCTGGATATTATCCGCATAGGTCTTGACTGCCAACATAGCATGCGTACGGGGTGTGGTCTTCTGAAACAGTAATCGAGCACGCGTGCCCACCAGGTAGATCACATTCGCCGCCGTAAGGACCCCGGCAGCAAACAGGGCAGGGTATTCGCCCAGACTGTGTCCGATGGTGGCGGCAGGAACCACCCCTAGTGACTTCCAGTAGGCGTAGAGTGCCATTTGAATACAAACTAGAGCCAAGTGGGTCATCATTGGGGGGGCTTCCTCGAGGTTGACCATTGTACCATCGATAAGAGGCATAAAACTCGGAAAGCCCATCTGTGTCGCCATGCCATCAAAGCGCATCACGTTCTCCCTGAACGATGGAACTGACTCGAAGAGCTTGTTGCCCATGCCAGTATAGAGAGTGCCCTGTCCGGTAAATACCATGACGATGTTGGGTAGCTTCCCCGGTGGCGGAACAGACCTGTGGCTCTCCAGGCCTGGCAGGATCTCCTGCATACGCTGGCGTATGGAATCGCTATCAGAGCCAGACACGATGACGCGGTAGCCGTGGTGAACGCGTCGTGCGGTGGTGGTATAAGAAAGGGAAGACATGGACACTGTCGGGTTCGCCACCAGATATGCCATCAGAGCATCGATATTCCCCCTGAGAGATTTGATCGTCTTGGCTGTCACTGTCACGAGGTGTCTAGAGCGAGGGTCCTGGCAAGGCTTGCTCGATGGGACCGGGGCATCTTCCAGCAGCATGGCCGTGTTGCCACCAGCTGCACTAAAGTTATTCAGAAATACCGTCCGTTTCCCTTGTGGCATCTGATCTCTATGCCACGGCGTGGGCTGGAAAGCAATATGCACGTTCCGCTGGGCCAAATCGGTGGGATAGGTATGGTTGATCCGGGTTTTTATCCCACAGTGCGGTGGGATCGTGTTATTCCGCATCATCAACAGCACCTTGATCAAGGATGACACTCCCGATGCGGATTCGGCATGGCCCATATTTGCCTTGGCTGTTCCGAGGAACAACGCGTTCTGCCTGCGTGGATTCGGAGCAAACACTGACAGAACCGACCTCATCTCGGTGCCATCTCCCGCCTGGGTTCCTGTGCCGTGCATCTCAACGTAGCCCACATCCAAAGGGTTGATGCCAGCGTAACGCATAATCCGGTTGAACACGGTCGCCTGGTCGCCTTCAAAGGGTCGCGTGATCGAGTCGGTCCGGCCGCAGTGGTTGGTATATGCGCCTCGGATGACACCGAAGATCGGGTCATTGTCTTCGACGGCATCCTCGAGGCGTTTGAGGATCACGGTGCCCACAGCATCCGAACGGCAGTAACCATCGGCCTCGTCGTCGAAAGCGTTGCAGTTTCCTATTTTATTAGCTTGGCTCAGTACTTCTGACTGTGGGGTGGGTTACCTTTGGCAGTCAAAAAGTGCCCTCGGTCCAAACCACAGAAGTTGTCAGGGTTGGTCAGGACATTCACTCCTCCAGCCAGGGCTGTGTCGCATTCACCGCGCCACAGGTAGGCACACGCCGTCTGAATTGCTGCGCAGCTGGACGAACATGCCGTGTCGATGCTCAAACTGGGTCCGCAGAACCGGAAGAAATAGCTGCCTTATCAGTAGAGTCCATCAGCGGCTGGGAATCCATACCTAATACGACCTGGAATGAATGCTCGATTGCCCCCGGGGATAAAGTAGGTGTCTACATTCTGTCCGCTGTTGACCTCGCGCCAGTCATCACTCGTCACCCCATAAAAGACTCCAATGCGGTCGCCCTGGGTCGATGGCGTCGCATTCGGCACCAGCCCTGCCATCTCCATTGCTTCATAGGCCGTGGTGATTGCCAGTCGCTGTGCAGGATCCGCATTCTCGGCCTCCCGGGGCGACATGTTAAAGAACCGGGCATCAAACACGCCCGGCTCCTTGATGAAGCAGCCATATTTCACCCGACTGGTATTCTTGGTCTTCCCAGTGGGATCATAGTGTGCCTTCCAGTCGAATCGATCTTCCGGAATGGTTCGATGAACATCCCGACCAGCCAGAAGCATCTCCCAGAATTCTTCATTGGATCCAGACTCGGGGAAACGGCCGGAGAATCCGATGATGGCAATGCTAGATTGCGAGAATTTGCCGGTTGGAGTTGAGGGTGATGGGGCAACCGATACATCTCCTATTGACGAGACCACGTGGGTTTTCAATGGCAAATCTCTCGTCAGGGCCGAACTGATGAGAGATCCACTGCGCGAGGAGACTTGGTATATTATGCATTCAGCAAATTGGTGCTCCCGTAGGTCTTGCGAAATCGATGCTGTGATACAGTCCCATTGCAACGGGTCACATAATGCCTCTTGAACCGCTCGATAGAACAGACTCCGCAGCTCAGCTGATGTGATGATTTCTCCTGAAGCAGCCGATACAATATTCGTTTGCTGTATATACTGCAGCAGCCGGGGATCATGAAAGTCACCCACTATCGACTCGGCATCAGCTTTTCGGAATAGATGCGGCGCATGATAGGGCAGCTCGATTGGCAGGAACGAGTGCTTCCACGAACAGGACGACAGAAACTCGTTCAGCAATCGCGGCGGACCACTGACAGATACACTCGTTCTACTGACAGAGCTAATGTATAGACGAGCCACAGGAGGCAGACTCTGCTTTCGTTAGCTTGGCCTGCGCTGTATTGGCATACACACCTGATCCAAGTTAAACTTTTCGATGGCACTCTCTGCTTCAGCCTCACTGGTTCCAAGAATCGCCGACCATGCTTTTTGCTTCCCATCGACGGAAGGTTCTAGATCATTTCGAAGAACCATTGACCTAAGAGCCGTCCGGAAAGCAACAATGACTGCTTCAACCGCAGCAGGAAGAAGCTCTGCAACAGTCTGAGAGGTCGCAATGGCCGCAACAGCAAACGCCCCGGTACATGCACCTACCAGATAGGTACTCTCTGGTACAGGGTATGCTCTTGCCCCTTGTCCAAAATGTCTACCTTATCAGCCACCTTCATTATCCGAGAAGATTAACTTACCTGATGAACTGGCCAAGCTGGGTCGCACAGAGCAGCGGAAACTTCAGCGCCGGAGCTGCAATGCAGTTCTCATGCTGGGCGAACAAGTCAATCAGCGTGGTAAAAAACGGAAACCATTCCTGCTGGTGCGATGGCAAATTCCCAACGTGCCGTCTCAGCTGAAAACCAACTCGATCAAAAAAGTCCGCTAGAACGGCGTTGTCCTTGACATGCAGCAAAGAATGCAATGTGGGCTCGAACGCAACCGTCTGGTCACCAAAGACGAATACCTCAGCGGGTGCCTCCATGATGTCGGAGGTATCGTTTGGTGTGCTCGAATCTTGCCTCGTCCTAAGGACCATATTCATGCAATGGGTAGATTTGTTCTGGCATCCCAGGAATGAGGATTGGCTCTGGTGTGAACTGCAATACCCATGGTCAACTGGAGTATTCATACTATCGAGATGATCTTGTCTGACACCCTTCCAGAGTGTTCCTACGAACACGAGGGAGCAGGCAAGGTCGGCCCCCGAACTCGCTGACAGTTGATCCGAATGATCTTCCAGATTCTTCCTCGGCATGCAAGGTCTCATCAAAGACAGGTTGATCCACTTGTGGCCTCGCGATACGCTTGGCTGATGTTCAGCTGGAGCGTGGCTGACGGTGCAGATACGGGTTATGCCCGGAGGGTTCCCCGGAGGTGATATCAGCTGTACCCTCTTCATTTAAGTCGCCATGAATAGGAGCGTGGGAGGTCATGCCCGAGATGTGGTACAAACTGCGGGTGTTGTAACGCCTATACTACATGACTGCATCATGACCATCTGGTTGACCATGGTGCATGTGAATATTGGGTACCATACTTGGGTGGACAATGTCTTGAAACACTGCATAAGGCAACACGCCGTTAAAAAGCAATTGCATTCATCTAGTACGAATAGCTGCGTCACTGCCTTCTCCACACTACACAATCAGTGTGCTAAACCAGCTTCCCATCAACGATAAGGGCCTCCACCCAGCCCGTCAAAAACAGCGTCCTGCTCGGGTCGGCAAAGTTCGCGTGATCGGGGAAGATCGCTTCCTTGTAGTAAGGATCGTTTCGGGCGCGGACGTAATCCTCGACGTCTCGGAACACGATCTGAGCATAGCAGTCGCAGTCGCCGGTGTTTCCCTCGGGGAGATTGCCGAAGATTCGTTTCATCATCTCCTTTGTCTCGCTGGTGTTGTGGGTCTGGCAAGGTTAGGTGTGTTTGATTATGCATGGAGCCGCTTACCAAGGTGTAGGTGGTGATGCCGAATTTCACTAGATGATTCTTCACCACGTCCGCGTGATGCTCACTCAGATAACGATGATATTCATCCTCGTCCATGCCCGGCTTGCGGAATCCGCAGATGGTCAAGACGTAGGGGCGTTGGGAGGACATTGTGGATTGCAGTGATGGATGAGGTGAGAGCACAAGCATGAAGTCTTCAGTCAAGTGAGCATCTCAAACTTATGGACTTTCATGGACGTTCGGAGGGTAATTCTCGGGAGCCGAGGCAATGATGAAATGGGCTGTGGATTGCGGAACCCGAGATTAAGAATCAGACGGACTTCGCCGTGCACTCGATAATTATTCTCGGTGGATATGATACACGGCTGTGCTGAACGTCGAATCCGATCGGAACAGATGTGGCAGTCTACAGCAGTCACTGGCTAGTGGGAGGATCCTTACAGTTCAGCCCTAATGTGTAACCAATATCGTACGATGCTGAGGCAGCCCACCGGTCTCCGATCTAGACCCGCGCAGAGGTCAGTGCGTATGCGCCTTCAGTAGGTCGTGTTAGCAGTACGAGATGAAGTCATCGTGTGGCAAGTACTATTGTACGGTCGTTAGCTTATCAGTCGCCTCAGAATTCTGCCAGTCCACTAATATCACAAGTTGCTGCTCTTCCCTATAGTTGCTAGATAACCCTTATATATTTAGTCTAGTAGGAGGCGGTACTGCCTGTGACATAATTGCCATTAGTGGACCAACTGATCCAACTGCAATCTTTTCGCACTGTACCATAGTAGGGTGCAGGTCCTGTTGGGCATCAACACGTGATCGCCTACTTGCTTTTTACAACCTCATTGTCTAAACAATAGTATTATGCATGATAGGGTAAATCTGGAGTTCTGTGCATCTGCAGGTTCTACAATCAGGTCCCAGCCCTAAGTCTTGGCGTAGGATATATTGTCTGGTTACTAAAGCACTTTTGAGTTGGTTGGTGTTTATGCTGTTCCTAAGATTCGTATCCTAATATATACTCACTCTACCGCGATCCACCAATCTCACTCTAACATAATCCCATTCACTGTCTAACAACCACAACACTCATCCTGACATCTACCCCTCAGTTCGCAGCAATATCAACCGGCTGCATCTTTTCATGCTCATCCACCGACCCCTTATCATGACCAGTCATGGGCCGGAAACCCTGACGAAAGACCGGACTCTCCCGAATCTGATCCCAATCATGCAACATATACCCATTCTCGACAGAGCACTTGACCTCCTCCCTACCCCGAGGGACCATTTCCGCCTCGTAAGCAGTAACCACCTCCTCCAGACTCGCCGTCCCCGCAACCACCTGCTGAATACCATTCCACAGATGCGAAATATCGCAAATACAGTGATTAAGCCCTTGACCACGATCTACCACACAATCAGCACTCCCCCCACCGTCACAATTAGGACAAACTCACACGGCGGCATCGGATGCGCAGCATCACCCACCAAAGTCAACCGTCCCTGACGATTATCCCACGGCTGCGTAACCCAGTAACTGATATCCGCTTTATGGACCTGCGTATCATCAGGAATCCACGTAAAGGACGACCTAGCCGGCTCGGCCAAACTCTGGGCCTTTTCACGGATCATCTCGAGTCGTTCCCGATATGTCGCGGGCTGACCATGGTCCATGAACCAAGCCATAGCGAGATGAAAGATCCACGTCTCCGGATGATCCGGCCCATCTGGCATACTCGAAACTAAACACCCACATTAGCCCACCCCCATCCCCATGCCCCAAACCCTGCAAAGAAGAACCTACTAGACTGAAAAGCATGAAACTCCCTCTCACTCAACGCCAAAAAGCTCGTCGGGAACCTCTCCCTCACAAACCTCGCCTTCCCTTCATCCCCATAACAAACCGTCATATTCGTATGAAAAATCGGAAACCGACTAACTTTTGCCCCTTCCACCCCGCCCATCGCAAACTCCCTAACCTTACTTCTCGGCCCATCCGCCCCCACAACCATCGACCCCCTAACCACACTCCCATCATCAAAAAACGCCACAACCCCATTCCCACTCTCACAAAACGCCACATCGACGAGATTCTTCCCATACTGGACATCGATGCCGTGGGCGCACAGATCCCGCATTTTGGAGCGTGGGACGCGCAGACCCTTCGCGTAGGGTACACCAGCGAGTAAGTGGCCTGATTCGCCGTGGATGATTGGGTAGTTTCCGCCGGCGGTGATGGGGATGTTGGGGTTGCACGAGACGGATTCCATGTGGGTGTAGCGGTCGGTGGGGAGGAGGGTGCGTAGGCGGTCGAGGGACCAGTGGATGGCCATGGTCCATTCGTTGCTGCGGTAGTTGAGGGAGGTTTCTTTTTCGAAGATGGTGTAGGGGATGTTTGCCTGCGTTGTTAGTATGTACTGGTGTGGGGGGAGGGGGGGAGGGTTAGGGTTGGGATGGGATACCTTCTTCAGCGACTGTGCTAGAATCAGGCCTGTGATACCCGCGCCGATGATGAGGATACGCATATCGTCGGAGTTGGAAATGGGAAGAGGAGTAGCCATTGCCGTGGTAGGTCTGTGCTCTGATTCTATTTCTCAAAGGTAACAAACAGATGGTGAGGGGATGTGAGGGGAAAGGAGGGTTGGGGGGGGGGGGGGTACTCGAGCAGCTGGTATTTTTGTATCGGGGCAAAAAGGTCAGGTGTAGCATGACCGGACTCGCGGCAATGCTGACTATATTCGTGACTGGGGGTCTCGGGATCCGGACTGCCTTGTCTGACTGTGATGGTGTGGAATTGCTTTTTCGTTGAACGGCAGAGGGCCTGATCGCGGAGGGTTACGCAGGTGGGCCATTTTGAAATGCTGCGATACAGGTCTGCTCGGATGCCGCGAATTGCTCTGGCATGCAACGATATGGCTGTGTTTGATGTGATGAGTTTTGGATTGGGTGTGGGGGTGACTTTGGTAAGGCATTGGGTTGAAGCTGGATGTACTGACTGACTGTGATAGGTACTTGCTTGCGGATTGTGCCATGTTTGCTATAATGTGTTTCTACATCCATTGAGGAAGTACCCCGGTCCGGTCCTGTGGGCTGCTACGCGGCTACCTTGGTGCTGGTATCAGGCACAAGGACGGCTAAATCAGAAACTGCTCGAGTTGCATCTACGGTATGGGCAGACGGTGCGGGTGGCTCCAAATGAGCTATCATATACCTCGGAGGAGGCTTGGAAGGGGATCTATGGGCCGCGGGGGGATGAGATGGGAAAGGATCCTGTGTTTTCACTGCGCACGCCGACAGGTGTACAAAGTATGCCAAACCAACCCTCTTTACTAGATGCTCGCTAATGTAGACAGATATCCTAACAGCCGATCGACCAACACACACCCGCCAGCGACGACTGCTCTCCCATGCATTCTCCGAAAAGGCCTTACGGGAACAAGAGGGTATCATCCAGGGCTATGTGGACCAGCTGATGGAACAGCTATCCTCACGAGCTGGCGACGGACCCCACAACATGGTAGACTGGTTCACATTCATCGGTATGTTGCACCCTGCTGCATGGTCACTCTAACGAATACAGCATACGACCTGATCCGCGATTTATCCTTCGGCGAGCGCTTCCACTGTCTCGACCAAGCCGAATACGACCCCTTTGTGCGGTCCATCCGGGCCATTTCAAAGGAACTCACTTTCATCCAGATGTTCGCGTACTACGGTCTGCTCCGAGTGCGTCAGCTCTTCATGCCCAAGGCCATAGCAGGAGCGCGGGCACAGAATATGCAGCGGGTCATCGAGACTGTCAACCGACGAGTAGCCCGAGATACAAACCGGAAGGACTTTCTCCACTATATTCTGGCGGCTATGGAGACTGAAAAGGGCATGTCCGCGGCTGAGATGAACGTGAATGCTTTTTCCTTTAGTATAGCCGGGTCGGAGTCTTCCGCTACGGCGCTCAGCGCATTCACGTACTACATTCTCACCCATGCAGAGGTCTACAAGCGACTGGTCGTCGAAATCCGCGGAGCATTCTCAACATACGAACAGATCGAATTCTCCGCCCTAACCCGACTACCTTACCTCAACGCCGTTCTCCAAGAAACCCTAAGAATCTACCCTCCCGTGGCAGTGACTCTTCCCCGAGTAGTCCCAGCTAACGGCGCCATCATCGACGGACAGTTTGTTCCCGCCGGAGTAACCGTGGGAGTCAACCATTTCGCATGCTACCACGACCCACGGAACTTTCACCGTCCGATGGACTTTCTCCCGGATCGGTGGTTACCTGAGTGTCAGGACACGTTCAAAGATGACCACCGGAACAGCTTCCAGCCGTTTTCGTTCGGGCCGAGGAATTGTCTGGGTAAGAATCTGGCGTGGGCGGAGATGCGCTTGATTGCAGCCAAGTTGCTGTTTTGGTTTGATTTGGAGTTGAGTGAGGGGAGTAGAGGCTGGGAGGAGGGCAGAAGGTGTTTGGTTTTTGGGTTAAGCCGGGGTTGTTTGTTACGGTGAGGGAGAGAGAGTAGTTTGTGATTAGATTGGTGGGCTTGATATATGGTTAGATATGTGGTTCTGATAGAGAGGGGAGAAGTAGATTTCGGGAGTGGATTGAGAAGAGGTATGAGATAATTGTCCAAACTTCTACCACTTAGACAAAAATAAATATATCCCTAGTGGCTACTCAAGTAGAAGGGCCCCAACAGTAACTATGCTCGGCTTCCATTCATCAAGACTTGGTGGTTAATATACTACAAACAAGCCGATGTTTGGTTCCTAGTCCACCAGCGTTCAAATGAACTACTAACAAAAACAATCAATGTGTTGAGTATGGATAAGGTCTTAATAGTCGACATTCTAATAGGAATATTAATGCGGTGCAGGTATATGCCATTCCAAGTGTCTCAATCTTCTCCCCAATTCTATCAAATCCAATTCGAGCTCTACTACTCCAACCATCTAACCCAAGCCCACACCCCTACTATTTACTCCATCTCACCCCCCCTCCTCTCCTCCTCCACCAAATCCACATACTTCTCCCCCTCCGTCTCCTCCCCCTCCCTCTCCCCATCAATCCCCAGATCCCCCCACTGTACCCCCTCCCTTTCCATCCTCTCCACCTCCTCCCTCGCAACCGGCACAGTCGCAAACCTCCTCAACGCCGCCTTATTAATCTCCGGCGTAAGGACCGTCCCCTCCCCAATCAACATCTCCAAGTACTCAAAATACCTCACAAAGAACCCCGGAGTCGCGGTATTCATAAAGACGGCTTCCTCATCAAACGGATTACTGAATCGATGAGGGAGTCGAATGGGGACGATAATCAGGTCCCCGGCTCTGGCGTCGACGGAGGGGCGGCCGGGGCTGTGGAAGCGGACGGTTCCTTTCTTTTTACATACTTAGTATGCGTTGGGATGGGTGGGGGGAGAAGGGTATGTACAGTAACGTAAAACCCCTCATCATGCATCTCATGGAAATGGAACACGGGACCCTCGCTGCGTGGGGGAAGGAGACTTTCAATCGCTGCAAGACGGTATTGTGTGTGGGAGCCGTCTTCCATGATGCGGTAGAGGTCTGTGCGTGTTAGCTTTACTCGCGGTGCACAAGTCTTTCAGCAAGAAGAGGGGTAATAGAAGGGTGGGGTACATTGTCCCAGTCTCCGCCATGGTGTCTTATCCGGTTGATAGTGGTGAATGGTGAGGGTTTTGGCGTAGGCTTGGTCGACGCGATCCATGATGACTTCTCAGCACCAAACTGTGTGTGTTGTTAGAATGAAAAGAAACATCTTGGGTATGGCTTATATGAGCTGTTAGGTGGGCGTGCGGTGTTCGGAATCCGGCGGAGAAGGGATAATCTTGGCGAGAAGGTCACTTTCGTATAGCGTGATGCTGACAGAACTTGCTTTCGGCCGGTTGTGATACATTTCGGAGGGAGCTAGGGTTACAAATATCAGCTGCTGGTGGGGGCTTGGCGGCTTGGCGGGAGGCGGGTCGGAGGGTTTGCACTATGCAGTGGGCATTATTCCTTGTATCGGAATTGGGTGGGCTGAGTAAGGAGGTTTGTGCTACTATTGTATATGGTTATCCCTTACCGTGGTGAAATCCATGGGCTACAACGGGAACAAGAAGGGAGACAGGTGGTAGATAGTCTCTGATGAACAATACCGAGTAATCACTCACTAGCCTACTCTATAGACCTAACCCTAATATCCCATCGCCAAATCCCCTAGATAAACTCAATACCAAAAACGACAATCTAAGCCCCATCACCCCCAAACCTAATCTCCCACAACCCCTTACAAACATGCGAACTCCTCTCAAATGTCGTCTCAATCTACATCTCGTCAGCATACCCCAACCAAAAACACAGAAAACGCACCTGTATACCCTCCCCAACACATCCAAACACATCCATCCACTCCGCCTGCGTCCTCTGCTTCACATTATGCATCGTCATTGTGGTGACATCCCGTCGACGATATGCAATCTCCTCATGCGGAGGAAATTCCCCTGATTGAGGAGAGACACCATCGGTCACTAGGATGCGTGTAAACGAGTCCGAGGCCCGTTTTATGGTCTGTAGCAGCTGAATGACATCCTCGTCGGGCCAATTCCAGAATAGGTTTCTGATAACGTAGAACCAAACTCTGGGTTTATCGGCCATAGGAAGTGGATCGAACAAGGAGGGACGGTGTGTGAAAAATATGCGATCACGACACTCGCTTGGAACTAGTGCACTACCCCGGTCGAGGAAATCCTGCGTATCGCAGCGAACTTCGAACGACAGATCTCGAAGCTTCTGCACGAGGGATACAGAAGCAAACCCATACCGACCTCCTATTTCGACGATCTTGGTCCGGGATGTGGGTGGGTGTTGTTGGATCCATGTTTCAAGGAGGCAGTCGGCGGGGTCGAGGGCTGTTATTTCGACTAAGATTAGATGGCTTCAATAAATAAAGCTCTGGAAGGATGATTGGAAGGAATAGATACTCACCCCTCGAAATCCCCCTCATCGCACGACGAAACCGCTCGCCCTTGTCCGGATACTGAACATGCCAGTCATACATCTCCATGCCCCATCTAACAATCCGTTTATTAGTTTCCTGATCAAGCAGCAAGTGCCTACTCACCCTTCTTTAAATCCCGATGTACCATCCGTGTATCCATTCGGTTTATGCGCCAGAGCATCTGCTAGATGTGCGCTCGCGACACGGGTCTCGAAAAGCCTGTTTTATGAGCGATTATCCGGGTAATTAAGAAACGTACGTACTGAAACTCAACCCAAGCACGGAAATCACCATCTTCAAGTAACTCCTCAGACACGGCAGTCAGGGTAAATACTCCTTTCTCCGGCTCGGAAATAATATGTCGACATCGGAGGAGTCCGAGAATACGGAGCAGTTTGTCCGCTGGGATTCCGGAGTGTGTTGATAGATCGTGGAGAGATGCCTGACCAGACTGGGCTATGTACTCCAAGGTCTGAGACTGCAGGAATACGTAAAGTGCGCCGTGGTCCCAGTTCGAGGAAACGAACTCGTGTAGGAAGTCGTGGGGTCCTTGGAGGAGGGTAGTGAGCTGGTCTAAGAGGCCAAGGGCGGTTGTTCTGGTGGTGGCTACCGCGAAGTCAGACCAGAAGGTGGTTCTGGTGTCGGTGGATAACGTTGGGGGAGGAATTCCTGATGCGTTGCAGGTTTGCTCCAGCTGGGAGCATAGGGTGAGGATCTGCGTGGCTAATTCGTGGATGCTGGAGGACATCTTGGGCTGTCTATGCACTAAATTGAAGATGAATCATGGAGAAAGCAGTGACGGGGGTGGACTCGGTGTCAGATGGGATTATTTATCTTAACACCAGGGTGAATGCTCTGCGGTGCCCGGGACCCGAGCATCGTATGTCTGTCAGCGCATGCCAGCCACAGCATATCCATTCCAACTACCTAGTAGAATAGCATGTAGGACAACCTACTATTCATCTCACTAAAAGTAATCCCTAACCACCTACACCAACCACATCTAAACCCGCTCCTACACAAACCCTACATACCCCCATACACATTTATCATGCCATTCTCTAAAACATCTCCTCCACCAACTCCCTCACCCTCTCAAACAACACCCCCTCACCCACCCCCCTCAACGCCCTCTTCGCAATAACCTCCACCTCCCCATTCCCAACCCCCAACTCCATCAACGAACCCACCCTCAGCCCCAACCCCTCCACCAGCCCCTCCACCCTCTCCCCAACAATACCCGCATCAACCTCCTCATCCCCGGTCCTCACCCCCCCAACAGCTTCACACAACCTAGCCACCTGCCTCCTCCCGTCCCCCGCCTTCAACCCCCCTCAATCCCCTCCAACCCACCCCTCGCCACAAACCCCACCACCTTCCCCAACGTAACACAACTCGTAACCCCATGGGGAATCCCATACGGACTTCCTAGTGCATACCCCAAAGAATGACTCAGTCCCATACCCAGACCCAATCCACCACCAGTCACCCTCGCGCCTTTGAGACCTGAACTGGCGAATGCAGCGAGCATTAACCTCATAGTTACGCTGTCATTATCCGGATGTGATTCCTTAGCGAGGGGAAGGCACTCAAATAGTTCTTTCACAGCCCAAAGGGCCAGAACTTTCCAGGGAATTTCACTAGCAGTAGGATGGTATATAGCTTCAATGGTGTGATCGAGGGCACGGATACCAGTGGTAAGCCAGAGGTGCAGCGGTGTATGTTTCGCATAATCCGGATCGTAGAAAATAGTATTTATGGACATATGCGGAGACATAAGTGATTGCTTCGTCCCATTTGAGGTAGTGAATCCCCCGCCCGGGGTAGTTTCCGCGGCGGAGAGTGTAGTTGGTATTGACAGATGAGTTAATTTGAGAGGTTTAAGTGGAATAGTAGTGTAGGGGCTCGATGATTCGGGACTATGATGCTGGTGGAATCTCAGGGCGAGGATCTTAGCCGAGTCGATTGGAGAGCCACCGCCTAGGGAGATGAGGGTATCGATTGTGGGATCGGTGGCGTGGAGGGATAAGATGGTAGTTAGGGCATCGTCGAGGGTGTTGGAGGGGTTGTGTTGGGTTATGGTGGAGATGGTGGCGGCGTGGTGGGTGGGAGTGAGGAGGGTTTGGAGTTGTTGGACTAACGGGGTGCGGGTTGCCAGGCTGTTGCCGGTGATGATGATGGCTTTGGAGGTGGAGGTGGGGAGGCAGGAGAGGAGATTGTTGGAGACGCAGTTGGAGCCGTAATAGACGTTGGGGAAGTGGGGGATTGGTTGCCAGTGGCCGGAGAGGGGAGGGGACATGGTGGTATTCGTTGGAGGTAGTGAATGGTGGTGAGGAGTGAATAGTGTAAGGAGGTTGTAGTAGGTTGGGAATATATCTGTGGACTGGAGATCTAGTGCTTCTCGGGGTCCGATTCAGATATACTGTCAGATCCTGGGGGGTGGATGAGATATATTCCACGCTTGTCTTAATACCCTGCAGCAGAGTGAGCGCTTCTTGGGGTGTTGGGCAGCTAACTACACCCGGATTCAATGGACAATAGCTATGTATGATGGGCCAGTCGGCTTTCCAATACAACCGCCATCCAGACTATTGCAGCCAATAGCCTTTCTATACAGTAAGATTGGATGTTAATTGAAGAACAATCACACTCTGTCTTCTTGTGATGCTTGTAGCTCAGACTACCAGCAGCAGTCCAACCGGCTCCCGAGCCCCGAATGCGGCGTAATACTACAAACATTCACCACCAATAGCATTGCATTCTGCTCCAGCTGAGGATTGGTGATATCACAGTGTCATACAGGATTATCTGTGTAACAAATCTGTATGCAGTCATCCTTCATCCTCTAGTCAAGACCATGCCGGACGCCGGACTGGTGCTTGGCGTTGTTCGGTGGAAATATAGGAGGCCATGATATTAGAGAAGGACATAAGCCATAGGGTACAGTTTCTAGTGTGGAGATGGCCTGGCATCGAGAGTATGGATATGCGCACTCACGCTTATATTATTAGCGGCCTCTGGCCACATGCATCAAATGCCGTCGCTACCTATATAACTATATCGTCGGCTACTTCACTTCCTTCGCGAGTAGCATGGTTTAGCCATTACTATCAACCAGGTAACTGCATGCAATGCCCAATCTAGCTAACTCTATATATAGTCCCAGCAGCTGTCCACAACCGGACTACCTACTACCCGTGCCGAAGGCCTACCGTCTGAAATCCAGTCTATATCCAGTGCAGTCTCTGTTCAGCTGCAATCTATTCATGCTGCAAACACGTCTGTCCTACCGATCCCTCGGTCCCCGGCCACGGCATGACTTCCCCGTCTGGAGCCTGAGCGCCGACCAAATTCCATGTCCCCAACGGTGTCCCAGGAGCAAGAGGAGAAAGTCCCATTGAAGATGCCCCAGCCAACCAGCTCTCCCATGTCAGCGAGGCGCTTGGGCCCGCCGGCCAATATAGTGGACTCGGAAAGTCATGAGCTTTGGGCGATTCAGGCAGAGACCGTTTAGGTTGAACGTCGGGAACAACATCAAGCAGACCCAACAACTGTGAAAAAACCCACGCTACCTTTCGATGATAATTATTGGCCTGCGCACGACTTGCATGCTCCGAATAGCAGATCGACACCCGTCGCAGCATGTCCAAGTCTGCCATCACCCCAACTGGGGCCTCGCCCGATCGAGCCAGAAGCAGATCTTGCAACAGAACAAAGAAAGCAGGGACAGAAAACACATCGAGCACGCTTGCAAATGGGATGATATGACTGGAATAGCCCTGGTGACTGGTCCTTTCGGTGGCACTTCTTCCACTTATCAAGGCGTTGAGACTATACACAACGGCCGGGTCCTGGTCACCGTATGCCTTCAGCAACAGCAGGCAGCTAGTCCGCGAATCCAGTCGGACTTGCTCCGCATGCCGCAGTTCTCGCCCGTGTTGTAGCGCCATAATCCGCGTGCTCAAAAATTCCAGGGCGATCACAACCTGCGGTCCACAGGATGATGCTGCAAAGCACTGCTGGAGATCCAATGTGCGAGCATAATATTCGAGCTGCTCCTCGATAGTGCGCATCAAACTCCCTCGGGAGTGCGATTGGATCGAGGACGTGGACCATTGGCACAGTTGGTATATATCCTCCTGAATCAAAGCAAGGTGGAGCCGGTCTGAGTATTTGTCATGATCCAGACTCACTCGCAGATGCGCGGCGATATTAGAGTCATCAATAGGCAACCAAAGAACCGACCCACGCAGCGCGCACAGACTACGATCCCGCACATACAATGCTCGAAGCACCTTTGCCCGCTCGATCTGTACATCACCATCCGGGGCGACTGGACTGTGCTGCAAGTCCATGAATCGAGCCAGCATACAAGCATGAGCAAATATCAGCTCTGCCCATCCGGGAGGGTCCAATCGTTGTGCCGCGACACTCTGCATGCATTAGCCAATGTCTATCGTAATAACAGCTGGTACATACAAGAAGGAGCAAAGCCTGCACATTGACAAGTCGAGGGGTGCTTAGCAGGCGAGAGCTGACCAGAGCCGCCCTGGTAGGCAGAAACGATCGCGCAAAGTCGCCGAACAGTGCTGACTGTGAATTCCCTGTGCCTAGAACCAGCAGGGTAATTGTTTGAAAGCAAATTCTCCATGCATCATCCTCGGGCTGCTGCTGAGCATACACCCGGTCGAGGTTGGCCAGTACATTATCGGGTACAAAAACGTCAGTCTGGCAGTCCTGAAGCTGGAAGAACCGATCGATAGCGGTCACCACCTGTTGTTTAGGCAGCAACGGGACATGGATCCGATCGCTGTATGACGGAAAAGGCTCTGTCCTGCCTGCCATGTCGGATAGGTGCTGCAGCATGTCGCACAGAGGTCGCCATTCGGCTTCGGTCTCTTCGGTTGCCGACAGAATGCGTTTCCGAAGCTGGTCACAGAGGCCTGAGACAGATGCAGGTCCGAAGGAATAATCTGGTGTGGCCCCCTCCTTGTTGTCCTCGTCCTCCATATCAGAATCATTTGCGCTGCTTGCAGACAACCCACCCAACCCACACGAAACAGTTGTCTCCTGGTCTTCCTCGAACGTTGGAGTCCTGAGCCCGGGCCCAGTGCCATGGAGTCGACTAAGGTGAGATTCGATAGTGGTCAATCGATCCTGCAGTCGTTCGATGCTATCACACCTGCATTCATGAGTCGGTGTATACCAAAGCGAGGTATATACTTACAACAACTTCAAATGGTTGACACGCTTGGCTGGGATTCGATAGATGCAAGAGACGCCCCCCTCCCTCTCACAGTTACGACAGCGAGGCCGTTCCCGTCCGCAACGGATCTTGCGCTCCCGGCATCTGGTGCACGCCAAGTCTGGCATGGCATGTCCAGAACGATTCTGTGGTTACGTTAGTGCGGAGTTGATGCTGCTAGTGATGCATACCTGTCTGTGCTTCATGTGTTTTTCACTGGTTACGCTCATTAGACTTTCGGATGTTCCGATAGTGCAAGCAATTCCCGGACCTAGCAAGATGGGACAGATTGGACACAGTGTTGCTAGCTCGTAGGCTGTGCGTTACAATGCGGTGAGGTACTCTATTATACTTCATCGTACCGGTTTATCGCGCATCAATCCATGGCAAGGATTTCAGCACACGAGATGTTACACTTGACATCGTCTTATTCAGTGGCAGAGCCGGCTGTCTTATTGCTCGGGTGGATCTGGATTGGTCATTACTATATGTTAATGTTTGCTTCCGTACTCATTCGCTATTATTTTCGTTGGGTCAAAGTCAGTACCGTTAATGCGAGTGAAATTTTCTGACTGAGCAGCGGCGTGGTGGGTGTGACATAGGCCAACGATGGTGCATATTTTGAATCGGACTGGTGGGTTCCACGGGTATCATCTTGAGGCTCGAGGCCGCTTAAGTGGAGTCTTTGGTGTATCAATAGAATGATTGTCAGCTAGCCAACAGTCAGTAGCTCCGCAGCACCGTAGGCAGCAGCTATAGATACCATGGCTCAAGTCTAATGTTCAGCTGGGTGGACTTGAGCCATGCTAGCCAGCTAGACCGATCGTGTCTGCCGCTGCGTCAGCGATGCTGTAGTCATCAAATGTTTATTATCCTCTCGGCTCGGATGCTATTCAAGACCAATAATATTTCCTCCGTGGAAAGGCCCTGGGAAAGATTTTATCTTACCTAAGCCTTCCGGTCAGCTCGCCGTGGCTTGCTGGTATGCATTGCCGGTATGAACTAACGTGCAGAATGGCCATCCCGTGCGCCATTGTAGATCGCAGCAGCATGGCAATCGAGACTGTTTTCCACTAGTCCAGTTTTGGCCGTTCTGACTGCATCTAGATATTCAGTTACAATGCAACTGGATTTGAAGATTGCAATTTCCAAATATAATGACAGTCATGCCTCATGAAAGGAGTCTCAAACTACGGAAGGGATACGAACAAATCCTGAGTTATCAGCCAGGTAGATTGTCGGCTTCATAGACCATTGGATATGCGCTCCTGTTTGCTTTTCTCTGACAACGCAAACAGCCTCAATGGTCAAGCCCGTTGGAGGCCACAACCCCGATCATGAACAGCAACGGCGTCGTAGTGATCAGGCCGACATTGTGTAACAGGGCTATCCCAGTTACGGAAGACCATGCGTCGCAACTGGCGGAATCCTGGTCCAAAGGTCGGGTGACTTCTAATAGATATCATCCTTGTCTGCTGCTATCAGCTGATCTCAGGTATTTAACTGATGCCTAGCGATGGGCGACGTAAATACCTGCGCCCACGCTGGCAGTCGGAGATACTGCCACTAATATTCAGTCATGGGTGGAGCCAGTCCTGGTCGGAATACGTGCTTCGCGTCGGACTCTTTTGGTGCACGGATGCACGAGCCCAGCTCACCTGCTGCTTCAGCTTGCATGAAAGTGTGCATTTTGTACGATCTTACTGTCATGCTGACAAAACTGTCGTATTCGGTACGATCACGAGGGCTTTCTCAAGTGCCGTGCTCATCAACAGTAGGCGTCTTATGAATAACATCAATCGTTCAGGTTGCATTATCGCATTATCGCAGCTTGGGTGAGTAGCTAGACCTTTCCTGGAGAGCTGTATTTTGCCTGGATTTATCCATCGAGAGGATGGTTTTTTTGATGCCTCATGGTCTACATGTCCCTGATGTCTGGGTTGCTCATGCTCTTTGTGACTTACGACCACTGCTTTTAGGGCCGATGCTGATGCACGTCTGAGCTCGACCTTGCTTGCGACCAGACTGACCGTTATCTGCTGCTGCTGCACGGGGCCCATACTCGGACAACTGGCTGTTTCCTTGATAAAGTTACCAACATCGCTCGGGTTGGCCGCGAAATTCGCTGAACAGATGCATCATCTAGACAGTCTATCCACCCCATATGGCTCGAAGAATTTCGCATTAGATGGTTGGATTGAAGAACTGCAGGTCGCTCAATATGGCCGTTGCGCCCGGGAATTCCATGGATGGGTGGGTCATCATCCCAACAGGTTTCGGCTGGCTTTTTTCGATTTCCACCACCGGACACCCGACAGCAAAATCAGTATGCACTGCAGACAATGCAGGAGTCATCGGTCGGTGTCGATCAATTTGGGACTGAAGTCAAAGTGGCCAGTCAGAATCCCGATGCGAGTCACGGGATTGCAAGGCAGCCTGCAGCGAGACATTTCTGACTGAGACAAAGGTGCTGAGTGGCTTGGCTTGCTGAATCCACTATGTCTGCAGCTTATCCTGGCTGAGACAACATGAAACTGATGGATCATATAGGGATGAAACAAGTCCAGATTGATGAATATCTGGCGGGTTGTAATAAGCAACTGTGTTGGGGAAGATGGGAGATTTTGGTGGCCGCGCGAGGGCACGTGCTTGTTGCTGCCTGAGGCTGTCAAGGACACAACGCGCCGCGTAACCCCATTCTAGACGCGATGCTACACAGCCAACAAAGAAGCCATCCGCCTATTCCCGAACCCTGTGAAACATCGTCCCGCTATCTTCCGATCGATTACTTTACTCCGTCCAACCCATCATATCAACACTAACTCTTCCCTTTCGACATTCCAGTCAACAATAGACCATTCGCCCAAAGGACATATCCTCAGCTGGACCACACTTTATCATCATACGCACGAAGAAGGCAAGCACCAAGACCACACTCTTGTTTACATCTCGTTCACATTGCAAACAGGCCTCAGGCAGGCCTCAACAGTTACACAATAGTCGTACAGGTCCCCAACGCAGCCAGCCAGCCAGCCCAACCACTCATGATGCCTCCCAGCACTAACACTCGCCAATAACCCCCGATGGTTCACCACAATTAGGTGTTAATGCTAATAGTGTACGGCGCCACCGTGAACCACGCATCCGAACCCGTCATCGGCTCAGTTCCGGCCCCCAGAGTCTGCAGATAATAACTGGACGGCACGCCTTCATCATCAATCAGATAGGTGAAGAACTCCATGATATCGGCCGAGAAATCAGTAACAGTCTCGCGGGCCACGAAACTGTACACCGTCCAGGAGTTGGGTCCCTTGTAGAGGTCCCAGGTGTATCCACCAATGGTCGGGCTGGCAATCGGACCATCCGAGTAGCCGATAGGCTGGATACCTCCGTAGGCGGCCAGCCAGATCATGACTTCGTAGTCGTGAGTGGCGGTGGTGGAATCGGAGGAGGAAAAGAAGGCGTCGTAGGAGACATCCGCCACAAGGTCATCCCCAGTGTAACTGTCGGGTCAGTACTCTCCAGTGGTATATCGACAGGATACTTACCTCCACTTCCAGGTAGACGGGATAGTAGTGATAGTGCTGAGCTGCTTGGCACCCACGTTCAGGACGGCATTGGGATAACTCTTGACTTCACCGCTGCCACCGGCCCAGGTCCACGAGGTCTGCCAGGAGATGGAGTTTCCACTGTCATAATCGAGGTAGGTACATTCGGAGCCGGAGGTGGCAGTGTCCTCACCCCAGAGGTTGTTGTAGAGGATGAAGTCATCGGTGGTGATGATGTTGTTCTTGGTGCAGATGGTGGCGATGGGGTCGCGGGCCGCCAAACCCGCTAGCGCAGGAACGGCGCTCGCCAAGCACAGGATGGAGAATCGGTTCATTTTGTCTTTATCTGTTCGTTTTGTCTGGAGGTACAATGGCGGCTGGATGTGAGCTTTTATTCTCTTTCCGCGAAAGGGGTAATTAGGTTTCGCCCCCAATGAATTGTCCAGCAAGTTTCCTACTGGGGCAGCTGAAGAGTTCTCTAGTGCGGCCAACACGGCATACGGTCGGAGCAGTGTGGCTGAGCGGGGGGCCTAGGCTGACAGCAGCTTTAGTTCAGCTCAATGGGGCATGTCTCAGGACGATCGATCGGCAATGTGTTGGTTTTGGTTGACTGCCATTGAACTGCGCTTCTCAGGCAGCTTTAATGGAATTATTCATCTGATCATACATGTAAGGGTGGTGTCGAGGAGATTACTACCCAATTAGACTCTAGGATACTGCTTTCCACGCAGATACAAAATCTATGATTCTAAGTATAGATTTCCTTAATTCCAGAAGAAATATATCTACCGTCAAAAGAATGCCTTGTTGAAACAATCACGTGCATCCTTGGCGGTCCGATCCGATCCGACCCCGGTTTGCCTGAAGAAACCACTACTAGCTAGCAAAGCTTGATTTCAGGATGAAACCTCAGTTGGCATGAAATTAATAGCTCAATCATTATCCCAGTTGGTTCTTGTATCCACATGGGGATATTAGGCTGAATACGGAGTACGCCTAAGACGCGTAGACAACGGAGCCACACGGGTTTACCTGACTCGCAGGTAACTATCATGTACCCACGACTCTGCCGCTCCCCATAGAGCTTTTACGGCCTGAAGTTTTAGAATGCAGGTATGCAGTCAATTTTCTGTCATTAAGGCGTCCGAATTGCATCCCTTTTCCTGCTAGAGCAATGATTGTCTACGAGTGATGACAGCGGTTATATATATCTCAGGCCGCCGATCTCAAACTTTACTCATCTGACATGCAGATCTGGCTCTATAAAAGCTGCTTTACATTCCAATGTCATTCTGAACTACCAGACACAGCCACAACACAGACAAACATGCGCCCACAAGCTGCGAACTAAGAATGTATTCACTGCCAGGATACCACGTGGTCGGCTTGGCACCATCCGTCCCGCGATGACGAATCAACTCCGACAGAGAGCGGAATAGCTCCGTACCCCGCATGATGCCATGATGCCGTGATGCCAACTATCTCTCTGATCTCTCTCCCATCCATCTACCCCCCATCCCCTACTCCCATTCAATTCATCAACCAAATCCATCACAATGACCCAAATCCACACCCCCGGCACGGCCGACAGCTGGCACGGCACCATCCCCAGCAACACCTTCCCCTCCGCCCCAAACCGCTACCACCTGTACATCGGACTCTTCTGCCCATTCGCCCACCGAGTCAACTTCATCCGACACCTCTACAACCTCACCACAATAATCCCCATCAGCATTGTCCGACCCTACCCCAAAGGCGATCTCAAGGGCTGGCCAGGATGGAAATTCCCGGCCTCGGACGACGAATACCCCGGCGCGACGGTGGATCATCTCTACGGGGAGGAATACCTCCATAAGGTGTATTTCCGGGCGGATTCGGAATATAAAGGACGGTATTCGGTGCCGTTGTTGTGGGATAAGGTTGCTGGGACGGCGGTTTGTAATGTATGCCCTTATCTTTTCTAGGGGGTGGATGGGTAGAGTAGGGTTGGGTATATGCTTACTGGATAACAGGAAAGCATGCAACTTCTTCGCTGGCTCCCGCATGCATTCAACGACTATGTCCCCCCCTCTCTGGCGAAAATCGATCTTTATCCTGTGCATCTCCGCGAGAAAATCGAAGCCATCAGCCCATGGCTACAATCTGACGTCAACTCCGGAGTTTACCGAGCCGGATTCGCCGAAACACAAGAGGAATACGACGAGAAGGTGGTCCGGGTATTTGGAGCGCTGAATAAACTCGAACGCATTGTTGCAGCGAACGGGGGACCGTTTATCCTCGGGAAAGAGATGACGGAACTAGATGTGATGTTGTATGCGACGTTGATCCGCTTCGACGTGGTCTACGTGCAACACTTTAAATGCAACCTCGGGACAATCCGACATGACTACCCGGTGCTTCATAATTGGTTGAAGGGGATGTATTGGGATGTGGAGGCCGCGAGGGCGACCACGGATTTTAAGCATATTAAGGAGAATGTGAGTTTCCCTGACATAAATAAGGGGTGTTGGATGGTGCTGATTGAGGCAGTATACGAAGAGCCACTGGCAGGTGAATCCCACGGCTATTACGCCGTTAGGACCATTCCCGGATATCGAAGAGGGAGTGGAAAGGGATTGGAGTAAGTTGAGTGTTGGGGGGGTGAAGCACCCGGTCGTGTTGGAACATGAGGCAGGAATTCCGGACGTATAGGGCCCAGCCTCAGCATTAGTCTCATACAAGTAGGTCACATGCACGAAAATGGCCAGACAGGGTTATCGGGAAATGGTCCGGAGCAACACGCAGTTAGGCGATGATCAGCGCGATCGCTGGCTTAGCACAGTTGTCGCCAGGAACTTAATTCAGGCGACATTTGACCATCTGCCTCGGCCATAACCAAGGACCTGTCCACCTCGTGCCCAAACTTGCCTCTATACTCTGTAAGAGTTCGAATAACACCCATCAAACAAAGAACATTCCTCGAACAAGACTTGATACATACCTACCTCACGAACCAAAAATGCTCCATTCCCATTCCCAGGAACCTTCAACCCGAAATAAAGTACCGAGTAAAGTAAAGTAAAAAATCCGACCAAGAATGCGACCGACCCGCCATACATAGACACCACGAAAACACCTCGGAACCCGATGACAGAACCACTGGTTCCTTCGGTCGGGCCGGAGACGCCGTTCTGGTTCAGGGATTCCACATCCACGTGCGAGGAGAGGAAAATATACCCGCATACATAATTTTGAGCATGCGCATAATAATATTGCATTATTGGGAGAATCTAGACCTGAGATCTTGTCGATCGCTGATGAGATCGATTGATTGATAGATAGCCGGTTGGCCTGGGCTTGGCGGGTAATCTTCGGCATTAATCAATAACAACTAGTTATAACTACTAGCAATAATAATAACTATAGGGCTCAGACACAATTATACCCTAGTAGCATTATAGTCTAATTAAGAATATTAATTAAGATATAGCGAACGCCTCATTCTTCCCCCCGCACTGCAATAGCCAAGGTAGCTAGCTACTAGCTACATATCTCAACGGCCGACCGACCGACCGACCGACCGACCCAACCCCAAAATTGAGTCCCCGCAAAATCCAGCCCAGGGCCGAACAGATCACTCCGAGTCCCCAAAATTCAGAGCCGATTGTTCTTCGTAGATCGACAACGAGTATCGCAGTCGAAGCCATGTGAGAACGGAATTAATGTTGGTTCTTATTTCCAGGATAGATGGGATTCATGGGTATAAATATCTCTGGGTTTCTCATGTCTCTAGGCTAAAGCATCATCAAGTGTTTATCAAGAACCGTCGAGAATCTACTCTACTCTACTTTACTCTACATTCTACATCCAACCCTCCTCTCAACATATCATTCTACCATATTTACCAAATAGTTCGTATATCCCCATAATCACTATACAACACCACCCTAACACATACCCATACCCAGACAACGTCGAAAATGAAATTCATCATCCTCTCCGCCCTCTCCCTCCTCGCTGTCTTCGCCAGCGCTGACCCGCTCGGCGTGAATGTCGGTGCGGATGTCGGCGCCAATGCGGCGGCTAATGTGGCGGCGAATGTTGGGGCCGGGGTTGGGCTTGATGGGGTGGAGATTATTTAATCTTTATTTTATTTCAGTACCTGGTTGAGGATCTGGGGAAAGGTATGTTTTGGTAGTTGTTTCTTGGGGGGGGCTGGGTGCTGATTTAAGTATAGGGTTGTGTTCTGAGGAGTGGGTAATTGGTAATTGGTTTATTTGCGATGGGTAGAGTATAGATACGGGATTAGGTATATGTGTGAATATATTCTGTTTCTTACCTTTGGATTCCCTCGTTGGAAAAGAGGCATACGTAAGTTTGGTCCGGTAACAAACACACCTACATCGCACCCAGCTCCCTAAAAAAAGCACATTGATCAACAACATACCACTATATACAAGAAGATACCTAAACGAGAGACAAGAAAGAAAAGAAGATAACCATCCAGGCATCAATCCAACCCAGTTCCCCAACTAAGCCGTAGCCAAGAAAGAAACCACCTCGTTCATGTACGTGCTGTACACATCATAGGTACTGGTATTACCCAGGAAGATCTGGTCGGAGATGGTACCGACCTGGCCGATCAGGGTGGGGAGGTGCACGCTATCCGGGACGGAGTAGACCATGGAGGCCATGGTGCTGTGGTTGGTGCCGTTGAGACTGGCGAAGGTGTTGGCGGACACGGCGCTCATGAAAGAGTCGTAGGGAGACTCGAAGACGACGGTCGAGTCGGGGATGGTGAGGTAGGCGGAGTCGGGGACTGTGCCGGGGTTGGTGACGACCTATTGGGTATTAGCGGTGGTGTGCTGGAAGTGGAAATAGGGATGGACATACGTAGTTCTCCGGTCCGAGGCCATCACTGCCCTTGATTAGAGTGGCAAGTTGCTGGTAGTATGAGACCAGTTCCGCGCTGTAGGCGTTCGGGGCTTCATCGAGGAAGATACCGCGCACGGCAAAAGTCGAGTTGCCCGAGGCGGTAGGCCAGTTGGCATAGGTCTTGATGTCTTTCTCAACATCGGCAATGGCTCGGGTGCCTTTCTGGGTGGGAACGTAGCCGATGGCCAGGACGTTGCTGTAGCTGGTGAGTTTGGGGACCGCGGACAGGAAGTTGGCATCCGGGAGAGTGGTCGAGCCCGGACCGCTGTCGGGGTTGATGATGATGGTGAAGTGGACGTTGGGGTAGGAAGCAACTAGTTCCTCCATGGGGGTCCAAGCGCCGGGGTTGGGATAGACGTAGAAGGGGATGATGACCTTGGCGGTGGTGTTGCTGAATGACACTGCGGAGACGGATGCAGAGGCGGAGGCAGAGGCGGAGACATAAGCTGAGGCGGAGGCCGACGCATAGGCATAGGTAGTGGCCGAGGCATATGCGGTAGTGGCCTCGGCAGTCGCACCGTCAAAGCCACAAGAGCCGACTTCAGAGGCAGCGGATGGCTCCGGCACAAAGGTCTGTCCGGTGGGAGAACCTTGGGCGAGGGTGGCTAGATGGTGGTGACGACGACCATAGCGCACATGGTCCGCTGTAACCTGACTAGGCAAAAGAGCCATGCAGCCGAGCATCCCCAGGACGAGGCGAGAAGTAGATCCGAGCATGGTGATAACGAGAGACGAGAGACGATGAAAGAATGACGAGAGGTTGGTGAACGAAGGATGGGAGCAAGGCTTTCCAGAAGCTGGTCAAAATCAGCGAGGTGAGCAGCGGAGTGACGGGGTTATATAGAGGAGGACAAAGAGGATTGATGGATGGATGGATGGATGGATGACAGGCTTTGGCGCCGAAATGACGGGGACCCATCGGACATTTTACGTGAAACACCAGGCGGCGATCCGATTTGAGGACGAACTGGCAGATCCCTGGCCGAGTGGAGATTGCAGGGGTCTGCCACCGGGGGATACGGCCCTCTGATTGGTCGATCTGGGGAATGACGGGGGGCCGATGGAAATTACACGATCCGGTCGGGCCTAACAGCGCTCGGGGTTGCGGGTAGCAGATGGTTTCAGTAGAGGGATACAGCCCTAACCTTCGTTTGCTAGGTTGACTTAGGTTGACTTGTCCAATTGTTGGGTCGAGTATCGAGGATTCTGTGGTAAATAGGTAGGCCTCAACTTTGGCATCAGTTAGTAGTCGAAATTGTTGGCGAGTCATCATTCCATCCATGGAATGCACCCCCACCCCGTCGCCCGGCGGATGGCCCCGTCCAATTTCCACTCTCGCCTGCAGGATTCCAACCTGGCCAACATGCGTCGACAAAGTCCACTCTTTGTTGGGCGGAGCCGTGGTTGCGTCACGAACTATGTCTGCATTGGGATGTAGAGCTTATATCAAATCATTGTTGGTTAGAGGAGAGGTCATCAGACATGGTATCCGAAGCTGACTCTGCTTAGCCCCAGGTCCATCCTTCTGACAGAAGATGCCGGTTCTGAATTGACCTGCTTGGTGACCTGGCATACTGGCGCGATACAGAGGACAGGTGACCTAAGCCCGAGTCTAGGTCCGAGTCGAGGTCCGAGTCAAGGTCCATGCTAGATTGCTGGATCCATGTCTAGGTCCAAGTCCCGGCTCGGAAGGAAATGAGGTACAGTCCCAGTCAGCCGAAGTACCGGCGGCTGGCCGCGCATCTAGACCACCGCAGTCGATGGACACTAGTCGCGGGTTAATTTCCTGACCGTTGTTGATCGGCATTACCAGGCAAACAAAGAAACGAGGCAGCAAATTGCTACGACGAGTCCAAAACATCTGGATGTGATGCGGCTGGAGAGAGAATAATGACTCCTTTGGTGGTACAACCCCAGGTCGACAGGCCTGGTGGTACTCGGATTCAGTAGGCGCCAGTGTACCCTGAGTTCCTGGGCAAACTGCTGTGGTTGCGGCCCGAGAGTGGAAGCCTGAGGTGCGAGAAATCCCTTGCGTCATGCCCTGACCAGTCCCGAAATAGTCTAGCGCCGGGAACCGGGATTTCTTTCTTCCACCCTCTTTGTTGGATGTCTTCACTCGTTGACTTCTTTCACTCCCCTTGATCGTTTCACTACGATTGTTGGTCAAAGAGATCCAAACATTCATGTTCATTGACAATTTATCCACATATTACGGAGCAGGGATTGACAGTCTTGGCTGGTGTAGGCATGACCCCGGCAGTGCCTGAGCGCTGGATGCAACTCTGACTGGTGACTGCTGATGCAACGTAGCACCCCTGTTTGCCACGCCAGGCTTCCCCAGACACGGCAATATTTACTTAAAAAGGAGGATTCAGCCGAGAGCAGCTCGCGTTTTCCAGGGACATTCGCAATTCAGCGGGCCATTTACGAGATATTGATTGACAGCCGGCGAAGATTGACATTTGATATGGCATGAGAGGAGGCCATGGTAGCAATGACAGCAGCAATCAGCAGCGCTCTAGGCTCCAGCCATCGCTCAACTCCGGCAGATAGGACCGATACCCTTTCTGGCCACCTGATTGGTGGGGCCCCCGCTTACTGCTTGGCAGTGTCTAATAAGAACCACCCCTCACGCAGTGCTTTTCTAGAGCTTCCATTTCCACGCCGTCTATACTAGCCTATCTACTATCTACGGAGTACTCCGTAGTATCTATCTATCTACCGACTCAGACTCAGCCGAGGTTCATCAGGCCACTAGGCAATGGCATGAGCTGCAGAGTTCGGCCACTCACCGAACCACACACGCAGCATCTCCACCAGGCACAGCACCGTTGACCCACGACCGGGAGATCCTCTGCTGCCCTTATTTTGTCCTTATTGTGCTGGTGTGATGGTACGGCATATGGTGCGCGGATCATCGTTGACCCGGCCCAGCCTCGTGGGCTTATCTTTCACGGTTTAGCGCCGGAGAGCCGCGGATGATGATAGGCTGGTCATGACTAAGATAAACGCCGAGACAAATAGGGTTACAACCTTACCACCGCCGCTAGTCCGAAAGAAGGGGTAGCCCTCGTAGAGCTTATCACTGGGGATGGAGTCAGGTGGCCAACAAGCCAATCACACTGGGGCAAAAAACAACCCCCCACCATTATCTTTGGGCGGCCCCCACCGATGGGTTTTCTTATCACGTTCACGTTTAAACCTGTTAAGCCTAAGCGGGTGCAAATCTTTGCCCGGCGCGTGCTCAGGCGCCACCCCCCCGGAATAAAATCCTGCGGTTGCCGACTCAACTCAGTTTCTCCTCCCTCCCCTCTCCTCTGGTCCTTAACTGGATCGGACGAGCATCTTTGATCATGGCTAGGTTCGGCAGTCGTGCGATCTCCGCGATCGAGCTGGAGTCCAGCCAGGACTCGCGGTGGTCCAACGAAGGTCGGATACCCTAGATGCCTCTGCCCTGCCCGCGGCACGCGACTTACCTCCTTGCAGATCTGCTTCCCACGCCCCCGGAGCAGTGCAGTAAGTCTAATCCCCCCAGGGACTCAGCCAGTGCTAATAATATAGCTTGGCGTTGGTGGAATTATGTGTCCTTCTACTGGTCTATTTCCTTTACCAATTGGACTCTGGGATCGGTAAGTTGTCGTCCATCTCCGCCCGACATAATGCTGATAGTATAGACCATGGTCGGTATTGGTCTCAACTGGTGGCAGGCTATTGTCGTCATCTTCGTCTCCCAGTGCATCTCCTCCGTGGCTATGGCCTTCAACTCCCGTGCCGCTAGTATCTATCATATCGGGTTCCCGTGCGTCGGCCGCAGCGTGTTTGGAATGTGGGGAAGCTATTACTTTGTTGGAGCCAGAGCGGTGCTGGCCATCGTGTGGTTTGCCGTGCAGAGTACGTTGCCTGGTGACTATGCAGAGGACTAGCTGACTCGTGCAGTGGACTTTGGTGCGGAGTACATGTACAACATCCTTCGCGCCATCTTTGGACATCATTACACGGATATCCCCAACCACATCCCGGCTAGTGCGGGCATCACCACGCAGAAGATGCTGGCGTTCTTTCTGACCTGGCTCGCGCATTTGCCTTTTTGCCACTTCCGTCCATACCAGCTGCGCAAGTTCTTCATCTTCAAGACTTTCATCTCGCTGCCTGCCATGTTCGGATTGTTCATTTTCGCCATGGCCAACACCAAGGGACATCTGGGAACGATGTACTCTGCTTCGTCGCGGTCTACCACGGCTACGGCCTGGATGATTATCTCTGGTATCAACAGTGGTCTGGGGTGAGTCTGTTCCTCCACCCAATGTACCACTCATCTAACCGAACAGTAACACCGCCACGCTGATCACCAACCAACCCGATTACTGCCGCTGGACGCGAACCCGTCAGGCTCCGCTATGGACGCAACTGATCTCCAACCCTATTGCCGTCACCCTCTCCGCGAGTCTGGGTATCCTAGCCACCTCCGCCATCAACAACAAATACGGAACCGACATCTGGTACGCCCACTTCCTTCGATCCATGTACCTCCCCAGCTAACCAATCAGGAACCAATGGGACCTGATGCAGTTCATCCTCGACCGGTACTGGTCCGGCACGACCCGATTCGCCGTGTTCTTGGTGGCATTTGCCTGGCTAGTCCAGATCATGGGCACCAACGTAGCCGCAAACATGATCTCCTTCGGAGCCGACTCGTCCATGTTATTCCCCCGTTTCATCAACATGCGTCGCGGACAGTACATTGTGCAGGTCCTGGCCTGGGCCGTTGTTCCTTGGGAAATTCTCGTCTCTGCCTCCAAATTCGAGGACTTCCTCTCCGGATACGCCTTGTTCATGGGTGCCGTGGTCGCCATCATGGTGTGCGAGTGTATGCCACCCCTCATCCCAACTCCCAAACCTCACTAACAAAACATCAGATTTCATCTTCTCGAAGGGTAACATCTTCGTCTCATCGCTATACGACGGCACCAAACTCAACAAAAATTACCGATACACCGGCGGGTGGAACATCCAAGCCGTGATCGCCTACATCATTGCCATTGCCTTTCCCTTCCCTGGTACATCCTATCCCCATCCCCTATCCCCACCCCCTCCAACCCCACTAACGCAACAAAAACAGGCTTCGTCGGATCCCTCGGCGCCAACGTTTCCACAACAGCCACCCGAATGGGCGACCTCGGCTGGATCCTCTCCTTCACTACGGGGTTCATCTGCTACTACGTGATCTGCACGTTCTGGCCGACGGATAACCACCGCCTGATTAAAGAGCAGGGGTACACGTGGGAGCAGACAGCCAAGGATGACAACGGGGAGTTCTATCTTAATGGGGCGAATGTGGGAGGTGTTACTTGTGAAGAGGTGGTTTTGGATAAGGGGGCGGAGAAGTCTTCGTTTCCGTGATTGAAGGGTAAGGTTGGGTGAGATGGATGGGTTTGTTGGTTGATGGATTGGTTTGTTGGTTGGGCTGGATTAGACTATTTACTCTACTCTATTTATGATGCTCTGGTAGTGATAATGAATTTTTTTGATATGAGTTTTCTATTATGGGATGTATTATTCGTGAGGTAGGGGGGGGTAGGGAGGGAAAGCTTTCCGTGTGTGGGGGGTAGATAAGTAATAAGGCAGAATACAAACGTGATCAGTTGATTAATCTGATCACATGACCATGGTCATATGATTCCATCCAGGCCCTACAGCCTACATGACAAAGACTAAACTAATAACGTAATTCCCGGGTCGTCCGATCATCCCGGGTCATCCGATCACCCATCAAAAATATAGATACTTGTTAAACTTGAAGCTATTCCCAACAACGCAATTCATAATATTTTTAAATAAATTAAATTACACGATGTTTAGGATACTGAGTTCTAATATGCCCCTGAATTCAACATTCAGAGCATGTTGGTGGAGCGTGTTTTCGGGCTATTAAAGGTTCCGAAGTAAATGTACTTGGACCCTCTCCAAGTCTTCTAGTTACTCATTTCTTAATATAATTAAGTTCCTTGTCTCTTGCACTTGTAGACCAGCTATAGGACTCATTTACTGCTTAAATCAATCCTTTTTTTGCTGTTAAATCTGGCTTTCTGTGCGAAGATCATTCAATTTCTTAAGAATCATCGCGGTATTGTATATCGCTATCTCACAGCCCTTTATAAGCTTATCTAGCGCTTGCTTAGAAGGACTAAAAACGGCTTAACAGTCTCTAGCAAGTATCTTCTTAACTGATAAAGCTTTTTTATATAGTTAACAAACTGTATAAGGCGTGGCAAGTATAGAAGAGCTGATTAAAGCCCCCTCTCTACTTTCTGGAGGGATAGATATATAAACTATATAATTTAACTTATTAAGTATCTAGCTAAGATCGTGAGGTTGTATTCCAGCTGCGCGGAAGCCGCTTTGAATATTTTCTATAGAAAAGACTTATTAGCGAGCCGCAGGATAGGCCTTTAAGAAGTCAAGCTTGTTAATATGGTTATATTCTAACCGCATCTTTGCCTCAATAAGGCCCCCATAAGCGCGTTTTAATGGGCCAAAATAATCAATATCTAGTAGCTACAAGAGGTGAGATGAATGAGAAGGCATGCAGATATATATAATATTATTATTCTTATATATCTTATTAAATTTAGATATAAGATGATTCCTATAACTATCTAAAACTAGTAATCAAGATCTTTCCTTAGTCCGCGTAATTATTACAGAAATAAAGCACTTCTCTAGCTACCGGAGACTTATTCAATCTGTTATCCATCTATTTATACTTACTTCAATCCTCCAGTCACGGGATAAATCAAGTTCTTTAAACCATTTCTGTATATAGACCTTTTCTTTAAAAATAATACATGTTAGAACACTAAATCCTGTAGAACCGATATATTCGATTATGGTGACCTATTCGCGCTGGCCTGGTTAAATAATATAAGATCTTTCTAGCATATTTGACTGTGTAATTATTTTAGTAGTTGCAATAAGACTCATAATAAAGCCAGTCTCATTAAAGTTGTAGATATCTTCATCCTGAATGCCGTGCTTGTCTTGAACCTCTTTTAAACATTTGAACTAATCCCTGATAATCTTAGGATCTTCACAAAGAGCACGCGAATAGTTGTATTATCAAGTAAATCAAGATTTGATACTATCATGGTGCTTGATAAACTCAGTGACCCAGTTCTTCCCAATTAGCTTGGGAGATATTGGTAAATCCTATTAAAAAATTATATTAGCCATTTACTGTACATGTGATAGCCTGGAAGTAACCCTATATATATCTCTAGATATAATTCATTGTATCAAGGTCTCTTTCTGAGTTTTAGACAGCCTGAGGTTATGGTTCCGAAGTTCTTCTTAAAATCAGTATCTACTTAGTCAATTTGAAAGCGTTATATAGGGCACATTAAAGATTTCTGCCGCTCAACGAATACTTGGGATTTCGCAGTTCTTTAGGGCTTTAATTGCAAGTTGGATTCTGCCCTCTTGCTCCACCAAGTTTTGACGTGACTGACGCGATTTCGGTGGCATGGTGGTTGCTTGAATAATTACGCGTTGAACGTGTGATGATTTTTCGGTGGGTGATCGGATGACCCGGGATGATCGGACGACCCGGGAATTACGTTAACGAAGGCCAAGGAACAAAGAAAAAAAGAAAAGACTGTCAGGCGATGATATTAGATCCTCCACCAAATTACCCTCGTTAACTGATTAGCAATAACTTTTCACCTCTTCCATTACATCCACCACACCACACCTCAACACCAGACGGACATGAACGGCTCAACCATGTTGATGACACACCCAACACCCGCTCAATCGTGCCGAGACCACACATACTAACAGTTCAGACACCGCAAAACACCGGCTGATACCAGACCCACCAAGAGATGAAATGTCACGCTCAACACCGCATAACACCCGCCGAACAGAGCTGATATCACACGTACCAAGGGTTCCAATATCTCGGAGTTTCAACATCGGGTTAACCGTGTTGATTCCACACCACCAAGTGATAAGTAGAGCTCCGCTTACTCCTCCTTAATCACATCTAACTCAGCAGATGCACTCCTCTCCCTAGCTTCAGAAGCAGATCCAGAAGCAGATCCACCCACAACAGAAGTAGGAGTATTACTCCGAACCGAAGTACTCCTCCTCCGCCCGTGGTGTCTACCCTGGAACGCCCTTCCCCTGGCACCCCTTCCCTGGTTATGGCTACGGGCGTGAGCATGAGCATGCGGGGTCGGAGTCGGAGTCACAGAAGCAGTCCGTCTGCGGTGTCGATGCACGAACTGTCCCGAGGAGAGGTTCCGAGGTGTTCCCCGTCTCCGGTGCCTGGGGGCTTGGGCTCGGGGTGCTTTGGGGGTCTGAGGAATGTTGGCCCACGTGAGGTAGCCCTTTAGGATGGCGAGCCAGGTACTAGGGTTCTGTATTAGTGGTGGGTGCTGCGTTTGGGATTGTGGGAGGAGGTATGGATGTATATATACATCTATTGTGGTTGAGGATAAGGAAAGAGATAAAGAAAAGGGTAAACTCACAGATTATACTTATTCCGGATCAACCTCACAATCTCCTCATACCCAAGGTAAAGGGCCAACCTGACTGCTGCCTTGGCGTCATACCGCCATTTACCCGAGATATACGACCTCTCCGCCGTCCTCAATTCCAGCAGATGTTCCACGACGGTTGGAAGACCCATCGCCGCTGCAAGAAACAACTCAGTACGATTGTACTTATCGCGGAAGTGGAGACGTATCCCCCTGTCGATCAAGAAGCAGGCAGTTGGCTCGTTCTTTTCTAGGATTGCTAGATGCAAAGCAGTCACTCCCCAATCGGTATCAATAGTCAACAGATGGGGGGCTCGTTCAAGGAGGAATTCGCAACTTTCAGGATCGCCCAGGGCTGCTGCAGTGTGCAGAAGAGTGTGACCTGAAGCGGAGCGAAGGTCTGCAATCTCAGGGTGGTTGTCAAGAAGGTATTCAAGGAATCTCGGGGCGTTCCTTGGATTTATGTAGAACATATTTTGCGTGGGAAAGCGGCTTATAGAGGCCCTGTGACTTAGAAGGAGAGTGAGGATTCTTTCACGGACGATCGGGCATTGAGGGCCTGTGTTTGAAGGGGAGAGGAACAGATGGTCAAGCTCGGGGATAGTTGAGGGGTGGTAGCCATCTGCATAGGCGCCTCTTAAGAGAAGATACTCAGCTATCTCAATCTGGTTTGAGACCAGGGCGATGTGAAGAAGGCAATTGGAGTTCCGATCGGAAGAGTTAGCAGGGATGCGGGTTCTTTCAACCAGCTCCATGACTCTGTCCAGGTGGCCGGTTTCGATGGCGTAGGCTACTGCCGGGGCAGCCTCGTGGGAGAGATTGCAGGGTCTATTCCACTTCCCGGATGGTAGAATGCCGATCCTTGATGGGAGGGTGGGGTCGTTGGGAATCGCATCTATCCAGCTTTTGGGCCGGAGATAGCGGAGAATGCGGGCGATGAAGCGTCTGTTGGTTGTGGTCAACCGTGCGAGGGCTTCAGGGGTGAAGAGCCTTCCTGGGTAGACTTCGCGGACTTGGGCGGGGATGGAGAGGAGGTTGGGGCAGGCATCGGGGATTGGATCGTTGAAGGGATGGGGTGAGCAAGGCATGATTATGGTGTGGTCGTGGAGGTTTGTGAGGTAGAAGGTGAGGATGGAGGGCCATTGTGAGAGGAGGTCTGGGGAAGCGAATTTATATGGAGGAGGCACGGGATGGAAATGAGCTTATTGCCGGAGGTGGTTGCAGCGTGGGGAGTAGAGCATGGCCTGAAAGGAGGGGTAGGCTGAGGGATTTTCTGAAAGATTGGTTCCGCTTGAGAGAGGGATGATGCCTTCTTTGATGCAGGCGGACAGGGCTATGGTGATATGCCGATGTATGAAAAAGGGTTTGGATTGGGGTTGGTGAATGGTCTGGATGGATGGCCATGCCACGTCAGGGGTCGTGGCTTGGCCGTGCGTTAAGAAAGACCCCGATATAAATGTTTAATGAATGTGGTTGGTTGGGGCTGATGCTTCAATATGGGAGATGCCGAGTAGATATAGGCATTGTTCGCATTGTTGGTGGTAAATCCCGTGGGGAGCCTCGTGGTTGGTTAAAAAGGAATGATGAGTGAAACATCATAACGGGATGGGTGTAACGGAGGGATAGTAGGTAAACCTTATTTAGGGATCGCTAACAGCCGATTCTTTATTGGATTTGTCTGAAGCTTTGCGGCACCTTCCATGATAAGTGCGGTAGTTTCAATTCGGTGCTTCCGACGAATAAGATGAAGGGTGGCAGTAGACAGCACAGCCAGAGCCTCGTAAAAACTGCTCCTGGCAGGTCTTGCAGCAACCTGTCTTTGACATCGTATAATCTCAAGTGGCCACAAGTGAGGATCGTATTCTATCAAGTCAGCATTATATTCCCCATGCCTATACCCATACCTATATACACATGGATCACGAGAAGTCACTAAGCAGAGCTCTAAGTATTCAGGTATGCATCATCTCATGTCGACGATTGTAGGAGAGGATTGTTGCAGACACGTAGTCTGATTTTTGCCAGTTCTGTATTGGGGTTTGTGTCGTTCAAGTCATGCTGCAGCTCAGGCTTTCTGGACTCGGTGAAATTGATATGCAATCGACTTGATCGACATTGAAGATATTGTCTTGTTTCGAATGTAGTCCTCAGTGTACACAGCTCAATGCTGGAGGACATGGACGTCAGTCTGATACATGGTTTCATGCCAAGTTCTCCCTCTGGGTTGATCGATTGTTGGAGATCACTGATCAGGTATTGACATCAACAAGACAAAGATTGCCAATTGTCATGAGTTGACGGCGGGGACATGACTTGATGCTGGTTGAGAAGTACGTTTTTTGTATGTTAATCGTTACCAATGTAGTGGCCATCTGACATTGAAATAGGATAATTTGGCGGGACCAACCGAGCCATTTGGTTGCAAGTGAAGGTGAATAGCTGACTGGAAACGGTGGCAAAAGCAAGAAACGCGTCACTGGTTTCTAGATGCAGCTATTTTGCCACAGGCGTGTTTCATCTATATCTTGGAGAATATCCGTCAAATACCAAGTATGTTCATCGTGGGCCCACAATAGCAGTGGTAGCGGATATCTAGAGAAAAGGTGTGACCCGAAGTGTTGCAGACAGACTTGCTACGAAGAGATTTGAACTGCAGAGCTACTGGAATCTCGGAAATCATATATACCGCCTGCAATTGGCGTACGCCAGACAAATTCACTCGTATGCGGCTAATGGCAAGACAGATGAATGTGCCGCGGCTATCAGCTAGCAACGGGCCTCTACATGGCGAGACCATTATACAAGTATGATTTATCCCCTGATCATTCATCTGCATTACTGCATTCTTCCTATCAACCACCGTACAACCCCACTAACCCCCAATCAAATCTACAGACCACACCCAGCCCTACCACATCCACCAAACCCATCCTTCTCACCCACCCAATGCAGATGAATCAAACATTCCACGTCTCCTCCACCTCCTTCGACAACTCCCCCGCAACCCCTAAATCCAACGCCCTCCATTTCCCCGGATTCTCCACCGCCTCCACATAATGTCTAATCGCCAAAATCATCTGTCTGGCCCACCTCTCCGCAGACACAAACCCACACCCCGTCGCCAACGGCGTCATCAACATACTCTCAATCCTCTTCCCTTCCCCATCCACCTTCCCCTCCGCAATAGCCCTATTCCACCTCTCGACCTCACAAAACAACCCCCAAAGACACTCGTAAACAACCTCCCGATCCCACCTCGTATCCCGGGGTACCCTCATAGTCGGACAAAGCGCCAAGTACCTCGTAGCCCAGATATTCTTTGAGGTTGCGTCAAACTCTTTAGGGATGGTGAATAGTTTGCATGATCCGGGTGGTAAAAAACCACGGTTGTCGTCGTAGAGGATCGATTGCACGTGACGGGTTAGGGCAAGGTAATCTTGTTTTGGGGAGAAGGCGCGGGAGATGGCGTCGTCGAAGCCGCCGTCGAGTCGACCGTAGGAGTTTGCGGGGGAAACGATGGCGTCGAATTTCAGGGTGGAGGGGAGGTAGGAGAGGGAGCAGTTGTGGATTGTGATGCGGGGAAAGGAGGTGGTGGTGCTGGGAGGGAGGGTGGAGAAGATGGAATTGAAGGTTTCGCTGAAGTGGGGGTCCATGGTTAGGAGGTGGATGTGGGGGATTGGGGAGGGCATGTTGCTTTGTTGGTGAATGGTAGTAGGTATGAAGTGGCTGTGGTTTGGAGGGATGCTGGGATGGATGGGGTTGGGATGTTGTCTTTAATGTGGCGCGTGCAGCCTTGCCCCACGAGGCTCTTCGGCTGTTCGGCTAGTGCTGACTGGGGCTGAAAATGAGGCTGAGTAGGGGCTGTGACAAGGTCTTATCTGATTGTGGCTAATTTGTCTGCATGGCATGTTAAGCGATGTCATTCTCCAATTAATAGTGTTTAGCTATGGATGTATCAGTCACAGTTTCTGCAAAAACACCTCCGGTTGCTTTGTTGCTGCCGTCTTTCCTGTCAACTCCTCCAAAATATCCGCCAGCTTGTCCGGCATGCTGAGATACGGCGAATGCGAGCTACCCAGACGATAAACCAGCGACGTATTCAATGCCAGGGCCATCCGCTCCTGTACCGGCAATGGCAGGGCCCGGTCTTCCTCGCAGATGATATAGGCAGTCGGGATGTCATGCCAAGGCTCGTAGGTGGAGGCCCCGGAGAACACGGCAATGGAAGTGTGCGTCAACCGGGACTCCCACAATCCCTTGTCCTTTGACGGAATATCGTGGAAGCCTGCTTCCGCACCCCCGGTGCAGTGTACGTAGTCGCCCTAATATCGTTTAGACAAGGACATGTTTCATGAGGGGGTGATCCTACATCGGCCTGCATAAACGGCAAAAAATGCCCCCCCAGCGTATCCAGTAGGCTCATTCCCTTGGGCAACACAAAAGCAGACATATACACGACCAAGATCACACCACCCCGCTGGCCCTGCTGCGCGCGTTGTTCCTTACCCAGTCCCTCCACTGCACCCGAACCAACGACCCCACCATATGAGTGAAGCACGACCACAACGTCCTTCCCCTCCTCGATCAAGGAAACCAGCTCGGATCGCAGGTGGGCAACATCATCGGCCAGGGTTTTCGACGGTGGCTCCGCACCGATGGAGGGGTGAGCGGGGGAAGTTGACGCGAGACCTCTGGAGGTGAGAATAGCACGAAGTGGGTCATAAATGATCGGCGTGCACCAGGCACCAGGTACGAGGACCATGGTAGGAGTTGAAGGCATGTTGTCAAGCATATGCACGGGACGTGTGTGATGTGTGATGAGCCTCAGGATCCCATTCTCAGGGAAGATGTGGGAAACCCAATCCTGAATAGGGGAGGGAGCCACTTGCCGAGGTGTCCTCGGCGCAATCTCCCTGAAGCAGCAACCTCAGCACGGTCATCACCTCGGCTGTACTTCCAGGTAACTGATTGGGTCCTGTCATATTTAGCGCAGCTGTCAGCCGTCCGGCTAAATATTGACAGGTGAACGGTCCAATCTCATGGCGGAATCCGTTGCGCTATAGCCCATAGCGGCCCCGGAAAGATTCCTCGGCACAGAGTGGATCAACGTCCGGGCAATCTCCGTCGGCCGAGTGTTTTCTCATCAGTTGATGTGTCAAACAAGCTTCAGGCACGTGCACCTGCTAAATAGTCAGCATATCGCAGGAAGGTCCTGTCCTGACAATGACTGTCCAGCAAAGTAAGGGAAATGGCCGGATCCGAAGATGAGGAAAATGACAATACCCAGACGAAGCAGCGGGTGACGACAATTGCCCTGTTGATTTTGACGACGCTGTTCTTGGGGCTCCGCCTCGCTGCCAGGCGGATGAAACGGGTCCCTTTAGGGGGCGATGACTTAACTTTGATTTTGGGATGGGTGAGCGAGCTCCTGGCTCAGTCAGGGCCCAATTAACCGTGATAGGTCTTTGTGATGGTGATTGGGATCCTCAACCTGATCGGTAAGATCATTGACAATGCCCTGAGTACAGTCTGACACCTCCAGATGTGTATTATGGCATGGGACGCCATTTTGCCGAATTGAGCTACCATGAGCAGGTGATGCTATCTCAGGTAGGCACCCAGGACCACTTCCTAGCAGATCTGACTTTGTAGGTTCTCTTCGCATTCGAAGCACTTTATATCATCACAGTAGGTGTGATCAAGATTTCTGTCTTGTTAATGTACCGCCGGATCTTCCCAATTCGGTCCATCAAGATCGGCAGCTATATCCTCGGAGGTATCACCGTCGCCTGGATGATCTCAATCGAGCTGGTTGCCATTTTTCAGTGTACCCCTATCCAGAAAGGCTGGCAGCCATTGGTAGAGGGACACTGCATTTACCTCAAAGGCGCTCTGCTTGGCAATGGTGTTCCGAACTTTGTAACGGATATCTTCATCTTATCACTGCCGGTTCGCCCGGTATGGAAGCTACGAGCGAGTCTTCCACAGCGGATTGCAATTATTCTGGTGTTTCTCAGTGGCAGCTTGTGCGTGTACATCAGCCTGCCTTCTTCGGATGCTTACTCGTTCAGTGTCGTCATCGCGAGCATATACCGCTTTGTTCTCATTTTCCAATTCACGCCAGAGGACGTCTCTTGTAGGTTCCAGACGGGCTTTAGCATATTGCTATATTGACTGAATGACAGGGACTCTCGCCAACGCAGCCACCTGGTGCGTGGTCGAAACCGGTGCTGGTGTGATCAGCGCGTGTCTGCCCACTCTCACGCCGTTGGTTAAATGGTTTGCGTCCGGCCTTGTGTCAACAGTCAAATCGACCTCTGGTTCAAAAGCGCAAGCGCCGTTGACCAGCTTCCCTGCTGAATCCGACAAAAGGAACCTTGATCAGTTGCCAAACCACAGTGAAGAGGATAGTATTCCTTTGTCTGTGGTCGGAACGAAAACGGATGGGATCAATGCATCAGGGACCCAGCCTTGGGGAGTTTTCTGGAGTGGGCATTCAGATTGTGATCGGAGTGTGAACGATGATGGCGACTTTTTGGTGCCAGAGGGGTTTACCCTTTCGAACAGCAGGGGTGTATGACTCTGAAGGGCAGATAGTGCAAAAGGAAAGATGAATAGATATCGACCTCCATTGTCGGTTCGTATAGCCTGAGCCTATTTAGATCATGGACTTGATATGGTGGTTGTTAGTGTGAATGCTGTCTTGAGTTGAGATTTAGACGCCCTCGTACGTGGAAGCTGCAGTTGTAGATTGCGTGGCATAGGCTACACCGGTCACCCTTTCTGACACTCCATCATTGAACACTCAAATCTCGGGCAGGTAGATGGTGTGAAGATGGTTGACATTTGGAAGGTGGTTGAGAAATATGGGTGTGGAAGAAGTGTGAAGAGTTCAATGCCGCCCATGGTTGATGCGTTGTGGCCTCAGTCATGATCAGTCAGTCCTTCGTCCTGCAGGGGTTTATCCAGTACTGACGTGTTCTTCCTTTGTTTAAGTGCTCTTTGTTTGACGCACGTGCGGTATTCCCAGTATTGTGTGTGGACTCACCGAGTTGAATTTAATTCTTCTGTCTTCGATAAATCTCCGTTGGATGTTTTGTCATTTGGGTCTAAGTCATGGATGTTGCGGTTTTCACAACTTTAAAACATGGATGTACTGGAGGGATGGATGGACATATAGATCCAAGATGCAAGGATCATAACACTGCTGAATTTCACAAATAACGATGTCATAGTCAATATTCCAAACCCGCTATAACTACAAAACTGCAACCCGCATTACGGAGGTTGTCCGGGACATTCATGAAAAAGCTCCAACTCAGTTGGACGTCTTACTCCAACCCTCCAAGTTGACCGTGACCGGTTTCCGTCCTCCTCTAGTGATAACCCATTCCACGTCCTTGTCGGATGGGTTCATCTCTTGATGTTCAGTGTACCTGCACAGTTATCAGCACTGTAGATACTTCTTAGGCCGTATGACTTACGCAGGAATAATGGCAAAATCACCCGGCGAAAGATCCTTCCGTTTCTTTCCGCCATCAAATACAATGGATCCGTGACCTTTAGCGGCATACACCATGGTATCCTGCTCGCCGTGATGGTGGACTGCTGAAGAGGTATGTGGCTGGGCGCACATGACTGTAGAGGATTAGCTGCGACGTAATGTATTTTGCTGAAGCATTCGGGTCATTGATTTCAAAAAATAAAAATAGAGAAGAAACCGACCTAGTGCACATAGCTGATCCGACTTGTCAACAATTGCTCCCTTGCGAACCATTCCATCCGTGTGACCCCCTGTTTGTTCAGGTCAGTATTAAATCCATCTCTGCTCATTGGAAGGCAGTACTTGCCCGTAGCTTCATTCAACTCGGAAGCTCTTGTTACGTCAACCGTGTTGGCCATTTTGGGTATTCTAGAGTAACCAAATAATCCGAATGTGTTCCTGGTAACATTTGCTCCTCCGTCTTGGATCTTAAATGTTGATGAAACCCCGCCATGCTGAATAATTCCATGACATCATCGTCAAATCATGGCGAAAATCCGGAATTGGATCACAGATACAGTTGCCTATCTTTCGGCCGAGTGGCTAAACCCTGTCAAAGACAGTAGCCACGCCATAGGTGTGTATATACAGCTTTGATTGAGCTATAGTAGTTGCTGTTTTACAATTGCACGCAGATCATGACTGGTAGGTGTATGTCGATTGTTGCCAAGATTGTTCCTAGGCTTGGTATGCCCACCTTGCGGGTTATGAGTCGCTCAGGAACAGTCGCCAAAAGTCATGATGAGCTTGGTGGACCAGACAGTGGGACTCCAATGTTGAAAGGTGGAACCAATAATCGTGGTTGGTGCAGGCCTTAACACTGATGTCATGAAGCTACTTCATTAGTCTGATTCGCTGCAGAAAAAAAGCCTGCCATTGGCCTGTTGCTGGGCCGCCTTCTGCTGCCTTCATGCCTTACTGCCTTAGGCCGCTATAATTTCATGGCTCTGATTGGTTGCAAAAAAGCACGCTGTCATTGGTCTCCTGCTATACCGCCTTTCCTTGCCTTGATGCCTCACCACCCAGGCTGCAATATTTATGCCTCAGGCATAAATATTATGCCCACTCTATACACCGCTGAGTCATTGGCTAAAGATATGCTACCGACTATATACCCGATCCGGAAGTACCCAAAAGTACTTGTGCTTTTACTTCCACGTCCACCACGCCGCTTCCACATCCCACCAAACTTTCTGTCATTTGGCTCCCTTGCTCGGATAAATTTCACTCTTGCATTCTAGTTTTGGAAATCCGTCCACACTGTCTTTATTCTCTTCCAAACCCAATAATAGTCTTCCGAAATAGAATTCGGGCCAATGTCCACTACTGACTGGAGCTTGCTTAAAGCATGAGATCATCAAGATAAGATCGTGAAGATCTTCAAGATCAACGGGTGCAACAGAGTACGAAGCTAGCAGCTGCTGTGATATCTCAGAGGAGCGGGTGTTACTGTGTACAAAGCTAGAACTGCAGTGCTCCAAGGCGAGCGGGTGCAACAGAGTACAAAGCTAGCTGCTGCTGTACTCTGAAATGAGCGGGTGCAACGAAGGACAGATCTTGCGGCTGCAGTGCGACTACTGAAACTTTCGGGTGTAACGGAGGACAGATCTTGCAGATGCAGTGTGACCACAGTAATTTTCAGGTGTAACGGAGTACAACACTAGCAGCTGCTGTGCTCCCTGAGAGGAGCAGTGCAACAGAGTACAGATCTCGCAGCTGCTGTAATACTGTGACACTGTGGCACTGCATGGCTCGGTCCGTGGCGTGTTACACAAAACTCTATTACCCCCTGCTATTTCCCACCAACCAAAGTTGTGTTACACAACATTCTTTGGTACTTTGTCAAGGTTCCCGATTTGGATATTGGTATTAAATGACAAAGTACGATCTGGGGAATGGATGACACGTGACTCGCATCATGGACATGTGATGACAATCTGAGATAAACTTGCCTTGGGCTGCAAAGGATGAAGCATGTGGAGACAGGTAGCTAAGGCTGTGATGAGGCAATGGCACATCAGCCTACCATGAAAGTCTCACGAGTCTCCCAAAGGACGCTGGCGGTGATAGAGGACACCCCTATGGAAGATGCTAGTATAGTATGTAGGGCCCAATATACGATCATAGACAACATTAGAGCAAACCTCATCATATAAATGGGCGTTGGTCTACCGGTTTAGGTATTAGTTGCGTTGATCATATCCGTTGATGCTGAATTCCCATTCTATTTACGACTCGCGGATGGCACTTAAGAATCCTGATAGCCTCACATTGAAGACGGATGATAAGATGGCGAAGCAAGTTACTGTCAACGATTTTCGGACTACTGCGGTGATTTATGCTCAAGTTCAGAAGGCCAGTCAACCGGCTTTATAAATGACTTGTATTTTAATCTGAAGATCAATAAAATTGGTGTAGTCTGCCATATCCCACTATCCACCAGTAGCGACTCCATCCTAGAAGCGCTCCAGGGAGTCTCATGAAACCTAGGTGAATGACTCCGGTATATTGAAGTTACCGATGAAGCAGGATGAGATCTTCATGGAAGGTGGCACCCACACTACAACTGCCAGTGAATGAAAGTTCTCACCCAAAGACAACTACCCAGAACTTCTCCTTCCGTCTTACCTTCCCAACCTTGACCCATCCAATCTACTCTCTATCAACAACTGCATTATCATAACCTTTCATTGATTCTACTCCCACTTTCCAGACCCAAGATGGTTCAAAAAATGCCCAAGAAAGAGGACGGTGCCCTTCCAACCGAGGATGACAGAAAAGGTCAGCTTACACCTCCAACACCCCCAACCCAACCCGCAACAAAACAACACAAACCACTCGACATCAACAAACTAACCTCCAAACCTGACCAGATTCTCTCCCAGTCAGCGCCTTCACCAAACACCTCCAAACTCCAACCATCGCCCTCCACACCGAAACCCAATCATACAACATCCACCCCACCCTTCTACAGACCAAATGTCCCATCCTGTACGCCCTCCTCACCAACCCCAACTACGAATGCCAGGAATTCGGCGACCTCTATCTCCAGCGAAACCAAGGCATCGTGTCCGCATTCCTAGACTGGATATACACCGGCACTTATCCCCTGAACATCGACGTCGACGACGACAGAGTCGCCACCCCCACATCAACTGATGACAAAGTCCCCAAGGACCAAGCCATCACCAACTCCCTCCCCCACCATATCCGCGTCTACATCTTCGCCGGCTCATACCACATCACTCGTCTCAAAGATATCGCATTCAAACACATCTGCTACATAACCGATGACTATCATTGGTGTGCCTCGGACTGTATCACCACCTCCCCTCTGATTGCGAGTGCCCGGCTAGCACTTACATCTCTGGCCATCGTTGATCCCCTGACCAGTTGTATCCTGGAATTGATGGCCTCGAAGATCGAGAAGGTAAAAATGGAAGCGGGATTTCCGGCCCTGATTCGGGATTTTCCGGACTTTGCTCTGGGGTTGATTGATTTGCTGGGACCTTTTGATAAGTCTGACGGTTGGTAGGGATGTCGACTTTCTTATGGGACGATTCTTGATGCTTTTCGGGATTTGACGTCTAGCGAACTTAAACTGTACCTTGTCGCGGGGGATGGATTGTGCAATGAATTCTTAATCGCGGTTCATAGTTAGCTAGCTTTTCTTTGATGCTTAGTGCCTTACTTGCGTTATGCAATGGATATTCTATTCTTTCTCATCATAACGGGAACTCTAAATCTGGATGTAAACTCACCCCTCTTACTACCCACAACATCCCATCAACCACCCCGCCTCACCAGACTTCTTCCCCGACCCCAACCGCTTTAATATCCCAAGTAGACCGGACTACAAATACAAAGCCCCAAATAATCAGAACAATCCAAATTCAACACCAACCTTTCAGCCTACAAAAATTCAGATCTACCTACTTACCCCCCAACCACCAGAATTGTTGTTCCTCTCTCCGAAAGATAAATGAACTGTTCCGACAGCCAGGGACAAGTTAGCAGGTAGTGGTTGTGGTTGTGGTTACTCTGGATATTATAGTATTTCGAACAGTTTCACACATAGATCAAGTCCCGTGAAAAGATATTCCGATATAAGGGAATAGAAAAGGTTCTAATAGATATAATTCCCAGTTCTAGAATGCGTTTCTATCTAGCATGGAATGAAAATCCGTTCTTCGGCCTGCGAAGTCAACTATCTTTGGTGGGGGTATCCCAGATATCCCCCCAGTCGTCTTGTCTATTGTTCCTCTGGGGATTCTGTCTCCTGCCTATATATCCATTCCACATAGCACATGTCTTCATCACTCTGGTATTGATCCGTCTGGTTATCTCTGATGCAATGTGGGGCGGGGTTCCGTTGTAACGCGGGTAACATGTTGTAGGGTGAAACTGATAAGGTGGTGGGCGACGGACGGGGCGGGAGGATGTTGGTTTGACTACTAATTCTCTTGGTGGTTAGCGGGGATTATTGCGGGGCCTGAAGTATGGGTTTGGTTGACAAATAAGAGGTATGGAAGTGACGTTGAGGAGGGAGTAGAGCACTTACAGGAGTAGTTCCAGATGGCACGGAAGTATTTTCCGACATGTGCCAGCTCTCCTATAGCCCCAAGTCCTTCTAAGATGTTTGTTGGCAACTGAGAATCCAAACCTCTCAGACAACCACGTTAAGATTGGAAATCGCGTCCAATGACTCGTGCCTCCAGAGAAGCGTGTTGAGGAGGCATTTCTCAATCGCTCCCCGCGCGTCCTCGTTTAGGTAGACAACATTTTGTTCGAGTTTGACGATGAATTCGCGAGTTGGTGGGCCCAGCATCGTATGATCCCCCATCAGCAACTCGCGTAATTTCTGTGGGGACCCAACCCATGAGAGTCTTTTCTGATAGAGAGAATTGTTCAGCTCCGGCAACTTGTATGCGAAAGAGTGATTCAGTTCGGGTTCCGATGAGTATAATGACTCCTGCATTATCAAAACCAGTATAAACAAGCAGATCAGCTTATGACCTTGTACGTCGAGATGTCCATTCTGATCTGGCGAGTCTGGGTGGTCCGTATAATTGCGCAAAAAAAGGACGGCATCATACACCTCGGGGTATATGTGTATTCCGTGGAACGATTTCGGTTTGTTGTGAACCATGCGAAGCTGAATAGCGGGGTGTACGGCAGATGGAACGAAATACTCGGAAATTTCCCAGGCATGCGCTGGGCTTGATAACCGGGATGGCTCTGACATGGAGAATGCCCTATTGGAATAGCTTGTTAGAACAGTACCAGGACACGGTAGATACCACCCACAGAAATAATACCATATGAAGACGCCAGTCTGATTTGAACGCCTGCAGCCCACCTCTCGCATGGAAGACGCTGAAGAGACCGTTTCTATGTGCGCGCCATTGGTCGTCCACAGCCCAATATTTCTGACAAAGACAGACTATGAGCCCCGTGTGACCGACTTTGTTTCGGAAACTTACCTCAAACATCAGCAGACGTGCAATCGCAGCAAGCGTCGCATCTTGTGTCGATCGCCTCTCATCTGCCAGCCATTTGGCGATGATGCCCACGGCGAGTGTTCTAAACTTCTCGGATTCCAGGGACTTGGTCTGCCTCTGAAGGTGTGCGACATGTGCGGATGCATGTGCCATCAAGGCACAGAACGCAGCACTATTCGATAAGTCCATCGGGAGCCAGACATCTTGTATGGGATGAAACCTTGTGTTTGGGGATGTGTCGGGAGTGGAACTGGTGTGTAAGTCGAGCCCTGCGCAGAGATTTCATTAGTCGGAATCCTTCGTCCGTCCTCCTATGGACGGCGGCACTCACAAGAGTAGAAGATGGCTTGGTTTTTCGGGGATAGATCAATGGGGAATTTGGTGGAAGGCCCCTGCAGGATGGAAAATTTCGACTCCTGGGCCGCGTCGATGCCAGTGGGTTGGGGATTTGGGGGTCGGGACCCTGGCTCCAAGGCGTTGTTGGCTGGCGGATCCGGGGACTTCCCCTGACTCTGAGCCACATCGGCCTGGAATCCCCCGCCCTCGGAACCATATTCCTTGGGCAGCAAGGCTCTCAACTGGGGACGAGAGATGCGGACGGAACTTTGCAGGGCTTGATGTCGTCGACGCCAAAATTGTCGCATGGCATGACTGCGGGTCCCAGGCTGGTCCTTACCGAAAACAAACTGGTACTCGGTTGTACCTGAACCCAAGTCATGATCTCTGCTCATGGTGTTATTCGAGGTAGGGCATGCTGTGCTGCTGGGTCATGGGCACCCGTGAGGTTCAAATATCAGGCAGAAAATGGCAAGGGGTCTGAAGTTACGGCATGCTACAGATGAGGGGTGATAGTGGTCGGTTTAAAGGCTCCAGCAGGAAACGAGACCATTGAATGCACGGGGTGACGTGGTTCTGTAGGCCCAAACCTGTATGGACTCAACCGAAGTGGACAAGGCTACTTCCTATCTCATTGCGGTGGATCGGAAGATGGCCGAAGCGTCTGCAGCAACGTGAAGAGGTAATGGTCGATGGGAGGAGAGCATACTGTACGAGTCTTCAGTCTGGATTCCCAGAGAGGAAAGTAGGGGTGGCCTCATTTGTGGCTGTGCTCCATCGCGTCGGGCGGTGGCAGCTGCGGTGGCAACATTGCTGCAGGTGGAGGAGGCTAGGGAATGAGATTGGGATTGAGATTAAGACCGGACTAAGCAGCACATATGGTATGCCCCCTGCAGTGGTCGGGTCCGAAGAGTGAAAACCGAACGAAGCCGTGCCATGGATACTTACTACCTACTAGTAAGGTAGGTACTTGGTGACAAAACCAACCAAGGATTCCTGGCGGTCTGGTCGGTTCTTATTGGCTGGCTACTCCTACCCCATTGGGAAGGGCCCGTGACTAGTACCTAGCCCTGCCTCAGGCTGTCGTCCGGTGCCGGCAGCTCGATTCTCCGCCGTTCCATTTTCCCATCATCACCAGATGACACCTTGGCGACCACCCTTTCCTACTAGATGGGTTGGTATGTCGATACTCCGATCAAATTTGGCATGACTTGGTTTGTCCGTCGCCCTTCCCTGGTTTCCCTCTGCACTGGCTCAGTCCAGTCCACATGCAGGAGACTACGCATCCTTCACAAAATATTTGCGAAAATAGTGAATCGAAAATTGATCATGTCATCGTGTTCTCGTGGTATTCGTGGTACTCATGAAAAATACTGGAGACTGGCTTTGCGACGATCCACCTTCCGGTCCACTAGATGCACGATACAACGATTTGGACTCGCGTCATTCCGTCTCGCATCCGGCTTGTCCAATGGAAAGAGGCCATTTGAATGTGGTTGCGAAGCAATCATTCGGGATAATCAGATGGTTGACTCGAGTCCACAATCCCGACCACCCTGCAGTCGAGCTAGTCCTCAGCCCTGCTAAGTCCCGACTCAACGAGGGGCTCTAATGTGAGCTAACAGTATCGGGCACAGTATGGTGTTCGACGAGGATGTCCGTAATGGGGCTAAGAAGGCGCCTGCAGGAAGTCAGTTGGTTGTTTGAGAATGGGAATAGCATGTCCCACTCACTCAACGGCATCCAACCTCACGTCCCTGTCCCGCATATCGTCCCGGTTGAAAATTATACTCGTCATCCCAACTTTCCTTTGCAGGAAGGAGTGGTGCCCACCGCTTCCAGGTATCCTGCAGGGACTTTCTCAATCCGGCGACGCGAAGGTGGAGCGGAGAGCTCTTCGACCTCAAGGGCTGTTGAGCTTTGGAATGTGAAGATAGAGTCATGTACATTGTGATGGTTGGTGTTCACGTCGTGGTCTGGCAACTAGGTGTACTGCATCCCGCGGCGGACATCGGGGATCTTTATGTGGCCCGAAAGCGAGGGTTGGCCGAGGCAAGGCCGACCGTTTGCCGGGTGGCATCATCCCTGCCGCGCTCGGTCATATTATTAAGTTCCAGACCGGGATTCTTGCGTCAGACATCATGCAACTCTATCCTGATGCAAATCGGTTTTCCACATACTACATACTCGACATCAAGAATGATTCCAGCTCCAAGCTTTGGTCGAATGTTCTGTAGATTCTTCAGGCTGCCGATCGACAAACACCTTGCGAAGAGACACGCTAGCTGGACATCATGCTGGCAGCTGGACAGCTCGCTTAACCACCGGCCGAGCTAGACCCGGTTAGGCCTGACCGGGCCGAGCCATTTCCATCGCCGCTAGTCCCAATTGGGTCGCTCAACGCCCGATCGCTTGGCAATCCACTCGACGATTTCGGGCCTGGCTCGGCCTGGATTTTAGATGCCTCATCCTCAACATCCTGGAAAATGGTTCCGCAGACCGGACACCATTGTGTCCAACCTTTAGTAGCTCACATTGAGCAGAAATTGGAAAATAAAACAGGAAGTCAGTCGCAATCCTATGCCTTGGTCATGATCATCTCAACACTTGACGTTGGCCCTGATCCAACACTACTGCGACCCAGACTTGCATCTGCCCTACGCCCGGGCAATCACCACGACCCAGACTTGGCTTCTCCCCACCCACACGCCAAAAATGATCCCTTCCAAATACGTCCATCTTCAAGTCACCCTCCGAATCTCATTCGACAACAGATCAAGCAATTTCGTCGCCCAGCCACAATCCCGCATCTTTGCCACCCAGCAAGGGACCTCCACTGCGGCGCGGAACATTGATGATAGCGTGTGTACTCTAGTTAGTATGCAGTGGGCCTCAGATTCTGCCAGTCCACTCACCGGGCAATCTATTTGGCTCACTGCTGAAGAACCTGTCCTTATCGTGCAGAAGCGGCAGTCCCTGAGAGTCCGTGACAGATTTGCCACGGTGGACCCTCAGATCACACTAACGGTCTTTGTCCACCGCACGACAATTCTGTCCAGTGTCTGGGATGGTCCCGCCGTGGTACTTGCCAATCTAGCGGATGAAAACACGTGCAGAGACGCAGCATGTGCCTCTGGATCACACACAATAGTTTCTCCCTAGTTTCGCCGATGACACTGCATCTCACGAGGGATTATCTGTTTTCATCTTCTGCATGCACTAATGCAGTGTTGATTATCAATGGGAAACGCCTAGACTGATATGTTCCCACGCATGAGGCTTATCTTCCAGTCTCGATGTCATTTCTCCGTCTATTTACCGCATCTGGTCTAGCGGATCTGCAAGCTATTGCTACCGTCCCAAGATATCGACTATCGGATCCGTTCGAAAAAAACACAATAAACGCATTGATTCGCTAACCCAGACACCTCTATCCCTAGCACAGACTAGACAGCCATTCTACAGTCGCGAAATATCTTTCAACTTGGCTCCCAACATTTGCGCCAACCTGGCATCCACCCGCCCAAACATCTGCACCACCGCCTCCCTCAACGGCGCCGGCACTTCTACTAGCGTCTCTGCCACATTCGCGACCCAAGTACGTCGCTCAGTTTCATCAAACACCCGGTTCCAGAGGTCCCGTGGCTGCACAAAATCTTCATCGTCCATCTGAATCTCATGCTGGGCCAACACAAACGACTGAATGCGCTCGTTATGACGGGCCTGCACGACAGTGCGACTCACCACACCAGGGGAAAGGGAGCTGCGGACGTAGTTTGGGTCCCCGCCGTAGTTTCGCGTCGTGGTAGCGAAGCCGTCGCGCTCGTAGGGGGCGTAGAGAGGACAAATGGCGCGATTAGGAGGCAGCTGGGTGTAATTGACTCCGAGACGGTATCGTTGCGCATCGGGGTAAGCAAACATACGCGCTTGCAGCACTACACCATATCAGCTCATGCACAACCTAACAACATCCACACGAGAAATTATCCACTCCAAAAATAAAGAAAGACATACTCGGATCCGGAGTCATCGCCACACCGGGGACCATATTCGAGGGCGAAAACGCCGCCTGCTCAATCTCTGCAAAGTAATTCTCCGGCTATCAATGGTTAGCACAATCCACCCACCCCCCTAATCACAGTTGACACTTACATTCCTATCCAGCCTCATCCTCCCCACCTCCACCAAGGGCACCTCCTTCTGCGACCAAACCTTGGTAATATCAAACAACTTCCTCCCAAACCTCTCCGCCTGCTCCGGTTCCAAAACCTGGACATACAGCTTCCACTCAGGAAACTCCCCTCTGGCAATGGCATCCCACAAATCCTGATTATGAAAATCGGCATTTGCACCGGCCATCCGGGTAGCCTCTGCACCCGAGAAAGTGGTAATCGGCCGAACAGGTCTGAAATGAAACTTGCAGTATCGGAAGGATCCATCCTCACTAACGAGTTTGAATGTATGCACTCCGAAACCTGTGACCGAGCGAATGGACGAGGGAATGCCCCTCGTGCCGAAGAGATGGAGCAGGGAATGCACGCTTTCTGGTTGCGAGGTGTGGAAGTCCCAAAACTATGCCTTCTTAGCATGTGAGGGGTATGGGTATGGATATGGGCATGAACATACCATATTCCAATCCGGCCTATTGGTAGCCGGATGCCGCTTATGACTCCGATTCAGGGAGGGGAATCGAACAGGGTCTCGGACGAAGAAAACCGGCTATAATCCCCACTTATCAGCCCTATCCTCTGTCTTCTCATACCTGCCAAGGTAGGGAGCCATACGATATGATTCCCCACAATATCATGATTCCCCTCCTCGGTGAAAAACTTCACCGAGAAACCTCTCACATCACGAACCGTATCCGCACTACCTTTTTCACCTCCGGTAGTGCTAAGACGAAACAGCACCTTGGTTTTCTTTCCTACCCCGGTGAGGAATTTCGCGCATGTCAGGGAGGAGATGTCGTTGGTGACTTCGAATTCGCCCCATGCGCCGGCGGCTTTGGCGTGGACGACTCTATTTTGTTGTGTTAGTTTGGGGGTGTGGAGTGGAGGGATATGAGGAAAGAAGGGGGAGGGGATGGGGATGCGGGTACCGTTCGGGAATGCGTTCGCGGTTGAAGTGGGCGAGGGTTTCGAGAAGAAGAGTATCGCCTAGGGTTGTGTGGCTTCCGCCGCCGATGGTAGGGAGGGTGAGGCTCACGGAGGGGTCGGGGAGGGGCTGGCCTGTTGGAATTAGAGATTAGAAGGTTTCTAGCTAGTGGTGAAGAAGCAGACCTTCTGCTAGGGTGTAAGTTGGTCGGGACATGGTGGATGACCTTTGTATCAGAACGATTGTTTAGATGTAGACGGGTGAATATATATACTAGGGCAAGCTCTAGACACAAATATATGTTAAACACGATGGATAGATTACACCACCCAGCAAGGGCGCTCTATATATATAGAGATACATATACTGAGAGGATAATCTCACTCGACTCCAAGTAAAAGCCTAGCAAATCCAGATGCATCGTGAGGGGAAGTATACAAGGGATAACAGGAATCCATTTCCGACGGTGAAGATGTGTTGGAGATGCCGAGCGATTCCCGAACCCGCACCGAGCGAGTTCCGGCCGCGCCGAACTTCATCCTCGCTTGTCCCTCGCTTCTCCTCGTGTTCTCCTCGCTTCCCCTCAACTCTTCTCCCCATCTCCAACTGCGTCATGGCAAACAACATCGCTGCTACGCTGGCAGACATGCTCATAGATGTCAGTTGAACGATGGAAATGTCAACCGTGGATGAAATGGGATATTCTCGTTGACACTGAGTCTGAACCGATTAGTCAGCGCTCACAGTCTCGATCCCGGACAACTGACAAGATAATTTTAGCCTCCCGATCGGAGGCAGAATAAAAGACGATGCCAGCAGCCAGCTGCATCTCCCCGCATGAGGGGTCGGAATGCCGAGTGTGTCCTGGCATCGATCTGCTCAGCCCGAGCGATGCAGTGGGCCTCCCCTCACCGGGCATTGCCGACCACACTAGCCCCCTCAGGCACCACCATCGCCCCAATGACAGCCGCCTCGCTTCCGCTAGTATACGGCTTTCTTTCGGATGTCGGCAGATTGAAAATCTACAACATCATCAAGATGAATGAATATAAATATGCCTGCTCCCCATGCTTATACCCTTCATCATCACAGCACATCGCATCGCATTCATCCACCGCATAGCATTGTCTAATTCATCTTGTTCACATCCATTCTTACTACATTTTCCCTACTAAAACCACTCATCATGGCTATGGTATCCAACGGCAACGAATACGACTTCATCGTCGTCGGCGGTGGCACTGCTGGTAACGCAGTCGCCGGTCGTCTCGCTGAGAACCCCGACGTTCGCATCCTCGTCGTCGAAGCCGGTATTCCCAACCCCGACCAGATTGATGAAATCACCACCCCCTCCAAGGCTTTCAACCTCCGTGGCAGCAAATACGACTGGGCATACAAGACCACCATGATCAAGCGTGACGACTACGAACGTGTCGAAAAGCCCAACACCCGTGGAAAGGCCCTCGGTGGTAGCTCCTGCGCCAACTACTTCACCTGGATCCCCGGATCCAAGCCCACCTTCGATGACTGGGAGGCCTTTGGTGGACAGGACTGGACCTGGGACAACTGCGTCGACTACCTCCGCAAATGCGCCACCTACCACGACGACGAGAAGCTCTACCCCGCCGATCTGAACAAGATCGGCACCGGCGGCCCCGTCCAGATCGCCCACGCCGACCTAGTCCCGGAAATGCAGCCCTTCCGTGACGCCCTCACCCAAGCGTGGGTCTCCAAGGGCGAAAAGCTAACCGAAGACATCTACTCCGGTGAAATGCGTGGTCTTACCCACTGCGTCGACACCATCTACAACGGCCAACGCCAGGGCAGCTTCCTCTACCTCAAGGACAAGCCCAACGTCACCATCCTCTACGGCGTCCACTCCAAGCAACTCATCATCGACCCCGTCACCCGCATCTGCTCCGGTGTAACCGTCATCAGCGAGGCCTACAACACCGAAATCAGTGTCTACGCCAGCCGCGAAGTCATCCTCTCCCAGGGCGTCTTCGAAACCCCCAAACTCCTCATGCTCAGCGGCATCGGCCCAGCCGCTGAACTCGCCAAACACAATATCCAACCCATCATCGACTCCCCTCACGTCGGCCAACATCTCCTCGACCACCCCATCGTCCCCTTCGTCCTCCGCATCAAAGACGGTTACGGCATGGAAGACCACATCCTCCGCCCCGGCCCCATCAACTCCGCCGCCATCGCCCAATACAAGAAAGACAAGACTGGTCCCATCAGCTCCGGCCTCCTCGAACTCGTCGGCTTCCCCCGTATTGACCAACGCCTGGAACAATACCCCGCCTACCGCGAAGCCAAAGCCGCCAACGGCGGCCTCGACCCCTTCGGCCCCGCCGGCCAACCTCACTTCGAACTCGACTTCGTGGGAATGTTCAGCACCGCTTTCCAATGGCACTACCCTATCCCAGAAGAAGGAAACCACATCACTGTGATCGTGGATCTCCTCCGCCCTCTCTCCGAAGGCGAAGTCACCCTCAACAGCGCCAATCCCCTGATCCAACCCAACATCAACCTGAACTTCTTCGGCAACGACCTCGACATTCTCGCCATGCGCGAAGGTGTCCGCTGGACCTACGACGTGTTGACCGACGGTGCCGGTTTCAAGGATATCGTTCTGGGCGAATACCCCTGGAAGATGCCTCTTAACTCGGACGAGGAAATGAAGCGTGCGGTTTTGGATCGTAGTCAGACTGGATTCCGTATGCCCTCCCCCCCTACCCTTCCGCATCCCTCACTAACATAAAATCTCTACCAAAGACCCCTGCGGCACAGCCCGTCTCTCCAAAAGCATCCACCAGGGAGTCGTCGACTCAAAGCTGCGCGTTCACGGCATCCGCAACCTCCGTATTGCAGACGCTTCCATCATCCCTGTTATCCCCGATTGTCGGATTCAGAACTCGGTTTATATGATTGGCGAGAAGGTATTCCCCACTATCATCAATGATTGAATATTGAAAGATACTAATGAACTGGTTCCAGGGCGCGGATATCATCAAGGCGGATCACAAGGATATTTATGAGGCGAAGAATGTTCCTTATTTTGTTGCTAGTCGGTTGTAAATTGTATTAGATTGTATGCGATTAAGTTGTTTGATGTAATGGATGAAAATTGCAGTTTTTGAATTGAGTATTGATTAATGTGAACTACATCATTCTTACTATTTAAACATGATAATGTCCAAACAAGGTTGGTATAGACAACACAAACAATAATAACACAATTTTTGAAATAGATAATAAGGCTTTACTAGCTCAAATCCAAATTAAAAAGGTTCTCATGTGCAAGATGATCACTACGGAGTATCCTCCACCACAATCCTCAAATATAGTATATGAAACATGAAGCCACACCATGTAAACCAGCCACACACAATTAATTCCAGGTGGGCGGGGCGGGCAATACAGACTAAAGCCACCACACCAGCCACACCAGGAACAATACTCCGAGGCGGCAGAATCCCTGCACGTAAAGACCCGGCGGTAAGCACCCACCATCACCATGGATGGATAATCATCCCTGATAAAAATAAAGCAAGATATGGTTTTTATGTGGTGATTAGATGACCTCACATCACATGACATTAAAGAACCTTAGAGCCTGATTTTGTAATTTAGTACTAATAGAAAGACCAACAAAGTACTCACCTTACCTACGCATGGTAAAAATCATCTGCTTTTTCAGCCAAAATCTTATAAATTCTCTTATTTCTTTCTTTATCTAAACCTACTTTTACCACACACCCACACCCATACCACCCAACAAACCACCAAAGAACCAAATAATCAAACCTTATAAAAACCCTTCTTCTCCCAAAACTCCACAAACCTCTTCAACATCGCCGCATCAAACGACACATACCCCACACCCTCCGCCCCCTCCAACGCCCCCACCGTATTCCTAGCATCATAATGCGGGGTATTCCTACTCGTCTCAAACCTCGACAACCTTCCCAACACAGGCTCCTGCAACAACGGCATCACCCCCAACAGGGGATTATCCTGCTTCGCCTCCGTCTGCACCAACCTCACCCATTCCCAATACGGGAGTAACTTGACCGGATACCCGGCCTCGTTAATCACCTTATGCGTATCATCCAGATTCACCGAATCCTTAGGGTCAGGCGCAACAAGACTATACGAGCGGCCTAGGTTTGCGTTATTCGAGGCGATGTGGATAGTAGCGTCGCAGACGTAGTCAATAGTCACGTATTCGAGGCGTTGGTTAGGGAGGTGAGGGAACGCGCCTAGCATGATCGATCCGATGATGAGACGAGCGAAGAAGTCATCCGGGTTACCTGACCCCGTGACGGAGTCACCGATCGTGAACCCCGGACGGAAGATCATGGCCGGGACACCGCGGGTTCGGACCCCCCGGACGAGTTTCTCAGCGACCCATTTACTGGCTGCGTAGCCGATGTCGAAGGGGAGGCCGCGGAGGTGGGGATCTAGGGGGTCGTCTTCGAGGAGGGTTTTCGTGCCGAGGACAAGGCCCGAGGGACCCCAGGTGTCGATGCTGGACATGTGGATGAAGGGTTTGCGACGGCCGCGGATAGCGACTTCGAGGGCGTGACGGGTGCCGAGGACGTTGGAGGGTTGGTGGGCGGCGTAAGGTTCGCAGAAGTTGACTTTAGCGGCGAGGTGGAAGACGATGCTGGACCAGTTGGTTAACCAGGTGAAGGATTCTGAGGAGAGGCCGAATTGTGGGGATGTGATGTCGCCGGTGAGGACGGTGAGTTTGTTGATGGTTGGGGAGGAAGCGGACCAGAGGTTGTAGCGTTGGAGGACGGATTGGATGCGTTCGGAGGGGGGGGGTTGGTTTGGTTTAGAGCGGGTGAGGCAGACGATTTCTTTGATGGAGGGCATTTGCAGGAAGCGGGCGAGGAAGTGGGCACCGACGAAGCCGGTGGCGCCGGTGAGGAAGATGCGGCCTTCGTCGGGGGCGAGCCAGTCCGGGACGGGGTGGAGGTCGTTGGCTAGGGTGGCGTCTTGGAGCCAGTGGGTGCGGTCGTCCGGGGCGTTGCCGCCTTCGGTGTATTCGTCGAGGCAGGCGACGAGGTCGGAGAGACGGGAGTTTTCGTAGAGGGAGCGCATGGAGATGGTTTTGCGGAGTTCTTGTTGGATTTTGGAGATGAGGGTTGCGGCTTGGAGGGAGGAGCCGCGGTGGGTGGAGAAGAAGTCGTCGGAGTCGGCGATGTCGTGCTGGCCGAGAATGGAGGTCCAGATGTTTTTGAGGGTGGTGGTGGTGTCGTTGGAGGGGGAGGTGTCGTTGGAGTGGGATTGGGGGTGTTGGTCCTGGTATTGTTTGGTTAGGGCTTTGCGGTCGACTTTGCCGTGTTCGGTGAGGGGGTAGTCGGAGCAGACGACGATGTCGCGGGGGATGGAGTAGTTTGGGACGCGGGGCTGGATGTATTCGAGCATTTGACGGCGTCGGACGGTGTTGGCGACGGCGGGGATGAGGAATGCTACGAGGAAGGGCTCGTCTTCTGGGGTGTCGGGCTGGATTTGGACGACGGTGGCACCGACTAATTGGCCGCTGGAGAGGAAGAGTTGCTCGATTTCGCCGAGTTCGACGCGGAAGCCGCCCTGTTTGACTTGAAGGTCGGCGCGGCCCATGAACTCGAGCAAGTCTGGGGCATCAGGGCGCCATCGGGCAAAGTCGCCGGTTCGGTAGAGACGAGAGCCGGCTTTGTCGGTGGTGAAATGCTCCTCGTTCTCCTTGGGACGGGCGATATATCCGGCTGTCAGGCCGGGGCCGCCCAGTAGGATCTCGCCGATGACGCCGGGCTTGGTGATGGGGTTGGAGTGTTCGTCAAAGAGCTGGAGGATGGTGTCGCCGAAGGGTTTACCGATGCTGATGTTTTCGTACTGGAGGTCTTTCGGGGTTATCTCGTGCATGGTTGAGAGGGTGGTTGCCTCTGTAGGGCCGTATGTGTTCCACACGTGCTGTGGGGAGTTGTTGGATTCTAGGATGGCTTTTATGCTGGATGGATTTGGCGCTTCGCCGGCGCTGAAAAGGTGCTTTATGCCGCCGAAGGCAGTAGGACAGACTTGGGCGATGATGGAGAGCAAGGAAGCAGTGAGAACGAGAATGGATACGTTCTTTCTTGCGAGGAAGTCTCTGGCGTCGAAGGGGTCCATGATGGTTGAACGAGGCACGATGACCAGCGTGGACCCGGCCACCAGAGGGACGAAGATCTCAAAGAGGGATATATCGAAGCCGGGATTGTTAACGACGGCCACGCGGTCTGATGATTCGAGCGGCGTCGCAGCCGTCTCGAATGCAATGTGGAGGATGCTTGTTTCTGCAATCTGCACAGCCTTGGGCTTGCCACTTGAACCGGACGTGTACAGGATATGGCTTCGATAGCCCCGGGTTTGATTGTTTGATCCGTTGACCTGGGCCCCGTTGACGCCGTTGGTCTTGGATTTGGAGGGAATATTTTTCGGATCATATTCGCCAGAGATGGGGATGATGACCACATCGTCTTCGAGGTCCGGGGATTGGTTAGACATGATGTATCTGACCCCAACGTCTTTCAGGAGGCTCATCAAGCGGATGGGTGGGATGGATGGTTCGATGGGTACGCATGTCAGCCCGGCGCGGATGATAGCTAGTTGGGCAATAATGGTATCACTTCCAACCCCTTCCAGTATACAGATGGGCTCTTCTGGAGGCAGATCCAGTTTCTTTAGAACGTTCGTGACTTGTTGGACCTCGTGGTCGAGATCCGAATACGACCACTGTCGGGTTTCATCGTCAATGGCGATGGCATCTGGATTGGTGGCTGCGTGTTGGGAAAAGTGGTGATCCATGGTTCCGCTTCCTAGAGGTACCAGAGAAGACTATATGAAAAATATTGAGAATGCTACTCGATGCATGGAAATACACGACAGTATGGTCGGAGATTGTGGTGATATTTATGTGATTGAATGAACCCATTGCTATGCGCGATTTCATCATCTGTCTGGATCGACAATGCGCGCATCGTGACGGTCTGCAATGAGCCGAGTCATCGTCATGAGGTCTCTGAAGTGACTTCCAGCCTTTCAGGACGCTCTAGATGCGCACAGATCATCGCGTCTCCAAGGTTGAGACTTGAGACGCGGCTGTTTCTCGGTCTGATTGCTGGCGATATACTCCAGAAGAAGAATATGCCTCAAAGGAGATGGGACATTAGTCGATAAAGTAGAGTGATGTATTTCTTTGATACTTTAAGCGAGAGGTTGATTCAAGGTTGTGCATAAGGTCTTGCTTCGAACCGTGGATTGAGCGTGGGAAATCATGGAAGAGCCGGGATTGAGTTTCTTTTCCCAGATCGAACCTGACAGGCAGTAATTGGCGTCAAAGTCTATTTCTGGTTAACTTCTGGGCATGGGATGGAGATAAATGGGATTGTCTCATTTGTTGCGATTAGGTTATGGCTAGTTTTGCCATGGTTCCTTCGAAGGATGCTGCGTTGGTGCTGTCAAACAAGTTTCAGTGCAGGTTAGTTTGTGTAGCCAATAGTATCATGCAGCTGGGGGTTTGACAGTGGCCAATTTCTATCACTTTCGTTGCCGTAGTTGGTTTGCTGTGGCTGCTCTCTCCGTCACCCAACCTTATTGGATTGACAATGATGGCCTTATTTTCGACCTCTTAGTGGAAGGGAAGAGGAAATTGACGATGATAGGCCTGCTGGATCCGATAATTGATAAAGCCAGGGGATTGATTGGTTCTCAGCAGGACGCCGTGGCTAGCCTCTGCACCGGGACAAAGGTAACAGTCTCTTGGATACTGACCATGAACCTACATGGCTGACATGGTGTGCAGCACATCTATGTGGTGGGTGGGGGGGCATGCATCCCCTATGTTCCCGATGCGATCAGGTGGCATTTCCAGGGGCCCGGAATGATAGTAACCGTTCCTCATAGCCCGTACGTATAATCCGATGATAGAAGACAGACCGCCAAAGTTAACACTTACCAGGCACTTGACCGTTGTACAAGGTGCGGCAATGTATTCCAGCCGCGAGGCCTATTTGTCGGTCCATCGGTGCCTGCAGCACGTGGGCTTTTCGTGCACAAAACAGTACGATGACACCAGGGATGGACAAGCTGATCCTCGGGTTGCGAATGTTCGCCATGACCCTTTCAGGGGAGAGGTTACAAGTGATGGGGTAGCCACTTGGGTTTTAGAAAAGGCAAGTCATCAATTGATTGGGTGTTTTCTTCCTCTACTACCCCTGCTAACAAGGAGACTCATGAAGGAGGGGCTGTATGATGACGGTTATACAAACGAACAGGCATTTTTCGCGGATCTAAAGGCCTCTGGAGACACTCTAAAGCGGTCCCATGCGGTTTATAAATGTAGATCCGCAGTGGCACCGCAGAGGGTTGACCATAATTGTAAGTTGGGCTTAGTTTCCTCCGGCCTCCATTGCTGCTAACTGCACCAGCTGCCGTTCACTACTGCTCGATTGAACTCGATTTCACCCCACTCCGCCTGTGGACTCTTCCAACTTTTTGGAGGGACGGAGCGCTGATGTACCGGGTTCGGTATGTCATTGAGACGACGGTTTTTGCAAGCCTGAACGAAATTAAGTTCACTGCAACCGCTTTTGACTGCAAGTTGGGGACAAGGACTGTAGTGTTGCCGGCTCCGTGATTGTAGTTTTCTTTCTCGGTTTTGGCTTTCCTTCCTCTATTGTCAACTCTGTGCTTTCGGGGATTCTATTTCTTTCTTGTCAATCTCTCGGGTTCTTTGGCAGATAATTGGGAGGAGGGTCTCCTTGTGTATCTATCCTACGAAAGTTTGCAGTAAACATTTCGGGTCGAAACGAACCACAATTCGCGTTGCAAGCATAATAATATCCCGATGAAATAGTTACACCCAAGGAGAAGTGAGGTGAGCCCATTAGATTTTTTTTTCTCCTATAGGAAGGGGTCAGTCAACTGTATCTCTAGCAATCTTGACCTTCCACCAACGCTCTGAGTCCCCGTCAGTTGCCCTCCGGCCAGCTCATGCATTCCTACGTTCTCAAGCCCAGGCCTCTCTGCATAGACCTGACTATGTTTTGTTTTCCTGAAAGAAAGGAAGACCGGTTACCGTCGTCCCAACGGATTCCAGAGGGGTCAGTGGCTATGGCACTCGAGTGGTGTGGTTTGGAGACAACGTGGTACAGTATCATGACCGCTTGTACGACGTCGCGGAAGGGGAAGGCTGTGCCCCGACCACACAGGCTACGCGGATCGTTGTAACATTGGCAGAAGGTTGGTAACGTTTCCGTACTTGAGGTCTGCAACCAGTCATGTCCTCAAATCCATTGAGCCTTGTTATCGGTGCCGTGTCAACTGTCCAGTCATGCTCGTGTAGGAGGGATGCCTAGTTAGGTTGCCAAGCTCCCCCTCATTTTTGGGAACGGTGAGCCATGTTGTAATTCTCCCAGGGTAGCAGGATCTCAATCCAGAAGCTACCAGATTGACATTTGGGAGGGGGTGGGGGACGAATCCATCAGTGTTGAGCTCATGGACTTGAGGTTTTGTCTATTACTATATACGTTCTGTTCCTGGATATGAGGTCGTGGGGAAGCTGATGATGCACGATGAAAATGCCATCATCTTCACCATCTCAAGTGGGGGGTCCGACTCTCCTCTATCTGACGGTTCTGCCCATAGCCTATGGATGTACTTCCTGTCTTTCTCTTTTTTTTTTTTTTTTTTTTTTTTTTTTTTTTTTTTTTTACTTCTTTATTTATTTATTATTTATTTTATTTTATTTTCACTGTTTCTCCCTTTTCAGCGTACGTGGTGATTGTCCCAGTGCGTGGAATGACCATCTCCATGTATTTGCCAAGGTCGACAAACGAAACATCTACACTATCACATCCTATTGGCAGGCGCTCCAACCTTACTCGGAGTAGGGAGGCTGACAAGGTGGCCCCGGGCCCGGGGAGCGGTGCGCAGTCCCGCCCGCTACGAGGATCTCCACCACTGGCAGAGCCGAGTAGACCTTGTCAGACGGGAGGGTGCATGCAGGGCCACTTCATCTCAACCGTTTGTTTTTGTGTTACCTTCACGGAAGGGGTTTGGATGGAATGGGACTAGGCCCCCCGGATACCTAGTGATATCCCACAGCCGATTGGTCAGTATGGTCCATCTGGTTAATAAGGCCTCTCATTGGCTAAGTGGACGGGACAGTGGCCCAATCGGGACAGACCAAGGTGAAACTGAGGCGGTCACTCCTGCCTCCCTCCAGTCTCCACTCTCCACACTCCCCAGTGACAGTTGACAGGCAACTCGTGCATATCCGCTCCACCCGGATCTCCAACGCGCTGATCTACGCAGGGTGCAGTAAGGATCCCCGTGTTGGATCCGCATTTTGTTCGGGCCATCATCCTGCAAGCTGCTGGGTCCAACTACTGTCAGGGTCGGCCCGGGAAATGACCGACCGGGAAGGGACAGGCAGCCGAGGCGGGCAGAGGAGGCCATTGGACGGGTCTCCGGGGAAAGACGGGCCTGAGGCTGGGGAATGGTCTAACAACTTTTGGCCGTTTGCCAGCCAGCATGGGTCAATCCAGTGGCGGTGAGCTAGATGGAATGTGACTGGACATACAAAAATAAACATCAAGATATAAATAAAAATAAACAAACAAACCAATTAGAATGAGAATCAATAAACAGATCGCTAGGATCCGATCGCATTCCCGCATAGGCCGAATTGATTGTCTAGGCCATCATCCATCCCAAGTAGGGAATTAGTGGACCACCCGTGGTAAATTCTAGAACCCGGCAGTAAAAAGGGGCATCCCACAAATGTCCCCAGCATTCATGGCAGATGCCTTTTTTTTTTTTTTTTTTTTTTTTTTTTTCTTAACCCTCTCTTCTTCTCTAATTTTTTGCGGGTTTCTGGTCGGAAACCATTCTCTAGAGGAAGCCTTGCGGTTTGTGGTGAGCGTGAGTACCCGTCCTTGGTGGTGCCATTACAATCGGAAACATGCCGTCTAGACCGATCCATCACATCCAGGAACTGCCACCGGACCAACGCATCGTGTCGGGGCAGCAACATCGAAGGTTTCTGTATTATGTGGCTTTGATTGCATCATGGACCTTCAACCTCTATTTTGTTGTCCGCCTCGTTCTGTGTTTCTCGGCGGCTGATCAGAACTGGCGCATCTGGGCAACCTTGTTGGTCGAAGCCATTCTGGCCGGTAGGTCACCACCAAATGCTGTGTTTCCCCCCAACAAACGAGACCATCCAAGCTAACAGCCAGTCAGACTCGTCTCGTCGCGATCAGCAACTGACGGTTTCAGCCGGCCAAGCATCGCTCAGCCAACCCCGTAAGAGACTCCGATTACACGGCATCGACAATCTGCCTCAGGTGGATGTATTGGTGCCCTGCTGCGGCGAGCCAGTCGACGTCATCCTGGACACGGTGCGCGCGGCTTGTACGATGGACTATCCAACCTCCAAGTTCCGCGTTCTGGTGCTGGACGACGGGGCCTCCAGTGCGTTGGAGGGCGCCATCTCGAGCCTGCGCCGCGACATGTCTCATCTCTTCTACCACACGCGGGGCAAGCAATCCGGAAAGGTCTTCGCCAAGGCCGGCAACCTCAATTATGCGCTCTTTTCGCTCCAGGAGAAGGTTCAGCCAGAGTTTTGCGTCATTTTCGATGCCGACTCAATCCCCCTGCCTGACTTTTTGCGTGCAACGCTGCCACATCTGCTTCGGAACCCCGAAACCGCACTGCTGACCACCCGACAGTACTTTTACAACCTGCCTGCGGGGGACCCGCTTTCTCAGTCACGCCTCCATTTCTACAGCTGTGAGAATGCGGAGCTCGATCGTTGTGGCTTGGCCCGGGATGCAGGCTCTGGTGCGGTGTTTCGCCGACAAGCCATCATCGATGCCGGGGGATATCCCACGTATTCCTTTTCCGAAGATTGGCAGCTGTCGCTCGTTCTGCAGGGCCTGGACCAACACACCATTCAGATCCAGGAGCCGTTACAATACGGCCTGGTTCCGACGTCACTGGACGGACACATCGCGCAGCGCAACCGCTGGCACATTGGCCATTCCCAGCAACTTCGGGTACTTTTTCCGCCAGCAAACGAGAAGCTTCCCCGCCACCTCCAGTGGACCATTGCGTGGAATGGTCTCTCTATCCTGGCAGGGGTCCTTGGCTGTCTAGTGGCGTTTGGGACGGTCCCATTGCTTTTGCTGTCGGGGCAGCTGATCCCGGACGCTGCGCCGCGGTTGGCCAAACTCCAGTTCTACCTGGCCGTCTGTCAGGTCGCCTTGACCTGGGCCTATGGCCTCTTGCAATGTGCATCCACAGCGTTTGAGAGTGCCCCGTTCTCTCGCCTGGAAAATACCTGGCTGGCCGGAGGTAATCATCCCATCCTTCTCGAGTTGTCCGATTGTATTGAATTTCTCCGTCTGGCTCCATTCACGTTGCTCTATCAGTTCACTGTTGCTCTCCTCTATTATTCTCTTGTGTTCAGTTGTTTTGTTGTTCTGTTTGGTTGTCTGTTCTGTTCGGCTGCTCTATCCTGTTGGTCTATCCTGTTGTTGTGTGCTCTCCCATCCCCTTCATCCTTGGCATCCTCTCCCACCCCATCCATCTCGAAGTGTCTCCTTTGTCTTCCCTTCAGCTCAATCATCCATCTTCATCCGGATAGCTAACATGTGCAGCCCATCTCCACGCTATCGTCCGATTCCATCTCCTCTCCAGCCGACCGAAAGGCTCCTTCGTAACCGGAAGCAGCTCCAACTCCTGGAACCGCACCGCGACCCCGTCGTCCCTCCAGACGCTCTACCACAATCTCTGGCACAACGGAATCGCATACAGCATCGTTGTGCTTCTCGCTACCCTTGGCTCCATGCTGCTCGCCGTCCGCTCTGCCCTTACCAGCCCCGAGCCCGACCGTCTGTGGCGCTTGCTCACCACCGTTGCCTGGCCACCGATCCTACACATCTGCTACCTCTCCGTGATCAGCTACTGGGCGCCCATCGCATACCTCCTGAATCCTCCGCATTACCGACAACGCAACGATGGATTGGCACGGTCGCCATCCGGGGTAGTCCTTCCGATACCTGAAATTCAACGGGGGGTGGTGCCACGGGGGACTGCCCCGGTCGGGTTTTATCGTCGGTGCCTGGTTGTCACACTGGTCTTGGGGGGGTTGGTCGTGGGGGGATTGACGTTGTAGCGTGGGAGTCGTTATTTGTGTACAATACGAGACAGTTTAGGGTTACTTGCTACCTGTTTCCCTGTAAGCGACTGGTCCTCTTCATCGCCTTCCTGCCCATTCCTGCCCTAGTTGATTAGCATCCATGCTGTTCTTCGATCATCTTTGCCTGATGTTCACCTAGTCCGTTCAAAACATCTCCTCGGCCTTCCGCTGATCTTTTCTCCGTATGTGATGCTGTCTAGAGCCTTCAGTGTCCGAAGCACTTCCCGTCCGACACGGAGGATTCAACCAGGGATACTACCCATGCGACCGGTGAAAGGTTTGACAGCCCTGATGAGTCTAATCTATACCTCCGTTCATACTTTCTTACGCTATCCCTCCTACCATGCCTCTCTCCCAGCGCTGCTTACCCTAATCCTTTCCAGGCTGGCATGCGATGTGCGTGACTACGGATGGAGCACCGTCGCTGTTGACGACCTCTTGGAACCAGGAGTATGCACTACTTGCCCTTATTCGCTACGGTGGCATCCTAGCAAGACCTCGATGTCTTTTGACTCGCTTCCCTCATCGTCGACCACACACCAAAGCCCTAAGACCATCCCGATGATCCCAGCGACTTCCCGACCGGTCGGTAAGTTCTTTACTCCCCTGGAAGCACAGTACAACACTAATTTCACCTGATACAGATTAATATTGATGCCCATCGACGATCTTCAATGATCTGAATCCCTCACCGGTCGCAAATCCATGACAACGTCGCCACGACTTCCGGATAGCCATCTCTGATCGCCAAGGGCCCTCGGATCCACCCCATCTCCAGCCTCATGTCCATCTTCCGACTTCCGTCCCTAAATACAACAGCCCCAGCTTTCTCGACACTGCATCCCACTCAGGGGCATAATTTTCACGTTCCCCAGGGTCAGGGGCAGTGAATCCCATACCCTTGGACCGGGCCCATCACCTCCCAGTACGGTTTATCCACCAACCCACCCTTTCCATAGTCCCATGTTACTTTTCCGTGTTCAGAATCCAGACAGTATAGTTTTGGGTGGTTTTAGGAACAATTCCGGACGATCAGTCATCAGCTGGCTCCCGGTGATGGTCGGGAGCGACCCGACGCGTCAGGACTCCCAACTCAACCCTCCGCGGTCGGATCGGCACCAAACTTGACCTATCCATGGAATGGCTGTTCGTCATCGACCACATGCTACTCGACGGCCCTAGATTGTCTCCTATCCGAGGGTCTGGGGGTTTTGGGAGAGGGACCTTTAGGTCGCATCCGAGCAAACTATAGCGAACGAAACGACAGTCCTGAAATCGAGCTACTCGGATACCAAGGGTTAATTGGTCGGAAGGAGAGTCGGGGGGTGGGTTGGGGTAGAGGTGGGCGTTGGGATTATCTCAACCCTCCTCTTGACGGCACCCGGTTCGGATCAGACCCATCAGGAACGGCTGCTGCGTTCTATGGTCTAACTGACGCACTGGCAGGGTTTCTGTTATTCCCACCGTCCTAAGAGCCGTTGGTTACTTCCGAGGTCACTGAGTCGCCTCATCCGTGGACCGTGTCAAGCTGGTGAAATGACCACTGAGAAGCACTACTTTGAATAGAACAAGTCATTCCTTATCTCTATTTATCTGAAACCCTGTGGAAATCACTAACACATGATCTACCTAGTCCAAACAATCCCCTTGAAACGTCTCCATCCTGGTGCCCTCCAACCCGACCACGATAGCTAGCAACTAAGCATTCGCCTTCCAGTATCATACCCTCAGTCAATACTACTCCTCCAGTTGACCCGAGTATTCATCTATTACGTCTATTCTCTTTCTTTGCACCAAGATACCACCGCAAGCGCATATGCTCAACCCCCCCGGGGGCGTCGATACACTACAACACACACTGGATGATTCGAATGCGCAAGGAGATGGCATAAATGGTCGAGATATACATATGCGACCGTTTAGGAGATCCAGGTAGATTATTCCCTGATGGTCACCATCATTGCACATAATGCTATGTGGTCTGTTATACATCGTCCACCACAGTACTTCGCCCTCCTGTAGATATATACCCCATGAGACTCAGTATCCGAGCCCTAAACGAATACTAGCTAAATCCACGACAACACCGTCCCAGACCTCATTAAATACTCTCAACCAGGGATGTTTTTATTTTTATGGACATTTCTTGTTTACTGTATTTACACACTAAGTATGGCAATGGGAAGTACTCCTCTATTCTAAGTATACTCGATTGAATACAGTAGAGTAATAAAGGACCTTGAAAGCACAGGGTGCGGCAGAATCCTTACAGCCTGGGCGGTAAGGTAAGGAACTGGCCAATCAACGTGGAAGGTACCGACAACGACAACAACAACAACAAATACAGATAGACCACCTAACCTCCAAGAAAAGACGAACATCTATAATTTATCTACTTCGTAACTCCTGGATGTAGGGGTTGTATATTACTAGAGTGTAACGACTACATTGTGTGTATTCTTCAGGATAAATCCAGATCAGATAAGATAAGAGAGGTGGGTTCCAGTTTCATTCCATGGCTGCGTTCTATATACAGGAGGTGTTGAATGGATTCCGTGGTAGGTGTTGTAGTTGGGGGTTGGGGTAGATGGAGTAATCGAGATGTCGGTGTGATGGTGGAGAATGTGTAGACAGGTCCTGGGGAGAGGGATATGGTGAGGAGGCCAAGGAAGAGGAGGATGGAGTGGAGCGTGGTGGCTGGGGCATGTATGATTGGTGCTGGTGGGTGATTATGTACCGAGATAGACAACCAATGAAGGACATAATTTTGACAAAAAAAAGCGCCCAAAATTGTCAGAAATATGATCATACATCCGAGATTCTCAATGAGCTGTTGCTTCATGGTATTCTCCGAACCCACGTTGTCAGCATGTGTGTGCTTACCTGTAGAGATACACTATGAGTGGTGGGGTGACTCTCTGCCAGGGCCAAGCGTGGGGGTTTTTGAAGTGTCTCTTGTCATCGCGGAGTCAACGGACATGGGAAGAATCCGTGTGCGGATGAATTTGTTTGGACGGTTAGAACAGTGACGTCAGGATACGATACATGGGACATTTGACGACATTGCATCGATCGTTGATTGGTATCTGGGGATGAAATCATCGGAAGAAGCGGCAATATTTTAATAAGGAGGGATAAGGCATACGAGTTGAAGAGTTCAGAGGAAAAAAGAAAAGAAAAGGAAGAAGCGGCGAATAGGGATAGTGGAATAATGTAGTAGATCATATGCTAGAAATCTATCCAATAAGAGTAATCTGTCACCGGATGCATATCCGATCTGCCCGAGATTTAGGGCAGCCGGACTGTGGGTCACGGTGATTGATGAGGATCGACCTGGCAGAAAATGACAGCATAGAATCTTGGACCAAGGTCTATGCAGGGCTTTGTGTCGCAAGTCAGCTCTGGCTGTGGGCGATCACGTCTCTGTTTCTTGGCAAGATCTGACACAATTGGGGGGAGGCTCACCAGGGACAGGCACCAATCAGGCCAGGATCATAATTGGAGAAGTCACATGACGCCTGGTGGTCTCTGATTCACAGCCACGAATCATCATGGGTACTACTACTTCCAAAAACGTACTGATTCTTCCGAGTGTCCAGCCCCATGGTCCAAAGAATGTGGTTGCACAACGCCAACAAATAAAAGACCAGAATGAGGCGAATGTCTTGTGAAACCTGAATAGAGCCACATTTGATGTTCCTCCATTGAACACACACAGAGCCAGTGATTTGACACCGAGGTGGTGGTAGTATTGGACTGGAAGTAAATGAATACTATCCGCGGCTTGTTTATAGCTTCTCCGATTGGCTGCCCTGTCACCAATCAGACTATAGTCACCCAGATTGCCTACTAACTAGTACTATATCCTCCGACCTCGGTTCTACTATGGTACGGTGCGTTAGGATCTTTAGGACCATCAGTGAACCCCAGAAATCTACAATTTCATTACTATTTTGAGTTGTTACTATTTGTTCAAGGCTGCTAAACACTCTCAAAACATCACTCTAGAAGGAAATAGGAGTAGCAGTAGTATTGTGGAAGAAATAATGCACCCAAAGGTCACAACCGATCAACACATGCCCGATGCGGATGAACCCTCTTCAGTCTCCGCATCATAGGCAACCCGGCAGGTCTGCTCCATCCGATAAGACCGGACCCATCCGCTTTGATCTGCCTCTCTGGTATAACAAATACTCCTGCTGGCAGAGAGGAATAGAGAAGAATCGGTGTGCTGACAACTTACATCATCGTACATGATCCTCTTGTAACACGACTGATCTGCTTGTACAGGCCGGAGTTCCTGGCTCCTCCCAAGGGTTGCGCGAGTTATGACTTTGCTGACTACCGACACGAAGACTGAAGCGATTGCCAATCTTCCGTGGATGACAAGATGACTCAGGTATTGGACGTTCAGCTCACCGTGTATCGTGAGACAAGATCTCGAGTGGTATGAAGTGCCAGATCAACCATGCTAGGCACATGTCATTCTTGCCGTTGAGAATCTGAATGTACCTTCCGCGGTGCGGCCCGTCAAGACATGTTGTAACGGAGGGCATGCCATACGAGAGAATCGGGGGACAGAGAGAATGAGATGTGTGGCGGTGGAGGATTACGGGGGCTGGGAAGAGGTGGCAGAGGTCCCGTAACCTTGGTTGAGGCCGGGGAAGCTTTTGCAGTTTATAGCGGATTTGCTTCGCTGTGCTGCTGCACTCCCTACTGGTTTCTTGTACAGATAGTAAACCGGGATGGGTTTCTTTGCGACCTCCAAGAACAGCACCCCATGTAATGTACCATCTACTTTACTTTAGTTCTCCAAACTAAGCCTTGGTTATCAACACAAGTCTTGCGTAAGCTTCACCCAAACAGCCAAAATGACATTTTTTCGTGGAGAGTAGTAAATACACATAATTTGATCTAGAGTGAGCCCGAAAAAGGAAAATGTCAAGCCACGCGGCTTATTACACCCATTATTTTAGGAGGACTCCCCCACGAGATGGCAAATCAAAACACGCGATAAGAGAGCGAACAGAGAAAACATGGTACACCCCCAAGGCATGTATGTCATGGGCTGCTCGACTCCTTCCTTTCAGAAATTTGAACAACGGCTTTCTTTTGGAGGCGTCTTTCATTTGGGTTGTCCCATCCGCCACAGATGTAGACAGCAGGATGCTCTAGGACCAGGATCCGATGTCCATCTAGGTTTTCTCCTGTGACATGATCGCCTGATGCCTCGGTATCATTCGAAGAGCGGGAAAATAGAGGGCTGGGGTCCTCGAGAGTCCCGAAATGCACGTACGAGAGATGGGCTGACATGGTCACTGCTGCTGTAGCGAAGTCGTTATAGATGCGCTGTAGCCAGGAAAACCCGTCGGAGACAGCTGAGCCGCCGAGAGTGCGGGTTAGGGACTGCAAGAGGTCCTTGTTCCAAACCTCCGTGCATAGGGCGTTGGCGGTAGAGATCCGATGAGAGACCGTCTCAGTGCCAAGCTCGGTTGATGGATGGGAAAAACGGGTTGTCCATACCCTCCAAAGATGAGCATTCCGTGGATTATCTGGCAGTCCACTAATTGTTGAGGTCAAACAAAGAGGTAAAAATTCACATACCCGCAAGAATGTTCTTATAGATGTTGTAGACTTGGGTTCCGAAGCCAGCTTTCTCAAGATCCGCTTTCTTCATGCCCGGCCGGGGCACAGTATACCAGAAGGGATTGGTAAAGAACTTTTCAACACAGTCCTTGAAAAGGTAGATCGCCACCATGTTTGGTAAGAAATGGGCTTGTAACCGTTCTGGAAGGCGGGAATAAATGAAATCAAAATCTTCCTGTACGCAATACCCATCTAAACTAGCGATGAGGCTGGCCTTCTGCTCTTGGGAAAGGTCCTGAGGTTCACGTCGAGCATGGTTTATGGACCACTGCCATAGACCAGTCCAACACAATCGGATTTGCTTCGACCAGAGCACGGGACATAATTCTGCCCATTCAAGGCTCGAGTAATGCAGTGCATTAAGATTGCCAACCTGACTTGTCGCGAACTTACTGTCCCCGAAGAACTTGCAGAAACCCTCCCTGATCACGCCATCGTGCTCTTTGAATACCTCAACAGCTTCCTTCAATGCGCGATATGGCTTATTTGCTTCCTCCAGTTGCTCATTCCTTTCCTGTAGCGTCCGGAGTTCCTCCTCAAGGAGTCGAATACGCTCCCCGAGTGTCGGTTTCTGTATCAATCGAGTCAGCGCAATCCTTCGCTGCACACGAGGCTCGTACCTTGGTTCGCACGGCGCTCCTTTCCGGTCGAGGTGAATGCTCGATTATGTTCGGTATGGCGCTTGGCTCGGCAGTCTGTGGCTGTAGGTTAACATGTAAGCGTGCCAGTCATAGGCCATGGAAGAATAGTTGACGATAGTATACGGATGCATGGGATTACGCTTTTGCCCTTCTTGGTAGTCTTTGCTACTTTTCTTGCCATGGTGAAGTTCAAGTCCCTGAATATGCAGTGTACACAAAAACAGGAGATGAGAGAAAATAGAGAGGACGAAGCGGCGAGAGACACCTATTTGAGAGCCTGAAGTGACAAAGAAAGGCTGACAGATAGTAATTTCCTTTGTCTTGTTGTTGTTGTTGTTGTTGTTGTTGTGGGAATGAGGGGGTGCCGAGACGCGGTAAAGACATCTTTGTTGACTCATCATGATTCTTCCTCGGCAATGCATGCTCGTCCATGGTTTAATGGGTGTCCCCCGGTCCCGAACGCCACCGAAAGTCAGCAAAGTCTGATTATGTAACTTCGCTTCTGAGCCTGTCTCTCCGATGTATTGCCATTGGATTCGGGCTTCTCGGGCACCGAGGATACGGCCTGTACGACTTCAAATCGGTGACAGGCGACGCAGCCATGACACCTTACTCCGTCACCAAACAGGGTCTCTGGCAGAGAATCTCGAAAGATGAGATCCGGTGGCGAAGACCACGCAGAAGATGGCTGTTCAATTTGCGTGTACGCGCAACCCCCACGCCCACCAGTCGTCCTTCATCTAAAAGATGACCATCCGATCCTATAAAGAGCCGATCAGCGCCCTTTTCAGTGTGTCGATATCCAAGTCTTCTTTTGTTCTTCAACTACTTTATTCTCCACTCATTCACAAGGCTTATCACTCATCCTCTCCTCCATGGCGCAGAGCAGCAACCGCAAAATAACAATTGCGGTAGACTATGGCACCACGGCTACGAGTATACCCCCCCTCCTACCCTATTCAACACACTCTTAGGTAACGGTGGGCTAATACTAGTTAGTCTACTGATAGTAGATACATACAGTACCGATACCATCGCTTCCTTCTGCGGTAATAGTATGAGGTTACAGGTCTTTGAACAGCGCCGAGGGACTGTGTTGGCTTCTATTGCGGGAAGCGTTATTATTACTACCAGTGATGTAAGTGTGAGCAACATCGAAAGGTGGCAGAATACCTGCACCCGCAGGGGGTAAAGGAAGTTGAGCCAATCAGAGACGGGATATACATGAGAAAGGTGAGGTTAGCTGAGCGGGTATGTATTCGCGGGAAAATAGCAACCACTAGACCAAGAACGAGTTTGAGATTCATTGATAAAACTAACACAGTGCACCAGTAACGTCATCAGTGTCAACAAATATGTGAGTGCGGGTCCGACAGTCAGATCACGATCAACTAGGCTGACTCACCCTTTTGCTGCACCAGCGCATTGCGACATCCGTCATGCATGCTGTTTGTCTGTGGGGCTCGTATCCCTGAAGAAAGCGATCGCGTTTGCATTTCTTGGCCAGATTTGACAGGGTGGTTACTGGTTAGAGTAGGAAGGAGGCTGGGGGTCATAGCGCCCCTAGGTCGGCTAGCGGCCCAGATCAGGCCGGACATATTATTAGAAAAAAGATGGCATACCACTATTCGCTGCAAACCCACCAATCATAAAAATATCCCTCCCGATAATTGGGACGCTGCCAAGTGCCCGCCAAGAATTAGAGCACGGGTCGATACGATGGTCTGGTGCAACCCGTCAAAGCCACATTGGGTGTTATTGGAATTTGACAGGTAGATTGGAAAGAAGTACCGAATATCCGCGGAGAGGTCAAGACTTTCCCGATTGGCTGATCCTCACAGCCACTTATGGCAATTTTCGAGCGATCCCATAACCAAAAATTAATTCCTGTCCCCCATTTCGTAACCCCCTAAATGGTACGTCCTAATTGCCACAACTCCTGTCAATAATGCATGACCATCAGATCAGACCCGCATTTCCGCTCTCCCGCACTCCACCAACGCAAATCCTTCTCGGCTCCAGCCGTCGCAGTGATCGTGCCGAACCGTGCTTTCCCCACCCCACCTGCCCAACATTAATCCAACGCAATCTAATCTACCCGATAGACCCGATTTACTCCTCTTCCTGGAATTCAACACCGCCCCAACCCTAAGTGATATGAAAAGAAAGATGCCAACAACCAACCTGCGTAACCGCACACACACACCGTCCGAGCCCCTAAAAACATCACCTATGAGATTATTCTGGCTGCCGCGTCCGAAATTAATTTCCCAGAAGGTTTGTACGATCGACAGTGCATATTACCAACACGAGGTGTGAAACATCAGCATCCCTACCTAGCCCATTTAGACTTTTGACTCGTATGCGCCGTTACACAACCAAATATACCACTAGGCAGTGCCACTAGTGATCTGTCATCGGTGTTTAAAACTCCGAACCGAGCGCGGCGGGGTAGATTACCTAAATCCAAAACGTTGGAAACGGGACTATTGAAGTTTCGGTTATTGGACTAGTCAACTGACGTAGGTTTGTTGGGGTGATGTGCTTCACACGGAGGGAGGGGATCGCATCGCATCGCATCGCAGATTATTTGTTTGCTGTGGTGGGTAGGGTATGGTATGTAATTTAATGCGTATGGGAACGTTTCATGTAAGGTTGGTACGAAATATTGGTGCACCGTCTCGGTTATCCCGCACCCCTCGACTTTGTGTAGATAGGCTGGGGTTCATTTCGTTGATTTTCGTGTATGGTCTCTGCTTTTTGTAAATCTAGGAACTACTTACATTTCTTTGGAGGTGGTTTCGCGGGTGATTTTACAGTGGGTATTCGGTGCTAGGTGGATTTAAGAATCCTGAATATGAATGTTACTATGGCTATGGATGGCTTCGTCATGACTAGAACACATATCAAATGCCCGAAATTCATTAGTTTTGTAGTTTATGGCTAACTAGAATGAAATTGAACAGCGTGTGTGAAAACCACGGAGTGGAGATATGGGAAGCGACCGAAAGTAGGTATTAAGGAAACACGGTGAGGGAATGAATACAACAAGATTGAAAAGACACCGAAAGTAAGGATTAAGAGAAACACGGTGAGGGAATGAACGCAACAACAATGAAAACGAACATCAGGAAGACAGAAAATCCAAAATAAACAGGGGCGGCGATATCCATCTCCATTTCCAATAACTTTCCGATCAACATTCCCCCCAACGTCAGGGCCCTGATCTGAAGCACCCCTGCTTTACCAACATATGCCATCTGTCGGGTGAATTCGATCTTATATTCAAGACGTCCCTCATCGCCTTCTACATGCCACATCTTTCCCAAATTGATGGTGCGAAGATCGAGGGTGAAGTACCCAAGGTGTAACACTCCTGAAATATTAGTCAACAAGGAGCCTTTCTCTTCAAGATCCAGGCTGACTTACCATTGCCTTTAGTGAATCGGGGACTATTCGCTCTGTTGCAACCATACACAGGAATTTGGATGCACTTAGAATCACCTTGCTTGTGCGTCAAGGTGAAACCTTTGATGGGACTTTTGCCGTCGGAATATTGCTCGTCCTGAGACCGATTGACTGTTAGTACAGGTATCACGGAAATACATGGATCTGTGGTGGGCAAGGAAAGACATACTTTGTTGAATAACCAGGTGATCTCTTCGTTCTTCAGGTTTCCAACCCCGTAATACCACGGAGAGATTACCAATTGTTTAAAATCCGAGCTTAGACGTCCTAAGGCTCCGCGTACTACGGCCAACTCCCTTTTAGGCGTCAGCTTCAACATCCATACCATGGGGCCAAGTGCTACAAATAAACATACGGTTGTGGGCAACAAATCACAAGAGTCTGGTCGGAATGAAAGGATTGGCGAATGGCATTCCTGATCCACGGAATGTTCGCCAACCCACCCACCAGCACAATGTACTATCAAACGATCAGCCAGCCAACTCCACTTCAGCACGCACCGAGATCTTACCTTGAAAGGACCTTTTGCCTTGTTGAACTGATCCTGGATAAACAGTTTGATCTCATCTAGGACTGGAGTGAAAATATCCCCCCAATCATCCATGGACAGGATAATCTCCTGGGCGTCGGCATCATGGTGCCGTGGGTTCGGATTGTCTAGATCCATCGGCAGATAAAACTGGAGTTTCTTGGTGCTTGCTTCATCTCCGGTCATTGTTCTCTTGTAATACTCGAATAGTTCCATCAGGGGGCTACCCGGGCCCGTGCAGTTGACAGGTTGCTTTGAAAATTTCTGTCCAAAACGCGAACTCAAAAGATCGTGGAAGTTGCGATCGATATCGCTGCCACCGACATTCAGACCTACGAGAGGTTAGTGTGATTGTAATAAGCCGGAAGAGAGACCAGGCCTTCAGAAGGTTCCAAGTATTTGGTCTGCAAGGTGTCCTCGACTTTCGATGCCATATACGTGGCAATGTCCTTTGGGGGCATGAATTGTTAGCTATCGCACGAAGTTGCATATGAGCGCCACGGGAAGGGCTTACCACCGTCCCTCCACCAAGGTCAACTACCATGATCTTCTCGTATTCCTGTTTTGCCCACCATTTGTTAGTCCCCTGGGCCATACTTGACAGTCGGACATTGGCAGTACTCACCTTGAGTTCTGATAGAAGTCCGCGTTCGAAGACATGCGTGGCAGCGCCCTCCGGCTCCTTTACCAGATAGATTGTCCCATCGCGAAATCCAGCTTCTGAGGCAGCGTCTTTGATCGCTAGCTGAGCGGGCTTGGAGAAGGACGCCGGAACTGTAAACACATAGAGAACCTTTGGGTCCTGGAGGGACTTCAAAGCTTCTATGTTCCAGATATAGCCATGGACCTGCTTCAGATAGTCCCGGACCACTCCACCTGCGTTCATTCCAGGAGGAAGGTGGAAGATGTCATGGCCAAGGCCACGCGCATTGGCCTGTTGTCCAGTTGAGTCCATCTCAAGAAAGCTTCGTAGCCAACTCGGTGTATGTGACATGTGTAATTACCGTAATGTATTGGTCCGGTACGGTTTTACCTCGCCCAACTTGGGCCGGCCCGAGACAAAGGAAACCAACTGACAAGGAAGGGACCAACCCCCGCCCCCCTCCACCGCATCTCAAAGAACTTGACTATCCTACTCTACCTTCTCCTTTTCGTCTTCCTGCACTTTGGGCATCAAGGTTGGGACCACTTTCAAAATATTCTCGTCTGCGTTCTTTGCCATTTCACCCCTCCTCCCCTTACCGGCTAATTTCGGTTCCTCTCTCATCATGGTAGGAAGACGACCAAAGAGCGCCATGGGGGAGAAGAAAGCAAGTTTATGCCATCCCTTGGTCCCACCAACACACTGGGCTAATATCTCAACATCTAGGAAGATCCAGATCCCCCGCAGCGCATCGGCCGACGAAAGGATTCCAGAGAACCCCTTCCAAGATCCCGAAGTTCCAGCCCAGCCAGCACGGCCACTGCTTCATCCACCGATCCCTCCGAAACGTCAACCCTCGCCAAACGGATTCAGGACCTGGAGCATCAGATAACTGAGCTGCAGAGAAAGAACTACTATCTGCAGAGAGATGACAAAAACGAGGCGCACGCGAAGATGCGTCTTAACAATCATCATGAATCCGACAAGTGGATAGTATCCAACCCAATGGAGTGGTTGACAGACATTAATAGCATGTTCCATCGCATGCAGGATGATTGGGCACGAAATTATATCCGACGTGAAACTGGGATCCTTTTCCCCGAGCAGAGAGGGATCTCATCGCCAGCTTAGATGGCTTCTGCGTACAAGACGACTTTGATGTCGTTGTAACCGGTCTTCCCAAACCTTTACAGTGCATATGTCTACAAACCTTGGTGGGTACACTTCTTGCCAAGGAATGTATGGTCAGATTCTTCATGAATGCCTTTTGGTACCTTGTTCCTCAGCCGACCAGTGATGCTGGCGAGGAGAAGCCACCGATAAACACTGCTGGCTTTGAAGACCAGATCCTGACCCTCTATCGGAATATGCTGGATTGTAAGGCCAATATCCTGTTTAGACCTTGAGCCCTGGTGCTAATATATGGTACTCTCTAGCTAACCCATCTGATGCCCATCACTGGCGTATATGGACCACCCGTTTCTCCAATGCAGACAACGCGTTTGGGAATAATATGGCCGCCCATCGGAAGTCCATGGTCGACAGGATATGCGAAGAGATCTTTGGCCAAGAGCTACTGCAGTCACTTCTCCGCAACTCGGACCAAAACTCTCGGGATCAAGCCCTGGGCGAATTGAAAGAGCACTTCAACTTTGCCTCCGATCTCTCTGTGAGAATCTCCGCGAAGCTCCAGTATCTGCAGTTTGAAACACTTAAGACTATCAATCCTCGTTTCTTTCACTCCTCAAACGAAACGAACATTGGCGTCCGTCAGAAGTTGGGCACAAGCAATCATCAATTAAATGGCCGGCGTATCTTGTACATGCAGTCTCCTGCTATCTGGGTTTGTGAAAGATATGACATTTTTCGCCGTCGGTCTCTTGAACGCCCAGCTACTGTCTATGTTGAGGATCGAGAAAGTCCGAGTAGCTCTTGATATGTGTCCCACACTCTCACTGAATCCCGTGTTCGTTTGTTTCTCAATGGATATCTATTTCCGGGTTTCTTCTGTTATTGTCTTTGCCTCTTGACGATCGAGTTACCAGAATGTCTGTCTTTCAACCTCGTGGAGCAGATGAAGCAGCCTCCTGGCGCGTAACTTGTCTCATGCCAATTAAGGTCCGCCCTCGAGTATGCCATCCGTGCTGTCCATAGGGATTCAATTCACAAATGCAACAGTGCTTATCCGTACTTGACCATCTTGTAACAGTAGCTCTTACGGCAGCAAGACTCTATTCTTTTCTGACCTCTGCCTTTGCGACATCTTCGTACCGACGTAGTCTATATTCCACATATCTTCCATTCCCTTTTTCGCTCATACTCGTCGTAGATTTTCCGTGGCAGGTGATGATCTTCAACTATATAGTCAGTTTCGTTTTGATACGTGCAACTATCTACTCTAGAAACTCTATGGCACCGACCCATTGTTCTCCTAGTGCTTGGATGATAAAATGAACATGACATGGAATCTTCCCGCCTTTGGCTCTGTGGGGTGTGTGGCCTTTCTGCCTTCACTATAGACAGAGGTTATCTGATTGCATTCTTACATACCCCTTTGTCGATACGCAAAACACGTAGTCTATACATCCAAATACAATCGCTCATACATGTCTCAGATTCGGATATCCTTTCTATGTAGTTTGTAGACAGACGTTGCTATATAGACTATAAATGGCGTTATCATAATTGAAATATTGAGTACGTATTTGGAATTTATCAGTCTTGGAGGAAGTTAAGGAGGCTTTGTGAGGAAATGCCACCCCATATAATTGCAAAAAAAGAAAGAAAGAAAAGTAAACAAATAGTCAAGGCAATATCAGAGCCCTTGCACAAATCAATTCCAACAGTTCAATGCTTTCCAATCCACTACTGTCAGAAATCGAATTAACTTCCTCTCGCTGCCCAAGTAGGTCGATTACCTCCAAGTCACACATCATTGACGATTCCTTTTATACATACATGGTTTTTCTGGTCCACAGCTTCGAGATATCAATAATACGCAAATCCGGCGCGAAGAAGATGGCGCGTATGATACCTGGAAGTCTTCATGTAAGAACATTCTTCGGGACTAAGGCCTGTCATTCATGCTCGAGTGACGGTAGACTCTCTTGTATAGCGATACACTATGATAACAATGACTTCTGGTTGAGTCTGAAATGCATCCGCTGACCGTAGCTGTCTACATATCACGTATCATCCAATCGAGAGATTCTACCTTATGTGATAATCTCTGCCCAACCACGTCTATGGAGTTGAAGACCGATGCTGAGCTTCTTCGTCCAGTCGTTGTCTATGTCGAAATCCGGATACTCTGACCAGTTCATAATATTTGGGTATTTATGAGCTCATTTCCTCTCGAATTCATGGTAGTGGTTTCTCCTTTTTCGGTTCTCATTGGTTTCCTGCAGCCAAATATCGGGTCTCTACAGCTGTCGACCCATGCCAACTGTTGAACCGACGATGGATCACGTGCCGTGGAGATTTTCTCGCACGGAAGATCATTGTGCCGATCCATCTTGGCGGCCATCGTCTCCTCATCTTTTCATCTCATTTCATCTCAATTCACCTCAACTCACATCTCTCGCGTCTTTCAATGTCTAGTTCCTAGGATTCTCAACTTCGTAGATCACAGTATCATTCCTAACACCCCTGTGCAGCAAATAAGCCCCACTCTTCCACCCGCGAGTCCCGTTCTGAACCGTCGGGATCAAGACTGCCACGACCATCAGGAACCAGAATTACACTCCAACATGCTCCAATCTCATCTCCTCATATCACCGAATCCTCTCATCCACGTTGAAATTGCAACTACCATCCTGGTGGGAGTTGAATAACGGGATCGCCACGCCTAGATGAATCATAGATAGCATCAGCTACCGAGGCGTCATCCCACGGACCCGATGCTGCCCCGAACCCACTCCGGACCGTCGTCGGCCAGACTTTATCTGCTCGTTCTCTCCTGTGGCTGGCTCGCTCATTCCATCAGACAGAAATTTTTTGCAAATGCTTTCCAGAAACCTTCTGTATCTCGGCTAACGCCCCACAAATCTGGGGCCCCGATTTTGCCGAGCCGAGCATGATCCATCCAGCATCCCGTTGAAACCCGAGCAGAAACCGGACAATTCCGTGTTCAAAACGTCCTCTGCACGCGTCCTCCCAATCTTCTTATCGTCCGCGACATGCAGCCAGTCACTTATCTCGATCCTTCACGATCGACCCAATCGCCAAAGAAGATGGCGGTCACCTATCTCCCCGAATATGAAAGCGACGAACCACCACACCTGCATCACGGTCTCGAGCCCGCCATTCCGCCCTTCGCCGGCCGTGTCGGGGGAAACCAGGACTTTGTCATTGACCGCAGCGATCCCAAGAATTCCAAGGTCCTCGAGAAGCTCCCGGATGCAGCGCCATGCATGACACTCGGAGAGATTTTTGATCCACGCGGATTTCTCAGCGCGGATCTATGGAAATTCGCCGTCCTCGAATGCATCGGTACCGTACCCTCTTTCCCTTCTTCCCGCCATGCATTCCATCCATACTAACCCGTAACAACCCCCCAGCCAGCACGATGAACGTCTTCATCACCACCTGGGTCACCACCCACCCGTTATCCGCCACCACTGCCCCAACAACCCAAGCCGGCGTCTACGCCACCGTGACCTTCTTTTCTCCAGCTTTCGGCGGCCTCACTAACCTCCTCCTCACCCCGCTCCTCATCTACACCTTCTCCCCTTCCAGCGGCGGCCACATCAGCCCGACCATCACCCTCGCCACCTTCTTCGCCCGCATCATCTCCTTCCCGCGCATGGTGCTCTACCTAGCCGGTCAGACCCTCGGTGGTGCCTTGGCGGGGTTCGCTCTGCATAGCGCGTACGGAACTCGGGCCTTCACCGTCGGCGGATGCCACATCGATACCTCCATGGTATCTGCGTCTGATGGTCTCGTGATCGAGTTCTTTGCCTGCTTGATCTTGATATTCCTTGCTTTCGGGGTGGCTTTGGATTCACGACAGGCCAAGGTGTTCGGACATGCCGTGTCGCCGTGGTTGGTGGGGGTAGTCTTGGGGGTGGTGACATGGGGGACGGCCTTTACCAGAGAGGGATACATCGGTGCTAGTACGTGTTTTTCTTCTACCTCCGTAGATTACAGGTCTAACGAATCAGGTGTCAACCCGGCAAGATGTCTGGGTGCTTATGTCGCGAGCGAATTCCCGGATTATCATTGGATTCACTGGGTGAGTTGTTCCATTTTCCTACCGCTGTTTCTATGTCTGGGTTATGATAGTAGAGTGGCTAAAGAGGTATAGATCGGTCCTCTCGCTGCAGCGGCTGCCCATGGATTAGTTTATTTTGTGGATCCGCTGTGGAAGGATCCTCGAGTGGAGTAATTGTTTTGATTCGTTGTATATGATGTATATGTATATTACTGTAGATTATAGATTTAGGGTAGATGGAGTTGATGAATTGATTGGTTCTTTGCTATTGAGGGAGTGGAGTTATTGTATTATCCTTTGTGTTTAGACCTTGTAACTCATTACATTGAACTCAATCATCCATCCCACCTCCAATACAAACTCCACCAAAACAATATCCCAGATAAATGCCTGATAATTAGGTATAATTGCCTGTCTGATACAGATCGACGTTTAATTATAATATCTAAGAGCAGGGTATAAGTATAAAATATGGATATGGATGTGGGATGCAGTTCAACTATCATATAAATTACACCAATACTGTGGGATTGTATTTCTACTTTTAGGCTGAGGACTATAGAGGCTTTGATTACTGGAATAGAATATAATTAAGTCGGTCCTTATACAACTAGTAGAGACAAGAGGGTCTGACCTCTCTTGCAAGATGCATCTACTGTCTTACGCGTCACTTTGCGTCCGTTTCATGCTTGAAGGAATCAATTAGGGCTTGGGTGATAACGTTGTTCCTTTAAATCTATCCCGATATACATCCTCTTAGAATCCAGCCCACGATCAACCCACTAACTTGATCCTCCAATGATTCATCTCTGTCCTGTATAAACCCCTTAAAGGAAATACGTCTACACAAGATCCATCCCAAATATAACCACCACCCAGTTATTATACAGCTAACAACACCCCACCCCCAACCGACAATAACACGACGTCACAATCGGCACATCCGCCTCCTTCATCGCCCCATCCCTCACCACCTTAACCCTACTCGCCTCCTCCACCTTCCCCCCTCTCACCAAACACTCATACAACCCATGCAATCCCCAAACATTATCCAACCTGGCCTTCCTCCTGGGAAACCCCTCCGCGAGGCCCAAATCCTCCCGAAACACCTGTTCCGCCTCCTCCACCCTCCCCTGCTCCAACAACAACCCGCCCAGCGCATGCCTCACCGGCTGCGTCCACGCCGGCGGATCACAATACGCCAATCCATCCTCCAACTCCACCCCGTGTCTCAATAGCTCAAATGCCCTCTCCATATTCCCTTTTCGATATTCCACCTCGCCTTCTAGCATTGCTGATGCGATCGCTAACACTTCTCGCTGCCGCACGGGGACATTATTGAATCTTGACGGTGGGACTCGGTCCCGTGCCTTTTCGAATTCCTCCCGCGTTGTCTCTGCTTCTTCGACCCGCCCCAGCGCACTTAATGCGATCCCCCTCGCGTACAGCAAATTTGCCCTCTTACAACAATACACCCCATCCTCATCCCGTTCCCCAGGAAGGTGTAAATCCAAAACATCCCCCCACCTCCCAAACCTCACAAAAACATGACCCACCATGCCCAAAAACCCCTCCGTCCAATCCGCCATCACGGGACTCTTCATCCCCAACACCCGGTGATCAATCACATCCTCCAATTTCCCCGCCGCAGATAGAGCATCCCCCATTCTGCCCGATATACTCGCACAATACAACTTTGTCATGATATTATGCACTCTGTAGGCGATGTACAACGCCCCTCCCCCTCCACCCCCTTCTTCTCCCGTTGGTATTCTCGTCTGATTGAGTGCAAAAAACCTATCATCGGCTTCAATCGCCTCCTGGCTGGATTTTATCGCCTGGGGGTAGTCTCCAACTGCCATGTCGATATGCGTAGGCATGTGCAGCATATGCGAAGCGTCTGGCATGAGGGTCCGGAGGCGGTTGGCGGCGGGGAGGGCGAGGTCAGGTGTGGTTGTCATTTCCATGAGGTGGATGTAGAGGTGGCATAGGGCGGGGTGGGAGTGGCCTTCTGGTGTGGAGAGGTGATGTTCGAGGAGAGAGCGGGCTTCGGTGGTGTGGGGGCCTGATGGGGACCCGGTGTCGAGGTCCCAGAGGGCTCTGGGGGAGATGCAGAGGAGGGATTCGATGAAGATGGTTGCGAGGAAGAGGTTGGTTGGGTGGGAGGTGTAGATTGGGCGGAGGGCGTTAGCGTAGGCGCGGTTGTAGGGGGACATGGTTTTTTGGGTGTGGGGGTGGGGATGGCGTTTGGGGGAGGGAAGCGGGATAGGAGGGCCGTTTTGAGGGAGGTTTCGATGGGGGTGGCGGTTGGGGAGGTGGGTGTGGTGAGGGCTGCGTGGGCGGTATGGATGCTGGTGTGCAGGTCGGAGGGGTCGAAAAAGGCCCATTGTTTGTTGTAGCTGGGGCCGATGGCGTAGGCGATTCCCCAGTGGGCCATGGTGCAGGTGGGATCGTGGTGAGCGGCTTGTTGGAAGCATCGGAGGGCTTCTTCGTGGTTGAAGCCGTAGGTCCAGAGGAGGCCGCGGTTGAACCATTCTTGGGCTGTGGGGGAGGTGGTGCTTATAGGGTGGTGGAGGGGCCGAGGTTGTAGGTTGGGTAGGATGGGGGGTCTCTGTGTTGCTTAGTACGTAAGATGTTTAGGGAGGGAGGGGGGGATGTACTTGGTCATTTTGAAGGTGGAGGTGGTGAGGATGAGGAAGAGAGGATGAGCTGCTGGGGAGGGGAGGGCTGGATTTATATTCCGGAGGGGAAAGCGGGGTAAGTTTACTTTGGTCGGCGACTTGTTTGGCCCGTCATTGGTCGCCTTGCCCGGCGTAGCCCCAGGTCTGCTGCAGTTCAGTTCACGTTACACAGGCTGCTGACATTCCCCTCCTGGTCTGGTGTGGTGTAGTCTGCTAAGGGTTGGATGCGACCGACTGATTGGTTACGGGCAGCTAGATAGAAGCCTGGCAGATGTGATACATTCAGAAATAATTAAAGTTGATAGACGCAGGTCGTGCACAACGACTTCGCCGCGAGGTTGAGATAATTGGGATGAGCATCGAGATCGTCTTGTCCCTCGCTGAGAACCTTGCGAAGGTGTGCGCAAGCATCCTGCAATCCTATGCTCTGTTAGACACCATTGCTAAAGAAAGTGGTCAGAGGGCAAGTGGCGGTCTGATCTGCCTCCAGGTCCAGTCCAACAATTAGGCCCAGAAGTTCCTTATAACTGCTACCATCAGGGTGTGGGCTGAAGGCGACCGGTATATATCCCTACAGATATTATATTTATCGATAAAATATCCCTTTCAATGAATTTGAGATTATTTGGTGACATACAAGGTCTGACTAACACTAGCTATGGTTTTTAGTCGACTTAATAAGTCGTGAGATGCTCAGGTTATGTAGAGCATACAGTCAGTTATCGAAGCTGGAATAATCAGAATAATTATGTATGAAGTCAAAAGCCTCCTTAAAACAAATCATGATACCAACAATTACATAAAACCCCAGAACTCAACCATCAACATCAACAGCCAATTCACATTCAATCAAACTCTCCACCCCCCTTCGCACCGTCCAAATCTTCGTAATCTTCAGTCCCGCCGACTCCACCAACGCCCGCCACTGCATCTCCGTACGTTCCGTCGACGCAAAGTCCGCCATCATAATGATATCCAGACTAGTCGTCTCCCAATACGCATTCGTGCTAGGAATGACATTCTCATTCAGCAACAACTTACTATATCCCGGCTTCATGGCCGGCATCACATTAGCCAGGATCCGACGACAGTCATCATCCGTCCAATCATGCAGGACGGAATGCATGTAATACGCGCGAGCGCCTGATCACGTGTCAGCCGTGCCCTGATTCAACCATCACCTATCCCACTTACCTTTGATTGGCTGCTCGGTGAAGAAATCATGGTTCATGAGTTCGATCGCTGGGTCCAGGTTCATTGTTCTCGCCTGGTCCACGACCTTGGGTAGGTCTTGTAGGATTAACCTGCCGGGTACCTGGGGCCATTTGCGGTGGAACTCAGAGAGATCATGGCCCATGCTTCCGCCCATGTCCACTAACAATGTGTCTTCCTCATTGATGCCGGTGTCTGAGACCAGGGATAGGACGGGGTAGAAGCCCACGTCCATCCAACTGGGTCGGCCCTGGTGGTATGCCGACATGTGGTTGTTGAATTGTATCGCGTGGGCGGGGTTCTCGCGGAGGAAGTCGAAGAAGTGGAGGGGGGTGTTGAATCCGCGTTGAAAGGCGCAGTTCTTGCCGTCGCTGGGGTTACGGTAATTGGTTTTCTTCAGCTGGGCGGGGAGTGCGAGGACGCCGTCGGTGATGCAGCCGGTCCTGAGATGTTAGCAGTGGTATCGGGAGGGGAGAGGCACTTACATGCAAGGATAGGCGTCGCTGTATCGGGGTGAGCCCATCGAGATGGAGAACCCGGTTCGACGGTACTTATCTGGACCGGTTTCTACGATGACGCCCATGGCGGCGAGGTGTTTCAGGATGCGGGCTATTCGATTAGCTTTGTATATGTGAAGGGCGTGAACCTACCGAGCATTGTTGGGTCGGCGCCAGTTGCTGCAGCCAGGTAGGTGGCAGTCTTTGGTTTGTCATCCTGCGAGAGGACAGTGAACAGGCCCAGGTCGACGCCGGTCTCGATTGCTGCGTAGAGCGTGCTCTGGTTCTGTTAGTGTAATCGTCACTAACAACGAGGGGGGTAATACCTGAGACCAGCAGTGTCGGATGATTGCCTCTCGAGGAGTCTCGAGTGCATACACCAATGATCGCGCGGTGTCGAGGATCTTTGTGCGCTCATTCTCATCGCTCTCCGTCAGGTACGCCTCACCATGCAAGGCGAGCCGCTTCAACAGGGTGGGCACCTCTTCCGGAGCATTAGGAGAAATAGCGACGTTGCCATCGACAAAGGCCTGGACAGTTTCCTTGACCTGTCCGATATGGCCATTGGCATTGTTTGCTTTGACAGTCATTGTGATAGATCACTTGGATGGATGGAGAAAGGCTGGGATACGAGGGTCCTGTTATACACAGTACTGTCAGGCCCCTGAATGGCGCGTGATAACCCGAAAAGTACGATAAAGCGAGCCTGGAACCGAGGTGGACCCATCTAGCCATTGCCTGCAATCAGGCTGTTGCCTATCTGGTACTGGTCGACCGTTACAACGTGGCGGGAAAATGCCGACAGGATCGATCAGAGCTGACTCGTATTGGCCGTTGATAACCCTGGTCAATGTCCTGTTCCCTTCAATCAGGTACTTGCTAATCATTGACCTGGCATTAGCGGCTCTCAGATCTCTGCGGGTAACATGTGGATTAATGCAGTGCATAGAATCTGGCACAGCATGGACCACTGCCGCCTGGCAGTTACCAGGGGTAGAATATCCACGAGTAACACGGGATGTTGGACGGGTCTCCAAATAGCCGGATGGGTCGGCTTATTTCGTCGACATGCCGAAATAGGAACTGACAGGTCTCGAGACGAGGCTAATGATCCTTCGGGCTGGATGCCCACGCGGCTGCTTCGATTGATTCTTGATTCTGATTCTGATTCTTTAGAAACCCACCCTAGACATACAGTGTCTCTGTGAATATTGATCCAGCCAGGCAAACAGCAGAGACCAAAGTACGACTTAACATAATCGCGTGCTGGGCATATGAGCACTGGTACGGATATAACAGAGGTGTTAAGCTTCAACGGCCGCGCGGCCCCACAACCCGACTGTCACCATCCGGTGGATTCTGACCCGCCAACAGGAAAATAGCCTGGCATGGATCTTCTGCACTCGGACTAAAATGGACAGTCTGACCGGCCAATCCTGATCGTGTCAGCACCATATCCCGCTAGCGAGTCGTGTTCCCTGCTGCCACCACCGGATGAAACCATGACTAAAGACTAATCACATGAGGGCGATGTATCCATCGAGCATGTCCACAACCTGATGTACCCGAATTTGATCATCAGGATCCCTTGCTGCCCCTGGGTAGTACCTCATGCGGCATTCATATTCTGACCAGGCCCATCAGTTGTGCGAATCTGCACTGCACTGCACGCAAGATGACCACCACCGACGGCAACGCCAGCGATGACAAAGGGCCGATGATCCTCGCGGTTCTGTGGGCTTTGACAGGCCTCACGACCGTGCTTGTCATAGCGCGCATGTATATCCGATCGAGTCTGCTACACAATCTGGGAGCAGATGACTGGCTGATTGCCGCATCGCTGGTATGTATCCCCTTTCGCAGAGGGCCACATCTAACGCCAGCAGACCATGGGCCTTATCTACTGCGGAATCACAACTGCAAATGTGGAAATGGGATACGGGAAGCATGCCTGGCTACTGAGCGAAAGAACCGTGGAAAAGGCCACTCTTCTCAACTGTTTGAGCTTCCTTTTCGGCATCATTTCCTTCACAGTTCCCAAGTTGGCAGTGACCGCGATGCTGAATCGCATCCTCAACCCGAATCTCATCCAGCGCGTGTATCTCTGGTCGCTGACGAGTCTCACCGCTGTGGTATCGGGCATCTGTATCATCGTGTTGTTTACAATGTGCGATCCGCCTAAGGCACTGTGGCAGTCGCATCTAGTGACGGAGGGGAAGGCGACTTGCAAGGATGTGTGGATCCTGATTGACTATGCTATTTTCACTGGGGGTGAGTAAATTGTCTACTGCTAAGACCTAGCTGACAGTCCAGCTCTATCCGCATTTGTCGATCTCACGCTGGCCATCTACCCCAGCACGGTCCTAATGAAACTCCACATGTCGTTGCGAAAACGCCTGGCATTATGTGCAGCGTTAAGTCTGGGTGCAGTGTATGCAACCTCACTATCTCAATCAACACCACTAACCTAATCTCAGTGCCTCCGCAATGGCCATCATCAAATGCACTCAACTAAAAGGCCTCGCCGACAAAACCGACTACACCTGTAAGTCACTACCAGCATCAACCCAATCTACTCAACTAACAGCAACAGACGGAACCGCCGACCTAGTCATGTGGACCAAGTACCTCCCCTCCCCTCCCCTTCATCAACAAACACACTAACAATCTCAGCATCGAATCCAACGTCGTAATCATCGCCTCCTGCATCCCCACCCTCCAACCCGTCCTCGAACTCATCCTCGGCCGCCGAACCACCAGCTCCTACAACAACAGTCGCAACAAATACAAAGGCAGTTCACAACTCCCGGACTCTTCCTTGGATCATAGCAAGATGTCGAAACCGCGCAAACCAGATTACGAGATTACAACGGTGGGCAGTCAGGAGAGTATCCTTCGGGATGATACGCCGCGAGTGGTGGAAAGTCATCCGATGGGGGCGATTCGTCGGACGGATAATGTGACGGTGGAATATGAGAGTCGGTCGGGGGAGGAGGCAGAGCCGGAACCGGTGCCTAGGACGTCGTGGTGATTTTTTTTTTTTGTTTTCGGGTTAATATTGTTCTGGGTGTTAGATTAGATGAAAAGACTTCTTGTTTGTCTGCATTAGTGGAGATGAGTTGGATAACCCACTTCATACCTAGCTAGAATAATACAATAGATCAGTGCAACATAATAAAGAAGCATTGGCCATAAATCCAAGAACATGGCATCGAACAAAGAAACAACAACCCCTTCGGAGAATTCCAAGAATTTGATGTATCAACTACATCCCAATCTAATCCCCTGCCCGTAAACCCTGCATTCATTAACCCGACCAATCAGCCACCCTCTTAGCTGCAAATACAAAGTACCTACATATTTGGCTCAGCCACAATAGACAAGTAACAAAGCACTCGAAATGAGAAAACGCCACGGATATTCCAGCCAACCAAATAGGCATCTCACCCACCCGCCACTTAATTTCCAGCCCTGTCGGGGTCTCTCTCCGCCACTTCCCAACGTCCAACTCTTTGATCCTAACCACGGTCATTCGAAAATAATTATAATACTGAGACGTAAATTTTGAAAGAAAGATATTAACCCTGTAATACTCACCCACCCATAGACACAGACACAGACATACAGACCCAAAGTAATACTATAATCCCGATATAATATACCCCAAGCGGGTCCCGCTAACCCACACCCATCCAGTAACAAGCTTTGAGGAGATTACTCTCTCCTTCAGGTTAGGTTAGAACTTGAAGTGTCTCTATTTGCATTGTCAAGTAAATAATTCCCTCTTACTAAATATGTACCCGTACCGAGGATAGCGGAGTGGGTGGAGGGCCTGTCCTCTCCTCCCCTCTCTAACCATAAAATATTAGTATTTTGTATGTATTGTGGTGTGGATTCTATGTAGTGGGACTCAAAAGCTATTATTTTATGCCTAAGGCTCCAAATGCAGTGTGGAAAGATACACTCGGCCCTAACCGCGTCGAGAACTTATTTCTCCATTGTTATACGTCGTAATTATTCCTATCTCTTCTTGACTAAATTACACCGTTTGTATGTATAATTGGCAAGGAATAGTACATACGACCACAGGGTGTGGAAAATAGGGCTTCCCGTCCGCTCAGCCGTACTCAAGCCACACGCCGGGAGGTTAGTAGTTGGGTGGGTGACCACCAGCGAATCCCTTCTGTTGTATGTATTCTTCCTTGTCTTTTTTTTAAAAAATTCTAAATCATATATATAGATTTTGATAACTCAGTCAATTATCTTGGTCATTTATTTATCGCCATCAGGAAATATTATGGTACATACATTCTGACGAGAGGCTGGATGCCACTCCGCCAGCCGCCACTTTCATAAATCCATTTTCCATCTACAGGGTATTCCAACATGCCCTCTTATCTACAAAACACAGAAGATAATCCTGACCTTAACTCCTCCTTTCAATGCATATGCATAAACAAACACATACAAAATATCATTCCACCCTATCTATATCTATCCCCCCTCCCCCCTCTCCCTCCCACCCAAAACTACATCTACAACATATACCTAAACGTCAACGCCCTATCCCCCAACTCCCCCAACTCCCTAACCGAAAACTCCGGCCTCAATTCCACCAACCTATCCACTCTCCGCCGATTAATCCCCCCATACGCATACCGAGTAATCACAATCGCCACGACACCTAGTATCCCGAACGCGAGTTCCAGTGCATGGCCCAGGATGTATTGTGGGGCGTCGCGCGTGCGGTAGAAGTGGGAGGCCATTGCTATACCCATAATCTATCAGTATGTGGTTTGGGGTGTGGATGGGTAGGGAGGGGTTGTCTTACCGCCAGCGAAATTCCCTAATCCAATATGAATGGCCATTCCGGCGGATCGTTTATGTTCGGCGGCGAGGTTGCTGCTTAACCAGGTTATTAGGGCGGGGATGGCGGGGTAGATTCCTTTTGATTTATTAGTTCAGGTTTGTTTGTGGGAATGGGGGGGAATTGGGGGGAGGGAGGGAACCTAGGATTGCAAGGAAGACGCCGAAATATACGAGGCCTGGAACCCAGCGCTGAGACCCTGCCAGACAGACGAAGAATCCGGCGACGATGCAGCCGACGTGGAAGAGGAGGAGAGGAGAGCGTTCGCCGTTACGGTCGGAGAACCAGGCTGCCAGGATGGCTGCTATAGCGGCGGTGATGTAGGGGGGTACTGTGAGGAGCTGTGCCGTGGAGGATGTATATCCCAGATCGCGGATGATGGTGGGGAGGAAGAATGAGATACCGTATAGTGGACAGACGGCGGAGAAGTATACTATTATTGTCAGAGAGAAATAGATAGAGAAGGATGGGAGGGGGGGGGGTGGTAGACATACTCAATATAGCCATATACACCTGCCAATCCGTAGCCGCGTCCCAGACATACTTCCACTTGAACTCGATCGTCTCAGGCACCACGTTGCCACTATTCGAGAATTGGATTCTTAGACGACGCAGTACCCATGCTCGTTCGTCGGGGGTCAGAAACGATGCTGTATCCGGGTAATCGTAGAGCACAAAGTAGGCCATGACGGCCACCAGCACCGTGGCTAGTCCTTCGATGATGAAGATCCACCGCCATCCGGAGTATCCGCCGACGCCGTTCATTTTCTGGTCGGTTAGATGAGGAATAGTGGGTAGTGGGTGGGTTGGACTTACTCCGATCGCAAACGCGAGTAAGCCCGAAAATGCCCCTGCGATGCTTGCAGCGCTGAAACATAGGGCTTGGCGGAACTGCGCTTCGTGTCGAGAATACCACATGGTGATGTAGTAGGTTACTCCCGGGTAGATTCCGGCTTCTGCATGCTGTTAGTATGATTCTGTCTCATGAGGGTGATAGTACCTGCAACGCCGAGGAAGACCCGGGCGATAAGAAGCCCGTTGTAATCGGTGACGATGCCCATTAGGGTCTACTAATTAGCGGGAACGTGCGGGAGGCTGTAGGAAACTCACCATGACAGTCCCCCATGCTACCATCAGCGAGGGAATCCATATGGATGGGCGTACTTTCTGCATTATCAGGTTCGAGGGCAGTTCGAAGACGGTGTAGGTGAAGAAAAAGACCGTGACTGGGTTGTTAGATTACGTCGAGACAAACGGTTTGGCTACTTACGAGCCCAGTTGTATTGTGTTCCTCCTAGGTGTAGATCATCCTCCATGCCTTCGATTCGGGCGTTGCCGATGTTTCCCCGGTCGAGGAATGAAAATAGGTACAGGAGGGTCAGCATCGGCATGAGGTGGAGGTCCATTTTTCTGAGAAGCTTCTTCCCGTCGATGTGGTCGAGGTTGAGCTCGGTGAGGTGTCGTTGGCGACATGCTGTTTGGGTTTCATTGTGTTGCTTGGATGATTTCCCGGAGTCCATGTCGAGTTGATTGCGGGGAGTTGGATTGAAGTTGGTGAATGTGGGATGGGCTGTGATTTTGATTGATGTGGACGTCTGTGGCTTAGGATTAAAGATGCAAGGGGCTGAGGAATGTGGGCTGGTGATACGCCGTTGACCGTTCAATGATGGATGGATCTTAATATTGATCAGCAGGGTATTACGAGTTGTTGCACATTAATCCATTACTGTCAGTGTCTATGAAGCAAACAACAAATGATTGAACTGGTGGAGGCTGAAGTGAGACATTACGTCTGCCTGGTATTCAACAAGGTTAATTGGTGCTGATCTGCATCAAAGATGAACGATCGTGTGCCTGAACAGCGTCAAGCATGGATGGCTGGTAGCCTGACCAGTTAGCATTTCTGATAGTCAATGAACAACGGGGCTGGTCAATTATTGGCGCACGGCGTTGAACACGGCAGGCTTGCATTGAGGTGGTTGAGTGGGATAGACAGCCCAATCAATAGTCTGAGACATGATCGTCCTTGCATGAACCTTGCATGGACTAATTGGGACTGTCAGGCAGACCTACCATAAGGCGTGTTGGCTGCGTACTCCTACCTTTTGCATGTAGATGATGGTTTCATTAGAAGTTACATCATAAGCATGTAGCAATTAGCCAGTTGGTGATAATCCTAGTAATGACATCATGATGCCATTGTGCAGCCGTTCTGGGTCCACTATATATCTGCCAGATGGTGAACATCATGGCAGAGATCTGATGGATTGACTCGTTCGACAGTTGACAGCTCTACTTGTAGCTGCTTCTGTCAGGTCCGTGTGATGTTGACCGCCAGTTCATCCACGGGAACGATAAGATACTGACAACCGCCCCACCTCCCGTCGCTCTCATTCTCAATTCTCATTGAGTTGGGAAATATTTCCTCCCCTCCGTTTAGTCTCGCCACCCACAACCAATCGAACCCCGCCAAATCATGAGTTCCTAACAACTAACAGTCGAGCCGCCATCATCTCATATCCACCGTGCCCATGTGTGCTCGGAAGGTCTCTCCACCCAGCCAGCCCGGCAGTCCCGGCCCACCCTCCGAGGCCACCAGTGCTAGGCGAACCACCGGCAAGGTTCTAATTCCTCGCGATCGTTCCAGGCTGCTGCTGGCCCCCTCCCAGATCCGTACCGCCCGGGCCTGCGATCCCTGTCGCCAGCGCAAGGCCAAGTGCAATGGCGGGAAGCCAATCTGCGGTCATTGCGAGCGGTTCGGCATCGACTGCATCTACTCGGAGCAGAAGCGGACCCAGGAGAAAAAGGAGCTGGATATGTTGCGGGCCGCCATCAAGCGGCATGAACGCATGCTGCAGCTCATGTCCCGCCCATCCGACCCTGCAGATCGTAGGGTGAGCTTAATCACGATGCCATCCGGACAGCACTAACTTGTGGTAGATTGTGGTCGCGCCACAGCAGGATTTGGCCATCCAGCAAACCCTGCCGGAGAGTCTGGATCGGACTATAGAGCTGCTTCAGACCCAGCTCAGAGAATTGCATTATGTTTATCAGAATATTCATGATTGCGATCCGGCCGTGTTGCCCACGGTCGTCGACACCATCCGTCGGAGCGGTTCCGTGCATGAGGCGGCCACCCAGCTGACCCGGCAGATGTCGTCGCAGGGCCCGGGGATTACCCTCGAGCGGATGCAGAGGGCGTGGTTGACCCGACTGTCGGGGAAGCCTGAAATGGTCAACCGACATCCTCCGTACAACGTCAATGCCACAGAACGATGGACGTCGATTGTCGACAATGCAGCCGCGTCGCATCTCTTCTCGCTGTTCTTCGTCTGGGATAATCCAACCTGGCTCCTCGTGGACCCGGGCTCATTCCTTGAGGACTTTCACAGCGGGCGCACCCAGTTCTGTTCGTCATTGCTAGTCCATACCGTTCTGTTCTATGCGTGTGTACGTACCCTCATCCATTGGTTTCCCCGCTGACGGAGTAGCACTTTTCCTATGACTTTGAGAAACCATGGGACCGGCGCGTGGAGATGTCCACCGCGAAGCGACTGCTGCGCGAGGTCGAACGACTATGGCAGCGCGACAAGGCGACCGTATCTCTTCCCACCATGCAATCCAGTCTGCTCCTAGGACTGTTCTTCTGTGCCGCCGGAAAAGATAAAATCGGCGTTGAATACATCCAATACGGTGCGCGGATGGGGCTACACCTAAATCTGCACACATCACCTCATATCGATGCAGCCCACAGCCGGGTATACAAGACCCTCGCCAGCGCGGTCTACGACATGCAAACGTGAGTGTTGACGGACAGCATGCAGGCAGGTACTGATCGAACAGCTTGGCATTGCAATTAGCAAGGATACCGTCGGTCTGGCCGGGACCACCCGAGCTTTTCCTATCCGAAGAGGACGCCGCAGCAGCAGATCTCAACCAGCAATGGGCGCCATACCCGTTCACCCACCCATCTCACCGGTCATTCTTGTACACTGGACTCTCCGTCCGACGAAAGCTCTTGATCGCCGTCAACGACGTGGGACATCTGATACAGGAACTCGGTGGCCGGGTGGATTTGCAGGGCTGGCAGAAGGGGGCTGTCCTATACCAACGACTGTTGCAGATCGAGCGGAATCTGCCCGCAGTGCTAGGGATCCAGCGGAACCGAACGCCCCATAATCTATGCTTTCAGTGAGTAATTCTCCTATGCTCAGAGGATACTAACAATAGCAGCATGTACTACCACATGACGGTAGTGAATCTCTGCGGACTGTTTGTCTCCCTGGACAGCAACACCCCGACGGATGTGCTGATCCAAGCCACGAATTTCGACCCGCAAAAGACACTCGCCGAAGCAATGGACGCACTGGCAACGCTGATCCTGCTTTATCGCGTATGTCATGGATGGAAGTCAATTCCAGTGGTGATGGTGCACTACTTTGTAGTTGCGGGGGTGCATGCAGCCTCGCACCTGGAGTCGTCGAAATGGCGCGAGGTGCTGGTCAGCTGCGTGTCCGGACTATGGCACATGGGGCTGGTCTGGCGAGTGTCTCGTGCATTTCTGCGGACGATTCAACTGGTGTTGCAGAGTGCCGACCCGACATTGATTCCGGGTGAAGCGGCGTCGATCTTGAAGGAGTTTGACGAGAAGGTGTGGAATCAAAACGAGGTCAAATCGCTGGCGGCCAACTATGTGGTGCATCACCATCCGAGTCGTTCGCTGGCACTGGACCCGAGCAATAATTTCCAAGGGGAGGGGTTGGAGAAGTTGATTCGAGCATTTGATCGACTGAATACGGATGATTAGGTGGATGTGGAGAGACGAAGGGGAGAGAAGAGGAAATACACGAGAGGTCTGTACACGACGACTGTAAAATAATGTTTGTTACGTTCTGCCACACACGACGCAGGTCACGCGCCATGAGAATACACGACTCATGCTATCTATTAATTCTTTATCTGTCTACATTCCCCACCACAAATTATATCATACTATAGTACAAAACTAAGTATCCACCTCAATCAACTCATCCCCCACTCGTCTCGTCCACTCCATCCAACTCCCATCATACAGCCTCCTCCCCCCCTTCACTCCCACCAACCTCAACGCCAAATCCAGCGCCGCGGCCGTAACCCCCGAATTACACGTCAGGATATACTCCACCTCTGCATCCCCCAACGCCCCCGCATCCACCAACACCTTCCTCAACTCCTCCGTCGATAAAATCACCCCCTCATCCCCACCCAACAAGCTCTTCAACGGCACATTCACCGCCCCGGGAATATGTCCCGACCGTAACGAAGCATCCGTTTCATTCTCCACGCCACGGAATCGTCCCGCGGGGCGGGAATCTAAAATCTGCACTTTTCTCCCGGTGTTTGTGTTTCCTTGGGTGACTATATCTTTGACTTCGTTGAAGGATATCACCCGGTGGGAAGTAATCTCCTCTTCTGGAACAATATATCCCCCGGCAACACCACTACCAATATCAAAACAAGTAATATCCATATCCACCCCCCCAACCCCCAAAGGAAACCCCACCCCCACCCACAACTTGAAATTATTCAAAACATGCACATTTCTATGTCCAAAGAATTCACATATAAATGCCAGTCGAGGCGCATGGTACGTGCCTATTTCCTCGGCGTCGTAGATGACTAGTATATCGGATTTGTGGATGTCGAGGGCGGTCATTGTGTTGGTGAAGTGTTTGAGGCTGCTGGTGGTGGGGGGGTTGGTGAGGGGGGGGATTTGGTGGAGGGGAAAGAATCTACGTTTTTGTTATTACGTTTATCATTCGGGTCTTGGTTGGGGTGAGTTGGATGGTTGTGGGGGGGTTGGGGAGGGGGGATACTTTGAGTTTGGGAGGTGGTGGGATTCGAAGGAGGCGTGGAGGGTGGGACGGTAGGCTGCTAGGGGGATGATTCTGCGGGAGTTGGCAGTGGGGTTGGAGGTGGCATTGTGGTATTCGGTGGGGGTTATGAGGGGGGTGGTGAAGGGGTTCATTGTATTAGTTGAGATTTAGGATGTAGAAGGAAGAGGAGGTGGTGGTGGTGAGGGGAATTGTGGTGGCTGTTATCCGGTTATCAGGGTGCATAGGGTGGATAATTTGTGGGGTGGTGGTTAGTCAGCTGTGCGGTTGTGCATAAGTATTAGTATAGGTAGGGATGGGATGGTGGGATTGAGAGGATACATAACTTGGATAGTTACGTGGATTTCTTGTATCATTTTTGGTTTGTCTTTACTGCATAGGCTAGGATGGAACATGGTTTAACCCATCAATTATGTCGAGATCTCGGCTATGCAATGCATGATGTCATTGAAATATATATCGGACTGGCAACTACTGTTAACTTCATACAGAACTGACCACCACCTAAGGAGACAAACTCCCACAGCTGACCTGCTATAAATTCGGCGCATTCAATCCCATCAAGCACAGCCCCCCAGCAATCACCCCCGCACAAGGCACCGTAACCACCCACGCCAACACAATCCCCCCAACTGCCACCAATTGACAGCCCCAACATCATAGTTCATCAATGCCACCCCCGTGGTAGCCCCAGTCAAACACTGCGTCGTCGACACCGGCAATCCCAATCTCGAAGCCACCAGCACCGTCGCTCCCGCCCCGAGCTCCACCGCGAACCCTCGTGTCGGGGTCATCTCCGTGATTCCACTCCCCAGCGTCCGCACCACATGGTATCCATACACCCAGAACCCAGCTCCGATGAGCACCCCTGCAATCACCAGAAACCACACCGGTGTATGAGTCTGCGTATCCACCGCTCCAGCACGATAGGTGGCGTAGATCCCGGCCCATGGGGCAACAGCATTCGCGACGTCGTTGGATCCGTGCGCGATAGACATGAGTATCGCCGAGAGAACGAGGCAGTATTTCCACAGATATTCGACCCGCTCGTCGTATCGATGGGCTCTGGCGTGGATGGAACGGAGGTGGTCGGAGTCGTGGGTGAGAACGTCGCGGGTGACGCCTTGCAGGACGAGGAATTTCGTCCATGACCAGTATTTCCGTGGATGCAACCAGGTGAGGTGCTGGGTTGGGGCCAGAAAGCGGTCTACTGGACTTGGTGTCTGCTTCACTGTCTGGAGGGTTAATGCACAGCTCTGGGAGCTTTCAAGATCCGACGGGTGCGATTGCTTAGTGGGAGGGGTATCGCTTTTCTCGACAGCAGAACCCGTCCCAGCCGGCCAGTACAGAGGGCAGTCATCCTTGAGTAGCCAAGGCCCTAATGGCAGATGGTAGAATCGAACACGCGCATCTCGCTGGACCAGAACCCGACGGAAGTAAGGAAGAAAGAAGACGGTCGCAACGATCAGACAGCCAACAAACACACCCAGAACAATCCCAGCTGCTTTGCCCGCCCCAAACTCTTCCATCGATGCAGCAGTAGGCACCGCAATCACAATAAACAAGGCAAGAATAGCCCCCGTGAACGCAAGATACACTGCAATCAGACGCATCGCCCACTTGAAAGGATCCGCGCGCCCAAGAACTGTACACTTGATGGTACCAAAGACAAGAGCCGATACCACACACGAAACCAGCGGGGCGATTCCCCACGCGGCCACAATCTGGTAAACACTGCCATGGCTCCAGGACCAGTCAATGTGAGCCTGCGATGCGAATCCCACAGCCAGCAGAGATGCGACCATGGTCTGGGTAGTCGACACCGGCCAGCCACGACTGGTGGCAAACATCAGCCAGGTTGCACTGCCGACCTCTGCGCAACCCATGGCCAACATGTATGCCCCTGGATGGCCGGCAAATCGGTCCACATCCAGGATGCTATTTTTGATGGTTTCGGTCACAGGAGCACCCAGGGCCACGGCACCTATGAACTCGGTGATGGCTGCTAGAATCCCGACGTGCCACATCTTCAGTGTCCGAGCTGCAACGGATGTAGCATAAGAGTTGGCTACATCGTTGGCGCCGTTGCCAAAGGCGCAGAACACAAAGGCAATGGATGCCAGGGCCAGGATCCAGTCATAATGGGCGGTTTCGATGGGAATCATGTTGCTGGTGTTGGAAGGCTGGTGAGCGAGTGCCGAGCATCTCGACGGGCGGAATATGTAGTCAGGTGGTCTAGGCCGGAACACACTTCAAATGTTTGCCTCGTCACGCTGGTCTGGAATATAGACTGCCTCTAAGCAGGTTTGCGATCGAGTGTTGATGGTAGGAATACGGAGTTGGCTGCGCTCGGACTCCTGGCTGGACGCCTTGGACTGTGAGTCGGCCATCGAAGAGATTCTTCAGACGTATGAGGAGTACGAAGCCATGGAACGATACATCTTAATTGAAAGTAAGCTCAAGAGGAACAGGCATTCGCGGGATGCCAGTGTGGCACGTGCTCAGCGAGACCTTGGACCAGATGACTAGAGAAGAAGTAAGTTTGACCGATGTGGAAATTGCGCGAAATGAACTATGGTGGAAAGTCAAAGTAGTCAAAGTACAAAAAAAACAAAAAGAAAGGTCATGCCCGGGATCGAACCGGGGTTGCCGGAAGATTTCAAGATAACTCAAAATCCGGAGTGATAACCCCTACACTACATAACCGTGTTGTTATATTCAGCAGCAGAATATAATGGTATATATAGAGTTTTACAAAGGGTAAATAAAGGCCTCCCGATCGGTGTTGAGCTTCATCTCACGGCATCGACCGATGTTGCTATCAACCACATGTATTGCGTATAGCCATGGCGTATTTATCACCGCTCGTCAGATGAAGAATCCTAATCAGCTATGCGCCTACTCTGTAACTCGACTACTAGGCGACAATGCAGCCAATTACCTACAGCAGATCCAAATTGGCCGCAGACCCTTGATTCAATTGTGCAGAATACTCCTAGTAACAAGCTTGTTGCATCTCCGATGACAGCATCCGACCGTCTGGATCTTCAGCACTTGGTAGACCGAGAAGACCCTGCAGCGACCGATCATCCTTGACTATTCGGGAAGCGGGTGACGCCGTCGATCCACCGATCTCGGCCACCCGCCAACCCTCATCCCATCATGCAATGCATCTTGCATTTGCACTTGCAATCAATTAGGAGACGCAACAATGCCAATGGTAATATGTCTCGTCTGTCATCGGTGTGAGACAAGCTGCTCAACCGGATGGACACCCAGATTGCTGCCCACCGGTCCACGGCCTACCGTGCCGATCACTCCGATGACGTACCGAGCGGCTTCAATCCCAGACTGTATCCATGCTTAGATGCAGCCAAGACCTGGCCTCAAAAGTGATGTAATTCTACACCCCTACCAAGTTCTATGCATTTCTAGTATACCTTTCAACGGTAGTTGTCAACAAGAAATATATATTCTACCCTCCCGTGCATCATTCACCATCCACCACCTACCCAACTGACCGCAGCCAGGACACACCATGAAGTCCCTCACCCT